GCCTCAGCGTACTCTTCATGAAGAATATGTACCACCCGTGAGAGCCGAGAAGAAGGGAGTCGACATGGGAAGCCGTACGCCACAGATGAAAGGAGATGCTTTGAGCGCTGTTGAAACCACATAGGCTATGTGTACTAGAACATCTATATTCTCAGTATGTGTGACAGTCTGTCGTAGACCTTGTTACAATCTTCTTTTCTCTTGTTATGCACACAGATCGAGCCCACAGATCAAGCCCACTGTTTGAGCGCTGATTGTTGGGGTACCCGAGTATGCCACTTATGCAACCGCTTTCCCCCATGGATAAAAAGATATCTGACGTCGAAATCTCGACGGTGTACTTGTGCCCAAAAGGGGACCTATATGTTCTGTAAAACGTATTCGACATCGCACGTTGAGAGAAACCGATGATGTGCATGGACCCACGAAGACCCACGTCAGTCTGTCTAAGTATCTGGTGCCCAGCTATTCCGTTCTTAGGGTGTTAGTCTGCTAACGCAATGTTTGCATTACTCCGGATAATATCAAGTTCTTTGATATGGAACTTATGGGCTTGTGTATGCACTAGAGGAATGTATTTGTGCTTCGCGAGCTGTCGCCTCCTGCTCCTTGAGAAATCCATCTTGATATGTCCACAGAGCACGGAGCATTTCTCTGTCATGGTAGCCGAATCATTCTAAACTGAGTACTCACAGATTCACATTTATCCGATCTTTCGATTTATATCGTTCTCATCGCTCTGGTAGCTCTGATATCAGGTATCCATCCCTGCTGAGGTATATAAGTATCCTCTCCGAGTGTTTAGGAGCATTGCCATACTACAGCCCGCCGAATAAATATCCAAAATACCATGTCAGCTATTGTAAGTTCTCTTCCCTGACGAGGGTATGGATGAGACGATGCTGACAGACTCGAAATCAGCCCGAGAAGTCCACCGTGCTTGTGATCGGGGGTGGCCCTGCTGGAAGCTATGCTTCGACATTGCTCGCCCGCGAAGGACTCGACGTCGTGCTTCTTGAAGCTCTCAAGCACCCCCGGTATTGTTCTTTACGCCTCTGTTCTTGAACAAGATTCTGACTACCTTCGTAGAGAACATATCGGGGAGAGTATGCTACCTTCAATGAGGCGCTACTTACGGTTCATCGACCTCGAGTCAGAGTACAGTCGCAGGGGCTTTATGCATAAGGTGACTGACCTTCCTCGTCCCGAGAAGATTGGGGCTAAATAACGTTGGTTTGGTAGCCTGGAGCAGCTTTCAAATTTATCCACGGCGAGAGAGAATGCTGTAAGTTGTGCTAGATTCAGCTTATCGACGGTCTTTACGGAGACCAATGCTACCTAGATACGGATTTCAGCGTGTTAGGTCCGGACAGGACAACCTGGAACGTCGTGCGTACTGACCCGCCTCGTAGTTTCACAAGCGCTCATCGTTAACTAGGTACGCGCCGAAGCTGACGAACTTATGATTCGACACGCCGAAAGACAAGGAGTCCAGGTCTTCGAAGAAACGCGGGTCGAATCCATAACCTTCGAGGACGACGGGGAGACGGCTTCCGCTCGACCAATCTCTGCCAACTGGAAGCGTAAATCAGGAGAAATAGGCATAATTAAATTTGATTGGCTGATCGATGCATCGGGACGCCAAGGCATCATGTCCACGCGGTATCTGAAGAATAGGATTTATCGGGAAGGTCTTAGGAATGTGGCGGCATACGGGTACTGGACGGGCGTCAAAGTCTTCGACGAGGGCGGCCCTCGCTCAAATGCACCCTGGTTTGAATGCCTGACGGGTAAGTAATAAATTGATGCGATATTGTCTTGAATCATACCTATCTTCCCAGACAAACTCGGTTGGGCTTGGTGCATCCCCTTGCATGACGGTACACATTCAATTGGCGTTGTCATGCACCTGGAGACGTCAAATAGAAAGAAGACGGAGGGGCCAAGCAGGCTCGAAGATCACTATATGTCCCAGCTGAAGCTCGCGCCGGGGGTTATGGATATGATCGGGGAGCGCGGCAAGTTCGTGGCGGGCAGCGTGAAGTCCACCTCCGACTTCAGTTATCATGCATCATCATACTCCGGTGACCGTTATCGAATCATCGTAGACGCGGCGGGTAGGCAAAACCAACTCATCGAAAGATAACTTATCTCTCAACCACCTCAAACAGCTTTCGTCGATCCTTTGTTCTCTTCCGGCGTCCATGTTGCGATGACTGGGGCATTGTCCGCCGCAAGCACCATACTTAGCTCGATGAAAGGGCAAGTTACAGAGTTAGAAGGACAGTCCTGGCACGATGCCAAGATCGGCATCTGTCAGACGAGGTCTGCATTTTTCCTCCTTTTTTCGTTTGAGATTGCTGGTATTGATTCCCGCATGGTGTAGATTCCTTCTTGTGGTCCTGAGCGCCTATCGCCAAATGCAGCACCAGGGGGAAAATAAGGCTGTCGTCGCCGATGTGAATCAATCGAGCTTCGAGCAGGCTTTCGCGATGTTCAGGCCGAGTACGTCCTTTCCCCTAGCTCGTCGACAAGGCTGTAATGCCACATCTACCTGTAGTTTATCAAGGCGAAAAAGACTCCTCCGACAAGCTCACAGACACGGAACTAGAGAATATGATCAGCTTTACCCGTAATCTCTTCACGCCAACGACGCACCAGCAGTACCAGTCCGTCAATCAACGCGTTGGGGATCTCCTCAAGCTTGATGGTCCAGTCGTCGGCCCAGAAGAGTTGGACAAAGTTCTCGATGCAGATGACAGCGATGCAAGAGCTGCACTTAGAAGGATAAACGCGTTGAAGGTTCTCAGAAACGACACCAGCCCTGAGAGCTTCACATCTGAAAGCGTAAATGGGTATGTGGTCAAGTTGGAAAGGGGACAACTGGGGCTCGTAAAGGGGTGAACTTTTAGCATTTTGGATTAATCCTTCCAGCCTCTTGTGTAAACATATATCTGACGCGAAGACTAAATAAATGTTTCCTTCAATCAGGCTCCATTAGCGCCGAATTTATTTCTTTCGGGAACGCCGAAATGAATCTTACCGGATAAGCCCTCCACTTCGACCAAGCACTGTTGAGAAAGAGAGATTCTTGCCTGATAGTTGGTGAAATTGACAAAGAAGGGCCCGAGGAGACCATCACCATTTCAACACGTTCAATAGCAAGCCTCCAAGTAAAGAGTACTAGGCCTATCAGCGGGATACTTGAGTCTGTATGCTCCACACCTCAACAGATAATTTCACCCACCCCCGGTCTTGAAAGAGAGCGTCGCACTGTGAATCAGGTCTCGTGCTTCCTGCACCGATGTTGTTGCGTGGTCAAGTATGCACCAAATGAACCCTCGAAGATGCGAGTGTACGAACTATGCAGTCCGGTTTGAGCACATTTAAAATCATTTTCATTAAGTGAGATGTCCGCCATCTTTGAAATTGGAAACTTGGACTGGACTTCGAGATAAAAGCTCTGAAGGAGGTGACGACGTACCACCTTTGCAGGTTTGTGGGCTAGCAGTTACGAGTTCTCGGGAAATGGTGGCACTTTCGTGGAGTTAAATTCTCTCCGCAGATTTTGCGTATCCTCTATTTGGGTGAAAGGTTCATAAGATCCTCAAGTGACTCAGCCAAGTACTCGGTACACAGAACTCACTGCATTTCCTTTGTTTCCCCTGGCAGGTCTCGGATAACTCCGTGCCCCAGACGCCCTTTCGACTTGCAGCTGGGGCTCATTATTCGACCAGATCGCTACGTGGGCAGGCCATAGTGCATTGAGACGAGGAGTTAAGAGACGTCCTTAGCCCGTTGCGCCTCGCCGATGCTATTGTAGCCGAAGTTTCGTCGAGAGCACGGAGGCCACACACGTTTGCCTGAACGGCGACAATTCGGAATGAAAGGCAGTTCACAGGGATCAACTCAGAAACGTACCTCCAGAGTTGATTGCAGTGCTGTCTGGAAACCGTCACGATAGCTGGCTGGGTGATGCGATACAGGAAGGGTGACAGGGGGACTTGAGGGCTTCGGCCTGCCACTACTGGCGGTGAGATTCTGAGAACAGGGTTTGAAAAACGGATGTGTGAACCACCGGCAGTACTCCATCAGTGGCTGTGCCAAAGCCTCCTGTGCGTATAGCGGGCAGAGATGTAGCGGGCAGAGATGTGATTCCGCACTAGGTCAAATGATCTCTGGGCGCTTACGTTGAGAGACAAAGTTGTTCAGATTATGCACGCGCACACGGAGAAAATGAAAATAGATGGGCCAGTCTCGAGGAAAGGGTGTTAAACGGCTCTTGAAGACATTCTTGCCCATGCCATGTGACTATCTGGTGGCAGTGCCAAGAGTTGAAGACGGGACCGACCTGGTCCGACCAGCAGTCGCGCCGCCGTCTCCACACATCCATCAGTGAAGTACCCCTCACCCTACTTCTATTTGCCTTCGCGTTCTTCAGAGCTCTCCTTGCTGCGAGTGGAGCAGGTACGTTGATGCACGCCGATTACATCCGATGTGAGTCTTATGCAGTGAATCAGACCGGCCACGACGATGTCGGCGCTCATAAGTAACTTCCGATGGCTAAGAAGCTGCCTTAGAGGTTAGAGGCCAGGAATTGCACTGATAGCTGAGTAACTACCAGAATTCTTCATGGAAAGGCCGAAACTCTCAGCAAAACCAGTTTATATGCAGACAAACCCTACCGGAGGCGAGCCAGAGCCGTAATTAATGTGGCGCGGAGAACCATCTTCCACTATCCCAACCACTATTTCAAGCCGCATTGCACGTCTCGCACTCACCTGGGGATGTTCAACTCCGAGTGTGGGCAATGCAATGCAAGAAAACGGCATCTACTCTCCATCTTCTTTATCTGGATTTTGGACGACCTCGCGTTCTCATTAGCCTAGACGCCTGTTTTCCGGCAGCATTTCAGTGTATTACGGCTCTACCTGAAGTTCCTAAGGGGTTTGTCGAGGATGGATTCTACGTGAGTGGAAGGCCTGGTATGTCTACGTTCTTTGCTTGTCGAAAAGCCTCTAAAAGCCTTGTAGTTTACCTTCACCATGCCGATTTTCGACAATAACTCGCTTCCACGGACGTGCAGCGCGATTCAACACCCGCTATCCGTTTCCCTCGCCTACTTACGTGTACTCAATACTTTGAAACTTCAAAAGTCTATGAGTCTACGTCTCCACAGCTGAATTTGTACAATACTGATGATCCTTTCCCAGATCCGAGACACCACTTGGTCTCATGCCCAGCACCGTAACCAGAGCACCCAAACTACCTCATCCGAGTCTTGAAATCCCGTCTGCAGTATCACCTTTCTTTTACAAAGCGATGCCCAACGACGAGCACGTCGCTGCTGTCATTCGCTCTGCGGTTTTGACATCAGACTCTGAGTATGAATCTGAGGTGAGCGTGCCCTTGACCTTCCCGCACCTAATCTGGGAAGCGAACGTCCTGGGGCGTGACGGTTTCCCTATGAAGGTCTGCACCATGCTGGACACGGGTGCTCATGTTGTTCTCATTAGCAGTAAAGTGCTTTTCTGCAGAGAATCACTTCGTTCTTTCGTTCTTCGCGAGCTCGTGAGGGGCTGGACAATCCATCGTCGGAAATGCGGTGGTCAACGATGACTTCGACATGTCCGATGCTCAAAGGCCCTCATAATGACTATAGCTCTCTCTGTCAGTAATAGTGGCTCTATTCAAGAAGCTGGCATGTTTAGCTTTATTTTGGCTTTGTTATCCCACGACACGGATGAGGACCTACTTAGCATCTGCAGCTTCCGCACCAGACGGCGTGCCCGATGACTACAGTCTTACTTATCTCATCATCCATGTGAACCCGCTAGTAAGACTCCGAAGTTAGTTATTTTACTTATGGGCGGCCTGGAGGTCTTTTTTTACGGAGAGTCTCAAGGACGCCATCGACGACGATGCTTTCCAGTGACGATGGCGTGCTCAGCAGATCTCACAGATTTACGACTTGCGGTTCAAATAAGAAGGAATCAATAAAACAAATTTATATGGCACGAGAGAACCTATGAGATGATTACCACTGCTCCAGAGTAGGATGGATGACCAACGAAATCTTACAAATTACACGTTCCATGCAGTCCAACCATGCAGCAATATTGGACCATGTAGCAATAGCGGATAACTTCCAGACCGGATCCATTGGGACTTCGTTTAGGGAGTAGCCGCTATTCGATTCTGCGAAAGACGATAAGCAAGGGCCTGAGCTGACAAGCAAGAGAGCCAGCACTTGAGCTGGAACACCGGCCCAGTTCCGGAAAAGGAAGTTGTTGGACATGCGTGCGCCACGCGCCACGCTTGGGGTTTCTTCCTTCTGCCTGCGCCGAGTACACAATCGTGTATAGATTATCTGTCACAGGTCAGTGCCCTAAATTTAGCATGGAAGTGTATTGTAGCGGATGGAATTCAGTGTCGAAGTCTAGTGAACTGCGGTTGGCCAGTATAAAATGACTCTTCGTTCCAGTGGGGGTCTCACTCGCAACTTGTCTTTTCTCATTCATTTCTCGTTGACGATAATCGGTTAATTAGGTGCGTATTCTGTATTCTGGCCATGAACCATTTATGACTGAGGAATTTGCGTACCGGAATCGAACTTTACACGATCGATCGTCCGTCACTCTTGCCCTCTTCTATCGCCATTGGTGCCCTTTGTCTCGGGAGCACCGTTTCTCTTCCACTACCTGGCCATACATCATCAGCTGGAGAGGTTGAAAAAGTCGTAACCGGCCGATATGACAGGGCCCAATTATAACGGAGTAAGGTCCTTATCTTCTGGCATTAATCCTTGTGCCTATGCCGACTTACATAAACGAAGAGCACCACTCCGCGTCGCAATACCATAGCAAGAAAACCCAGGCTCAACCCCACCAAGCTAACGCACACAGGGCGTCCGCAAACGATGCGGCCGCGCCATCTCATCAAAAGACTCTCCAGTCGACCCAGAATGAGCACGCGTCTTTCCTAGTGGATTCCTTGGACATGCCGTAGCAGTCAACGTTCACCTTGATGCCGCCAACCACACCGCCAATCCCGCTGTTGCTCACGGACATCGGGCTGCTGCCGTGCCCCACAAACCAACTTCAAATCATAAACCAGAGCCAATCCACTCCACCATCAACGCTCTCAAATCCAAACACGGGATATGATAAGGTGGGTGAAGGGCCGCCGTGGGGAACTGTATTGGAATTCATCATGGCGTCAATGCGGGGTATAGCTTGTAGTCGCTGTATTAGTCGGGGCCTGGGTATACAAGTAGCTTGGAGAAAAACCTCGAGACTTTCTTCTCAATAGAATGAAATTAGTCTACCGATAATTTCCTCGTCTGCTCAGCGATCGCAGCGGCGAAGGGGTTCCCTAGGTTTCAAAATAATCGTGAAGGTCAGACGAGAAGGGAAAGAAGGAGGAAGCGTCAATTCCTTAAATCAAGACTTACTGCTTCCCCACCCCAAACCCGGCTTCTGACTCTGCGCTTGGTGCTCTGGCTCCGGCATCTGGACTCCCAACATCCCGATTCCGGCAGTGGAGGATGTTGCTGCCTGTGGCTGTGGTGAGGCTGTCAACGGTACCGTCGACATTTCGGCGTCACCCTCAGCGCTGGGAGCGACGTTCGGGACAGGGAATGCTGGTGGTGCACCAGACGGCTGGTTGGATGGTTTGGCGACGATATTATCGTAATCGGGCGGTGGCGGGTTTTGGGCGACAAAGCTCTCGAAGGTCGCCCGCCTGAAGTGGTCCAGCTCCTTCCGACGTGTGTCGAGAAGTCTCGCTGCCTCGCTCACTTCGTAGCCTACGGCGTCGGCGCGTCGTCGTGCAGCCTCTCGTTCTTCCCTTAGCTATTTCCCGAGGGGCATCAGAGGTTGGAGCTGAAGGAGGCGACATAATCTACGAACTCTTTTATTGGCTTGAAGGACTTCAGCGGCAGATTCTTTGATCTTCGCTATAGGGCCCATCGTTCAATCGTTCATTGACAGATCGAAAAGAGAGACTTACTATGGAACGCTATGTCAGTGAAGATATTGTCGAAGAGGACGTCGCCCAGCAGTGACCTACGGAAAGATTAACTCGATCACTCCCTCTCTAGGAAATTCTGACTCACCCCTCCGCGATGTGAACTCTCCTTATTGGCCTAATGGCCGGAGAGAAGCTCTTTGCCTGCTCTACGAACATCTCTGCCTGCGCCGCGTTCCCTCGGGCATTCGACAATGCATTGCGTTCCATCATGTCGGCCATCCTGCCTGAGATATCAGCTTTGCTATTCGAATCATGGAGGTAGCTCACTTACGATCCTCCTCCCCACATATCTAACAGAGGGCATTGTCAGATCGTCCGGTGTAGGACGAGAGAGGCACCCACCATATCGTGAATAACCTAGAGCTTCCTGCACGTTGTCGGAACAGCTCTGCATGCAGCGTGCTGCCCGTGCGAGGAGCTCCGCCGCGCGGCTCTCGGCGTTCAATCGCGCTTGTAGCTCGCTATATCGTTTGAGCGCTGCATCGAGGTCATATTCGAGGCGATCGTCCTCTGGGAAATCTAAACGCCAGAGAACGGGTAAGCGCTGGCTGTCGGAAAAGAAAGGGAATAATAAACACCTTGAGTGGGTCCATCGAAAATACGACTGTATAGAACTTGTAGCTCAGCCTTCGCAGACTCATACAGCGTTTCTTTCTCCGTCAGGTCTATCATCTGAATATTCGGAGGGTTAGATAAGATAGGAATAGCAGAAAAAATGTTGATCTCGTACGTACTACGTTCTTCCCTTCCTCGCGTAGCATCTCGATAGAGCTCTGGCTCTCTCTCTCGTTTATCTCGCGTTCCAATGCTTCAACGTACTCCCTACGAGAGACCAACGAGATATCAGTCTCCGCTCATCCAAATCTGCTCTTCGTAACTCACCTCTCCTCCTTGCTCTCCTTCTCTTCCCACTTCTCTCTCCTCCCAGTGAGTTTCGCTGCAAGCCGCCTCGCGGTCGAGTCTCTCAGGTCCTCGTGCTCCTTCCGCTCTTTCTTCGTCTTCTCAGCGAGCGCCGCCACCCTCTTCTTCCCTGCCGCGAGCTGGCCTTCGAGGTCCTTGACGTATTCCGCTTGGTGCTTCCGCGCGGCGGGGACGTACTCTAAAGAGGATATGGTGTTGAGGAGGCGCGAGTGGTAGGAGGCGTTGGCCACGATCGCTTCTTTGGTGTCCATGATTTGAGTGGTCATTACTCCACGAGATGCTCTCGAAACTTGAAAGGACTATCAGTTAGGTTGTGATGCTGGGCGTAGAGCGCAGCGGGGTTAGAGGAGGCCCCAGAAGAAGAGCTTAGAGTATAAGTAGGAAAGAAAGCTGTGGGGTTGGCCCGCCGCCCAATTGTCAGTGCATTATGTGTGCTCGATATGGGCAATCAGCACTGCAACTACGGAAGGCAGGGGCGCAGTGGCTGTGCATTGGCGGCCCTCCCGGACCCTTGCCAAGCCTTTTCATGAGTGGGATAAGCGAGAAGAATTGAGAGATTAGAACAGCGAACGCAAAAATTGCAGAAGAAAATGAACTCCTTGTTTGACCAGCGAAGCGATTCAAACAAACTCGAGTAGTCAAGCGACTCGGAGATGAATGTTATTCAAAGGACCCATGCAGTGCACAGACATGATTTGTACGATTACTCTCCTCGTGGATGACTAGTACAGGTACGAGGGAATATAATTGGTACGTGAGTGTTGAGGCAGTGTGCACGACTGACCAAGTCGAGAAACCTGCTTTCTTCAAAATTCTTGAATGGTAAGTAGAGACACAAGGCTCAAAATATTGGTATTCCCATGTCCTCCAGTGATACCGCCGTCACGATAGGCGTTCGCGTCCAGAGTATTCTGATACGAAGGAAGGGTATAATATCATCTCTTCATAAGATCCCAATGCACCGAGGATTGGCGTTCCTCGACAAAACCTCACGAGGCATTGCGACAAGGTTCGAATAAGACCATGCTGTACTCTCAAGTTATAAGTCAAAAATTCTACGCAGCGCGTCTGTAACATGCCGAAGAATTTGAGAGCGCTCAAGCACAAAATGCCCAGTATCCAGGACAAGCGCTATTGTCTGCCTTTCTCCAGAGAGACCAGATTCATTGCCCGATAATATAAATTCACTCTTGAAGCGCGCTTATAGCGCTGGGAAGACTGTTGCTCTTGAGCTTGAGCGCAGTGAGCGCCCGGAGCGCCAAAAATATCAGCGATATTTACCCGCAAGGTCTGCTGCGATAGACTGACTATATTTATTTCTGAACAGATTCCGTATTGGGGGAACACAATTTTTGTGTCCGATAGACGGAGGGTGTAGTTGCCCAGTAGGTTTACTAGTTTGCCTGTGGTTCCGGTCTCGACCGCCGTCCGAGAGGATCTTCGACCTAGAGACTGAAGCTTGAAGACCAGAGGCGAAAGAAATCTTTGAGCGGGAGAAGTGATGGAAAGCATACTGAAGACAGAGACAAGACGAAATCTGGTCCCGTGTCTTGCTCCGAAGTTGCGGTGGTTCCTGAAGTGTCGAACCTTGGGCATCAAATACGGGATTCGGGCACGCCTGGAAGCCCGAGAGAACTGTCGACATGTCAGTATCTACAATTGTGTTCGGCTTTCAGCTCCAGCTGACAGCTGGGTATGACGGCGGCTCGATGGACCATGGTGGGGCGTCCGATGGAGTGACGGAGATGCGCAAAAATATAACCATCCAAGGCCACTGGATCACACGTGAAGCGACGAGCGGGGGCTAGATTTCTGCGCGTTCCATTACGAGGACACAAGGGAGCTGAGAGATCCTGCAAAGAGAGCTACTCGGGGTTCCGTGGTACCTGTGACGGCACACCCAGGTACAGGAGCAAGTACTAGTGCCGAAGGAGGGAAGGAAGGAGGAGAAAGAAGAGTAAAAATTGCCAGCACTTAAAGCCTAACAGAAAGATGGGCGCCGGCTGAATATAACTGAAGCGCCCATAATCAGTCCGTCAGCTTTCAAGCTTTGCTGAACGTTGGAACCAGGTGAACATCGCAACATCGAGTTTGGCATAGACTCCAAAGGCTGACACGTTGGCGAGTAGGTGACTAAGTCCGGGCAGTCCGTGTGGGCGTGTCATATAAACGGTGGAGGAAAAGGGTGTTTGCGTCGTCCGTGTCAACGGCGAACACCCCGGAAAGGACCAAATGCCGAGGTCACGAGGACGCATTTGACCGCCGCTTTTGCCTTATTTGGAAGGCTGTTTGCCGCGTCTATTATTTCGTCAGAATCTTGTGTTGTGGATGAAACACCAGGATTAGACGCCCTTTCTCCAGATTTCGTGCATTGACCCTGTCGGCTAGAAGTTGAGATGTCGATTTGCCTTATTTAGTATTTTTGGCACCTTTCGTGGGCTTGAAAGAAGACATTCGATGCTTCGAGCGTTCAGACAGCGCCGATTCTCATCGGTTTTTCCTCCATAAAAAGGCTAGATTCTTTCATATTTTAGGATGCAAGGTTTGTTTATCTTCGCGAGACCACGCGAGGTCAGATGCGCACGCGGAGATAGAAGCTGATTAGATGTGCAAAATGGAGAAATGTAGATCTGCCATGAGCTGATGGTCACCATGCCCGGAGGCTTCCTTGGGTCTTCCACTGTATTTCTCGAGTGAGGGCATGCCTTTTGACGTGTATACGGCTTATAGCGGGCGGCGGGAGCGAGTCGGATGCGATTCCCAGGAAAATTTGTGTGGGCGTGGGTCTGGGGCAAACGCAGCTCCGATTCCAAGGTTGTCGGAGACCGTTATCCTCAAGGTGCTGTCCTGTGCTGTCGGAAAAATACGCCTATCTTTCTCTTCCGCTCTCCCACCACACGAAGAGCGCTGGACCGGAGGTATCTCGTCCGGCCCTGAGCTGCGTATGTAATTGAGCTTTTGGACAGTTGGCAAGGGGTTGATCTGTCTTCATTTCTCCACTGTCAGATGAAAGTTGTCCACCCTGCCTCACGAATCCGTCCTGAGCTGCTTACCTCTTTTTTCGTCCTCGCGAGCACCTGCCTCCATGGCCCAGGGGCGCTCCACCGATGAGGACCCACTCACACTGGCCATGGCGCCCCCACCGGACGAAACCTTGGAACAGAGGCTGGTTAGGGAGGCTGCAGAAGCGGAGGCGAAGAGAATTAGCGACGAGATTGACGAGCAGATACGGAAGGAGAGAGAGCAGCTGAGGAGGCAGAGGAAGCCTGTGAAGCTGCTATTGCTTGGTGAGTTCATTCTTTGTGCCTCTGGAGATGGACGAGGTTGAACTATGGCATAGGGCAAAGTGAGAGCGGAAAGACGGCAACGTTGAAAAGTATGTCCTCCCCTTCATCTACTGCCTAATATTGTACTAATCTACGTAGACTTCCAACTCACCTATGCCCGACGCGAGTGGTCAGAGGAGAAGGCCGCCTGGCGCGCAGTCATCTTCCTCAACCTCGTACGCAATGTGAACGAAATCGTCAACCATCTTGCGAGCGAGATGTCGGATCTACCCTACCACCCCGACGATTCCAGCGAAGACCTGCAGATCATCCGGGCTCCCCGGGCGCTGCCCAGACTCAAGTTCACCGACAAGCACCGCGAGCTACGGACGCGCCTCGCGCCCCTTGCCACCGTCCAGCTGACCCTCGAGAGTCGGCTCGGTACGGCCAGCCTGGAACTGCACTCAACGAGCGTGAACACCGCCGCACCGTTCGACGCCCCTTCCTCTCCAACCTCCACATACAGCCGGCGGCGCGGTCTGCAGGAGTTCTCCATCAATTCGTCGAACGGGTGGAAGTCGGCGCTGGACAAGTTCCGGACGCTGCGTAACACACCATCGCGTGCGGGGCTCGAGAACGGGAGCGTCAGCGAGGAGGGCGGCAGCGGTGGCCTGAAGAGGGACAAGGGGCAGGACTCGACGGACTCGACGGAGGACGAGATCGCTGAGACTATCGCTTCGTGTCGGGAGGACATCAAGCTGCTGTGGGAGGACGACATCGTGCAGGAAACGCTGGCGCGGAGGAAGGTACGGCTGGAGAACGCTCCAGGGTTCTTCATCGCCGATGCGGAGAGGATAGCGAGGCGCGACTACCAGTCGACGGACGACGATGTTATCCGGGCACGGTTACGGACACTGGGTGTGCAGGAGTACCGTTTTATATTTGACCATGGACGGACGATGGGCCAGGAGTGGCGGTTGTACGACGTCGGTGGGACGAGGAGTAGTGTGAGTAACACGATGCTACCATTCATTATTCGGGCTCATTTTTATATGATACAGAGAGGTGCTTGGTATCCTTACTTTGACGATGGTATGATTTCATTTTTATATACCCAACATCCCGACGCAGGCTAATCATTCAATCCAGTCGACGCCATCATCTTCCTCGCCCCAAGTGCGTCTTCCCTTCCTCCTGCTATTCCCTTTTCCTGAACCCTGTTTCCTTCTACAGTATCCCCCTTCGACGAGAAGCTAGCAGAAGACCGACGGGTCAACCGTCTTGAAGACAGCTACCTTCTCTGGCGCTCCGTCTGCGCATGCAAGCTGCTCGCACGGACACAAATCATCCTCTTCCTGAACAAGTGTGATTTGTTGCAGGCAAAGCTGCAGCGGGGCATACGGATACGCGACTCGGTGCCGAGTTTCGGAGACCGGAAGAACGACCTGGGGACGGCGACGCGGTGTGAGTGCTTGCTTCGTTGTTTCGTTATCTCTGTTTCATTTTTAGTGGGGATAAGAAGAGGCTGATGTTGGGTTGATGAATATAGATTTCCAGCAGCATTTCAAGGAGATCTCACGGAACAACTCGCCAGTGCAACGGCCGTTCTACGTACACCTCACCTCCGTCATCGACACACGGTCAACAGCCGTCACCCTCGGTGCTGTCGAAGAGAGCATTCTCCGCGAACATTTACGCCGTGCCGACCTAATGTAACCTTGACATGCGCTCACTACGGACCGACTTCTACTTCATATCACCTTTTCCCCTCAGTCGTGCTTCAACCTTCAACCCAAGTGAATCACCTTATTCCTATTGTATGAACAACCTACGCTCTCCTACGATCCCCCCAATGCCTCTACGCCCTCCTTCTCCCCATATATACCGAATACCTCTGACCCGACCTCTTCTGATCCATCCACGCCATACACATGACCGATGACCTTACCTGCTTAATGCCAGACTTTACCATACCTTCTCGTCCTTCCACCTACCCGCCTTTCCCTTTCTTGCTTCTCTGATTCGTTCCAAATGACAATGCAACTAAGTACTGTACTTACCTCTGCCTTCTACCCCACATCTCTGAGTCAGATATCTGATTCCAAGCTTAGTAGATCTAGCTCTCTTTGTAGCCTCTTTCCGTTTGATTTTCCAAGGTTTGCTTACATGCTGGTGTTCTTATATCGTCGTTTGCTTTCATCTGGAAGTCCTCCACGTCCTTTCTTTGCATTTCAGTGTTCAGCGACGTTGAACGAGCCGTCTGCCTTTTGCATCAAAAGTCCAATCCGAGGATGTAAGTGTCCGTCGATTCAATGAGTACATACTGGTTGCTGTAAACCATATATAAAGTGCGATGTGAGGGTAAGGTGGTTGCGCTGGTAAGTATTATAAATGTATGGGATGCGCTGCAGGTAAAAATAACATGATGACAGCCGCGATCTACGCTTGAGCAGAAACTAGTCAGCAAGGCATCAACCACGCTACGAACCGAAAGCACATACCAATCTATGAGTGCCGATCTCCCAACCCATTATTACTTCTCAGCACAGGACTCGGAAGGCCTCTCTCTGACCTGCTCTCATCCAACGACATGTTCCGCCCAAAGGTGAGATGTGGTCTGCTCCCTGCCCGCTGTCCCTGCCCTATGCCAAGATCGGCATTCGCTCCCTCGCCCTCGTCTTCACTATCTGCTGGGGTGCCCACTCCACTGCCAGCATTACTACCCGTGTTGCTCCCAATACCACCGTCGCCCAGCCCAGGTGCACCCCGTCGTGCCCGGCGCGCATGGAACGTCCGACTTGCAGTTGCGTTGGAGAAGATGGGTAGGAGGTACCGCTCGTCGAGAGCCTGGAACCATTTTCCGTCCTCGCCCACACCAGCACCTAAGCTGTTCGGCGGTGGCGGGTGCGAAGTGTTCGCACTGGCGTCGTTATTGTTGAGGTTGTCGATCGCTGTAGGCGCGAGTGGAAGAACCTCGCCGTCAGAGTCGTACGAGTCCGAGGACGCTGTTGAGAAGGCGTTGTTGGCGGGAGAGATAGGTGGTTGGTTCGGTCCGTAGTTCTGCGCGTGGTGGTTGTACAAACGCGACGTGGCGTAGTGTGTGCCGATGCGGCCTGCTCCTGTGAGTCGTCCACCTGTTAGAGCACTGGACTCCTCTTCCAGCCGATTCCATCGCCCACCGGTACCACCCCGGCCAACCCACGCATTCCTCGTTGGTGGTGGCATTGGTTCGTCTTCATCGCTGCTCACTCCAGCATCGTCCTCCACACCTGTCCGGATGCCTAGTACCTCAAGCATCCTCGCCGTCGTGCCTCCGAAGGCGATCACCGTCAACACTACCACGATGAGCACCGTTGTCCGCATCATCTGCGCGTTAGGGCCTTTGAAGCCTGCAGCGAGAGCAACGCCCACAGCTCCTCTCAGTCCTGCCCAAAACAACATCATCTGATACGAATGCGGCAGCTCTTCCTGTCTTTGACCCCTAGCGTGTCGAAGGAATAGATTGATTAGCTCAGACAAGGGGAAGACAGCCGCGTATCGAGTGAAAATGACGGCAATGGTAGTGATGAGGATGAAGACGGGCTTGACATAGCTGAACACGGGTTCTGACACTGGCGCGCTGGTGAAAAGCGACAAACCGAGGTAGACGAAGATGAAGTTCTCCGACAGCTGAGAGAGCGTCGAGAAGATGTATTTTGTGGCTCTCTGGGTCCGGCGAGACATTGTGTGGTAGGCGTAATGCTTCAGGGTGATGCCACAAAAGAGGAGAGAGACGATGCCGGACATGGAGAGGCCGTTGGAGAAGAAATAACATGTGTAGGCGCACAGGGCGACAAGGCAGGACTCGATGGAGGGGTAGAGGTGCAGATACGAGTGTTTGAGCATGAGGGAGGTCGCAAGTCCAAATGCAACGCCCAGTGCCATTGAGACGCTGAACGAAAGCAAGAAAATCCCAATTCCATGGAAGATCGAAGACACATAGACCTCAGTTCCATGGAAATGGCTCAAGGTTCTGCACAGAGTGATTGAGAGACTACAACACAGTAAATCGAATAGAGATACTCACTCGTACATGACAATACTGACAGCATCGTTCAACAAACTCTCTCCGAAAATAATAGTGTAAAGCTTCGGGTCGACCTTGTACTGATTGAATATAGCCAAAATAGTGACTGGATCCGTAGCTGACAGAGTTGAACCGAAGGTGAGGCATTCAATTAGTGATAGCCTGTCCGTGTCTATCCCGAGATACGAGTAGATGAAGACCAAGATGCTATTCTGCAGGTGTTAAGGACTAGAAAATGACGCATAGAAATACGTTCAACGTACCCTACGCCAATTGCTGAAATAAATGTGCCTGCGAAGGCGAATGTGAGGATAGAGCCAAAGTTGCGGAAAAAGTTTTCCTGCAGAGGGTTCAAGATGGGAGATGGTACGGAAATATGGTATAACACGCACCTGCTTTAATTCATAACCCGAAGCCAGGATGATCGGCGGTAGAAGCAAGTTGAAGAAGAGCGTATGTTTGAATGTCTGGAGATTACATTAGCATTCTAAGTCAATAAGCTCCTTCGCGAGGTAAGAGCGAGCATTCTGACGTTCGAAACCCATCCTTGCCACCTCCTGCACCCTCACCGCTGCGTCTCTGACTACGCGCTTCCGCAGCTTCCCTAAGTCTGCCTCCCGAAGTCCTCCTCCCTCTACTCTGAAGCACAGCACCAGGGAGATTCAAATCTCACCAGCATATCCCGAATCATCGTTCCGGGGGCAAGCCTGACGACTAGCCCTACCAACATCCCGGCAAAGATCGACACCAGCGTCTCATGCACCGCTCGTATCCGTTTGATTTGAAGGTAATACGAGGTCAACAGAGACAAGATGAGTAATATGCACACGAGGAAGAGCGACCATGACGAATAGTACTCTTCTTCCTCTGCTGGAGGCGCAGTAGTCGTCGCGGCCGCTGCTGCTGCTGCTGTCGCGGAGGCGATTTTGAAGGACATTCTTGGCGTATTTCGCGTGTCTCGAGAGGCGTCTTTGAGCAGTTGAGGGCGATATGGAGACACAATGAAGGTCTACACGCTGCTCTTGGATGTCTGCAGGTGGATTGGAGTGCAAGAATGGGAAGAGTGTCTCCGAGCTGAGGCCCAACTTGAAGGGTCGTGTCTTATGTAATCATGTCAAATGCCCTTTCAGTGAAAGTCTGGATGCGTATCGTTGTGTGTATGCAAATTCTGAGCATGGGATGCAACAGATTATACGAACATACAGTATGTAAAGTGTATGGGATATGTCTAGTCTGGCGAAAGGCACCGCGTCCCATAGCCGGACTTTTGGGTAAATAGCGGCAGACGCAGACACGTACCGGCGGTTATGTATTCAAAACCTTTTCTTCATCCGTGTGCGCTGCCTTTCGCCCTCTTCCTTCTTCTTTTTTTCGGCGGCCTCTATCACATCGTCCCACAGGAACTTCTTAGTGAATACAAGCGTGGAAGACATTGATGGAAGTTTACCCCTCGTCTCCGGAGGAGGAATTGGGATGGTCAGGGCACGTCGAACGGCAGGGCTACGGAGGGCGAGAGTTTGCGCAACCGTCAGACTTGCAGTGGTCAGTAGGGAAACCAGGAGTCCCTAGAAATAAATGAAGGGACCCGCCGAACATGAGGTCAGGAGGAACGTACAACAGGGAAACTAGACATAAACCAGACACCCGGGATCGTCAAGACGCGCATCACGTTCATGAAGTGGCCCATGCCCGGCCTCTCAATGGTGTTGACGTCTCTCGCACCAAGCTGCGCCTCTTGTAAGCCCAAATGTAACGTGAACTAATATTATGCCTCACCGAAATCTGCATATTGACTGCCGCACACAATGCAATCGGTAAGACCAGGGTTGGGTCCACCACCGTCAGGTCAGGCAACAACGCAATCCCACTTTGGGTCAACTGTTCCACAGGCAATTTGCACATCTTCTGCACGCCAAAGAAGATCCCAAGGGTAATTGGCATCTGGATGAGCGAAATCAAACCAGCAAACGGGTTGATTCCGTTCTCCTTGTAGAACGTCGACATGGCCAGACTGGCTTTTTGAAGTTCCAGCCGGTCCCTCGACTCTGACGCGCGTTTGACGTCCTGCTGGAGTTTCATGATTTGCGGTTGGAGCGGCTGCATGCGCGCAGAGGCCTGCAGGCCCTTGAGCGCGAACGGAACGCATGCGAGGCGCCAGAATGCTGAACCAGCGACGATGGTCCAGAACCAGGGCATACCGGTGGTAACGTTGATTATTTCAAACGACCAACGGATGATGCCTGCCGGACTCCAGCCTGCCAGGCCCATAGCGGCAAAGTCACCGTATTGGAGAGCGGTAGGCGCGTTTTGGATGAGGGTATCCGTGATGGTTGAACCCAGGGACTCCACGGCAGAAGAAGGATCGAGGGAGGCAGCTGGATCTGACATAACAGAGGCATCGGCTGCTGAAATCGATTCTGAAGGAACTGTCGAGGCGAAGGAGGGGGTAGGAACCACATCATCAATATTAGAGGCTTCGGTTGGCGCTGGTGGGAGTGAAGCCTGTGTTTCTGCTGTTGGAATCGCCCTCAAAGGCCATATTGAAAAATTCCTAGACGCAGTAGGGCCCTGAAGCACGAGAATCCGTCGGCTTGAGGGCTGGGCAGAGTGAGTGTAAAATGTAACCTAGTTCGCAGGCACATACCTGCAACAAAGACGAGAATAAACGCGTATTTGAGCGACCTATCTGCAGAGGAGCCGATCCTGCACTGTTCAACAGGCTGTCAGGATAGAGACAGGCCGAGACGAAGCTTGGACACGCACATCCTCGAACACGTCCGCAAAGTTCCGTATCTAATCCCAAGGCTCACCGAACTTGAAAGGACCATTTTTGCGACAAATATCTTCTTTCTCAGCCCCTTGTAATGTCGTCTGAGGGTGTTTCCCTCTATCTTCGGGGCTAAGGAACTTGCGGACGGGAGCAGGAACAAGACTTCGGTCACGGTGGCAACTCCGATGAACTCGATTTCATGAAAGTTAGCCTGTCACGTGATGATACGCCGGGCCGCCCACCGGACAGCAGCCGGACAGACAATTTCCCAAAAGATTCAGTACATATGTAACACGTTTTGTCAGTACATCAAATCGTGATCCGGAAGCAAATGTAGAGTATCGAAAAACCACGAACGACAAGCACACTGGCATCCCAGACAAGTGCACCAGGGGACTCGGATACCCAGTTGCGAATAGCCTACTTAAAATCTCTGGTACACGCCCATTTCTCGTTGAAGGATACCGTCAATACTCAAGAGAACAGATTTCGACATAATTAAATTAGACTCGAAAACGTAAATTTACTGAAGTTCGAAAGGGAAGGGGATTATAGGTGCCCTGCTCAGCTTCTTCAGCGCATCAAGCAATTCTCGGTCTTCCTCCGAAACAGAAGCCTTGTGTGGTGTATTCACTTCAGTCGAAGAATCGAAAGGCTTGCCATCAGGCTCGCAAACCGTCCCAGGTTCCGGCAAGGTGCCGTTAACGAAGTAGTTTCGGATATGTTTTTGTGTGCAAACGGAAGGAGCGCTGAACGAGCAATGCTTTCAAGTATGAGGAAAGTCAGCCTGGAAGAAAGTGACCAGAAGGCAGAAATTAGCCTCACCCCTGGCGAATCTTGTGTGAGGACAACGGACCCGTTGAAGAAGCCGGACATTTTCCTTGCCCTAGTTATTTCCTTGTTGGCAAAATGAAGAAAGAAAAAAGAGAACGGTGATAACTTACGCTGGTAATGGAGTGACAGGGTCTGCACTTCGTAATTAGCGAAGTAACAACTTGAACACGAAAATCATCCTACCTGCAGTGTTCCCGACCAAGAGAATCGGGTAACTCGTGTTCGCGTCAAAAGGTCCTATACAGTCGTCAGACTCGCAATCCAGAATTGGTCTTGGAAGTACACACCTTGGAAGTGGTTCTTAGGGAATTTAGGCCACCCGCTATTTCACCTTTAGCAAACGAACTATCCGAAGGACAAGGTGGGCGTACACACAATCCAACCTGTTGTGGGACCAAATGTCACCCCATTGCGAAGAGTTGGCCATCATATTGAAGTACTCCTGCGAAGACTGTAAATCACCAGGAACGTCGTCTCCGTCGTTGCATGCGATGCCAATTGACGCATCAAGGACGGTGTCAAATAGGTGGGCCGCGTCACAAGAGCACTGATAGGGAGGAAGGGTGACCAGTTCGAATAGGCGTCGACCATCCCCGGCGGAAAGTTCCGCTAGTCCTTGAGCGAGGGTTGGAAAGAGGTCATAAGGGAAATAAAGGGACACAAAGACGGCAACGCGAAGCAAGTTGTAGTCCAATACACCATAGGATGTATCAGTCCTTACGGGAACTGGTCGTGCACGAACGGATTCGTACAGTTTGCTCAGATTTTGACGAATTTCGTCGGCGGAAGGCGCCCAGAAGGCGCATCCTTGTTGGCTCGCGTCCGCGCAGCCTGTGAAGAAGTGTTCCATGGTCTTGTCTGCATCGACTAGATTCTGTGTCCAGAGTGCTGAAATTATTTAAGCTACAGGGAAAAAAATCAGGAATAGGGTTAGAATACTTACTGGCATAATAATCTTCAGAATCGACTACTCCATCAATAACTAGCCGTTCTATCTTGTCCTGCGCCTGGCGACATTAGAGAACGTTACTTGATGATGCATGCGGCCCTTCTCTTACGGGGAACATGGCGGCAAAGGTAGCACCAAGGATAGATCCATATCTTAACGAAACACGGATGAGCCTTGGAGGATCATTTCTACAAAATGACTTACGAAAAACCCCAATACTGAAGCTTCTGCTGCCTATAAGCCTCGACGATACGCAGCATGTCCTGTGCAGTCTGGTCTGTGTTCATATGCCTTAGGTACCCGTCGTCCTGTTCTGCTGTAAGCTGTCCGAGCAATGTGGCTTGGGCCCAAGTTCGAGCTATCCCTTCGTCGGAGTTGTTCACTACCCTGGTTCCCATTCTTCCCCACAATGCGTGGAAGAGAACGACCGACGCCTGTTTATTGTTGGGACCGTCAATCCTGAGAGCGGAAAGGTAAATTGAATTGCTTACCTCTTGGGTCGAACCCTATAAGGTCAAACTGAGGACCAACGACAGTAGCGAGCATTTCCCCGGCCAGGATAATGAAGTCCACGCCACTTCCACCAGGTCCTCCCGGGTTGAAGAGCACGGACCCTCGATAGGAATCTGACTCTGCGGCAACGAGAGCGGGCTTGCGAACCAACGCGATGACGGCCTCTCTGCCTTGGGGTTCAGAATAGTCCAACGGCACCTAATAAACGTTGAGAACGTGAATTTAAATTGAAACGGAGGAATTTTCACAATAAATCGAGCACATTGCAATCCTGAGTAACAGTCTTGCCAGACGAGGTTCTTCTGCGGAAGAACCTAATCGTTTTGCAGTTAAGGAATCTGTCACCAGAGTGAGGGACCACGAAGACGTACGCCTTCCCAAGAGAATTCACTGCGTCGTGCATTCAGCTGTGATTTGCCAGATCCTGCATGCTTGCTGGAAAGCGGTTGATCGAGCTTGGAGAGAGATGGTGAAGCTAATAGAGCCAAGGTCGCGAGGACCTCAACAATTCCACGGCCGCTGAACATCTTCAAAGCGTTGAAGGGAGAAAAGTACTGGGGATCCATCATCGACAAAGGGTTAATTTATAGGATGATGCTTGGATGTAAGGACCCGGCTTTAGAGCTCAACGTTCAACACCGACGAACAACTGCGCACGCTGCGCAATCTTCGGAATCCTAGTATCCAAGCCGCTCTGGAACAAGAACAACAACATATTGGAAGTCTCCTTGGTGCTGTAAGCCGCCGTCACTGGCGGGACCTGGCTCACTAGTAGCGGCAGAAGTGTCGTCAATGCTCGGCATTCGTGTATCCAGCGTTTTCGATTAGAAGGCTCCAATCAACCATAACCATACATCCCCACTTTTCATGGTACATTGCCTTCCTGGAGCAGCGGGACTGGAGTCAGAAGAGCCAGAAAATCCAAGTAGAGTTGAAAGTATCGGGCGAGAACTGATTCCGAGGTCGGGTAACCGCGTATCTCATGCAGTCGGGCCTTTCTTTTAGAATCGCTCCGAAGCGAAAAATCATAACATGAGAACTGCGGTGGAGGAGACAACGCAAAAGACGGGGGATTTGGCGTTGATTGGTGTCAGATGTTCATGGACGGCATCAGCGGGCCGGATGTGGTTACAATGTTACATCACGTGACCCACATGCTTCGGTTAATTCAGACTTGTCTACCTCCTACTATTCTAGTGACTGGCAGACCTATCGTCTATCGCTATCTGAGCCGGAGCAGACATCATCGGCTTCATAAATTAAGGACGTCGTGCCACCATCCTGGGGAGACATGTCCGTTATACTTGCTGTCTTCATGGACCTGATTGCCCCTCTGAACTGGGTCGTTCAAGGTGGAACTAACTTTTAGAAGGAAACTAGGCTCACAAAAGGCACAAAATATGTGCGCCGGGACGCGCAGAAAGACTCGTTTAAGATAAAAATCACTTTCCCAGACCTTCTGACTAAAGTTATCGCATGAGAGGAGCGATGTGATCCAGTGAAGGGCCTCCCTCTCCAGAAACCATCGGGAGCTGTTGACGTTCATAGACCAAGCTTTCTTCTGGCTAAAATCAGTCTAAAAGAGCCTGAAATTTAGGCCTTGACTCTGCACCGAAAAGGAACGGCGTCGAGGGACTAACCATTATCGTGTACTCATCGGGGTTGGGTCTGCATTGATAGATCAGCATGTGGGGCCGAAACGAGGAAATAGAATCGATGCATGTGTAAAATACTTACCATCCTGTTGGGAGGACGAGGCATCTTCCTTGTTGAGAAGAACCCCGCCCACCTTACTCCATGAGGGGTGCCAAAGCCGTCCCCAGAATGAGCAAACAAAAAAACCCTAAATCGTGTTTGCCAATTGCTGTGATAGCGCAAACCGAATGTATGGAAAATAAACGTCTTTCGTGGGGATGAAGCGGCCGTTGTAAGATACGCCGCGGTGGAACGGTAGGCGGGTGCCTACTCGACATTTCTGTGCTCGAAGGAAGTGAACACGCCGAAAATACAAACTGCAAAAAAAAAATCTTGGAAGAGGCCATTCGGGGAGAAGTAGGTATTGTTACACAACCTTACGAAGGAAGGAGTCCTCGCGGTATGTCGCTGTGATGGATCTATTGGTCGTTGTTTGGGTGTCAATCTGGTGTCAATCCGAAGAAAGAATGGGGTGACTAAACTTATCGTCATCACTTCCTGGAATCTCCGGATGCCAACAGTCTTGAGCATGCGTACAGCTCTCTCCTACACCGTCCAGGAACACCCCAGAAGGTTAAAGACAAGAAGGACATCGATAACATGAGGAATTAGGGGGAGACGCATGGACCGCGCGGAAATGAGGCTCAGCGAGCCCGTAGGAGCCTTTTACCGTCTATCTCGATTGCGACGCATTCTAAAAAAGACAGTGACCCGGCCATTATGGACACGCACCCTTGAACGTTGCGTATGAGGCGAAATATCGGACCATCCAGACATGCCTTGGGTGCCTCGTCGACCAAGTTGGTAAGTAAGAGTTTGCTGGCGGAGATTTGACGATCGAAAGAAAAAAAGGACCCTCTCCACCGGAGTTGGATTGAACAGCCATGCCTCCCACATGAGCTGGAAGCTTCTTTGAAGAGATTGGGGATGTCGATGGCGAAAATTTATTCCCTGGACGGACCAAGAGGTAAGTGAGCCGTTGTTCTTGGTGGAATAACCCCAGTATGACAAGAATGCGGCACGACAGCAGCCTAGGCCGGAGGCTTCCTTCTTCACTCGTGCCTTCATCCATCGACTCTTGCCGCGAGTAGTCCCTAGGGCCAACTCGGCGTCCCCACCGTCTAGGTGACTAGGTTCCGCCGCATCCTCCCTGAGATGCCGTCTGCGGAGCTCATAGAACAACGAACTGCATCGTTTCATAAAGGTGCAGCAGTTGCGTCGCGATCTGCCACCATTTTCACTCAGTACGAAGCGTCCTCTCTGCGTTGCCTGTCAAGAATAGTTAACAAGTGTGTCAGACCACCAGGTTAACTAGTGAATGCCCTCCAGGAGGCCAGTTCAAACCCAGGTATGAACGTAGTTTGGCGCAGCTGGTCGAGCTACCAACATGCCTTTCGAACCTTCAGGACGTACTAGGAATCCTATGAACCATCCTTGAGAGGAAGAACCAAATCAATGAAACAGCAATGGGCAAAAGCAAGTAGACGCACTGGTCCAATTTTGAACATATTTCTATCAAGGTAATTGGAACTTTTGTCAATTGGAAGGCGAAATAACTCCTAAAGATCTTACAAACCAATTTTGCCGCGATTTTAGGCACTCAAATGGTCAAGTTACCGACATACCTTCGTTGTTCGCCTTTCCGCACGGAGCCCAACGAGGCCAAGGTGCACTAGCGTTTAGTGCGGCCGCTGCATTCATGGTACGGGTGAATGATCAGGCAGTCCAGTCTCTCGGTCGCCCAACAGAAGCCACGGCCTCAGCAGCAATCTCGAGGATTCCAGGAGATCCAGAGACGACGTAAGATCATAGGACTACCATGATTCGCCAGCGAATGAGGGATCCAAGTCAGCCGCGCCCGAGTGCTTTCCGATCCGCGATCCATTGTTCTGACTTCGCTCAGGTCTTCAAGTAGCATCTTCTACCATCGCTGCCCACGTACCGACTAAGGCTGAGACGCGCGAAAGTCCAAAGAGTTGACGAACGGAGACCCGTAAGCGCATTCCACAAAACGAGGCGACGTTGCTGATTTGTTGTCGTCCCAGGTGGATTTTGAACCCCGCGAATGTGCTCATCGACGTCACTGCCGCGATCAGGCATTTCGCCACGACCTGGCCAACCACCTTTTTGCGAAATGAAAGGCTATTTCGACTCGGCTTCATATCAACGACTGCGACAATGGCTGCGATCTCTGCAATGCTGTAACACTAGGGTCCGAGGAGCGATTCCCGTGAGCAGGAAAATCCACTGATCATCGTCACGGTCCTTTCATCTACGGACGCTCCGATAGACACAATGTAGGCTCCTCGGTATTGCAAGAATATCCCATTAGCTAACTGGAGCAGTCGAATACAGAAACCATTATGTTAAAATGCGTACAAAACCCGGTGGAAGCGGAAAACATATATCGTAACGGCAATTTTTAAAAGGTATAGAGTGAGGCTAAGGAAATCCTTCTTTTATGTGGTCACAGACCAGAGGGATGTCCTCCAGTCTCCTTGGATGGTCAGTCCATGATGCTACGGGAAGATATTTTTTTAGAACCTCAATTGGTGTTCATCAAAATATGGCACATACAGCTCTCATGAAATCGCCACTTAGGAGGCGTCTACTTCTTCTGGGCTACAGATAGAACACCACCGCCAGACCCGTACGCCGACGACAAACTGGCAAAGGCCGCCTCGTAATTTTTGGGCGAAGGAAGACTGGACACCTTGGGTTGTGCGTGCGCGGTCGCGTTGGGCGATTTTGACACCTTCGAGGACTTCGTCGAGCTAGACTTTTTCTGCGGTAGCGAAGGAACACCGCCGACGAATCCGAATGATGAAGCGAGGGTGCCGAATGAAGATTCCCAGTTCTTCGATGAGGAAGGGTAAGATGAAGACGGTAAGAGGGAGACGGTGGATGATGAGGATGAAGACATCGTTGTCGTGGTGTTAGGCAGAGGTGTTGTGGAACTCTGGGGTAGAATCTCTTGAGTGTGCTTGGTGGGGCGTTTGGATGAGGACTAGGAGCACCTGCGTCTCGCTTTTAAACCTTTCAGCGGTAGAGATTAGGTTCTATACTCGCATAATACTGCCTGGAACTTTGTACACATATGGTACGCACTCTCCACCTTTGTCGGGCGCGAACCGCGTATGAGTCATGATAGGCAGACAAGGGCCAACCAGATAAAAGTACCTTCCCTTCGCGATTTCCTCGACGACCGCGCTACCCGCAGCAGTCGGCTCCCCATCTTTCTCAGTGGTAAATGCGTCGAGTCAGAAGGATGCGCACACTATCTGGTGTCTTCGGCCTGCACGCAGTCTGGTCTGGCAGTGACGTGCCTTGCGGTACCTCCTTACCGACGTCAACGTCCTACCGCGAAGGACGGAAAAGCCCAGGAGCATTACTGCGAGGCTATGGTCCCGATAACTGACTCATCGACCTGTGAGTGAACGCTATTTTTAGAACACTGGTCTTCTGTACGGTGTTGAACGGGGTCCAAGCTCAAGCTCAAGGGCGTCCGACATCAAACGCTCGACCACGAACAACAACGACGATAGAGTCGGAAGTTGAAGAAGTAAAGACAAGAAAGGGCTGAACTTTCGATGGATCAGAAACTCGAAGATCAAAGAGAGTTGTCGAAATAAAAATCTGCTCCTTGATCAGGAGTTGGATTTCCACCATTCTCCTTGATGTGCTCTTCCAATCGCCCAGACATCGAGTATTCTGAATCTGTCCAGCCGATAGACAAAACAACGCCAGAAGTTCCGACTGGAGGAAAAAAACAGCGATTGGCTTTAAATAATGAGCTACTCAGTCTAAGTGTTACCATCCACAACCTTCGATTTTCGATGCGATCACAGGCCCAGCTCGTCAGCGTAAGGCAGGGCATGAGAGTCTCCGACGACAACGTAGGTGGGTTTGGCGCTGATTAGAGAAGTAGCGGTCTAAAAATAAATCAGAATGAGACAAGGGCTTCCAAAGAACCAGTGGTCAAGACGAACCTTAGAGAAACCGGTGGCCTTGACGCTGTCCAGAGATGAGAGAGTCGCATCGAGAGTGGCTGGAGAGCCAGACAGAATCTAGTAAAAAGATGAGAAAACCACACACATGATATTATCTTCAAGTACCTTCGATCCCAAAACATTAACCAGGCCTTCCCGAGTATCAGCAGCGCTGGCAGCCGCAAATTTAGCCTTCGCAACAGCAGATTTGAGTTCCTCGGCCTTGATGCCCTTCGCAGCAGCCTTTAAAGCAGCAACAGCAACCTTGCTGGCCTCCTTAACACCGGCAGCGGTCGATCCCTGGACGAGCAGACCGAAAAGGCTAGCGTCCGAGTAGGGAAGGTAGATAGTTTGAACGGAGGTACCCTCTGGGACGGCAGCGAGAGGTGAGAGGCCCTTCGACCACTTCACAGAAGGCGTCGGGGAAAGGTAGGCAGCAAGGGCAGCAACTTCCGGCACGGGTGCACCGGCAGTACCAAAGCCAAAGAACACAGTCTGCGGGCCGCTACTCGCCTCCAGACGGGTCTCGCCTCCGAAGTATTTCGATGTAGGGGTGGTTGCCTCATTCGACGCGGCGGCATTGGCGAAAGCTTTCTCCACAAGTCCACTTAGGGTGCCCTGGTCGATACCGGTGCCGAGGACGGCGATGTTGCCCTTGCTGAAGGCGGTAGCGGCGAAGGCCTTGACGTCTTCGACAGTGAGGCCGCTGTGTGCAGGCGAGAAGAGCGAGGAACCGAGACCGGAGCGGAATGCCAGAGCGTGAGCCGCCTCGATGGCTTGCGTGGCGGAGTCATGCGATACTGCTTCGGTATCCGCTTCTACGAGGGGTGTAACGTATTCCTCAAACTCGTGGCGGGTGAACCTAGCGGATGTGATAAACGAGGAGAGGACGTCGACGAAGAATGGCCTATTCAAGTACGACTGAAGTTGAATACAGGTCAGACAGCGGTTTGAAAATATGCTACTCACGCATCTGCTCGCAAAAATTCGGCCGTCAGAGCGAGGTGTTCGCGACCAAGACTCGAAGTCAAAACACCGCCATAAAGGTCACTCTCGCGGACCGTCCCGATTGTTGACCTCTTCGTGGTGCTCTACCTCACACATATCAGAAAACACGTCCCTTCCAAAGCTCCGATATTTACCTTAAACGCGAAGTTTTTCAGGGCATTAGCGACACCCTTCTTGGGCTCGAACCGACTGCCAGCTTTCACAAGGATGGTCACGGACGACGTGGGCTGGTTGTAGTCAACTGCAGCGACCTTGACCCCGGTTGTGTCGACGACGGTGGCAAATGAGCGCGCTAGGCGCTGCACGTTGCGCGTTGACGACGCTCTAGCGGCCAGCATCGGGGATTTTGAGGAGGTGTTGTTGAAAATCTGGTGCAAGCAGCGTGCGGCTTTTCGGAGTTTGTTGGCGTCTTTCCGGATCCGTCCGCGTCCGTTTTTGGTAGCTCCCATCACCAGCCACTCAAGAAGAAGCGGAATGTAATCTCGTTCTTGAACAAACGGAACCAGAGTCGAAATCTGTCTGAGGCGCACATCTATCTATTTTCTCTGTCTGATGAAGAAGATTTTCTCCCCTATAGAAAGATTCCCTGGGAGAGAATCTGCCCATATTCGGTGTGCTAATGCTTGCCGTTGCAGGAGGCGTCCCAGAGAATGAAATTTGGGAGATAAATTTCCAGACTTCTACAACCCAGGAAACGGCGATATATTCAACAGATTGAATTTTTTCTCAGTTCGCGTGCTGTACGCTGGAAGATTATTTACTCGACTCAGCGCCTTTCATGTACACTTTTTCAATTAGTTTCCCGATTTCTCGAATTATTCAATCCCACTGAATGAAGCGTTCTCTCTTTTGAATTTCCTGTTACAGCTGTGATGGAGGAAAAGCAGTTTCTGATTTTGGGATTCGGCTTTCGCCGAAGGAAAAATCATTACACAGTGTGGCGCATGGTGCAGGTAGACCGGAACGGAACGACGGCCCAGAAGGCGTTGGCGAATGGCGGGCTGTATATCTTTTGTTGCGAATGTCGTAACGTCCTATGGCCCTTCTGTGGAACGTGAGCGCATGATGATACAGACCCACATCGTCTTGAAGACCGGCCCGATCATTCGAATCATTCAAGCCAGCGTGCTCGAAGTGCTGGTGTCCTCGAATTGCAATTCGGATTAGCTTATCCATCCCATGATTTTCCTGACGAGGTACGGCGTTCCACCACTCTGGCGTCTGTTTCTTACATAGCAACCGCACAGTCGCACTGCATACCAGGCTTCCATCCAATGACCACCTTTCAGGGTGTACAAGTTCAGCCGATTATTTGGTGACAGAACTCTAAAACTCTGCCTCGGTTGACTCGATCCTTCCGGTTGATCGTCCGATATGGCCGTGTCAAACTTTCTGTTGTGGCGTACCTGCTGACCACACCTTTGGAGAGGCGTGCAACGCAGGGGTGAAAATTTCGAAAGGTTAACCGTATCAGTAACGAGATACCATGCGCATTATGAGGAAATTACCGTACAGTTCAAGCAGATGAAGATCGACAGACTGTCCTTTGAGAAAAGTACTTCTATCCAGAGCGAGACGGAAAGAGAAGGCAAGCTAAGCGTTCGGGGAGACGACCGAGGCTCGTCTAGATTTTACGCGCATGTACGGTGTGGACAACTGCCACCAACCCATTGAGAGAATCCATCTCGCGCATATACTCTCCTACCAAGCGATCAAGTCCATTCTGTGTCCATCCGGCTTCAATAAGGAGCGGCTTGATTGAATCCGCATACCGCTGGTGGGCTCTCCTGCAGTCGACGCCGATGGTCCTCAAGGCAGGGTCAGCCCTCCATGCGCCGATGGGAATGTAGAGCTTCCTTGGCGAGATGGCCGTAAAGCATCCTTTGCTTTCAAGGATTGAGGTGATCAGCTCAGGTATCGGCCGAAGGCCTCTGCAGGAGTCCAGAGCATCGTTGACGGCGTCGAAGAACCGGCAGCAGGCGGGAGCGTGCATGGCGAGATTGCGGTTGGAGGCAGGATCGAAGGCCGTGTAAGGATCCCACTCGCAGGACACGAAAAGACCTCCTGGCCGCAGAACACGCGCGACCTCGTCTAAAACGGCGTGGTAATCGCGCACCTAGGTCCTGCACTCAGTGACAGTCGGCAAGGGACGAGGTAGCGGGCCTACCGCGAGGGTGATATCGCGAGCATGAACGACGTCGAATGTCCCGTTGTCCCAGCGATATTGTGTATTGACGTCGTCCAATTCAAACTGCACGTTATTTGAAGGATACCGGGTTGCAATAGGAACTAAAAATGGCACTTGGTCAGTTCGCTCTGATGATGCCGGAGAAAAATATCTTGCCAATGTCGAACCCGCGGAAGTGAACCCAAGGAAATTCGCGCGCCATCTCCATTGCCCTATCAACGGCATTTTTAGATCAATCTGATACAAGTTTAGAGGCTGCCCACCATATCCCAGTGCCAGTGCAGACGTCTAGCGTCATCTTCCGTCGTCCCTGGTCGAACGCGAGTATCTCGGGGACAGGACCCACGTAGTGGGCACCCAGAAATTGATGGAGAATATTGTGCAAGAGTCGGTGCCTCTGTCGAGCCAAAGGTAATCTATAAACACCCGTTCAGAGATTCAGCAATGATGAGGGCTCCCACCTCTTGTTCCGGGGTGTCTACAGGAAGTGGGTAAGGCGATGAGCTTGAGTGATAGAGCCGACCGTCGCGCTCGGAGAAGTAGTATGGGAATTCATCTGATTGGAGCTCAACGAGAGCTGAAGATGCGTCAGGTGGATTGGAATGATGGTCTCCATTGTTGTGACCACCCTGTTCGTCGGAATCATCGCCAGAGTTGTTTCCGTTTGAACGGCGAGGTGGAACGGTCGGCGCAGGCATGGTGGGATGATTGCTGTTGACGACAGAGAACGTCTCCTTAGGCGTTCTTTATAGTCGTAGACGGACAGTGATACCAACACCTTTGAGCAAGGTTGATGAGGCATCGGGGACTGTTGACTGAGATTTTACATGCGACGAAGCTGGGCCCGGAGTCCCCGTTAATTTCTTCGTCCATTCCGTGGATGTGGAGAAGTTGTCTTCCGAGAGCCACGATTGTTACGCAGGGCATGAAATAACCGATTAATCCTTTTCGCAAGGAGCATGGACCCAGGACATGTGGAAGCCACTTCGCGAAGGGGCACTTGCCTACAGCGGGCGTCTATCTCGATAGCAGATTTACTATGCAATCATTGACTGCGCTTTGCACCAAGTTCCCGGAAGTTGTTCACCTATTGCCGTACACGGAGAAGAGGTCATTTCGCCCAAAACTGATCCGGACCTCCTGACCCTTCTTCTCGCCCTCGCCCTGGTTCTCTTCAGGGTCAGCGAGGAATAAAAATATCATTGAAAAGATAGTCAAAAGGTATTGCTCACTTTTAAGAGGGATGGCTGCAGTTAATGCCGAAAGCCTGTAGTGACACGATGTCGAAAGTTAATGCGACATGTACGCGTCGTGACGACGGATCATGAGTTATCACGTGTTATGTCACAGATATACGTGACTCGCCTTCAAGTGCCGATGACTTGACTTGTTCCACATTATTCTTGACCATCGTTGATGTTCCTTGACTCAGACAACGCATCATATAACTGGCGGAGCACTCTATTTCTCATTCGATATGATGCGCGACATCGACCTGAAAGCCTTCTTTGCAGAACAAGATGAACGGATGACGCTTCCGGACGAGAGCCATGAGGAGTTTCTAGAACGAATGGCTTCATTCACCCGACAAAAGTGAGTAAAGTGACTTTTTGTAGAACATTATGGCCTGACTACGGAAACAAGCCAAGTCTTTCATGTTCTCTCCCCTCGAATGCCCAGCGACGCCTCTTCTATGTCGGCTCACAACCCAGATACGACGTTGGATCGCCCGACCTCGTCTTTTGTATCTATTGACCGCGGAGAGGTGCTGGATGAATGGAAGACTATTTTTGGCTGTTCTGGTGATGTTAGGACCGCAAAGCGCAAGGCGTCTGACCAGGAATTAGTACCCACTGCGGGCAAGCGTAAGAAAGTCGCCGATCAAGTTCAAGATAGCCACCAAGATGTTAGCAATCTAGTGCCAGACGATCCAACAGCAAATGCTTCAATCATACCTCATCAAGTTTACGACACATCCATGGCCAGGTCTGATTTGCAAGAAATTTCTTGTATCCAACAACCCAGTCCCGGAACAGAAGTGAAACCGAACAAGAGAAAGTCTCTATATCCTGCCTCAAGTCGGACGCCATCCAGGAAACGTTTCTTAGAGGAAAATCGCATGCCACAAGCGTCTGCATCACCTAGCGCTGCGAACATTAGATCGTATGACCTTAAATTCACCCCGTGTTCGGGATTCTAATCACTGTTGTCAGCATTCCAAAAGCGCAGCAGCGTCGATCCCAGTCTAATGAAGATCCACCACATGAAGAAGGTCTTGAAGATGTACCAGAAGAAATCGACTCCTTCACGGCTGAACTGACGGTTCCACCGCCTCTTCCCAAGACTGTTCAAGATCGGACTAAGAAATCTAAAAAGGGTCATTCTGCCCAAGGTCTTCGCAGCCCAGATGCAAGTCATAGCCCGTATGCTTTTCTCACCTAAGAATTTTTGGCGAAGCTCATATGCATCCGCAGGATAATGTCGTTCTCTAAAACCATTAGCACTTCTCCGAGACGCCCTCAGAATCAGTATATTGCGATCCCGAAGTCAAACCCTCCACTTGATCTCCGACCTCTGGACGAAGCTACACTCCTCAATACAAAGATGCGACAGCGCCAACCCTCTGGTCCTCCAACATCACCAATAGAAGATATAAGTGTCCTACGCGCGGCCCCCGAAAAACGAGTTGGGAAGCCAGGTCCAGCAGCAGCAGAACCAAGCAAGCTGTACTTGGAAGTCCAGCAACGGATCGCGAAACACGCCAGTACGAAGCAGCGAGATAAAGTCCTAAAGACGGCCCCAATAGACGAGTCTTCTATTATCTATGTTTCTTCATCTCCGTCCTCACGCACAAGCTCTCCTGCACCAGTGGCACCCGAATCGTCAAAAAAAGCACAGACGGAACAGTCGAAGCCAGTAGTTGCGAAACGGAAAGTGCACAGAAAGAAAGAAAAGCCGCAGCCAATGACTCCAACCGAATACGCTCGCATGCTGCAGGCAAAGGCTGCCGCGGCGGCTGCCGAAGCTGCAGAGGGGCAAATGAACGATGCAGAAGGCTCAACCTCGAAGCCACCAATGAAGAAGAGAAAGAGCCCCACGGTGAAGTTCCTTAGCGGAAAGAATATCTTCTACGCCGGCGGTGATATGCGGAACGCGTCAGAGACTACTCGAGCCAAGATGGACATCGTGCGTTTCTATTTTCCGCTCTTGCGCTCCATTTCTCATGGCGACTTCAATTAAGATCGTGCGCTTTGGCGGAAACTTGATTCCAGTATTCGACCCGAAGGTCACTACACATATCATCACAGATGCTCATATGGGATCGACGCTCAAAGCTCTCGGAGTGAAGAAGCTGAAGGACATTCCAGAGAACATCCCTACCGTGACATGGAAATGGGTCCTTTCTGTCTTGGGAAGTGAAGGGGTGCTCTCGCAAGATGAGATTGACGGAAGGCTCAACGAGGTGTGGCAGTACGCGGCCTTCAGCGAGCGGCTAGATGCTGGTTATCAGCCTAAGAAAACAGTCTCCATCGCTTCGTTCAAATTCAAGGGGAAAATGAAGGCCGTCGATCCAGCTAGCGGCGCACAACGGTAAATATATGCTTATCCCAGCGGATAGAGTCACCTGATTCCATCTTTTCTCATAAAAGGACTGATTCTTCCACCGTCGTTTTGCAACCCCAACCAATCCCTGCTTCTAACCACATCCAACACGTTAGCAATTCTGTCACCCTCCAATCCCGCCATATAGGCGCACCTCTCTCCCCTCCGACACCTCCGGAATGTCCGCAGGCTGCAGCTTCTTCCTCCAAATCTACCCTGGACCAAGATCCGCATAAATCCGCGCAAGAGTCTGAAGACCCCCTTGCCGAGTTCTATGATCGAGCAAGGGGGGATCAGAAGCTTAGGGACGAAGGGGTGCGTATTGCCTTCGTTCCTGAACTTACCCACAAGCGCTGAGATGCTTTCTCGCACTTCGTTCAGTGGTCCAGTTTGGGAGAGTCAGATGCAGATGATGCGAACGACGATGGAGATGAAACGGATGACGAACTCCCTGCACCTCTCGGCCCAGTGAAGAGAGAAAAGAGGGTAACATCTATGCGACTTTTCCCTCGGATACCGCTCACGCTTTCATTAAAGGGTTGGACTTGTGACAAGAAAGAGCCTCAGAGAACGACGGACTCTCCGAATCAAGATATCATTGACAAGGTCCGGAAGCGTCAATTCACAGTACCTCTGAATCAACTTGACTGCTACTCTCCAGCTGACTGAACTAATGGAACTACATAAAGCAAAGCTGGGAGGTGAAGATCATTGGCGTGCATTCAGCTACAACAAGTGTATGTACGCGGCAAGCGCTTTCAAGATTATTTTGATTTCATTCTTTGATCTTAGGCATCCGCGCGTTGCGAAATTATCCCCGCCGTATCAAGACTGCGGAGGAAGCTCGTGGTATAGGTGGTGTTGGTAAGAAAACAGCTCAGAAGGTAGTGTTTAAATCATCCCTGTCTCCGCAGAGATTCCCTAGACCTCAAACATTGTTTAGATCGTGGAAATATTGCAGACAGGCGACCTCCGCCGCATTGCGTATGAGAAGACTAAGGATGTTGAGGTTACCCGCCTTTTTCAAGGCATCTATGGTGTTGGTACGGACAGGTTTTGCTTCTCGTCCCTTAAGCAATGGATTAAAGGAATCCTAGGTCAATCCATTGCCTTCCAGTGGTACGCTGCGGGATGCCGGACGCTTGAAGACCTACAAGCCGGCAAAGGTGGCGTCAAGCTGTCGCATGTCCAAAGAATTGGCCTTCAGCATTATGATGGTGTGTCTCACCTATATGCGACGTGTTGCAAGTGCCTTTCGTTTAACTTCGAACACTAGATATCAACTCTCGGATGCCTCGCGCCGAAGCAAGAGAGATATTTGAACTGATCAAGCCGATTGGTTTGTTGAAATGATTTTTCACTTCTCGAGCTGTTTCTTATTACTATTTTTCAGCTCTCTCCATCGACCACAAATTGTTTGTTGAGATCATGGGAAGCTATCGAAGGTCTGTCCTCCATGAAGATGACTCAAACATCAGACTCAAATTCTGCCGTAGAGGAAAGGTGGATTGTGGCGATATCGACATTCTCCTTACCCGTCCGACAGACGATGGATCAACGCACAGCGGTAGCTCCTTTTAGCAATCCAGTGGTCCTTTCTGACGAGTTCCAACAGGAGTCATCCCTCGCCTGCTTGAAGAACTTCACGCTGCTGGAATTCTTACAGAGGACCTAGCCCTTCCTGACGAACCATTCGATCTCGAGTGCACGTATCGTGGTTTGTGTCGGCTGCCTCATGTGGACGGCTCAAGACATCGGAGGATTGATTTTCTGAGCGTCCCGTGGACGTCAAGAGGAGCAGCCTTGCTCTATTACACAGTAGGCTCTTTCCCAACGCTTCATGGCCCCAGAAATTAATATTTTTCCATCTTCTAGGGCGATGATATTGTAAGCGTTGGTGCCTTGTCTCGTTCTCGCGGGATTTAATACCCCATCCCAACTAGTTCAATCGTGCAATGCGCTACAAGGCCAACGTGCTGGGCTACTCTCTGAATCAGAAGGGGTTGTTCGGAAACGTCGTCCGAGACCCCCGCAATCGACGCGTCAAGTTCAACGACGGTGAGCAATATGTATCTATTTCAACCTCACAGTCCACCCACATAACTCCCCAGGCGTCCTCATTGCATCTGAAACCGAAGAGGAGATATTCAAGATTCTCGGAGTTCCTTGGCAGGAGCCGCATGAGCGCGTCCGCGGTTAGAAGAACATGTGGTTCAAATATCCATATTTTGGAAGGAGCAATGCGCCCATGAAAATGAAGAGATCAAGAGCTTGCCGTTGTAAATTATAGGAGTCCCGTTCCCTCATCGATGCCGTTATACACCTAGCCACATCCGCTTTCTTGCCAAATATCTGCGTGTAAACCAGGACATCATTAAAATTCTAAGCGCTAGTACAATGGGCTGGCACAATATGATAATGCATCCTCAAGCTAAGAGTAGATGGAGTGAAACACTCGGATCATCGAAACATTCAGTCACTCTTCAACGACTTGAGGCTTACACGATACACGCCAGCGCTTACTGCTGCCCGAATCCCCATCGGGGTTGGGTCCATATCTTATCTTATCAGCATCTAGATGGGATTTTCTGCGTTTGACAATCGCGCAGTGCACCTGTGTCGTTGTATGAAGGATCGTAGAATGCCCCATCTCACTATGAACGCTGATATCTGGGCTCAGATTTTCATAGAGGTATCAGAAGATGACCCCCTCATGCCCCTGGTCATATGATCCGTTGGTCGTTCGTGGTTCGACCTCGCGGGAAACACGCCTCAGCGCTCAGCTTTGGACGAAACTCGCACTTCACAAAACTCGACTCAGAGATGCTGGATTCATCGCCACACACCTCCAGAATTCGGGTGGCCTTCCCCTTGACATCTCCATCACCTTTCCATCTGACCTTAAACTTAAGGACGTGCCCTCGATGCTCTCACTCCAGGTCATTGACCATCTCCGGTCAGCTGTTGCAAGGACACGTTCACTTGTTGTAGACGCGCCATATCACGAAGCATGGAAGAATCTCGTCCCTGCGATTGGAGAAGGTCGAGCTGCTTGTTTTAAAAATCAGGAGACCCCCCTTAGAAGACAACACACGCTTTTCGATACTGACGACGGCGTTTACCCCGTCGCCAAAGCTCGCCCTCCTCGAGATCCCTCTGTGGCCACTTCTAGACCTCCCCATCTTGCAACAATCACCTCTCTCGTCTTCGAGAGTCCTTTGATGGCTGCGATGTCCGCGAAGTTCTCCTGCTCGTGCAGGCTACGCCACAAAGGGATCGATATGATTCTAGCGCCTCCGAAGGGCGATCGAGAATCAAGACACTCTCGTTGGGCAATTGTAAGTGGGTTTCGGGAGAAGGTCTCCGTGCTTTTGTTTCAGGGCGCTCGTCAGAATTTCTACTGTGTCTGGAGCGATGCTCAGATGTTCAAGAGGTGGATCTTCAGGAGCTGTCGAAAATTGACACCGTTGAAGTTGAAGTGCGGGATCAATTATTCGACTATACACATATACACGCTTCTTCTTTTCCAGCATAAATCTTGATCGGCTCTTATGTAAGCTTAAGCCCTTAAGGCCTTGACGGCGTCCTTTGAGAAAGACGGATTCCACTCCGGGATGCTCGAGCCCCTGTGTTTACAGTTTCACGTGACTCCTTTTCTGATTGTCAGCTGCGTTCAACCTGTTCAAGTTGCTCGATGATAATTCGCGTTCGCGTCTCTTTGAAGACCTCAGAATTGTCTGACACGATCAAGTCTGGCTTTCGTCCGTGGCCTGAGGATGTCGGATATGGCTTCTTCCCTGGGAACAAGCCACCTGCTAGCTTAGGTATGCGCCTTCGAACATCATTCTGGCAGTGCGATTTGAAGTTTTCGCGGTCAAATTTCTCGCCCACACGCTGTGTCAAGCATGTATCGTTCGGGCTGGCAATATCAAACCTAACGCTGAGTCAGAGACATTCCTAGTCTGCGACTTCTGCACGCACATTTTTTGCGTAAGTCATTCTCCCTCTGAATCTATGTAAATTACAAAGCATACCCAGGCTGCATAGACTGGACAACTCATTCGATAGGACTATGGCTCATATGACTTCAGAAATCTCCTTCTGGACGAGAGTTTTTCTTATCACTCCAGCGCTGCGTTATATATTGGGCTAAAAATAAGCTCCCTGGAAGCTGCCTGCCTCTTTACCCTTCCTTCCTTGCGGACCTCGCCTTCCTAGTCTCACGATTAACCTCCGAACGGGGAAGCGAACTGAGCTATTACTAGCCCCGGTGCGATTGATAGGCCACTGAAATTCTCATTGCTATCATTCTTTACCTCTGTTATCTGAAGGCGTCTCTGGACCAACTACCATGTCCAAAGCTTTACCTCCCTCAGGCGCTTCTCCCAAATCCCTCAGCTCCGTTATCGTCAGTGATGTGGACGAGACCAATAGTGACATTGTTGTGCAAGACTTGAAGAGGATGGGCTACCAGCAGGAGTTAACCAGGGTACGTGCAAGTTACCTATGTCGCAAAGTAATTTGTCAAATATAAGGGCCTTCCAACAGTCTCGCGGTCTCTTTCACATATTTTTCAGTAAGTTGCTTCTTTCACCATCGTACTACTTGGCTGTTATTCATCATGTTTTTGCAGTGTTACTAGGTTAGATTGTATCTCCCCTTCTCGACGAGGGAGTTTTTGGACACTCACTCATATTCGGTTCATCTGCAGCGATAACTGCCGTCCGTACGTCGTTTCGCTTATCCAGACTGTGAACCACTCCCTCATTTTTGCACCCAGCATTTGGCCTGGGCGCTCCTTTCGCCACGTCTTTGGTAGGCGGGGGGCCGGCGGTCATTCTGTGGGGGTGAGCTCATCCCTTGCGACAGTTCTGCGTCTTTTAATCCTCTGTGCCTAGATGGGTGTTGATCTCAGTCACAACCCAACCGCTTGCCTTCTCCTTGGCCGAAGTGTGCTCGAAATACCCCACCTCCGCAGGTGCCTACTACTGGTGCTTCCGTCTTACATCGCCTAAACACCGTTTACTCGCATCCTGGATCAACGGGTGGCTTACAATGGTTGGCGTGTGGACCATCTGCGTTTCGGTCACATTCGTACGTCATACCAGGCTCCATTATTGAGAGCTAACAGTTGGACCCCTTCGTGTACAGGGGACGGCGCAAATTTTGATCGCTGGAGTCGGTATATTTCAGCCCGAATGGGTGGTAACACCTGCGCAAACCTGTAGGTCTCAGTTTTCTTCGGCACGAAAACGCTCATCGTCTGCCAGATGCTATATTTGTTGGCGTCACCCTCTTCGCCACCCTCGTCGGAGTTTTCTTCAATAGATTCCTGCCTACAATCGATGTACGTCCCTCAAATTAAATAATGCTCGACATGCTTCTCACACGCAAGCCTTTCTGAAAGATAATCTGTGCATGCTGGACTGCTCTTGGGGTTATCGGTTCGTCACTCAAGGGCCATATTCCCGTAAATCCACTCACCCAGGCCCTCGACCTTCAGTCATGCTTGTTTGCCTCTCTGCAAAAGCTGCATCTGGTCGGCATTCAGCCGCCTTTGCCCTTGGTCACTTCGACCCTTCCTTCTCGGGTTGGGCACCAGGATGGTCTTTCTTCATTGGTCTACTACCAGTAAGTGAGGTGATTCGAATTACCTTGGAAGCTACTCATCATCCTCGTTTAGCCCGGTAAGCACCAACAATCATACCTGCGCCTGTGAAGTTGGCTGAGGATAAATAGCCTATACGTTTTCTGCAATTGGAATGGGTAATGATTCGACGCCTTGTCTCGTCGGGAAGCACTCATATCTTGTGTGTAGTTGCTAGCATGGCCGAGGAAGTGCACAACCCTTCAGTGCAATTACCGCTTGCATTATCGTGGATCGTCCCTATTGGCTTCGTCATCGGTCTCATTTTCTTGCTCCCAATTCTTTTTACCCTCCCTGACGTTGAGACGCTGCTGGCTGGTGTGTTCCTCCGCCCTGGTTGTGGAACCAAATTAATTATTTCACATAGTCCCCGGAGGCCAGCCTCTGGGAGTTTTATTTCAACTGGTCATGGGATCGAAGGGTGGTGGTTTCGGAATGGTAAGGAAATCGATTTGAGCAACTCATTCGTCCTCTAACGCCACCCTTATCCAGTGGTTCATCCTCTTTGGCATTAGCGTATTCTGCGCCATTTCCATCAGTTGCGCCGCCTCGCGTGCAACGTGGAGTTTTGCTCGCGACAAAGCCATCCCACTGCATCAAGTATGGTCTAAAGTCAACAAACCCCTGGGCGACGTGCCGCTGAACGCGTACATGCTCTCGCTCACGATCCAGCTTCTGCTGGGGCTGATATACCTAGGGTCCTCGGCGGCGTTTAATGCCTTTGTTGGCGTAGCGGTCATCTGCCTTGGAGCAAGTTACGCGATGCCAGTGGCAATCTCCGTGGCGAACGGAAGGCAGGACGTCGCAGATGCACCATTCAGTCTGGGTAGATGGGGCTACGCACTCAACATTTTCGCGATCGTGTGGATGGCATTCGAGATCGTGCTATTCTCGATGCCAGCGGTCATCCCTGTTACTAGGGTTTCTATGAGTGCGTGGCTTTTGTTCTCTAGTTCTGGCCTAACTCATGGTGTCGCAGACTATGCTTCGGTCGTCTTTATTGGGTTTGCTGCGATCAGTGCAATTTGGTATCTGGTCAGTGGTAGGTACACTTATCAAGGACCACCTGTTCCTCAGGAAATGGAAGAGAAGGGTCAGATGGTTGAGTAGGCCAGGGCTTGTGCAGCTGGTTCTTCAATCTCCTTCCGAGGGTGTGGCAGTCTGTACATACTAGAATACAATATACAGAGTGAAGAATAACACGAATTAGGCAGCCAATTTGTTCGACACTGCCATCAGCTGGTCGATGTTGATGAACTGAACCCAGTTCTCGAGTAGCTGTGGCGTTTCGTGGAAGAGGAATGTCGTCTCAGGCGTGCCCCGGTAGAAGGCACACACGCACTCGTACTCCTCCTGCTTAAGCTGTGTCCCACGTGCGACACCGAGCTTGGCCACGAAGATTCGGAATTCCCAACCGAGCAGGGGGTTACCATCTCCGGAGACGCGGCGGTTGGGTATGTCGAACTCTAGTCGGGAGAAGTCGAAGCCCATGGGTTGGCCGATGGCCTTGATGTACGCCTCCTTCAGCGCGAGAAGCATGCACAGACGCTTGAGCACGACCTCGTCCGGATTCCCAACGATGGTGCTGATCTCAAGGGCCGTTAGCTGAGGCGCTTGTCAGCTTTGGATGAGGCAGAGAGCAACGACGACGCACCTTGTGAGATAACGATTCGAAATAGACTTGTACCGAGGTCCCCTTTGGCTCCACCTTGAGTTGCTTGATCCCAAGTCCTATGTTCACGACGGCCGAGGCTGGGCCCTGGGTGACAGCCATCCCGCACAGCGAGTTGTGGAAGGTGAGTTGGTAACCTATGGAGGGCGGCTTCGGGCGGCCAGGTCTGTTCGGATCTTCCACCTGTTTGCTCGTCAGGACACGTCGTATTCTAGATCAAAATATGCGACGTACGAGATCTATCCAATGTTTCCCGTTGGGCGTCACTTGATCAACCCACTTCGCTCGGGGCACGCGGCGATGACGCATCATGAGCACAGGCAGGAGTTGGGTCATGAGCATGCCTGTCCTCCTCAGTCGCCGTGTGTCATGACAGTGAGTGGCGACTCACGAAATGAATCCGGATTGTTGGGCTCGCATTTCACTCTTTCCGATGGGAAACACAGCTTCACCAAATTGTACGCAGTTTGGTATTCCTATGTCTTCGTGAGTCCGCCGAAGTCAGTGAATGGAAAGAAACATACCTCCGTCCCATACTCGCGGTTCATCGATAGCATCCATACAAGAACAGTCTCGTGGCTCATCGTTGAGGGATAGAGGGCGAGATATCAACGCAAGGCATCCACATCGTGGTTTTGACAGAAACTGACAATCTGGATCATCGGACCCGTTGATTGGATGAGTCTTTTCCCTAATAAAGAAAAGAGGTAGTTAGGGGCCAGTTCATCCTTGTTTCCTGTGTACTTGATGTACAAAAGTTTTCAAGCTTCTCTGGTGCATTCAGAGTCCAGAGGTCAAGCGTTATTGTCTTTGCTTTGTTCTGAAAAGCTCCTCTTGGGCGCCTCGCTGATCCTTCTGGATTCTATCGAACTCGGGCGGCACCTAGCTTATGGTTTGTTGAATCAATCTTTTGACTTTCTTTTACAGGAGTGTATTGGGGAGACGCTCGCAAAAGGACTAAGAAATTTATTCCTCCGATATTGCCCTGAGGAAGGAGGAGCTCACAAGCTTTGGATTCCTACAATTTCTGTCATCCAAATTCGTTCCCGCCGCATTCGTTCCTCAACCAAGGTCTTTTCTCCCCGGAGTTTATCCTGACCGCCACCTGTTCGGAATTCAAATGAAGGAGGTGAAGAACGGTTAAACGTCGGTGCATATGATCTCTCGTTGACGCATGATCACCTAGATTTCAAGGTCGAATTCATTTAAAAGGAGGCAACTCTAAAGAAGGTCCCTCCTTCTAACCCTCTGTCTACGATGGGTTTTTTTCATGGTCCCCTTCTCTGCGTTACGATCTTCGTCGTGGCCCGAGTTGCCAGAGGCGTACCACCTCCTATGACCACTATCAATCATGACCATCCTCTCATTTATTATCACGGGAGGTGGGATTCCTCTCCTGGGACTTGGTGGTAGGTTCAACACTTCTAATCTACACAGAATATTAAGCTATTCCCTGAAGGGCTGGCTCTGGCTTTAAAATCAACGCTCTCAACCTACATTCCTTGATCGTCATCCTCGGCGAGCACACTACGGCCCCATGTGCTCCTATCGCTGTTTCAGTGGATAATTCGGAATTTTTCACGATGAACGCATCAGCAGGTGCACATTATATTCCACTCCCCGAGTCGACGAAGGCCACACCCTCTGTCGTTCGGATTAATGTCGAGGGATGGCAGAATAATCGCATCCATCTCGACAGCATTATGTACAATTCGGTTCGTTTCATTTGCGTCCCGGTTGGGTCTTGTCGTATTCTGATTATAGTCGAAGGATGCTATCCTTTTGCCTTATCGACCCTCGAAATTGGCCTTCCAGTTCATCGGAGACTCGCTGTCTGCGGTAGGTTTTTTTTTGGCCTCGTTTTCCGGTATACTGACCTCTCAACGTTCCTTCGACTTCAGGGACAGTTTCTTCCCCTCGGGGTCAACCAAGCTTGGCCATTCATTGTGGGCGAGAGATACAAGGCTGAGCACAGGATCAACGCACAACCAGGAGCCACTCTAACGGTAGCTTGTCTTCGTTGCATTTCCAAAATGCGACTCCGAACTGTTCTCCCCCTCTAGGATATAGTCTCATACGGGAACGTCCATGGGGTTTCGTATCAATATTTCCGAGTAAGATATTTCTGTCACCATCACTTCAATATTTATTCGACGAGCTATATACCCTTAGACAGAGGATACTGGATTCTACTACACCTCTGATCACAACTTCACGACTCCTTGGAATTTTTCGCGGGACCGCCCAAGCGCTACACATATTGTAATCCACATTGGGTAAGAATTTCCAACTTAGTCCCGTCTTTCCAGGCCAGTTCAATTCAAATTTTGACACAGAGCAAACGACGCTTCTCAAGGCATAACAGGAGACCAATTCGTACAGGTACTCACTTGCTTTACTAGTAGTTCCACTCTTCTTTTGCTAAGAAACAATCTATCTGCGCCAGGTCTATTCTGATTTCCTCGAGCGCCTCCGAAAAGTATACCCCAAGCAGCCAATCTTCATATTCACGCCAGTTCGTTCACGCCATCTTTGGTTCCCTTTCTGATTTCTTAATATCCTCTCAGTGGGGATGGCCCAACGAAGATGCTCCAACCTATTACTACTACCCAGGCCAGTATGAGAAGATTGTCAACACGAGAAAGGCGAAAGGCGATAAAAATATCTTCCTCGTCGATACGATAGGATGGGTCGGGATGTCTGACGTCTACTCTGACAACAAGCACCCGAATGTGGAGGGCCACCAGAACATTGCAAACCATTTTACTGCCTGGCTCGAGAATTGGGGATTGTCTCCGTGATCGTCCTAGAAGTTCGGACAGTGAGAGGTGGCTTTGTAAGTCAGTTGCATTTCTAGGATGCTGGCGCTATAGTTTAGTGAACAGGTCTATTTTACATTGTGGGGGTCGTAAAGTGTTAATTTATGCGTATGCGTCTCCTGGACGGGTCTACGTGGTGAAGGAGAACAACGGGCTTGTATTACCCTTAGCCTCTCTCGCTTTCTCTTCGTGAAGAAGATCATCTTCGGTGAGAGTAGCCAACTTCGCTGCATTTCGTGCGTTGCGATACCCATAAATATTCTTGTGCACAAACCAGAGGATGAATGCGGTGCCGGCGAACCCGATGTTGATGAGATTTCCACGTCTAAAGTCTGCATTGCTTATTAGAGCCATGGAGTATAGAAAATGAATAAGAGGGACGGAGTCGTACCAGGAGCGTCATCTGCTCTATAAATCTGGGAGCCCCAAACGCCGTAGATATTGGCTAGTGTACTGCAATGAGGAACGAAGAAGGGGCCATATCGATGAAGAGACGTACAAGAACCGATGATCAGACCAGAGGCAACTGTACGTTTCCCGACGCTCCTACAATGACACCCAATAAATTAGCCCCACATGGTCATCAGTAAGTTAAAACGGCGAAGCATGCCCTGTATTCTCCGTCATCCATGCGATGTTCAAAGGATGCGTTGAAGGCCACGAAGCCACGATGACTGCAGCAAGGTATTTGAGACCCCGTCCTGCGCCACTGGGTAAGCTCCGGAGGAACACCCAACCGGCGAGCTGCCAGCCAGCTTGGAGAGGGAAGGGATTGAGAATTTCAGCTGCTTGCGATGTACGATGGGTGGAAAGGACGCCTTACCGCCGAAGGCCCCATGATACCCGCGTTCACGAACTTTATCGGAGTGATGGATGACGATGATCATGGAGATGCCTTGTAGGATGTAAGGCGGCGCGGTGAGAGCGTTGGCTACGTAGACGTTGAAGTTAAAGGACTTGATGACGGTAGGGAGGTCTACGATCCTCGTAAATTATAGGGTGTGGGGTAAGAAATATGTAAAGGCTTACAGGTATGCATCGGCGTATTGGGCGTCTGTCCGATCATACTAATGATAAGATGGCCCCAGACACCGACGTCAGCGAGTGTGTCTCTAATATCTGACCATGTGACGGTCTTCCTGGTAAATGAGGCGTGTCAGAAAGCGAGCGTGGAGGATCAAGAATCGGAGCTTACTCGTATGATCGTTTGGATATGTCGTCTCTAATAACGCGTGTTACTGCAATCTGAACTTGGCGTTCGTTAAACCAAGGTTTTCTACCACGAAACCCGCCCGATGTCGATGTCATATCTCTAGGTAGGTAGAACCTTTGCAGAGCATTGAGGATAAATCGCGCTCCGAAGGCGAATAACTCACCATGTAAACACAGCGACAACAATTGTGATGATCCCATCGACCAGGAACAACCACTTCCACCCAGGAAGGCCATAAATACCACGTAATTTAAGTAGCCCGCTGGCCATAAGGCCACTAACTGCACTTGCAAGGTGTTGAATTCCCCAGAACCATGCTAACCGAGTGGCCAGCTCAGTGCTTTTGTAGAACCCGCCAAGATAAACCAATGTTGCAGGAATGACGCCTGGAATGTCGTAAACGGATGTGTTGGAAAGAGCGCTCGCAAGACGGGCGTACCTCCTTCAGTGATGGCTATAACTGCAGTATTGATTAATGAAAGGATCAAGGGAGCAGATGGGTCGACATACAGCACCTGACTGTACAGTCAAGCGGGAGGTGAGCCCTCTTGATGTGTAAGGGAAGGTGCTAACACGCACCAGTTAAATATCCAGACTTGTCCGTAATTAGAACATGAGCCAGCGTTACGAGCCCCCAGGAGAACATAAGCGTCGGAATCCCTGGGCAAGGAGTTAATACCCTCTGAACGCAGAAGGTCACTGGTACGTACATCGAGATGGACCTGCAATCTTGGCTGCTATGGCACCTGAAAGGCAGGCCATAGCGAAGAGGACGGAGTACATAGCCGTTGCGGTGTTGACAACATCGATGTCGAACCCGAGGTCGAACGGGAGATTATCCGAGATCGCGTTCGAATTGTTGGTTCGATCCATGTTCAAGACAAACGTCGTGAGCAGGATGCAGGGCATGAGGCACTTGTCAAGGATTCTGAGGACATCGCGCTCTTCCTCCGGGGTGTAGTCGAGGCTCTCTACGAGATGCGGGTTCTTCGCTGGTATCACATCGTACGGCTCTGCGTTCAACTTCGATGAACCTCGGAGTAAGGGGGTAGTTTCGGTCTCGGCATCGAGGCGTGCATCGCGGGCATCCTTTTCTTGAGGTTCCATGATTGAGGGTGGGGGAAAGGATAGCTGTAGGGCTGTTTGAATTCCTTCCTAAGATATACTCCATAGGTGTTCAGCCACGGAGTCGCAATGATGACTGAACAGGACAGGATTGCGCCATCCTGGCACACCAAAACGGATTGGTGGCTTTAGTTGCCATCGAAGGGCACGGGTTGTCCGATGGCTTATCCGTTTCATACGGTTCCGTAGAGCTGATGAACGAGGGTGAAGGATGCGGAAGAGGAGGTTGATATGCCAAGACTCCGTCGGATGATGTCACGAGGGTGTCCCAGGCCCAAGACTTACTCTAATCTTACTCAGTAGCACCAATATCTTCTACAAAAAGGAAATGGATGTGCCATTTACCGTTGACGATAACGAGATAGTGCAGGTCGCGACTCGCCACGAATACTTAGTCTACACCGTGACAGACCGGACAGTTGTTGGACGCATGCGGGCATGTAAGGAGCAGCTATGTCCCGTTTCTCGGAGATATCTGAGTATATTTATGGCGCTCTACTACTGATACACATTCTAAGGCAGGGGTTACTTACTTGCACTCACCGTTGTCCCCAGAGTGACACTGGTTACATTAAACAACCGCCGTAGGCGGGGGAAGGCTCGCTGCGCCATCTCACTGAGGCCAACTTATGGTTCTTCTAAGTAAAATGTGTCTACAGACTATTTGTAAACCAGAGAATAACTGAGGACATTGAGCTGAGGTTTCATGGCTCCCGATCCCACTGATTGTGAACATCTGAGGCTCCATGCCATCGGCGACATGTACAACTACAATCAAACGACCCTTAAACTGACCCGGTATCTCTTACATATCTCTTCTAGAGAAGGGACCAGTTTACGCAGTCTCGGGATGAGGCCGATCTTGGTAAATGACCGCCCGGCCTCCCACAGCACGGAATTGGCCACATACCCTAAAAGCCCGATTTTGAACCGATCTTTCTAGTTTTTTCGCTCAAAAGCGTTGTTTACATGATATTTGTCTATTTAGAGGCATAACAATAGCGGTACGGAGAGAGGGAAGAGGCACAGTAACGTCTTCAAGCACACCGGGCCTGCCCGGCGTGCTTGCGGAAAATTTGTTACCAGTTGAATAGCCCCAGAACACGCGCTCTCCGTTGCATATGAATTTATGAATATTCTCGATTTTCTTGAATTTCCAGTTCCGGAACACACCGTGGACAAGAATTTCCGAAATACCTGTACATGTAGAGCCGATAGATGCTCGCTTCGCTCGCAATAAAAAGACCCGCTCTATCCGCGGGTTTTTCGTCACGGTTGATCCTCCCCACTACTCAGTGAGCACTGAGTACTGAAGATCGGCCCAAACCCCAAACGCCACACACATCATCCACACCAATCCGTGTAGCAGGACGTCCACCCGAGAGCGGCCTTGAGAATCAAGGTAAGAGGAAAAAGTGTGAAGGATGGAGGGGTTGACGAGGAAAAGTGCTTTAAGTGGCTTATATATGCCATCAAAGGCCGAATCTTTGGGGTGATTACATGAGCGCAACCCCACTACTCGTGAAGAGCGTCCTTTGCTTGGGGAAACCAAATTTGGTAGCCTAATTTCCGAATTCGGCGAAACAACAGTTCTGCACGCGGAGATCGGAGAAGGATAAGCATCGTGCTGGAAGGAGCTTTAGAAAATATTCCCTATTTCTCAATCGTGTCGCTCAAGGCCACAATACTATGCAAGGACACCCAAGAACGTTCGGACTCTGGAAATAAACGATGAGGGCGCCATTGCTAGTGAAATATTATTGGGGGTAGGTGACACTAGTTGGAAAAGGAGCGCGTAGTCGGGTTTTTAAAAAATCTGCTCTCTATCGCCAAATGTTGCTATTTATCCTCTCTTCTTCTCGCTGTTTACACTCTCGAGCCTCCGCTATATCGCGCTTGGCGTCACGCGAACTTCCTGCTTGATATGCTGAAGGGCTCACAGCCAAACGACATTAGGATTACGAGAATGGTTCGAGCCTCCCTGAGCTTAGTGGGTAGATTGAGTTTTGTGTGCGATCCCGCCGTCCCGCGATCTTCCAGCAACGCCAATGAGGGATCGTAGAACTTGTCACCAACTACAACGCCTTCTAACTTTTCTGAAAATTCAGATCCAGGGCACGTTAAGGTTCGATAAATTCTGGTGCAAGTTAAACTTGTTGAACGAGCGAGGTAGAAATGAGCGAAGAAGGCCAGCTGGGATTGGTCAAAACGTTGTCCGAAATGTCCGTCAGACCCCATTCGGAAATCATTTGAACATTGATCGACAATCAGTGTGGCGGCGCTTCGGAAGCTTCTCCGCCCCGAGGTTCAGGTATCCAGGCCTTTGTGACGCTGAACTCTTCTATGAATTCATAGTATAGCCACAAATTTTGTTATTATTATGTCCAGAGGGCGACCTAGAAGGTTCCAACTCGATTTAAGATGACCCCAGGCGATTTCGCAAAGTCCTTATAACCCCAATAGTTGGAGGTTAGGACAACACGGCGCACCTTTGCCGTTCTCTTCTACCCCGACTATCCCAAGATGTTCATCTCCGGGATATTTCGCATGGTCGTTGTCTTTCTCACTATGACCGGTACTGTCCAGGCTTATTGGGGACGTGGTACGTTCTTCCGTCGAACTATCCTGCGAACAAAGAAGAGGCTGACATACTCCGCAGCAACCTGGTACTACGATGGAGTGGGCCTCTCGCTCGTCTGGAGAGCGACATATATTTAATCATACCACCAGGTCGGCGCATGCGGAGGGTGGAACACGAACACAGACTACGTCGTCGCCCTCGCCCCCTCCGAGTACTACAACAACGGCGGGCACTGCGATAAGATGATTCGGGTAAACTGTGCGTATAGCCGTTCACGTCATAAAATGGCCGCTCCTTGCTCAGGATACTCGTCGAATAGACCAAGGACGATCCATCACCGTGAAGGTCGTGGACCTATGCCCGAGTTGCGGCTCAGGTGCTATCGATCTGTCCTTAGCCGCTTTCCAGGCTCTCGCCCCGCTCGAGATGGGGGTCATAAACGTCGAATGGGGTTTCATTTGGAGTTGAAGAGAGATGAGGAAATCGTTGGAGTCCGTTCGAGGAAAATTCGCCTTGTTTTCGAGCTATTTTTCCCCCCTGTGATGTAATTCTGTTCCTGAACTTTGAGGTTCTATTCGCCTTGAGCAACTCCTGCAGGTCGGATTATCGAGGCTCAGAAGGACAGACTCCCAGTAACTCTTTCCCATGCGCAGCTTGTAGGGGCCAAATATACTTGGGGATATTGTTTGTGGGCAAGCTCGGAGATAACTATGCGACGGATCCGCTGCATAGCTATGTCGTCGTGGTCGAGGGGAAGGAGACCGTGCCTTTGGTCCCGATGGGCAACCGCAGAGATTCAGTTCTAGACGATCAGCCAACGCTGAACCTCCCGCTGCCTACTCGACCACTGTGCAGACAATCATCTAGGGCCCGGCAACGGGAAATAGACGCGAATACTTACCTTGTCGCAGAAACCTTGAGGAATTCATGAGATGGTCTGTGCTTGATAGAAGCTCGTGGCACTAGCGAGACAAAGGGCCTCAAAATATTGCCAGAGCAAGTAGGGAACGTGAAGCCTGGCCGGGGGCGTAATCGACTGATATATGCGCCTAGAAAGGGGTATAAGTGCACTTACCTTATAGCAATAATATTCGTTTGAATATAAGCACCTCGTTTGTAGGCACAGGACGCGCCTCGGGATCAGAGCCCCACTCATACAGCCAAGATGCTGACTTGATGCCATCTCCTCACGGAAGGACAACGAAAAAAGGATCTTACCGAATCTATTCCATCTAGCAAAGGCTGTGATCACTGGCCAAGCGAGGAAGTGGTGTCCTGACAAAAGCCGCGCAGGGTGGTAGTACCATCACAGTGATGCACCGAGAAGCCCAGTCAACAGACAAAACCCCAGGGGAAGGAGGGGTGAGAGGAGGTAGAGTGAGGGGTGTGGGAGGGAGTGGGAGGGTGAGGGGAAGGGAAGAAAAAGATTCGATGTGGCAGGGCGGCCTTTATATGTTTCGGTTTGGGAATACTTATGCCGAGGCGCGCCGTGTCTATTTTTGGGGATTGCGGCGTCGGGATGCGGCGATCACGGCGACTGCGCCCGAAGGCGCCGGTTCACTCCAGTGTTTCGGAGGCTGGACCGTACTGTTACGTCAGTATTATAATTTTGGTGAAGTGCAGAGGAAATTATTGACTAGAGGCTAAGAGCAGCCAATTCGCTTGGAAGGACCAAGGGTGTTCGGGTCTGAGTATTGTCGGAATAAAGCAGGAAATTTTACATAAAGAGTACGTTCGTTGCATGGGTTCTGAGACAACGATACAAAGAAGTTTTTAGAGACTGTACCTCATAGTATCAAAGTGGGACTTTCATCGGTCGCGTGCTGAAGGTGCTTGATTGTTTGGATTTAGCAGAAGTGCATTGTATCGCCTGCCGACTCGTAACAAGTGTCTTCCCTGCAAACGATTACAACAAGAAACGATGTTGTTTTGGCTTTACCGATTCCTTTTTATAGATCCCTTTGTCTTTAGCTGGAGAAAAGTGCCCTAGAGACAGATAAGGCAAGCGCGCCCGAAACGGTGTCCAAAAAGAGAAGGCCTGAAATTTGAAGCCGGGCTGACCAATCTTTCCAGGTTGACCTCTTGCCATGCCCGTGAGCAAACCTACGAATCCGCCAACAGGGCTCCCAACGCCTCCCTCCTCTGTCTCGATCGGGAAGAAGCCCATGAATTACCCTCCGACAACGCCAACGACGCCGCAAACGCAGCAGCAACAACCGAAGAGTGCCCGGGCGGCCTCCAAGGCGCCGGCGTATGGCACCCAGCAACAACAGCAACAGGGTCGCCACCCCTCACCCCCGACGTCGAACGGCGGGGTGGGAAACAAGGGGAGAGGCGGGGGCGGTGGGACTGCGGGGTTGGGTCCGGGCTCGTCAGCACAGAAAGGGAAGGCGAATGCCAACAAGATCTGGAGCACGAGTACGACCGAGGAACGGGAGCGAATCAAGGACTTCTGGCTCGGGCTAGGGGAGCAGGAGCGTCGCAACCTAGTCAAGATCGAGAAGGACACCGTTCTGCGCAAGATGAAGGAACAGCAGAAACACAGCTGCTCTTGTGCCGTGTGTGGCAGGAAGCGGTACGTTGTTCCCTTTCTCCAATATCATCCACTCGCCGTCTTTTTTTTCTGGATATTTTCTTTCATGTTGCTGACGGTGCCCGCTCCTTCTCACCATTATCTTCCGATCTCCGCCTGATCACCCACCGATCAAAAATACAGGAATGCAATAGAGGAAGAGCTCGAGGTACTGTACGACGCTTATTACGAAGAGCTAGAACAGTACGCGAACTACCAGCAGCGCTACGTTTCGTCCGGCGGCACGATCCCTCCTCCCCCCGGGCCAGGACCGTTCCCAGGCAGCGTGGAACTGGACAAGAACGGGGCGGTCGTTGCTCCGGCCCCCCCTCTAACGAACAAACAGCATCGGTCTCGTACTAAACAGCAGCAGGTGGCAGCCCAACGAGGGCCGCCACCGCAGGCGATGCTGCCCCCTGTGACGAACGGCCGGAAGCAAGCGCACCTGCATCCACATCACCATCCACCGCTGGGCAAAGAGTCTGAGTTTGAGGACGACGAGCAGGAGGAGGACGACTACGAGGGTGGCGAGTACGAGGAAGAGGAGGAGGAAGAAGAAGAGCCGGAAGAGGAGGAGGAGGAGGAAGAAGAAGAGGAAGAGGAAGAAGAGGAGATCCAAGCACCGCAGCAGCAGCAACTGGTGCGTCCAAACGCGAACGGTAGGGGCAACGTGAAGGAGCCAACCGCGCCGGTATCGGGGCGAGGACCACCGCAGGCCGACCGGCAGAGCGCCCCCAAAGCGCGAGACGGGCCGTTTAATATCGGAAGCAGCCTCACGGTGACCGGTTAGTGCTGCATACAGCTCGTGCAAATCATTCTGATGTTAAGGTTGTAGGTCCAGGGAACATCCTGACTGTGGCCGATGACCTGTTGAAGAACGACGGGCAAAAGTTTTTGGAGATGATGGAACAGCTTGCGGAACGGCGTATGCAACGCGAAGAGGAGGCTGCTGCGGACGTGGAGGATGATAGCGACGAAGACAGTGACGAGGATCGGGATGGGAGTGAAGGAGATGAAGAGGACGATGGGGGTGCTAGTGATGAAGATGATGAAGATGACGAGGACGATGAGGAGGAAGAGGTATTTTATTTCTTTTCGGTTTCGGTGGCACGCTAACATAAATTTTGTAGGTCATGACAGAAGAGCAGAAGATGGAAGAGGGCAAACGAATGTTTTCCATCTTCGCTGCGCGGATGTTCGAGCAACGGGTGCTACAAGCGTACCGCGAGAAAGTTGCGCAAGAACGGCAGATGCAGCTTCTGCGTGAGCTGGACGAGGAGGATAAGACGACTCGGGATCGTGAGGCCAAGAAGCAGACGCAGAACCAAAAGAAGAAGGACAAGAAGCGGTGTGTGATCTTTGGCCCCTACTTGATCAGATCGTGATCGGCTGACGGTTCACGCAGACAGCAGAAGATGGCCAAGGAGGAAGAGCGGGCGGCCAGAACTGCAGAAAGGGCGGCGGAGGAGGCTGCAGCCAAGGCGAAGCTGAAAGAGCAGGAAGAGGAGAACCGACGGAAACGAGAAGATGAGCGACAGAGGCGAGAAGCAGCGAAGAAGGCCGCAGAAGAGGACCGGCAACGCAAGGAAGAGGAGAAACGGAAGCGGCAGCAAGAGGAGCGGGAACGGGAACAGGAGCGAGAGCGGAAAAAGAAGGAAAAGGAAGAGCGGTTGAAGAAGGAACGAGAAGAACGAGAACGAAAGGCCAAGGAAGAAAAAGAGGCCCGACTCGCGAAAGAACGCGAAGAGCGAGCAGAAAGGGAACGAATCGAGAAGGAAAAACGGGAAGAACGAGAAAGACAGGAGAAAGAGCGCAAAATCGCGAAGGAGAAAGAGGAAAAAGCAGAACGAGAGGCGAAGGAAAAGGCCGCTGCACAGCGAGCAGCAGCAGCCGCAGCCCAAGCGCAGGCCAATATTATCAAGGCTCAAACGCGAAACGCGAACTCTACTGCTTCCTCGTCGACCTCGTCGGTGGCGACGACGATGAGCTCGAACAAGGGGGCCTCTGCGCCGGCTCTGCCAAATCCGCCCCAAATCCAGCGGTCAGCGACGACGAGTGGCGGCGTTACCGTGAGCGTGAATGGCGCTGGCAAGAAAGCCAACAAGCAGATTCCGCCTCCATTGGCCTCGACGTCTGCTCCTGGTGTTGTGGGCCGACCTCAGCCTCCACAGCAGCAAGCACAGCCGCAACAGCAGCTCTCTCAACAGCCCCAGCAGCAGCCCAACCTACTGCGACCTCCCCATCTTCCTCCTATCAACCCTCAGCAGATGCCTCCTCATCTTCCTCCACCTCAGTCAGCCGGTGTCATGTTCGGACACCCACAAGGACCTATGATGATGCCACCTCCAGCACTATCGCCTCGTATTCCTGCCTTCCCCCCAATGCAGTTTCCCTTTGGCCACCCAAACATGCAGCACCACCCTCACGCTGCGCCTGGCACCCCGCTGGCACCTTCTGCTCTTCCTCGTTTCAACCCCGGGCCAGGCGGACCGTCATTTGATCCACCTGTGCCGTTCAATCGCGGCATGACGATCGGCATTGGCGGGATTCCCACGGGTATCCCACCTACGCCTTCTGCTGCTCCTTCACCTATTGGACCTCCGAAATCCAAGACACCGCTCGTTCCGAGCTCATCGGGCCCGTCGATGCTCGGTGCGCCTGGACAGGGAAGGCGTGGCTCTGTGCCTCTGCTTAATAACAACTCAGCTAACGGTGGCTCAACCGCGAACAACGGCGGGCAGGCTGAGGGTTCAGCTGGACCCGGTCCGATCACGCGTCCTGGTCCCATTGCACCCATCGCACGACCAACAGCTGGAGGAGAGGGCGCGAGCTCGAGTTCAGGTTCCCCAAGCAGGCGTTCGCCTAGCCCGAAAGGCCTGCTCGGCTCTTCCGCGCTTGCGGCAGACGATGATGAAGTCCTGTCGTCTACCACCCCTCGGCGCGCCGGATCCGGGCCCATTGGTATCGGAATCGGAATGCCCATCGGCCATGGCCCTGGTGCTCTCGGTCCGCCCGGGACACAGTCGTGGGGTCCCGCGAGCCCGCGGACAAATGCTACGCCTTGGGGGCCTAGCGGGCCAGGTATAGGTGGTGGGCCAGCGTTCTCCCCGTCACCTGCTAGGGCGCTGCCAACGCCAATCAGTATTGGGATGGGATCAAACAGCCATTTACATGGGCCGCACCATCCTTCGGTGCCTCCACCGATTGGGAGCGCGTCGGTGTGGACAAACACGCCTACGACGGGAGGACCAGCAGACGCATGGCACCCCCAGAACCCGGCTGGCTACTTCCCTGGTCCAGCGTATCTCGGCACCACAACGTCAACTTGAACGCAGCTGCGTCGTCAGGACCCCATAATGGTAACTGATCTGTTGTGGACTTTCGATGTCTGCTTTCCACGCTTGTCTTCCTTATCCCAAATGCTTCTCTTCTGCTTCTCTATTTTCTTTTCATTTCCTCTTCTATAAGTTCACTTTGTTCCGACTCGTGTTAGTTGCTCTGGCGTGGCGTGGCTCACAACCCTTTGCATTTGCATGTTCGTTTGCTCTGCTTCTTTCTATCTGCATTCTCTTTCCGCCTCATCAATTCTTCATTCCTTTGACCTATTGTCCCTTCCCTTACTCTTAATCCATCTTGACACTCCACTGCCTTTGCATTTCATCTGATACACTCCATCGACCTCGTACTTATCGCTCAATGCCAAATGACATGTGAACTGAACAATAACGCCGCTTGCGCGGTTTCGGATTGGAAGGATTCCCCTCAGAAGAGATCTATTATTCATATCCATCCATCAATGCTCAGGCTAACTGGAGGAATTCCAACCTGAGCGGCGTACAACTCATGGTGCTCATGCCCTACAATAGGTATCAGTCCCCTTCGTTTCTGTTCTGCCAGACAGCCAAAAGTGCTCTAGATATATTAGGCATCGTCTTCACTTCAAAATGTTTTATTTGGAATGCTTATCCTATCATGTTGGTCGCCTTTGTTGGAAGACTTCTAAGCTTATGCAAACGCTTATAAGCGCCCATAACGTCATGATTCTACGTCATCAAACTATAAGATCAGTCATGGAGACAGGTATAGAGGGAGATCTTATAAAACGGAGGCCCAGTGCAGTATCGCGAACCTTCCTGCACATAGCGTATGTAGTCACCAGTCAGATAAGCCGTTCATTCGCAACCATACTTGAAAGTGTCTTTACAGATAACAATACAAATTTCTATGATTTCAAAGCTTCGCCTTCCCCGACGCTACAAGTTTCTGGCCACGCTGGAGGATAGGCTTGATAGATTGCTGAATCGATGACCAGTGAGAAGAAGTATCATGGACGGTTCAAAGATGAATACTCACCTGGTAAGCAGCGGGTATCTCACTCTGGTTCAGCGGTTCGCTTTGGGCGCGTTCCCAGAGAGCCTCATATACCTTCCCATTATACACCCCGAGAGCACTGTAGAGAGCGTGAGCATTGACCAGAATGTCAAGGGTCATATTTCTGTGATTACCTGTCCAGCTCCCAATCGGTGAACCCAAACGCGTCGGCGAGGCCGATGGCCTCGGGCAGAAGTTCCTCGCACAGACTCTTAATTGCTAGACGTAGCGAGCGAGTTGGATCGTGTATCTTGAACCCAGAACCTGGGCCAATCACCCCGAAGGAGAGCAGGTCAGTCAGGCCGCCCTCGACGGTCGTCAATAAGTACTTCAAGGATGACGAAAATCATAAGAGCTTCTCTTCACGTAATGAAGACGGGAGAGACCTACAAGTAGGAACACTTTGCTGACCACCTTGCCGTCATTCCCAGGCAATTTCAGTGCATTCTTGATCATGTCGCCGGCCTGAGTCGCCACGAAAGCCTCCGTAACAGCTTTGGACACCCTCTGGTTTGCACTGGCATCTCGGGCTTCCGCGTTCTGGACCAGCTCTCGCACTACAAGCGCCGCACGTAGTTCGAGGACCAGAATGGCAGTGACAGGGTCTCGCCACTCCTTCTCCGCAAAGACGGACGGTACCGCTGGAGGGTTGACAAGGTATCTCAGGTAAGCCGACGACGGCGAGAGCGAGTCCACCGTGGGTGAGCTGGAGGCGAAGACAGCATGGTACGACTTGAGCGCCGCGCGGACGACTTGTTGATCGAGCACGAAGTTGTCGCCTTCGTATGTGACGCTGGGCAGGTAGTCCGCGTACAGACGACCGAGACCGGAGAACGCGCTGTACCCATGTCCGCCCATCGATCGGCGTGCGGTTTCAATATCAGCTACACCGTTGGTAGAGACGTAGACCTTGAGCCCGCTCGTAGTGGCGTGCATCTCGGCAAGGAGGGAGGCGTCACCCTTCTTGAGCCGGCTGGCCATGACGTCGAAAGCCTTCGTCAGGGTCTTTCCCAGCTGGATAAACATGTATGCCCGCGAGAGTATGGGAAGAAGGCGGTAGTAGACAGAAGGATAGGAAATTATCTGCTTCTCCAAGCCATCTTGCTCCCGTTCGCCCTGTCGACGGACAGTGGCGTATCGAATTGCCACCGTAGCTGCTTTGGCAATGAGCCATCCTCCACCAGTCACCATGCTGGCGATCGATGTCAGTCAACAACAAGAACTGTGTCCAACGACCTACTTTGCACGAATGTATAGCATCTACGTGGCAGAGTTAGCTTCGGGGGGCAGAGATGACGCAAATGACATACGCCTCCATAGCTCAACTTCGCGTGGGGAGGTTGCTGATAGAGGCCATCGTCTGTGACGCTGGCGAATCCAGAGAGCATGTTCTCTTTGGGGATTCGAACATGGTCGAATCGAGCAAAACCATTGTCTGTGGCAGCGAAGCCACCGTTCGACTTGGGGCCAATATCGCCAGCAGTAATCCCAGGCATTAATGTATGGTCATCTAAAGGAAATTTAGTGGGATGACTGAGCTTGAAAGGGAGGCGACGTACGCAGGGATCGTAGCTGCACGAAAAACAAGTGTGGTCCCATATCCTTCCCACCCGGAAGGAGTAACTTGGCCTGTACGACTCCATGGGTTGCTGTCTTCCCCAGAGCTCCTATCCACCACTTGCTGCTAGTGATCGTCGGGGAATGGATTTCGAATTCCTTGGTTTCTGGTATGTAAATCGCGGTCGTTTCCAGGCTCGAGACGTTGGTACCATGACCCAGCTCGGTTTGCATGTAGCAGCCAAAGATGGCGCGTGTAGCGATGAGAGGACCGTACTTCTTGACCAACACCGGCCCTCCTTGGAGCATAAATACCGGCTGGAACGCTGGAAGTATGTCAATACCAGCAGAAACAGAACCGGAGGAGTGACTCACCGATGTTATGCAACCCGATTGACAACTGCTCGTCAATACTCGAGATGGCAACCTGCACCTCCCGCTCGTCCCAGTTGTGGATCGTCTGTAGTTCGTACACCCGGTCTGTGAGCACTAGACCGCGTTCGTACTTCTCAGTCCTTGTCAAGAACTCTCTCCTTGTCTTATCAAAGATGGGATCGTTCTCGAGAATGCCGACAATTCTTCTACGGGTTTCCCATGCAGATCTTCCGTCTGAAAGGCATTAGAGATGGCTGGCGCCGACAAGACACGATGGACTCACGATGAAGGAAATCCCGTACGTTCTCAACAGACACCGTCGAAGCCGTCCTGGCATTGGACATGTCAAGTTCTGTCTGCGCATTTGTGTCGTGTTGAAGTTTCAGCATCGACGACATGGCTTCCCCACTGCGGGGAACCTCGATGTGGGGAAGGACAGGTGTTTATGAATTCAGAAAAAGTCCACAGACCCGGTGAACTAATTGCCGAGCGCCGGCCGCCGAATTAGGGGCGTCCATTGAGCGTCGTTGCGTCGAGACCCTCCACGCTCGGATAGCTTAAACCCGTTCTCGTCTGGACAACCGAAATTCAACTGTACACGTACATATTGATTACTCCAAGATGTCAGCGTATGTCACGATTATGCACCACGCAAGGCTAGCACGCCCTCGTATATACAGGATTGGAAATTGTGGCGGAGGCCAAAGAGCTGAGAACTCTCATATATCGCACCCTTTCACACACACCCAGGTTGCCCTATCCCATAGGCATCTGCTTCCATCGGAGGGGAATGGTAACATTGACAGAGGGATCCCGAGAACTAACAACAATTCAGTAGGATGCTGCTGATCATGACAACGACGCATGCTGGCCGTATGTGTCTAGTTTAAACACGCACCAAAGTAAGCCATGACGCTAGGCATGTTCTTGTACTCAATTGGGTTGAAAGTTTCATTGGTAGGAAATGGATGAAGAGATGTCCTTTATCGACCTCCCTGCCTGATTTGGAGACATTTGTATTGTAGACAAGAGCTTTCAAGCGCCCACATGCGTCACATTGGGCATATAAAAGACAATTGAAGAGCACATCTGCACTAGCATTTCTCTATTCTCACATGCTCTACGGAACCAACAGCAATGCCACAGCAAGGATTCAACATTATGGTGTGGATGCTGACCATGAACCGCGGGTACTCAATAGCGGTACATCTTCTTGCTTTCACGCAAGCCTACTCGAAGCTCAAGAACTCACCCTGTGATCTAGGAATACGATGTGGTTTATCACGCAGTAGGGGAGTGCTTTCCATTGAAGGATTCGCCCGAAATAAAGTATGAGCCCATGAATCCCGATTCATTTCGTGAGTTTCTCTCAACTTCCATGATACGCCATCAAGACAAAAGAGAATTTACTCTACTCTCTGTTCATAGGTATGCTGGCAACGCGTCTCCTGCCATTGCTTGTAATGTTCAAAGGTAGCATTCCACGAGGCCACTGGATAGATCAGGTCACGAAGAGAGGGAAGCACTGGATAGAACTCGTCCGCTCGCTCTTTTAATTCCACTCCGCTACACGACCTGACTTGGATTAGGTTGGCTACCTCGGGGAGCGGACCCCTTACGACATAGGCTATCACCTTTCGTTCAAGAACTCGCTCTGCGGGATAGCAATTGCCCAGGGACACACCGAGGCTGTAGCAAATATTGGACTTGGAATCAGGCAGCTCAAGGTAGAACCTGATGGAATATCGGTGGAGGAATATTTTTCAACGTTACACCATAAGGTCCGGCGCCATTCCTGCACCCTCCAAGTGGCCTGACCTGTATCTCCAGTTAACGCTATTCGAGATTGACAGCATCCTGGGGAATCCAGACGATGTCGTGCTCAAGCGCTTAAACATGATCCTCACTCTGAAGGAGGCGTACCTAAACGCCGTCGGCTCGCCTTTGAGCATTGACTCGTTTTCTCGGATGGAATTCGACATACCTAATCAACGTGTTTCTGGAGACGGGAACGATCTTCCGGGTTGGGAATTTCGAATCTTCGTCGCCAGTGTTGGTGTTGCGCGTGGTTCCAAGATCGTAGAGGAGCAGTACGAGTGCGTTTGTGCCATGTTCACAGGAGCCAGCGAAACTCGCTTCATCTTTCATGATACATCGAAGTCGCTGTCTCAATGGGTACAGTTCGGCAACCTTGACAATCTCTTTTCAGTTATACCTCAGTTTTATTCTTGATGATGGATACTTTTCTAGCTATTTATTTCTATTTCTCTTTAAGTCTTCCGAATCGATGATAGGGTTCTGCACTCATGAGTTCTGCATTCTATCGAATTCTGTCGCGAAATGAATCAGGAATCACAGAAGTACAATCTACAGAGACGATAAAGCTACAGGATGAAAAGTGCGAGTCTAAATTCGTAAGAAGTTCGTCACAATCATGTCGGCCCAAGAATAAGCGCCCAACCCGCAACGACGCTCAGCACCAACACCAAGACACTGCCAATGAATATACGATACCGGGTTTCAGCAGAACTGACACTTCCCTCGCTCGTGCTTCCCAACTTCTTGTCCATCCCGCTATGCCCGTTAGATGTCGCCAGAACCGAAGGGTCGACCGTCGCCGTATTGTGCGTGTTCGTGCGTGCGCTTGTTGAGAACGTTTGACTTGGCCCTCCCGCCGTATCTGAACGTGAAGATGGGTATAAGAATACCAAAGCCGCGCCGGGTGCCGGGACGTGGATCGTGCAAGACTGGGAGGTGCAGCTGACTGTCTGGAGGCTTTCCGTTCCGATAGGTCGCCCGTCGGAGTCGAACATCCCACCAAACGTCTGGCCCGCCCATGTAAAATTGCCTTTCTGCGAGACGCTCGATGCGAGGAGGTATCTGAGGAAAGTCTCAGATTTTTTACCAGCTTGTCGAGGGGGATGAGGACGTACTTGACTTGGACCTCTCCCGAAACTTGCGTACCTGAGAGGTTCAGTTCGACATTGAGGTCGCTCGCTCCACTACTGTCTGTCACGTAGTTGAAAAGAAGTACCCGAACAAGGTTTCCATGTTCGTAAATCCCGTAGACTGGAGAATAGATGTTGTTATTATTCGCAGCCATATCGACGACTTGAGTCGTGTTGGAAGGTCCAAGAGCCTCAGCTATAACAAGCGCCGAGTAGTAAATAGGGCCGACGGTCCATTGTCTGAAGGTACTTTGATTCGTCGGTGGGGCTGGTATTGAGATAAGTGCTAGGCCCTAAAAAAATAGAGGCAGGACTCTTACGAATGAAGGGATTATAGTAGACATTCTGCCCTCCAATGTGGAACAGAGCTCCTGAGAAATTCGAATACGCCATTTGCATACCGTAGTCCAATCCCCACAGGGCGGCGCCGAAACTGTCACTGATACCGACGAACCCACCACAAGACGCGCTGTTGGTTTCAAACATGAGAAGAGGTTTCCCTTTTGTCTGAGCGTATGCACTGGAGTTCAAGTACGGAGCAATTAAAGTCTGTCCCGCGGTGTGATTGAGGTAGCTCGGGAATGTTTCCTGCGGGTCCCTCGGTGTTCCGACGCCATACTGGGCGTAGCAATTGTCGGTTGGATAGCTAAATAAAAGCCAATGAAAATCAGGACGAGTCCCCAATGGAAGAAATTCACTGCATACTGTTCTACAGCCAGGTACGCCAGGTTGTTGGCATAAGCGTCGACGAAGCCTGTATCCCAAACCATTTCTGGGCTCCATGGTCCCGAGTTTACATTGGGGCCGATGAGGAGACCACGATTCAAGAGATGCTCGTCTCCTGCCATTGCCTGAACAAGCATTCCGAATTCCCCAAAGTAGTCGTATGGTCCATAACCCTGCCGATGCAATTGGGAGTGAGATATAGAATAAATAGAGGTTAGTAATTACCTGTGGCCTATGCCCATGATCCACATAGAGGTCGGGTTCGTTTCCTGCTTGAAGCCCAATGAGATAGTCGCCTAAGATTTGCTGACCACGCTCTGCAATAGCGAGACGGAAGTTGGAGGTATCGTTGAAGGGCACACCAAGATACCACCGAACGTTAACGAGGTTGGAGATATTTCGGAGTAGCTGAAGAAGCTCTGGAGTGAACACCAAGGGCGGCGTTTGCGTCTATGTTGCCCCTTATAAAACATGGGAGGAGAAGGGAGGGGGAGAGATGCGTACCGGATTTGTGATCCCCGCAAGATCTTTCTCTATAATACGTCCGTCAGCGGTGTTTTCAACGAGTGTCGCCCTTTCTTGCGTGTTTCCTCCAACGCGAACGTTTATTCGACCTGAGCGTTGCTGAAGATTACCCATAAGATTGAGAAATGGGACCTGTATGAATGACCTAGTGGAGGCACACGCTAAATGTCAGATAGCGCTTGACTCAACATGGGGTAAGCCTCACGAATTCTTGCCCACTACGAGAAGAGTTCAGCATAGGCGTGAAGAAGAACGAGAACCGTGACTTACGAACTTGATTCGCAACCGACATCTCGATTGAGAATCCAAAGAATGCGCCGCTTTGGGGTATTGAGGCGCCAGGTGGGACGGCATTGCTAAATTGTACTGTAAACTGAGTGGGAAGGGCGTCGGACCCTGGAGGCGGAGGCGGATTGAGGGTGGTTGGGTTGTATGCTGCCGCACCAGTGTACCTCGCCGCGACGCCTGTGTCCGTTGCGGTCGATCCCAATGGTTTTTGGCCCGCCTGGTAATAAACCGTCACTGCCGTGCATGTTTGCACAAAGGCGAGTAGTTGGATGATGAAGGTAACAGCGAAAGTTGCAGAATGCCGTGAGGTCGAAGGTGCCTTGCCTCGGCGCGTCGACGTCATCATTGATGTTCTGCCAAGGCTCTTGACACTCAACTTGTATGGGTGTTGGGTATGGGGTATCTCCAAAGAGGGTGAGGTTGAAGGGTATCGCGACAGAGATGAGGTTGAAGAATCGCGGCTCTGCTCTTGCTGAAATAGTGGCGAGCCCGATATAGTAAACTGTCTTACTTATAAGGTCGCGCTCGTTCGGCTCAAGGTGAAGAATAAAGAAAGTACAAACGAATTGCCTCTGTTACGCATCATAATACTACAATATTGCTTTCCCGCTTATTTGCAACGGTCGTGCCCTGTTCAGACGACTCTAGTGCTGTGGTATTTTAGACCAGCCGCTCGCTGACGATGTCGAGCAGGCAGCGTACAAGTTGCCCACCGTGAATGAAGAAGATAAAATCTAGCTTATAATGTGTGGGGACTTGAATAATACTCCTTTTCCCCTCTGAGAACCGATATTTCTCCCAGTGTTCGAGGTAGGAACTGGGTAGGAGTTTTTTTTAGGTCGCTCAGTCGAGGATATAAATAGCAAATGCTACCTTTATCCGTACATCGTGGTAAAGCAGGAGCTGCAACGTCAACAACTTTATTTGCTGCGCTTTTCTCATCACTACACCCATCCCGTACCCTCTCTAATTTTTCGACCGTCTATACCCTTCTATACCACTCTTTTCGCCATCCAGCGAACTTTCACGGAGGCATTACCCCATAGTCTTGGCGGAGGAAAGGCTTGGGATCTTGGCACATCACGGAAATACCAAATATGATATCCTTGAGCACAGTCCCAGCTCTTGGCATCCTTCTTCTCTCCCACCTCCAACCCTGTTTGGCCGTCACTGTCTACTACGTCGACGGGCAGACACCTCTGAACGCTGCTACAACCACAAGTGCGGGCCCGGTGTACACAGGACTGGCAGCGTATGACCCCACGACGCTGCAGCCCCCTCCACCACCTGGTCCAAGTGTGGTGCCTACCTCATTTGCGTTGCAATTGACGAACGCCGTCCCGAATGGTGCATCGATCACGCAGAATGGGTCCTTCTTTGGTTTTTCGATCGAGATGTCAGTTGTGAACCAAGTTTGTGAGTGGTGCAATGCTCTAAAGTTAAGACCTCGTCAGGACTCACCACTGGCACGCTTCCGTTCGTACTAGTGGGCAAGAATGCGTACGTCGTTTCTGGAGTCACGTCTATGCGAATGTTCACCTTGAATTTGATGCTAGCTCGGTCCTCCAAGTTCCATTTTTGAACCTCATGGCCAATCTTCAATCCAGGGGAGGACAAGTTCACATACGTGTTGGTGGAAATACCCAAGAGACTGCCGTGTTGGTGCCTAGTACTCCGGATGGCCGAATTCTAGAGAAAGACTATAGTGGCATTACGAACCCAGTACGTCAAACTAGTTGTGCAATCTTCTGTCTATTAACAAAGTTCGTTAGACACAAACCCCTCCGCTGATCTATACCCCAGAGCTCCTTTACATGCTCAACAATATCTCTTCGCTTGTGAACGTCAAATGGCACCTAGGCATCCCGTTCTTCAATACTACGCCCTTCAACCTAGCGATTGCGGAACAAGGCCAGCAGATTCTAGGAAGCAACCTTATCGGATTGCAAGCTGCAAACGAACCTGACTTGTATGCTGCCCATTTGCATCGCAATACGGTACGTTCGTAACACGATGAACCACTACATATAGCTCACATACTCCCTAGACGTACGGACCTTTTGACTATTTCGGGGAATTTGCGACCCTCGTGGACGCAGTCAATGCGGATTCCAATGTCCCGACCAAAAACCTCTTGATCGGTCCCAGCGTTTCGACAACTTGGACGCCGGAGGAGGTGTGGAACACGGGGTTCATCGATGCCTACGCCGCAAACCTTGCATTCCTTTCCGTCGAGCGGTAAGTGCGTAAAGCCTTGCTGGTATATGTATTTAACTGAGGCTTCCCGACAGGTATCCAACGGACAACTGTGGTGCCAAATTCCCGAATTCTGGCATAGCCATCGTCAATGCATCTGATGTCTTCCCGGGCTTCCTTGTACACGATTCCGCTCTCAACCTCGTATCCTCATACATAAATTCGTGCCAAATTGCGCAACAGAAGGGCAAGCCGTTCCTCATGTTCGAGACAAACACGGCATCGTGCGGTGGTTTCCCTGGTCTAAGTGATGCCTTCGGGGCTGCGTTGTGGGGCATCGACTACGCGATGCAGATGGCGGCCATTGGGTTTTCTGGCGCTCTCTTCCACGTTGGTGGGCAGAGCGTGTCGTATAACCCCTTTACTCGTACGTCATTGATGGGATGCATGAAGCCTTTTCTCAAATCCTTCTAGCACCACCTACGAATCAAAGCACTTATAACCAATGGACTGTCGGTCCGATCTATTACTCAGCCCTTGTCGTCACCGAGGCCCTTGGTGTAACTAATACATCTCGCGTCATGGACCTGCTGGCTAACGGAAACAACACATACACCCCCGGCTATGGGATTTGGGAAAACGGGAACCTCGCCCGAGTGCTCTTGATCAACTTTGTCTCCGACAGCACTGGGGCGAGTGACATCAGCGTCGATCTCGGCCTCTCGGATGCTCAGGTGCCGGGCCAGGTGCAGGTCAAGTAAGTATACCCTCTTATGCCCACCCAACTCCAGCTAACCTGATTTCAGGATCCTGCACGCCGATAGCGTGTCGCAAAAGGGCAACATCACCTGGGCAGGCCAGACTTACGGGGCGAACTTCGACTCAGATGGACGACCAATGCGGTCTGAAGACGTACAGGCTGTCACCTGTGGGCCCAGTGCCACGAGCAACGGGGCATCCGTATGCACCATCAAGGTTCCTGCACCTGGTGCTGCACTCGTCTTTCTTGATGCGGCTGCAGCCCAGGCTGAAACGGCTGGTGCCCCAAGCCAGACATTCTCGACGACATTCGTGACGAGGCTCCATAACACGGTTACGATTGACCCGGGGGTGTTGGCTACGTCGAATGGGCATGGCGGCATGGACAAAGATCTGGGAAGCACGAGCCCAGGCAGCTTGAGTGGTGCGGAACGGGTGGGTGCTGGTGCTGTGCTGGTATTCGCGGTACTGGTGGGAGCACTTGTCGTGCTCGGGGGTTAGCGAAACTACCCTTCGGAATTCCTAGAGGTCATGCTCCTTGGCCTCCGGGACGCTTACCCATTTTCTCTCGTTGACTAACATATGCTATCTGTCTTGTACTTGTGAGCGTGGACGCAGTTGGCATTTATCTTGACATCTATGTAATTAGATATCTCTTTCGCATTTTCAGTTTTCGGTCTTCAGAGCCCGTCTCGACCCGCCAGCATCTTTGCAGTAATCACTATGAAAGTCTCATCATACGCCATGCTACGCCGTATTTCAGGAAGGATTCGCGTTGGATTCTCATTTAAACCCGTTTTAACACTGGGTGCACAGCACCATAATTGCAGACCCAACTTCTGTAAAAAGCGGATGAAAATATTCTATCAAATTAGCCATAATTTACCCTATTTGTGTGTTCAATTCAGATAAAAGCTTTGAAGGGCTGTTTGTAGTGATCACAAAGGGTTTGCAAAGAGAATAAAATTACGGTGGGTTCAAAGGGACAAAGGCCTACCATAGTTGTGGACCATGCATGCGTTTGCAAAGGGTCTGCAATTATTGTACCTTAATTTTACTCCCTTTGCTCATTACATTAGTGTAAAAGGTAATTCCCTGCCTTTACAATATTTGTAGTCTCTCCGGGGTCACAACTATGGTGCTGTGCACCCAGTGTAACCGCTGTTCGACCTTGATTTCGGTGTCTGTGCCACAAAATTCGTCATGTACCCCACAATGCCAAGCTCTTTGGAGGGTGCTTGCGGCATGAAGGAGCGATACTGCCGCCAAACTGCCGCCAGTGCTTTTGGTCGCTTACGCCTATGTGACTACGAAGCGAGGAGCCTTCCTCGTGATAACTCGCACAAGACTAAATCTTTTATAAGTACTGAGTTTGGGAAGGCTGTAACCTGAGCTTCAGATTCCAACTAGATAAATCGGGAAAAACTCAAATTTCAAGCCCTCGCGCTATATAAGCATAACTTGCGACTCGAGTGTGATATATTTTGGACAGCTACACTCTCGCTACAAACAGGTGTGTTCCATGCGAGCTGAAATTTGAAATCCAAGGCTGTTCAGATTCCTGAGAAGAGACCATGTTGTACTCCCTCGTCCCTCGCTCTCTTCCCCTCCCTCCTTCGGACCTTGCATCTATTAAGGCGGCACGTCCCCATTCTCTGCCCGACACTGTGGCTCTGTAGCTGAATCAAAGTAAGTACGAACCGGCAATCATATTTCAACCAACAAGAGCTAATTTCTGTCCCGAAAACATAGAGGAATGAGCCAGAGGAATATTGTCATAATCCCGGCGTCTGTCTCGTCATACATCGTCTTCATGCTAATTGGGACTTTCTGTTTGTTTGGTGAAAAGGATGGAGAAAGAAGGGGAACGCTCTGGAACGCATCAGCTCGTCATAAAAGCAGAGAACAAATCAATCCATAGAATTAAGTCAGGGCCTTGATATACCGGCCTTGATTGAGGAGCCGCGTGACCGTCTGCCGTTTACTTACTCCCCCAGAAAGGCAACTATTGCCGAAAATGGCACTCTTTCCTAGATTCTCGATGCAGAATGCGTCCAGCACCGTAAAAGCTATTTAGTCAAGAGCGTGCCGACACTCTCAGACCAAGGTACATAGGTAGACATAAGAAGCATGAAGGCTGCTAATCGTACGGCACGATGGCGTGCACATGTAATTGAATTAAACTTCTCGATAATTAACTGCTATGACAGAAACCACGTAAGTCTCTCGTCCTCCCTCACTCGCTCCGCCCCTCTCTACCCCTGGGCCTGTGCGAGTCCGCGCTGGCTGGGCGAATGGCCTACCAATGTATATAAATAAGGGAATGTTCTATGTAATGTGTAGTACCCACCACGCCGGTGTCGAAACACGCCGTGGTAGACCTACCAAGGACCTGTGTATCTGAGTTTGGTTGCATGGGAGGGAGAAATGAGAATGAGCGCGACACTTACGTGTGAAGGTGCGAGACGGGTCGCGTTGCGCAGTGTTGAGGTCCCGCGCCCATACATGCGAAGACCTTCGTCAGATGGCGAATACAATTTTATGTTAAAGACGCTGAAATACGCACCTGTCACCTTTTAATATAGCCTCCGCTCCCCTACGTCAACATCGCGCTCTGTTACATTCAGCACAACGCCGCTCCTGTTGAAGGTTCCGAATTGCAGAGAGGTTGCGTAGTGCCGAACATCTGGGTGGGTGTCGCTCTGACAGGCCACAACTCGTCGAAAAGGCGATAAGGGGAAGAGATGGGTTCAGGGAGAGAGGGGGCGACTCGGCGAGGGAGGGGATGGTGGCGGTAAGAAAGCAAGAGGGGAGGCGCGAAGAGCGAAAGGGGGTCCGGGAAAGCCCGAGAACGGAAGTGGGTTAAAGAGGGTAGCATCGCAGCCTAGTGTCCATGGGACGCAGAGTTGAATGGATGAGATGGCCAGAGGCAACACTCACCAAATCTACACCGAGTCGCTTTTCTGGTTCTCGCGTTTTGCTCAGATCTTTTCCGAAACAAGTCAGATCATCCCCGTTCCCAGAAGATTAGCTCAGAAACCAACGGACCCGCCTGATTGCCGCATGTCCGCTTTTCACTTGGGCTGAAGCTCCGTTCACAAGTCAAAAGTATTCACTTCGGGTCGTGCGCGGACCATCGTCATCAAGCCTGAGCTTGATGTACGGTATCCGTGGAATGAGGCACGCAACAACGTTTAACTGAGAACTAGTCGCAGCATTACAAACTGGGTCGCGGGAAGCGGAGAGAGGGGGGTATAAAAGTGCAGGTAAGTCGAAAGGCAACTCAGTCAACTAACACTTTCGAAACCAATATCCACTAAGATGCGGTTCACCAAGACTTTTATCGCAATCTTGGCTGCTATTGGCTCTGCCAATGCTTTCACCGGCTTTGGTGTGTACTCTCGTGAGCACAGATGAGAGAACTTCGCTGACACAAATTGTCTAGCCACCTTCTATAACCCCAGGGTAAGAATCATTTCAATGGGCAACGCGTTTACTTAATTATTCTGCGCAGCTCCAAGCTTGCGGGGTCGTCAGTGGCGGGAACGACTTTACCGTCGCTTTATCTCCTAGCAGGTACTCCAGCAGACAGGAATGTGGCAGGTCCGTCCGGGTCACAGGCAAGTACACCGTCCACTTACTCGACTGCACTTCACCTTTTTTTTTTTGATCACCTCCTCATAATGACAGCTGGAGGGAAATCTGTCACTGTCAGAGTTACCGACGAGTGTCCTGGCTGCAGAGGCGACGACATAGACCTATCCACCGCGGTGTTCACCCTGTTAGCCGATTGGCATGAGGGAAGGATTGCTGTCGAGTGGGACTTTGTTTAAATAGTGCTTCTCACCGAAGACTGAAGATACTACACAGCTTATGAGTATCTCTTGACTGCTTGTATACTTTAAACGAGCGATAAATGTTTATTGCGTCATTCACTGAATCACGACCTGCCGGTCCTTGCTTTGCTCGTTAAGGTTCCCCCAAAAGGCAATGATCACCCAAAAAGGTATCTCTTCGGCGACTCCAGAGCTTACCTAGCCCCACAGTCGACAATTGACCGTGAGTGTGCACCCCTATCCTCGAGTTGGGTAGGATGGCCCTCTAAACCGCTTTGAACCATGCTGAGCGGTCGGACGGCGAAGTATAGCGCATCAGGCCATTCCAATGGGTATGCCTTCGGTATTAATACTTCATTCCTCGTCCAGTGTTCGGTATAACGTCGTTATGGATAAATGTATAACTACTTTGTAGCTCGTTTTATAGATTTTAGGTGCAGTGTTAGACGATGGTGTAGTGTTTCATCCAAATTCACCCTCACTCATGCAACGTCTTCAAAATTTATTTATCGGGCATTCTGAGTGATGAGTTTTACCTCTGAATATGAGAGTGAAGCGTCACAAGACAAAGGCGATTCCTTACTCACCTGGCCTGGCAGTTCACACAAGCGGGTAGCGCTCTTTTCGTAGAAGCCACTTAATATTCTGACCTGGACTGTGATACGGAGCGAGCTGGTTACGTGGAAAGGGGAAGATGGTTCAAAGCAAGTCGCCTTTTCCTAATCTTTATTCGTCAGGACTCAGGAGGTAAATCGCTGATGACGCCTCGTAAGTTCTCAACAACCTGGACTGAGGGGAATTTGCAGTCGGCCTTCGTCAGAATTTTCGAAAGAAGGAAAGTTATCGAAGTACAAAACAAAACTCTTCGTTTTCTGAAATTCGCGCTTTAACGGCACAAAACGTGCAAGTGACAAGAGAGCCACACTGTACCTATAAATGGTGGTTCCCCTCGGTTGTCCCCCGGTGACCATATTTTATTCTCGTAGTCCTCCTCGGCCGAAGCCGCCGCCTTCTTTATGACTCGATTTCTTCACAAGCGCCCGATACGTCCATCACTCCTCGATCTTTAGCTGAAATGCTGGAAAGGCGAGTTCGCGAAGGAAGTTAGTTCCGTGTGTCATGCGGCCGTTGACAGGAGATGTCCGAAAGCCGAATGGGACCGTACTGTGTTGGTTGATTTTCATCTTTCTTATCTTTCTCGACACGTCGACTATTTTTGTCAACCATGATCCCAGTGGCGCAGAAGAGGAGTGCAAGTAGCATCAGCTTAAATGTAAGTGGAGGGTATTTTTGAGCGGAACCGGAAATTTGTTACCCTGACCCTCGTCCGAGCCTTCGGTGGATCAAGGATATTTTCGGCTTGTAAAGACGAGATGGTGGATACAGTGCCTTCTCAGTGCGAGTGATCAGTAACTTCGTGGATTTTGGCGGCCTTGGCGGCTTCAATATGACCTCTAAGAGCAAGTGGAAGGATCGCTCACTTCAAGGCTTGCAAGGAAGCAGCCTAGATTCGAGCGAATGGAGATGTGATGACGATATTGGACGCTGAGAATAGTGTTTTCGGGGTAGAATGCATGAGCCGAGGACGACGGGCGGAGCATGGTGCCGGCGACTCCGAAAATTGCAGGGTTGGCAGCGGCGATATAAATTCATCGTCCGACCACTCCTCGACCCCACCACCACTTCCTCTTCTTGTGATTATCACCCTTCGCATAGATATAACTACTTCATCAACATGTCCCCGGCCGCATCTTCCCTGAACTCCGTCGCCGCTGCGTCCAATGGCAAACAGGCCGCCCCAGCCAATGGCAAACCGTCCGTTTCCAAGGCGGGGAAGCACCATCTGACCTCGGCGGATGTTATCCACCTTGAGCACGAGTACGGCGCACACAAGTGAGTAACTTGGTTTCGTTGGGTTCTTGTATGGGAAGCCGGTGGGGTATGGTAGCGCCTGCGACAGGACAATCCTTTGACAGTGAAACCTCCTTTGTGCTCTCGTACGAGTCCGCGGCCTGCGTTGCTCAAACTCCAACCTCTATCTTTGCTCCCCTTCTCACTAAAATGCCCCCTTTTCATCTCGTCTTCCATTATACTCCCCTTCTCCATGTTCTGCCTTGTGTAGCATAGACCAACAGACGTCATTCATTTGGGCTCCCAGCATCAAGCGGGTCTGATAGCTACCAGTCCAGTTACACCATCTCGCGTGAGCGGAAGGAGTCCAACTGTTTGACAAGCTAACTGACACTGCAGATCCTGAAGCAGAAGCTGACGCATGAGCGGAGGAGGATGGGGCCCGGAGTGGAGGCAGGACGAGGGAGTGGTTGGCAGGAGGCGGGGTCATCTCTCCTTTGTCTTTTTCTTCCTTCCTTGCTATCTTATACCCCCTACTGACGTATGCGTTCTTTCTGCCATTAGTTATCACCCGCTTCCTGTCGTATTCGACTCCGCTAAGGGTGCGAAGTGAGTCCTTTGTGCCATTGTTCAGCTCGCCATGCTCACTTTCTGCCATTCCTCAGAGTATGGGATTGCGAAGGCCGCGAGTATATAGATATGCTCTCTGCATACTCGTAAGTGTTACTCGCCTCCAATCACCAATCGCCTCTGTCGTGTGATTGTCTCAACACGACATGGTTATTTTTAAATCATTCTCGTTCTGACAAGCTTTAACCGTACACAGCGCAGTCAACCAAGTGAGTCTCTTTTTGATGTTCTAACTTCAATTGAACTGACTGAATATGCGTCTAGGGCCACTGCCACCCACGGATTGTCGCCACGCTCACCGAGCAGGCCCAGAAGCTCACCCTCTCCTCGAGAGCATTCTACAACAGCGTCTTTGGCCGTTTCGCCCAGCAAATCACCTCCATGTTCAAATATGACATGGTCCTCCCGATGAACACCGGTGCCGAGGCTGTCGAGACTGCTGTCAAGCTTGCGAGGAAGTGGGCTTACAAGCGCAAGGGCGTCGAGGACGGCAAGGCAATCGTCCTTAGCGTCGCCGGCAACTTCCATGGCAGGACACTTGGAATTATCAGGTCAGTCGGCCCAGAATACGCTAGTTGACCGTGTTTCTGACGTGGGTCTAGCATGAGCACCGATCCTGAGAGCCGAGGAGGTTTCGGACCTTATCTCGAGGGCGTTGGCCCCACCTACGTTGATGAGGAGGGCGAGCTGAACACGATTCGTTACGGTGTCTTGGAGGACGTCGAGAAAGCGCTCTCTATGCACGGCGAGAACGTCGCTGCTTTCCTCGTGGAGCCCATTCAAGGAGAGGCTGGGTACGTCTGACGTCACGCCCTTGGTAGTACAGATATTAATGGTTGACTAGAATCGTCGTCCCTCCGGAAGGGTATCTCAAGGGAGTCGCGGATCTGTGCAAGAAGCACAACGTGCTCCTCATTTGCGACGAGATCCAGACGGTGAGTGGAACTCGTGAATCAAGAGTCGCGTGCATGCTAACACTTCCGCAGGGTTTATGCAGGACTGGCAAGATGCTCGCGTCTGAGTACGAGGGCATTCGTCCTGACCTCGTCTTGCTTGGCAAGGCGCTCTCTGGCGGAGGTGCGCGGCGGTTATTTCGCTATCCGAGTGATTCGGGTCTCATTATGTCACTTTGTAGTGTATCCCGTCTCCGCTGTCCTCGCCGACAAAGACGTCATGCTGTGCATCCAACCAGGCGAGCATGGAAGCACCTACGGAGGGTGCGTTCTAATTCTCACCTCATCGCACATGATATTAATCTCTTATCACAGAAACCCTCTTGGTTGTGCTGTCGCTATGACCGCCCTGAACGTGCTCGTTGACGAGAACCTTGCGGAGCGCGCCTACAAGCTCGGCGAGGTCTTCCGCACGGCAGTGCGTTCGCTGAATTCGCCGCTCGTCGCAGAGGTTCGCGGCCGTGGCCTTCTGAACGCCATTGTCGTCGATGAGAAGAAGAGCACCAAGGGAAGAACTGCATGGCAGCTCTGCCTGCTCCTCAAGAGCCGTGGTGTGTTAGCTAAGCCCACTCACGTAAACATGTAAGTGCTTCGAATCAAAGGCTTATGAAGATGCTGAATATTTGGATATTCAGTATTCGTTTCGCACCGCCTCTCGTGATTTCTGAGAAGGACCTTCTGGAGGCTGTCAAGATCATCGGCGAATGCCTCGTCGACCTCGACCAGATCGACGAGATCCCTGGTGAGGATGGCAGCGAGAAGGGCCACACCGATACCCTCACCCTCTAGGCTCTGAGGGTCTCGGTGGCTTCCTCAGCAACTTACATGGCAAATGGGATTCGTTCCCGAATCCGAGTCCGAAAACTCGGCACTGTCGCGTCGGTGTTGTGTATGTATTCCTCGTCTTTGGGTCGCGTATACCTATGCATATGTAGCCTTATAATCTGTGTATTTTTTCTTGAATGCGTAATCGAAACATGCGTCTGCGCTCTGGTCTCACTGCTAGTATGACAACCTGTGCCATGCCATAGAGTAGCTATCTTCTGGAGACAGGAGCCGTGTTTGTTGGAACCCTATCTGCTTGCTTCTCGAGGCAACTGAACTGACCAATGCGGCAAAGGAACGTACGTTCGCGGGTGAGGAGGCGCCCGGCGTGCGGAACCCCTGTGCTCCAAACCGCCAAAAATTCGAGGGCGATGACACGCTGGTCCTCTCATAGATATGATTACCCGAGAGAGAACGGCCGGCAGAGCAGTGGCCAGAGTCGTAGCCGCATTGACAGGGTCGGTCTAAAATTGTGGCCCTCGGAAATTGCCGTGCTTTACAAATGCCAGCAGCCGGTGATTTGGGATGGCTCATTCGTGTCTTCTCGCTAACATCCACCTCACCTCTCGCAATCCCCAGAAAACCAGCTCTTGATAGCCACGAACATGGAAACACCGCTCTGGAATTTTCCTTCCTGTCCACCGCACGGCGAGCGAGAGGCTGCCGAGCTATCGGACGCCCAGACTTATGCTGCCTCGGCGAAACTAGCTTTTCTCACTTATCGCATTGGATTTATCTCGAGCTTCGTCTCTGCGGCTGAAGAGACGCTACGATTTCTTTCTACGATATCGTATCCTCTTTACCATTTGAGCGTTCAGGTAAGAATCTTCACAAGTTTCCGCAGGTGTCTGCCGTTGCTAACGAACGTTGCAGATTCTTGAACTTGTCGAGGTATTTAGGATTAGTTTTTCACATCATCAATCATCCCGCTAACGTACACGTAGATGGCTCGGAAGACGTTAGAATCAGCAAAGGTGTTACCGTACCTATGGGCGTCATGTCCTCGGAAACTAGTGCCACACAAAAGGGTGTACGTAGAACTGCTACGAGCGCTTCGGTCGAAGGAGTGCTACATAGATCCAGAACACTACGGTAGGACATTTTCTCGAAGAGTGAGCGAGTACTGACTGCAACATAGCTCGCCTGCGAGTTCTGCTATTACCTCTCTCTTCCCGCTGTGCCATCACCAGAAAGGGGACTGACAGCCCCTCAGCGGGATCATTCCAAAACGAGATCCTTGCCACGCCTTACCCCGTTTCATCACGGGCAGCTACACCGCCTGGCGTCATGCCCCGTGAGTCCTCAGCACCTCTTTCATGTCCGGGCCTCGCTGACGGTCCTTTCTAGCGCCTTCCACAGTCCCATCGCAGCAGCCAAACAAGCAGCCACAAAAGCCGAGCGTGAAATCCCGTGCCGAAAACAAACGCCTCTGGACGCCAGAAGAGCTTGCGCCTCCTCCGAGCAAAGTGTCCCACCGTAAGGAGCTGCGTATGCAGTGGGCGAATCGCGAGAATGCCGCGCCTGCAGAGGAGCAAGAAGTGGTATTCCGTCCTGTCCGGTCACGACTCCGATTCGGTATTTGCTTCTCAGCCAAATCGCCCATGAACAGCGGTGTGTATAAGCAGAGGCACCGCGTCACTCGTGTATCAAGCGTCCGTTCTCTGATGAACCCAAAGGAATGATCCGCTCACAATCGCTGTAATCCTCCCTTTTTTGTCTCGGCGATACGAACCGTTCAGCTTTTTGTACAACTATATTCACCCTTCTTTCTCTATTTACTTGCACAAACCTACTATCTTCGTGGAATACACTTATAATTATGGTAGAATGTCAAGCCGCAAGATTCCGACCCCGACCCAACCCCTTCGAAGCCTTCCTATCTTGTTGAGCCGCTCAAGACTGCGGGGTGTATCAATTTTATTGCTATTCGCTCGATCAATCCGATAAAGTGGGCAAGGCGTAGCATAATTTCTAAGTTATCGCATAGGATTTGTTCTGTGGCTGCTGAGGAGGAGAAAGAGGACGTGGTAGGTTGTCTTTCAGGCATCTCCCTTAAATTCAGTGGCACTGTGATTTTTCAGAGAAATCAAAGGCTTACAAGAGATCAGCCCAATTCTGGTTAGAGGAAGTTAGACCGCCAAATAGGACCCTTGTTATGGCGCTCGGTGCGCCACTGGGGAAGATAAGATAAGATCGGCGCCTATCGGACGGATCGGACGGCCCGTCCATCATGCATGTCATCACGTCATCACCGCCACAATTTTCCTTTATTTCTTGACATCCTATTCAAACATCGCTCTTTTACTTCTCCATCTCGTGTGTCGAATGTCTCAGTACCTGGCCTCTAGGGAATTGTGATATTTATCTTGCTAATCCGGGTCCAATTTCTACCTCGAGTCTGCGTAACGGAACATCGAGGTACCCACGTTGCCACCATGAAGGCTGCACTCCTGTTGGCAGTGCACAATCCACGATGGAGTTGAATGCAGCAGCTAGTGGACTCCACTTGTGCTAGATCCCGGTTCGAAGACTATTCTCTTCTCCCGAGCCACTGTCGATGAAGGTCGATCTCTTTAACGACGCATCTCGCAACTCGACCAAACTCCCAGGATTCGGCAGTTTATTCCTTTTCCTCGGTCTCGTTACAAATTGCCAGGCATATTGGCTTATGGCAGCCAGTGAGCTCTTTTTATATCATGTGTTACGCAAGGTGGACTCATAGATTCCCAGATAATGTTTTAACAACACAGCGGATCGATCCCGTCGTCGACCCAGGCCAGGTTTCTACGCATGTGCACTCAAGTGAGCCAAGTTTCGTCCTTCCTTTCACCTGTGTAACTCCCTGACTGGATCTAGTCCTTGGAGGAAGCAACTTCGGACTCAACACGTCGACAGCTGCCTTGAGGTTGAGCGAATGCACGTCAATCCCCGTTCGCGAGGATAAGAGCAACTACTGGTACCCGGTATGCTGCGTGGTTGTCCTTTCGTCCCAAATGACGCTGATACATTCTCACTTAAGCAACTTTATTTCCAGTAGGACAAACTGTAGGACGTGTTGCCACAGAATTGAACGTTTGCTAGATGGTCAAACGGGACCACAAGTGTTGTAGGAAATGCAGTAATGTACATACCCAAAGATCTTCCTGATTGATACTAGCACTAATACACCTCTTGTAGCTGTAAGCTTGTTTACTTCGTGCTTTGCTGTAGATTTATCGTTCCGCAAGACTACTTGTTCAGCGATACGCCTGGGACGACAACGGCCTTTCCAGAAGATGTGAGTTGCGCAAGAGTTTCTCTTGCTTATCAGACCTTGAAACCTTAGCAGTTCCGAATGTTCTCAGGCGGGCATAACCTGTACTCTTCTCAAAGAATTATTCTTAAAATTTACTAGGTGACCCGACACTAAGAACCTTCGATCCGTCCAGTTTTGCTCAGCATGCTGTCACGTTCTTGTGTCTTAATTTCAATGGAGTATCTGCACGCTTCGATGAGCTTCCGGGACACCGATGTCCTTCTGGAATTCGCTCCCAAATCGTAAGTCGTTTTGTGGCTGAGAAAATGCTCAAAAAATTCACATTCTTTTAGAATTTCCCTAGCTGCTGGGATGGTGTCGTAGGTCTGCTACAATCAAACGAATGCTCCTTCTAATAATAAAATAATAGAACATAGACTCTGTGGATCATCAGTCTCATGTGGCCTTCCTGTCTAGTGGTCCTGATAACGGAACATGCTCAGATCCACGATTTCCCAAGACTCTGCCCCGTATTTTCCTGGAGGTACATATAAATCCGGTTTCCAGACCTATCATGGAGCTTATCTTGGCCAATAGGTTTATTGGTATACCCAAGCCTTCGACGAGTCCAGACGACACGCAAAAGTGCCCAGTCAACCTTTCGTATTTTCGAACGGCGATCCGATAGGTTACTCATATCATGCAGGTTCGTTTAACGATATCACATCAGTATTGAAGTGCCCCTAATTTAAGCCCTTCATAGACTTCATTAATGGATGGGATGTCGGCGTTCTTGAAGGTGCCGTCAACGAATGCAACTGCAATCCTTACGGAGATCCCTCTTGCTGCATAGCCAAAGGAATCTTCAGCATGAACCAATTCAATAGATCCTACATCAGCAATATTGTGGACGAGCTGAGTGCGTTGGTTTCTGCATCTTTTTAATACCAGCCTAAGTGCCACCACCCCACAGCACTCGGTTCGCTGGATGCGCTACCTGGAAACAACCCAGTGCAGGCCCACTGTTACGAAACCTTCGTCGACCCCGTCACGCCTGCGCTCTTATCCCCCGTATATGCCCTCCATTCAACTGACCAGCCACCACCTCGTGGTACCGTAAGTCTATCCGCACAGACGGCCATTGTCTCCCAAACAGCTACAGGGAGATGCATTGGCAATAGGGCAAGGGGCCTCGCGCCAAGCGGTGTGATGGCCATCTTGAGTGCCCTTATTCTCTTGTCCGTGCGGCCGCTCATATAAACTAGTCTCGGCGGTAAGCTCCTGGAAGGGCGTGACGCGTATAGCTACATCCCGAGTGCATAATACTGTGATTCACATCCCGGGCTTTATTGCCGTCTTCCAAATTTATCATACCGAGAGAAGAGGAAAGGATATCGAACAGGATTGACAGAATGGGACAAAAGGAAGAGAACACCAGACGGTCTTGGACTTCATCCACTCCCTTTTTCTGGCGACCTTTACGTCTTGATTATTTCGGAGTAGCTAGACTATTGACAGGTAAATGTAATTGACCTCTCTTGTTCGAATTACAAAAAGCTTTTCCCTCATACTGGGGGCAGAAGCCTGAACCCTTCATATTTCGTGTCAAGGTGTTCCTGAGAGGCGCAAACTGAGTTCCGTATAGATATTTCAAATTATATTTACGACTGTCAGCCTTGCTGCTCTTTCAACGTCCTTTTTCTGAGCCCCGAGGTGTCTGACATCCAGCAGCGGGTCAGTCAAGTAAAATGTGGGGAAGGGATCGATCATGATCGACGGGCTAAGTTTGGTGCCGATGGCAGATAGGTTCATAAATCGACAAAGTTGCCATTGTAGCTCGGCCCTATTACTGTCCCTGCGGCAGTTAGACCTTTGCCTTCGCCCCCTAGTGTCTCGACGCTGAAGTCGGCGTTAGAAATTTACGAACAAGAATGCCCGATATATTCGACAGGCATCGAGAGGAATCCGGGTTCGCGTTCCTAACAGACAGCATGAACAGCTGAAATGGAGGGCTGGGTCCTACTCGTGTACCTCAAAGAAACGGTACAGATAGCCGCTCGTCGAGAGACAAAATCCAGTGAGGACCCGCTCTTCAGATTCGTCAGCCCTCAAAGTACTGCTCTACCCCATATCCTCGTTGCTCTCCAATGGCACCACAAGTCGAATTCACGCGCGACGGCATCTTCAAGCTCCACGGCCGTGCGCTTGTCGAACGTTACCTTGGAACTGAGGACAAGAAGACGTCTGACGAAAAGAAGAAGTCTCATGACAAGACGCCCGTCCCAGAAGATAGGAAGTTGAAGGTCGGCATTATTGGAGCAGGCGTTGGCGGCTTGTACGCGGCGCTCATGCTGCAGTCGCTCGATATCCCTTTTGAGATCCTCGAGCGCTCCGACCGCGTTGGAGGTCGCCTCTGGACCAAGAAGTTCGAACAAGGCGGCCGCTACGATTACTACGTGAGTCTATTTTCTCCGCAAGTCATCATGAAATCCTCTGACGTACCATTGCTTTTGGAACATTGCAGGACGTTGGTGCGATGCGCTTCCCACTGCCGGAGCAAGACCCCTTCGGGAACTACAAGGGCGGTATCATGCAGCGAGTCGGGAACCTCTTCAACTACCTCAAGATGCAGGACAAGCTTCTCCCCTACTACTTCAAGTCCAACGGCAGCCCCGGTTTCCAATATTTCAACGGCGTCCGTGCTCGCATTGGCGATGGCGCTGACTTCGGCGCGCCGTTGTTAGGTATCGCACAGGAGCTCATCAACAAGGGAGTCTCCACCATCGTCGACGACGTCGTCGGGAAATTCGCCCAAGGGATCTATGACGACTTGAAGACTAGTGGTGAGGAAGGCTGGAAGGAGATGATGGCGCATGACGCGTACTCGACAAGGGCGTATATGGCGTTCAAGTATATCCCCAGCCCGTCGCTAGGGTTGCCAGAGGCCCATTTCCCCACTCGGGTGATCAACTGGTGTGAGACCTTCGACAAGAGCACTGGATGGTATGATCGCGGCCTCACGGAAACGGTCCTTGAAGCCCTCGCCTTCGGTGACCAGCCCAAGGAGGTGAAGAATAAGGTTAACTGGAGATGCATCGAGTATGTGAACACTTATGAGAAATGCATAGTTACTGACCTAACCTTTCGCAGCGGAGGCTCCAGCGTCTTGCCAGAAACCATGGCGGCTGTCGTCGAGGAACATTCGAAGCCTAAGGACGGGCCAGTTATCGTGATGAAGACACACGTAACTGCGATCGGACAGCGCGATCCTAGCGATCCTCGTTCGCCTATGGTCGTCAGAGTCCAAGGGCAAGATGACCGCGAGTACAATCACGTCATTTCAACCCTCCCCCTCCCCGTTCTCCGCACTCTCGATCTCAAGAACGCTGGCCTCGACATTCTGCAGAGCAATGCCCTTCGTCAACTACAGTACGGTCCGTCCATCAAGATCGGCATTCTCTTCAAAGAGCCTTGGTGGACGACAGGACAGGACAAGGACGGGGTCAAGTTCAACATCATCGGTGGCCAATCCTACACCGACCTTCCCATCCGCACGGTGGTCTACCCATCCCACGGCGCAGGTACCGACACGCCTTCGAACACGCTGATCGCGAGCTATTGCTGGACCAACGACGCGGAGCGACTCGGATCCCTCATCAATACTGGCAAAGAAACATACGACGAGCAACTCAAGGCGCTTGTTTTGAGCAACCTTGCAGAGGTCCACAACGTCAGCGTGGAATACTTGGAGGAACAATTCGCCGATATCCACGCCTGGGATTGGAATCACGATCCTCTGACAATGGGTGAATTTATTGTCTACTCGCTTTAGGACACACTCGGACTCACCATGACATGCAGGTGCCTTTGCATTCTTCGGTCCTGGAAACTTCGACGACATGTACACAAGCCTTAACCGTCCAGCAGCAAATGGCAAGCTTCACTTCGCTGGAGAAGCCCTGAGCGTCCGACACGCGTAAGTCTCTTCCGTTCCAATCGTTGTGGTGGCTGGAACTGATGATGATATGTAGCTGGGTTGTGGGAGCTCTTGACAGCGCGTGGCGCGCTGTTTACAGTTATCTCTCGGCGACGTATCCGAGTAAGTTGGACGAGTTCCACAAGAAATGGCAAAAGAACGCGGAGTGGAACGACCCAGTTGATGGTCGGAATGCTGAGCAATCACCAAAGGCCAAGCTCTTAGAGAGGTTCCTCCGCTTCGACCATTCGAGGAATTTCAATGCCATCTAAGCACAAAAGAGCGAGATTGGTCATTAGTGCGAAGGGTGCTTGACAATGCTTGTCATAAACATCTTACGAGTCGTCTTTCTACGGGCCCATAAATGCAAATCTAGACATCACGTTTACTCCTATCCATGTTCATGTCTGGAATTCTCGTATGTGTCAACTTGATCTACCCAAGAAGAACGGGTTTACCTTAGTCAGTGTTCAGTTGAGAAGGGCTCCTGAACCGATGGTGAAAAGCTGCCGTCATGATTGCATGACGCGTTCGTGGGAATTTCTAACCAATACTGACGGCTCTGGTCGGATTACCTACAGCCTTGCCAGCCTACCACAATTGAAAACGACAGCGTGAGCAATAGCCAACATGGACTCGCCATGGGATGAAAACAGCGACAACAATGTGATAAAGGATACAGAGTGGTCGAGGATCTCTTCCGAATTCACGAATGTACGTCATCATGGTTCATTCTCATCCAAAAATTGGTCTCGAAAACTCACGGAAAGGTTGGCTATCGTGAAGGAATCACCGCTGGGAAGGAAGGGGCTCTCCAGGAAGGGTTCGACTCTGGTTTTGCGGACACCGGTGCTCCGATAGGCAGAGAACTTGGGCTCCTTCGTGGAATCTCGTTGGCCATCTTGATCTTTCTTCAAACACTTCCCGTAATTGAGAACTGGAAACTCGTGGATGAAGCTACAGACATATCATCACAGCTATCTAGGATCCGATTCTCCGACATCATGCCTCGCGATTTAGAGGCTGAAGAACACGCGCGACAGCACCTAGAGGCCGAAGGTGTGGAGCTAGATGAGAACGAGGAGATCGCGGCGAAGCGCGATGTGGAAGGGATTGAAGACATGCTGGCGAATTTGGTAGCTGGTGGTGCCACTTCCACCTCGTCAAGCAATAGACCTACTGTGGAGGACATCTACGCGCTGAAAACGCGCCTGTCTTGGTTGGGTGAACGGCTCAAGCTGAGCTTCGATTGGAACTAGGTGCGTTTTAGGCTAAAGATTGCATGAGCTAGTTCTCTAATGTGCTCTGTAGTCCCCTCTCCCCCTCAAAATTCTATCCATGCAATCACATTTGCCACCCTCTGACTTGTTCACTAGAACGGGATCCTGAAAAAAAAAACTGAGACTGTCTCTGAGGGGCTCACTTTTGTGACCGTTCACCTAAACGCGTCAACGCTTGGGCAGGTCATCAAAACCTGCACGGAGTACTACCAGATTCTTAATTGTGCCACCGCCAACGGAGGTGGGATTCTTTACTCCTTTAAGCTCACAAATTGTGCATGTAATGTCTCCGGTTTCCTCGCATACAAGTTAATTATGGCTATTCCTTGCAGCGGGCCTACGGAACACCCTCCACCCACCAAGTCATACTCGGCGTTGACCCACCCTCTAGAAATATCCGCCAGCTGTTCAAAGGAGGCGATGGGAAGGTTGATGCTATTAATTCCAGTCTCGGCATACCGTGCACCAATCCTCGACAGTGGCCAGGACAGTTCTTCCCTTGGCTGAATATGAAGCAGGAAGATCAGTCTCGTCGACGGCATGCGCAGCATTCGTATAAAATCAAATTTCAATGTCTTCTCGGCCTTGACCTTGATATGCTCTTAGCATAACTGAAACGTGAGGTCGAAATCGGCAAAGTCCTGCCTGGTTGGTGTCGGCAACTTCCACCGTTACAACCACCGGAAATGCGGATTCTTCTTGGACCCCAATTGTAGTAGGACGCTGGCAATGGATAATCAGGTACATCTTCGCACAGATTGTCACTTTGAAAGAGTTAATACCCCGTCCACTAATTGCGCGGACTGCTCGCATTTGCAGTCATTGTGACGATGAGAATATGACCAAAGTGCACATTTCTAGGCAGAAGCGAGCCCAGGAGCTAGTATATGTTGGGATGTTGCTCGTAGAACGAAGTATATCCCTTCTCGGTTCACCACAGCCTCGTGTACGAGAGACTCTGCTCTTATACGCGAATGCGAGTTCTGGCTTATTTTGGGATGATTGCCTCCATCTCCATGGACAGTATCACGGTGAATAAGTGAGACAAGTATTTCTGGGTTTGAATCGACCTAGGGCTTGTGTTGCATTGTACCGAACCGCTTGATGGGCATTGGAGCGAGGGGTAGCTGGATAATACGTATGTCATGTTCCTCGCACATCGCAAGAAATCCCGGTGAGACATACTTGGGGTACGAGAAGGTTTTTTAAGTGCCAGAGTTAAACCTGGGAAGAAGGCTAGCCTGCCGTCATTGTAGGCATGCATCACGATCAAGATTCAAGTCAAATAGAGCGCCCAAAGTCGACCCGGGTTAGAAGAAGAACTTGATAGCGGTCATTGAGACACTCTGCCTTTCTGACTTTGAAACTTATTTGTATCCATACCAAGCACCGAGGTAGGGGTCTATGATAAGCTAGGCTGTGCGCATCCAAGGCATACCATTTTGGGTAAATATTCCTTTTTCTGGACAGGATCAAGTTTCTTCCCCGCAGAGTGCGGGTCATGCACATGGCACCGCGGTCCACCATGTGTTGATCAAGGATGTTTATCTTTTCCGGTGATATTCCATGCCAACTGCGCAGCAAGAACATCTGATGATTATTTCTGCTATGTACAATATTCAAGTTCTGTTTTCCCTTCCGATTCTTGATCTATGAAGTAAAGAACGAGTCGTGTATATACAAGCTGCCAGGGTCCTTTCCAAAAGCAGACGATAGTAATGAGTGTTGTGGGTAACGTACGGGTTCATTCAGGGTATAAAATCTAGCGCGAAAAGTGTTCAGTAAGAAGGTCGAGTAGGAGAGGGTGTTCGTGGGCGAAGAGAAGGTTTAGGAAGGTGCAGTACACCTACAGCGCTAGATTTCGTGGCCTTTTGAGGGAATGAATGGTGGGTAGGTTCCATCGTTGGGAGAGGGTGGGGGATTCGCATCGTTCATGCTACCTGTCATCGCTGTGTGAAACGACGCGGTCGTCGACGTTGTACGGCTGACCGTTGTCCCATTAGAGTGGCTCTCTGGTGCGCCGACGCTGCTTCCACCTTGATCGGTGAAGCTCGTGGGGCTTGACATACGCCTCATCGCGATGTCCGATCTACCCACCAGTTCTCCATGCTCCGAGGTCGTCATGTTTACAAGCATCTCCGCTCTCATAGATAGGCTGTTCGCGCGACTCGGAGGATTGCTGCTCTGTGGATCGTAGTCGCTAAACGAGAGCAGGGTGTTGCGCGTCGGTGGTCTGCTTGACGTGTACATGCTCCCGTTGCCCTGGTGGCTGGAGGCGCCGAGGCTTCCGACTTCGCCAGAGCCCATGGACTCGATGGTAGGCATGCGTCTGATGACCCCATTCAGCACCCGCACATTCTGGTCAGGGGGGTACGGAAGGCCAAATTCGTTGTATCCGAGAGCTGGAGGGACGCGAGGGAGGTTGAACAGATTCTCGGGGTCGATGCTGGGTCGATCGTAAATGTGTTCGTCGGACTCGTCGCTATCGTCTTCGTCGTAACGGTCATATTCCGAAGAATAGCTTGGAGGACGACCCCTAGATAGTGCATCTGGTGAGGATGCACCATCTGACCGAGCGCCACCAACTGCCTCTTCTGTCTGGTTCGTGATTTGGGATGAGGAATGGAATCCGTCATCGGATGCGTTTTGATGAACCTCAGCGGCCTCGACCACACTCGACAGACCAAACGAAAGAGGCTCCCCCGAGCAAGACTCGCCAGACAGGCCAGAAGAGCGTGACCGTGCCAATCTTGTTCGGCTGGGGTGTCGGGAGGACGATTCGTCGACCAACGTAGCCTCAGATGCTTGACGCTGTGCGCTGAGGGTAGAAGGGGACGCGACATCTCCCGATATGGATGGTGTAGACGCAAACGATTCTGAGCGGAGATGGCGGTGTATCGGACGTCGATGAATTCCGGGATGCAGAAAAGAGATGGCGTGGTAGGCAATCTAAGACGCCTTCTGTTAGATAGCGAAAGTTCGAATGAAAGATAACATACAATGGCGGTGAGGGTCAGGGCGAGACGGACGGTGGAGATGATAATCCAAGTAGACCATGGGGATGCCGGATCACATTCTCTTCCGTACACAGACCAGACTACGTCGACGTCGACTCGACATCGGTGGGCCAATGATAGTTGGGGATGAGGGGAGTCCTTCCAGAAGAAAACGAGGGCGAAATTGACAGCTGCAGGAACGAGGAGGGCGAAAGAGGAGAGGAAAAAGAGGGTCGCTCGGACATACTTCAGGTACTTGTACACTACACTCTGGATTAAGAGCTTGGGCTTCAACACCCCGAGAACCTTGGCGGAGAAGGCCAGTGCGAACGAAACACCCGCACTGGTACCGAGGGCGAGACAGAAAGTCTGGCCGACCGTGTCGTTATGCGCTGAAAAGGCGAAAAAATACCGAACGGCGTTGTACGTTGCCCATGCAGCTACAGAGAAGAGGGCTTGTCAGTACCAAGGCGGAACTGACGCGATCAGGGGAAGCTCGCCGATCCAGCGTGATCGACCGGAGCGGGTGGAAGAGGCGCCGCCAAAAATAGTGCTATTGCTCACCCATGACGACTTCCAGTGCCATCTTGGCCCAACCCCACCGACCCTCTGGTCTTCGGATTCGACCCCTCCTCCATGGCCGTCCTTTCTCTCCCAGACCTGGCGGATGACCGCCGTCCAAGGTGACGCGGTCGTCCCATCGAAGTCGAGCTGGCGTTCCATCTGAATTTCGGGGTTGTCGGGAGAGTTGCTCAAAGTATGCGGCTGTAGCTGGTGCGGTGGCTGTGGGCTGGAGGAGCGGCTCGTTCGGGTGTGAATGGACAGTTGTGCTGGTTAAGAGGGTCGCGCTCGAGATCGTAGAGAGGTTTCTGGAATGAACAAGACTGTCGCGTGGTTCTGGAGGGTTGCGGGCGTAGAGAGCGTTGTGAAGATAGACCGCTGCCATCAAACTGTGGTATCCAGCCACTAGGTTACCATTCACTGACGGATGCGGACTCTGAAGGTATATCGTGGTCAAGAGACGATTGTAGACTAGTGAGCCATAGAACCTTTTGAACCCTAGTCAGAAAAATAGTAATAAAGGGACGAAAAAAGGTCCTCACCAACGACGAGAGAAAGAACCGAGGGACCTTGGATACACCGATGGAAGTGAGAGGAAAGGTACGGCAGCACGTTCCTGTTTTCCTGGAAAGGTCGGTCTTGGCATCAGTGTTTGGCAAGTCAAATTCAATCAAACAGCGGCCCGCCACGGCGGCGCCCACATTTACTTTTAAAGGGAAATTGCGCAGCGGGAAGCAAGGGGCTTTGAGGTGGGCAGGTCGTTTGGTTAACGGTCAAGCAGACAGAGTACTCAATAAAAGGTGTGATTACTGATAAATGAACCCGAACTCATCTATCCATCGCGAACCAAAATTGAATTCACCATCCCCGCAAAGTGAAGCGCCCAGGCGGGACGTCATCCGTGCACTGCCCACACGCCATCAATCGCGGTTAGTGAGCAATTAGACGCAGCCGAATGGGCAGACCGAATGCCAGGATTTTATCATGGCTATCTCTTCAGCTGTGAAAAGCCATCAGGACTACTGGCATCCGGGAAGAAATCCCACACTTGAGATTCGAAAGCTTCTGAGTGCCCCCGAGCGCTCATGTGCTCCTCCATAGGGGTTTCTTTCCGGTCCGTTGACGTATGCATCACCCAACTAATTGAAACATTGAAGGTGTGCATGGCATTGGCCATGGACAGCCTCGGACAGAACTTGCGGAATTTACGGCATGCACACGGAGGATTCCAGCCTATCGGCATTTACACCCCCTGGTCCCCATTTTGCAATAAAGGAGCTGCGCGGGCATTGCAAGCCATAGCCCAGACTGTGCCACAGCATCGTCAGCCTGACGGAGCCATACTCTTGACATTGCAATGCATCGCTATCAAATGCTCAAATGCACAGAGTTGTTCCTGAATTCTTCACTCTTTCAGGTCGGATATAAGTACATCTTTCCGAACCTATGAAACGGGAGAAGGATTCGGACCCACAAGGACTAGTAGTAGGATCCAATGCACAGGGAAAGAGTGCGTCATACCCAGCACAGATGATGTTGAAATTCTGAAGGTATCATCCGAGCAAGGGTTACGAGTTACATAGAAGCCTAGAACATCTTAGTCAAGCCGTCATATCTCTGTCCGAGCGCGTTCATGTAGTCCAGGTTATTCGTATTCGCACAATTTTTAGCAGTTAGACTGGGGGCAATAGTTTGGACCAGAAGTTGCCCCGTGTATCCGAGCACTGCACCGAGCCGGGTTCGGATTCAGACTAGCTCGGTGACTCTGCACTGAAACTATAGATCTCACCTGCAGTAGGAGACCTCTCCTGTCGAATGCAACAGCTAGCTTCTTGCGTTATGGCATGTAACATGTACTGAGCCGTTACTCAGGGAGTCGGTTGTTGAACACGACACTTTAAGGCTTCTGAGCTCAAGTCGGTCCGAAGTCCAGCTGTGGAGATCTCAGGTAGTTGAGTGGTGGAGAGAAGTTGTCATACCCAGTTGAGGCCGTACTTATCGGCTCACAGAGCGTGTGATGGAGCAAACTTGTTCTCAAGGTAAGGGAAGGGCGCCGGCGGAGGCAGTTTCATCGAGACGAGGGAAACCAATAACAGTCATGTACTTATCAAAGGGTTGCATTGGATTGGGTTGTTCTTGGCTGGAAAGCTCCGCCGCTTCAACGCATAAAACTCGGATAGGGCTGCCTGAGCAACGAGAAGCCGAAGTGCCGCAGACATTCCCGTCTTCCAATGTTTTTTATTTTTATTGCAGAAGTATCCCAGACGCCAGCATAAAGGTGCTCGACAGGAAAGGCATATGAAGGACACCGTGTGTCGCCAGAAGCTAAAACGCTGAGAGGACCAGGCGACGAACGGTTATCTATCGAAAGAGCTGACGATGCAGGCACCCTTCCGGCATCCTCGCTATCATATCTCCGTCGGCAGGGTGGGCTAAGGGTAAGGAGAAGGGAATCCATGAGAAGAACAAGTGGATGAAGTTACTTGGAAACATCAGCGGTAACGTTTCATTCTGTTTCCTTCTTCTTCCTTTTCTTGGGCTTCGCACGAGCCTCACCGGAATCGTTGACCGGCGCTTCTCGCTCCCGTTTTACTTTCTGTTCACGGGCGCCGGATGTGAGGTTGTGAGGTGCTGAGGCCGGAGATTCAGGTAGCACGGGCTTGGTATCCTTAGGGTCATCTACGCCCGCGGGTTTCAGGAATTCTGTCGGTGCTGCCTCTCGAGCCTGAGTTCGGAGGTCGACGCCAACACCACCACTTTCAAAGATGGCCTGTCGTGCGGTTTTGGAGTCTTTGGTCTTCGATTGCTGACTCGATGTCCGTGAGCCACTTATCGAGGTGGGTCTGTGGACAGGCTTGCGGTCCGTGGGAGCAGGAGGAGGTTCGGCAGCTGAGGAAGGTGGCAGGAAGGCCGGTTCGCTGGACGACTGCCAGATGAGCTTGTCAGTCGAGAATTCGAACGGGGAAACAGAAGATATGAACCGTTTGCAAGACTTCCTTCCCATCCTTATTGAAAACACGGCGCCCATGTGTCTTCCGTGAGGTCGTCGACACGTCATCTGTTTCGTCGCTTTTGTCGAAGAGAAATGGGAGATAAGAAGCTTCATGGACTTCCGACAACCTAGATGTCTGGCGTACGATGAACCATGGCGAGATATAAAACATATTACTCACTGTGACACCGTATCTTTTCCCAAACCCCATGCGTCCCTCACTGCTTGACTAACCTCCCACTTGCCGTCATCCTGCACTTCTGCTCGATCGAGTTCCACCTCCTGAAGTTGATTTGCACGTTGCGCATTTTGCATGAACTTGAGGTTCAAGGTCCCCTTGCTTATGGTCTTCGACATCTTTCGTAGTCGTTGAAGAGTTTGTGATCGCAAACTCGGCGATGATTATGTAAGCTCTAATTTCCGTTTTAGGCATACCCAGCGCCTGGTTCAGGACTTTTGCGCCTTGGGCTTGAACCGCGATTAATCAAAGTTGAGAAAATTAATGCTTCAACCCGTGCGCGCGGTGAAACCGAATATTTACTCCATTAGTCCCGAGTGTTTCTCATTGGATGGTGTAGCTACCAATAACATCCTGCGAATCGTGCGATGCTTTCATCCACATCTGGAACTGAAATCGTACCTCACTTACTACTTCTTATCTTTCAAGCGATTTGTTCAATACTTAAATAATTACTCTATACAATGATCTAAGATGTGTGATGTCTCTAGTTTTTACTCCTGCTGTTGTGAGGTTGCATACATTTCAATGTTTTTCGATGATGACAGAGTCATCTAATATCACTTGGTTACGGTCTGGCGTCAAGTAATTAGTAGTGTCCAAGAACAGAGGCCGAGGGGGATAATTTTATTTCTATCCTGCTGCCCACGGAATCTGCGACAGATCGCCGTAGTCTTGTCCTGATGCCCACTCTTATTGGACGCCGCTTAATGCACAGCTGGGAATGTCGACAGCTGGTCCTTATCAATTTGTGATGAAGACACGAAAAGTCTGAAATGTGATATCGCAGATTCGAAGAAAAAGAATATGGTAGTCAAGGTTCTTACAAGGACATTGTAGTTCCGATATCCGCTCGCTTCGATTCAGGGATTCCAACATCCTCATGTTGCCGTGTCACTGTGTGGCGCATCCAACACAAAAGGAAACAATTTATCACGGTCCTAAGCGACTAGCTAAGACAACCCTATCAACGGGTTCTTGAACTCTATAGAGATTGTTCGGTCTAGATTTTGAAGGTCTCTTGAAAGGGGGACCGTCTTCCATGAAATGGACAGGCTTGATTTCAAGTGGGCGTTCATCGGATCTACACTGGCGAAAGGGGTTCAAAGCAATTCCCGGGACACAACCATATCCGATCGAGGTGCCCTCGCCCTCATGACAAAACCTTGACAGGAAAGTTCTGGCGTGCCAGTCGCAAGACCTGACGTTTACAATGCCCCCGACTTACGAGAATTGGGCTCTCAGGCTCGGTTCTAGAAGCGAACATATCAAGCATGGTGCTCGATCCCTTCTTTTCATACATAGTAATCGTCCAGATTAAGTACCTGCCTTCTGACGCGACCTGTCAGTGGCACTCGGTGTATTTAAGGTCAGAATTGTAGCGGCGACGTAGAGGACCTTCTTCAACAGGAACACATGCTGCAAAAATACCCATTCCGTAACCCGCGTGTAGACACGTACCAGGCTTTAAATAACGGTCTACGTTTCCACCTATAAGTCCGCTTTGACATTTCCCTTTCAACCCACAAAACAACGGACTTTGAATCTGTCGGGAAGGGAGCTAATTGAACATATCCAGGAGCTCCTCTTATTTTGGGCCGGTCTTCAGTAGTTTGTCTGACCACCGTGGAGTAAGAACTGTAGGTATGTCTTCTGGAAGTAAAAAGATTGATACGAGCCGTCAATACTAGAAGCGAGAAGCAAAATGAAATGACACTTGACTCCAAACGAATAGGAAACGAAATGTCCCGGTGACCGTCAAATAGTCTCGCCTGAACAGAAGGATCGGAAGGAGTGTGAAGCAGAAGAAAATGAGGCACCGATAAAGCTTTCGAGTTGCAGGCCATGGGACCCGAGTCGTTCAAGAACCCTTGTTGATCGTCAAAAACCTCCATGTCGGCTATAAGGGCGGACGAAGAGAAAGCCGATACGGGTGAGTATGAGGCAGTGCATCGTGCGAGGGTGTGCAGGCAGGGATAGCTTTGAGCCTGCGCCACGAAAAGGCGAGTTAGCAGCGAGCGACCAAACAAGAACCCAAGTCGATTCGTTCGATTGTCAATGGTGCGGTCATCAAACGCGCTTCGAAGAAAATAATTTGGACGATTCTGTCTTCGCAATGGAGCTTTCGGGTTGAGTACAACTCCTCTAGGAACCGATAGGCACGGAGCGTTTGAACATCGGAATATCGGTTAAGAAGCCGAACGGGCAGAAAATGCGGGGAATCATTTCGTCGATATGGGCTACGATACAGCGATTCAATTAGGATTGGCGCCAATGCTCGGCCGTGGTGGGCCCGTTGACCAGCTGAGCAACCACTTTCCTGTTCGGATCCTTTGCTTATCGTCCTTATGTAACTGACGTGGTCATCCGAGGCGAGGGCGAGCGAAATCAGTTCCGGAGCGTGTAATTGTGGGTAACGGGATGAGCATCATCTGATACAGATACAAGCTCAAGCGGACCACGGTGATTTACAGACATGACGCCAACAGATATCGCGTCATTTAGCACACTGACATCGATCACGGAAGCATGCTGCAAAACACAGTTAGCGCTAGCTATAGCTCACGGCATGATGCATTCGTGGGATCCTGGCTAGGCCTAATGATACTCGGCAAGATAAGTCAAGCACTTGAAATTCGAGTTAAGAATAGGCCAACGAGGTGCCCAGCATATTTGTCTCCAGATCACCTCCACCAGAAAGTTCGGGGAGAAGTAAACCACAGGGCAGCGGGAGTAGCACAGAATGCCCAGCGATTCTCGAGAAGTCCGTCGCGGGAGGAATCACCCCACTAGCTGCACTGTCACTCGGGAGAAGAAGAGACGGGCGAGCAATAACAGCTCATGGACCTGAGCACTCGCAGCAACTTCGACGAAGGATGTGCCTTGTGATCATCGCAATGGCCACGCCGACGATCATATCCGGCACGGAGATGAGGTGGAAGAAGAATATATGAGCTCTTCCTAGTGCGAGATATAAACGCCTCAAGTAAGAGTGGATCCAGCGAGCGTTCCTGGCCGCAAGCGGGAAGCCGACGACATCGTCGTCTGATATCGTTGTGGATAAATAAAGCGGTAGAAGGCCCGAGAGATAGCCAACAAATTTGAGCGTGCGCACGGGGACAGAATTCGAACGAGAGAAGCAGCGCGGGGTAAGGAGGCTAGCGACAGATGTACGGAATAGTACATAGACCACCCGCTCCGCAAGCCAACTCAAAATCAAAACCAGGATGAGATGGAGGGGCGAGATCCCAGCAAGAAGAGTCAGAAGGTCGGCATACGAAGTGGGATGAACGGCAGTATCAAAGGAAGGCCAGTGCGAGTTGCATCAAGAATGTGGGACAAACGCAGCCAATGCGGCTGTCGCAGGTAGGCAGGCAGCTCGCCGGCCCTTCAAGCTTCAAGTTCCATGCACTCCGAGGGACCGCGCCGGCAAATCACACAGGGATACGCTCCAGGAGCGAAAGAAGGTCGCCCCAAGGGAAGGAACGCAACCCATGAGAAGCTCACAGACCGGGAAAAGAGACAGCAGCTTCTTCCTTGTGACGCTTCTAGTCTCCCGTTTCCCGTCCGGGCCTATGCACATACGCGGTGGGGGGTGGTAGAAGGGGGAATGTCATCGGACACGGACGGCTTTCGCCAACGATTCTCCGAGCTTTCCGTTAAGAGGATGTGCTCTCGCACCAGGGTATGAGTGTGCATGGGCACGGGTTGGCGACGTCGTTGATTTCATATGGGTCGACAGATTGTGCGTTGCCTAGAGGGGAGCTCGGTCGGACAGTGGGCGATCTCCAGCTTGTCTCCAGCCCCAGGTGCCTCTGGTTATGTCCAGGTAGAAAACGACTGCGCAAAGTCAGGAGAGAAATAAAGTTAACGGCTGCATTAAAGGTGTCGGTAAGCATCTGGGAGTCGGACTCGGAGAGACAAACCATGCGAGACTTACCGTCATAACGGGATTAAAGGGACCCATTGACAAAGAAACACTTACGGCGTGGCTTTCAGTGTACGAAAACGCCCGAGGTTGATGTCAACTACAAGTCAACGAAAATAGACACGACTGTGAAAAGACGTCCCTTGGGACACACCGGGAAGTTCTTCCAGTGTTTCGAATTTCCTTTCGAGGAGGTGCTTCTGGTGATCGTGTTTCGTATGTTTTCTTGAATGAAAGGTACGGCAGGTGGATTCCCCCGCCAAGCACATAGAAGTACCTCGGGCCCTGCTGTGGGGCAAAGTCGACAGGGATGAAAACGTTAACCTGCGGATTAATACTGTCAGTGTTCGAGGCGATTAATAACATAACGAGGGGACGCTGCGGGAAATTACCTCGCACACGATCGAAGGCGGTGTGAGATGTGGGTGTTCCCGTGCGGCTCGGGGAGAACCCTCATCCAAACTGGTGACACCGAGGCCATGTCTGTACTCATACACCGAGGCCATGTCTGTACTCATACATCGAGGCCTAAGCCTCTGTCATAATGCTAGTGTGCAGACAGCTAACAGGCATATCAGGGTGTATAAAACCCGAAGACAGGTGCTGTCCATGTCCGAGCGGCTAAAGATAATGGAGATGGTGCTGTAAGCCGTGCATACGCCGATTGTGAGAGACGGGGGAACTAGACCGCGTAGTAGGTGTGCTTGATGAAGAACCACCAGCGCCCCACTCTTCGTACGTCGGTTCTCCATTTGAAAGGAGTTCCAGGGAGAGTGCTGCCATTGGCAAATTGACAAATTGATTCCACTTGACGTTAGTGGGTGCCTACGCGGGCTTGACTGACTGGTGCTTTCTATGGGGAAGCAGACCAACTGGAAGAAACGCACCCTTTACGGTCGACAGTAGGGTGTTCAGAATAAATTCCTGTCATAACACAAATTAGTGCTACGGCATTACCTGTTTTAAATACAAATATTTGCGTGATGAGAGGATGCTCGACGATGGTCTCGAGCCTAGGTCATTCCAAGGCAGCGTGATGTGCTGACTAGCGGCGTTCTGTTGGACATCTGGGTTACAAATCCATATTGCATTGTCAGAGTCATTAGAATAATGAAACGGTGGGCGACCTTGCCATAATTCGAAGTCGAAGAAAGTACCGGCTTCAATCCGGCGTACGAGTTCCTGCGTCCTCAGGGGAAGGAGGCGAGCCTCGCAGGGGCGATTACGGCCACCTTGAGAGTGCTTCCCATTGGTAAGATACTCCGTTGATCCTGTCAATGGAATTACCTTTCTAGCCCGGGGTGAGGCTCTAGTTTCGATCTGCAGACCCGGACATGAGCATGCCCAACGGAATTGAGCACGTCAGGTGTCCTTCGGGTCTCGGGAGAGTTTCGCCTGGGTCTTGAAGTGGCTCCGTCCGACCTGGTCATGCAGGGCGTGCTATCACCGAGTTTCGAGGAACATTATAAGGTAAACAGATCACCGTGGTGCCCTATACGTGGGAGGGCTATGAGCCGGACAGCGATTGTAACGTCACTGCACATCTCCGTTCATTGTATTGCGCGCCCATATCTGGTGACTTAGTACCAAGCGCCTCGTTGCAAGGTGTTACGGCGTTGCGAGTCGCGGAAAGAAAGGCGAGTGCGTCATTGGGATTTGCGGTGACAGATCGGCTGGAATGGCCCCCTGCTACACGGCTGCTCGTCGGGGATCGCTGCAAAAAGGGGAAGAGCCTGGGAGAGACGGGGATAGATGGGGACATAAATGGCATATTCCTGGACGTGGCAGAACTCGGTGACCGACAGATGCGGCGATGCTAGATGTAGATGACATGTCGGGAGACAGTGAAGAGCATTGATCAGAGGCGTTCCCATCTGAGCGGTTCTGTCAGATCTGGCGTTGAGCACGAGGCACGTGGTGGCCAGGGTCGCTTCGTCGTGAAGGACGTAACCCCGCGCCGGCTTGGCTCACACCCAGATCGAACCAGTCCGATTGCGTTCTTCAAATCTCTCTTCTCCGCGACGCCGCCTATATAAGTACGCCCACAGCCCTCCGCTGCGAAGGATTCCTTCCCCTGCAAAAATGTCGACTGCCTTCCACCTCCGTCCCGTCGCAGATATATCCCCCTCGCCATCTCCGACAGCGTCCACCACCTCCCCAGCCGACCACAGCCCACCCCAGTACAAGGCCCCCTCCGCAATGCGCCCCTCACCCCCCCGGGCAGCGAATGGCGCGCTTCGACGGCCATTATCGCCAAGCTCGCTTCGAGGTGCCTTCTATTCACGTGCTCCTAGATTTGTGTCCTCACCAGCGTCGCAGACGTCGATCTCAGCCAGGCCCCAGACATGGCGCAGCGCAAATACCCTACCCCTCCAACCGGCCACGACCTGATGGCCATGTTCCCACCTGCGCCCCCTGACAACTTTCCTGAAATGCGTCCTGGACCCACCAGCGGATTTTTCCAGCGTCAGGAACGTGCCTTCTTCGCACAAGCGGGCAAGGAGATCGTCCGTGTCCGCGTCGAGGTGGACATGCCCCACGGTTCCGAGCCTGAACCTGTCAAGTCTCGACCTGGAGGTGTGCCACGACCCTGGTTAAATAATGGACCTGCACCCTCGACATCCGCAGCTCCTCATCACTCCCCTGCTCAGGCGCCATCAGCGCCAGTGCTCTACCCTCACCCACCGTCGCGCCCACCGCAACGAAGCACAGTCTCAGTCACCCCTTCACCACTGTTCGCCGCTGCGTCACAGCACACGCCCCCGTCTTCTATACCTCCCAATCTCCACTCGCCTACATTACATCAAACTGGCACAGGGATACGGACACCACCTCAAGACGCCATTCCGCCCGGACCTCCGGGCTCGAAACCAGAATATCCGGTGGAGGAGTATGACGGTGACGAGTCCTGGCGACGGCCTATACCGTACGCGGAGCGCAGACGAGCCGGGAAGCACACAAGGCGTGTTATCGTTAGAACATAAGTCATCATCATCGTCATGACCATCATCCCATCATCCCGTCCAACCAGATAAATTCCGAATTCCGACTAGATAACGAGCTCGCTACGCCTTTTTACGACTTTTTGCCGATCCCCGCGCTATATTATCGTCGGCAATGAACGTCTCTTCCCACATCTAGCGCGGTTGCTGGGTCTTTTATTTCGGGTTTTCTTGAATAAGTTATCTGGCTTTCCCTTCTTTTTTGTCCCCTGCTGTCCTCTCGATCGCTATGCACGTATCACTGTACCATGGTCATTTCGCTCTCGGTCTAATACCTTGTGTACCACCTTCTCCCGCTACGTCGAGTATTATAGCCGCTATCACCTAGTCGTCCATTTTGTACCCTCTTGCTATGCATCACGAACCCCATTCATACACGCATGCAATATCATTGCCTTTTATTCTTGTAATGCACATGGATTTAGACCTGAAGTCGGCGTTTTAGACTGGCAACTACCAACCCCGGTCAGAAGGGTTCCAGTAGAAGCAACACCTTGATCGCGACCTTCAGCCTTCTCTGGTCTGCTCCTACGCCGCCCAAGAAAAAGGCATCCGATTCGGGAGTCGGTTACTCGGGTACTTAGAGCTCTTTGATATATCCTTCCGAGTCCAAGAGCCAAACTGAATGCCCTCTTTGTTCTAAGCGACAATTCAACACCTCACTATTTAGTACGCGCCGAGGGGTGTTCACCGAACTGCAGCTTCGACTTCGAAATTCGAGCCAAACTTCCTCTTCTACAAAATGATCTGAATGCATCGATATCAGGTCCTGCGTGGGATAAAACTATTGAGAAACCCCATTTTTGTGAGAAACCCCATCGCTTATTTGGAAACCCAATTCGCGCTGATAAGGTTTCAATCTCCGCTGTAATTGTGCTCTCGGAAGAGTTAGGCCATGTCAAAGAAATAGGCCGGCATGCAGGGGTGCAATGGTCTGAAATGGTTGGATAGTTAAGCCCATCTCTGGTACTTGATAAATGGTGAGTTTTGGAGAAAAAAAACAGCTAAAAAGGCAAGACGCTGGCAGTGGCGATGCATACTCTCGAAAACTCAGCCAGTGGGCCAGTGGCTCATTGTCGCGGTGAGGAAACAATGAAAAACTGAAGGGGCGCAGCTCTCACCTAGGCCCTTGGCCAAAATGTGAAACGAAGGCTGGCGAGTGCGGCCATTTTAACCAAATTGTCATACTCTCAGTGATCAGGATTCAGAGGGCATCGTCTACTGGAATTTACAATTTATAACCGTGAAATAAGGATGAGAAGGGCTAGATTCAGAAAGAAAGTCGAATTACCAAGATACTACAAGCTCAAGGATCTCCAATCCATGCCCGAGAGCTGCGAGACTTGTGCGAGACGGCAGCAAAGGTCAACTTCTGCGAGCCTCTACTCAGAATATTCAACTCCGCACGTCGGCATGATTCGGCCGGTTAGAAGCACATTCATCGCTTTCACATGGGTTTCTGCGGAAACCCGGGGTTTGACCCGAAAATGGGGTTTCTCAATAGTTTTATCCTCCTGCGTGTACGCAGCATGTCAGCTTCCATCGTCAGCAATCCGCTCTTCTTGCCATAGCAATACACTCTCCCAAATGGGACCGAATCCCGATGGGCCTTCTAGGCTCCGATCTCTTGAAGGAGTCGCCGGATGGACCGCAAATCAGCGTGCTGTAGTTGTGTGATCATGATCGATTTCTCGGACGCTTTAGCGTCAGGTCAGTCAATCGGAGCTGACGCCATAGGGATGCCAGACGCCGTGTGCTCACGCCAAAAATAGGCGGTCCCGTCCTCGGCGCTTTGCTTCAGGGCACGACCGACAGGCGCTGTTCAGGACCCCCGAAAGTACTGCTAGATACCTGAGTCAGATCCGGATAAAAATTGGGATTTTGGACGTTTTCGCCACAGGACTGTCCGGATAAATTTTGGAGAATTTTGGTGAAAATCCCACCCTCGATTGTCCGGATAAGAATCGAGGCAGCTGCCTAAGGCCACAGACAGGTCCGGATAAAAATTGGGCCCTGACAGGATATGAATCCCTCAACTCAACCACCAACCACCAAGCAGACACCTGAACCATTCCACCACATAGTAGATGCTAAGTAACAAGTTCGAAACATGGTTATTGATAGAGCGTAGGCTCAACAAGATGATGAATTTTTTCGGTGATCCCTCTATCCAATTCCATCATGCTTCCACCGAAAATGGGTTCCAAGGTTTACGGGCAGATTGGGAAGTATTCTCTAAGCTCAAGGATAGGATGAAGGATATTGAAGGCATTAAGTAAACGCGGACAGAACAACCTCGGAAGGGAAGAAGATGACGAATAATTCTTCGTTACATAATTCTATCATTATTTGTATTATCTTGAGTTATAACGAGTGCATGAGGTTCAAAAAACGTCCAAAGGGCTGCGCGAGGCGAAAAATGCAAAAAAAAACCGGAATTTTGCGGTCCGGAGGCCTGATCCCCTGTCCGGATAAAAATTGGCGACTTTGGACACCTCAGACGATTTCCGGATAGGAATTGGGCAAATTTGGATAATTTTGTCCGGATAAAAATTGGGCGTCCGGGATCAGGGATTTAGATGGACTTTCGGGGGTCCTCGCTGTTCGCGTAAAGAGAATTCTCCCGGCCCGCACCGAGAGGCTGGGTAAATGTTTTATCTTGCGGGCACCCGCGTTTACTTCCGTGGGTCGGTGCCTGACGCTAACCCGATTATTTCCATATTTGGGAACACCTGCGTGAACTCCCACGCATCCGAGAGGGGAGGTCTGGGCTTGCAATCGTCGGCAAGTTGAAGGAAGTTCTGATGACCTTCGTTTCTGCCTTGGGACGGTGTTCTCTTTCAAAAGCCCTGTGGATCCCCCTGCGAATTACACTGAATGAGGCGATCTGTCAAGACTCAGGCGACTCGTGACCACTGGGTGATTTTCAAAGCAACCGGCGTGTTGAAAGGGGAACAAGAGGAAGAGCGGTACCCGTCGTAGAATACCCGGGATTTTGTCCCTGCACCAGCTCATCTTCATTCAGGCTATCTCAGCCCGCTTAATACATCACCTCGTAGCACCCAAGAACAGGTGCGAGGGTCGCTTCAGCGACAATTAAATAGGTCCTGAGGTTGCGTCAGATACTGCGCATCTGTAAGCGAGGAATTCCCTTCGATTTGGAAAGGAAAATGCGCCTCTGGCATTTACATAAACCGAAGTAGCGACGATCTCCCACCATCAAGAACTCACCCACCCCGTCGCAAAAACAGTCGCGGTGATTCTAGTCCATCCATTTTTCCGGGCTCGATCCCCAGAGAAGAGCAAATTTCGGACAGCCACTGGAAAAGACTACTGCCGTTATGATCTTGTAGATCCACGAGGCAACAGAAGCTTCTCAGAATGCAGGTATTAGTGGTCATTGAGCGGTAAAAAAGGAAGCTGATGTCATACTCCGCTTCCCGTCCACGGGGAGGCGCTGGAAGCACAGCAGGGCGTTATCTATCGCATCTCATCTATGAACGACACCAGACGACACCGCCTTCTCCGGGTACCATTGATCAGGCCTTTTGAGCCATTCCGGTTCGGCATCTTAAAGCAAGCCTGCAGGTGTAAATATCGTGCTTAGAGTAAGAGCTAATTCTTTTAGCCAACAGCTGTATTTCACCGCGGTGCTCTAGGTTGCGAAGACTATCCAGAAGCTCGAGGCTCGAGGGGAAGGATCAATAGTTCAATCAATGCTTCGGAAGGTGGACTCGTCGCGGGCATCTGAGAAGGACATCTTATCAAAGGAATCAATACACCTTGTTCCGAACGGAAGCTTGGGTTATCCTGCAGAAGTTCTGTCGAGCGCTGCGGTTTGAAGAATAGTTTCGGCGCTCCGGGCGATTGCAGATATTTCCAATCGCGATCTGATCATTGAACCGCGAACGATCCGAGCTGGGAGCTGCCCATCCGGGGAGCCAGAGCAAAATAATCGGATGGGAAAGCTGTAAACGAGAGGCGTTCGGCTTGTTCTTGATTTGTGGGCGCCACGCCGCCACCTCCTTCTGACGTCGCCCAAAGAACGTGCATCCCGAAAGCAAAGGCAGTACATAAGGAGAAAGTGATCCGAGCCAGGCCCTGGCAGCTCCCGAGACGGGGAGGAGGGCTGTAAGCTCGGATTCATACCATCCTGATAATTAATTATATCACAATCACGTTCATTGCGCTGCAAGTATAGCTATCGTTTTTGCATCCGGCGCCTCCTTTTGATTCCATTGGGAATAGACGCGGACGCCCGAGTTGATGGAGACTCTGGACCCATGACGCTATCACAAAAAAAGATGAGAGTCATCCGGGGTATAAATTAAATCCTCGAGGGACAGCGAGCAGGGTTGGAAGCAAAATGGGCCAGCTGAAGATGTGCGTCAGCCGTCCTTCAACCTTTTAAATTACTGCATTTGGATAGACGGAAGGCCGGAACAGAGCAATTCGTTCCGTCTGTCTGCGGAGACTTGAGTTCACGGGCCTGGCCTTTCTTGGAGTATTTAATGACAGGATGATGGGCATTGGCGTAGATTCTCTCCGCTGAATGCAAAGCCAGTCTGAACGACACTGTGCCAGAAAGGCTCGGTCTGGCCGATTGCGGTTGCGAACTCGCGGGCATCGTGCTGATAGAGTGATGATTTAGCATTCTGGATACGTCGTTCGCGTTACACGTACTGTCGGAGGTGTTGACGACGGATTAGCTCCAACATTGCGCAGCGCCGGTGGCAGGAAATTGAGCGTGTAGGTGGCACAGAACGTCGGCAGGAAGCATGGTTCAGTCTGGAAAGGCCGTTGTGGCGATAAGGTCATCATAATGGAAAGACGATTCGATCCCTTCCTGGTTGCCCGTACGTCATATTCATGGAGGTGACGCCAACGTGCGGGTCGGAGCGACGTGAGGAGCTCATAGATCACTTGTAGTATCATCTTGGTTATAGACGTAGCTGAACCTTGTGTGATTCATCGTGACGGACAGGCCCAAGGTATGACGTCCTCCAACAAATGTTCGTGAATGATCTGTTCAAGTATCGCACGGTGAAGGCGAACGTATTCCTCACTGATGGTCGTCAATTGGATCAACAGGGGGAAGTGTTCAAAAAACATACAGATTTCGACAGATATAATTAGTTACGCGATATGTCGTGTTGCTTGGGGAGATGGACTAACAGCAATTCCACGAGCGCATCATCCGTCGTTCGGGAGTGGCGTGGCATATTCATAGAACAGGTACCCCCGTGAAAGGTCTTATCCTACAGAATCAGTGCTCACAAGCTTTCAGGCCTGCTATCTTGAGTTTAAATGGCACACGCTGCAGAGCTGTGCGTTCGTGTGCGCGTCTGCCCGTTCCAGAGCAGTCAAAGCCCCGACGGTCCCACAGATAAGAAGCCAGCTCGGCGGCCTAAACAATGTAATCCGGGCGTGGACCAGACGCGGTGTGATACTTTGACAGGATTGTCAGGAATGATGGGCGACGAAGCAAGTTTCCACACATGGACAAGTAGGCATTGACGCAAGGGCCGAGTAATCTCCTCAGTGGTCTGGACGAACAATCTGCGACTGTCTGTCTGACATGACATGTCAGAAGTAAGAGAACAGATCCAAGGAGAAGGTACTTAAAGCTTGAAGGGGCAGGGCAGGGTAAGGACGAACCGAGGCGAGCAGTCATTCCAGGGAGACGTGGGGAAGATGGACCCTTGCGATACGTGTCCCGACGCTAATGACAAAAAAGGCTGTGATCCCCGCGTCAAAGCCACCCAGAGTATATATAGACGGATAGAAGTGATACCACCTACTTGAAACTTTCACGACCTGCCAAATAGTGTGCATTATCGTTACTGTGAGTAATCGTTATGTATGACGTCGAGCTCTGGAAAACACTGAACACATGAACACGGTTTTATGGTAGAGGGCCACGGTCTGACGTCTCCAGGCTCCGGCAGCTGATAGGTACAAAATTTCTCCAGCTTCCGAAGAAATTGCGAGGGGGATTATCATGGGAGGAACGCAGGGGTCCGAGACGTGAGACAGACCTTTGCAGATCGTGGTATCTTAGGAAGATCTTCACTTTTCTAGGTAAGTCATTGGAACACCTCTCGCAAATTCCAGTATTGCGGTAGATCAGGTAATTTCGCCACAAATAGCCCAGGCGATGTCGTCGACTAAGAGGTTAAATGTGGCCCAAACCATAGAAGAGAAAGAGTAGAGATCCGGAGTCCTCTTCTTTTGAAATTTAGTCTCAAATTTAGCCGACAGTCATCAGAATAAGTACGGTGAGACATTGGAGGGATAGAGCATTAAACATTTTATGTCGAACATGGTTGAGGTGCAAGTGGATGCGAAAACATTCTGAGAGGGATGACGGCTGTGTCATCCCATTCGCACTCCGCTAAGTCCGACCGCCAAGGTCAAGGCCGTTACAGACCTCTAAGCTTTCACCTTCTTTTAGGTTCATATTACGCGCCTCTCGAAGTGTTCTGTGACCTCAGTTTATGGATGCTTAGCGCTTTGCATTTGTTGCTAAATCTACGAGTGAGACTAGAACGATGCCGAGCACTGCCGAGCACGTGAGTTGAGATGGCGTTCGGGAAGATTGTAGTAAGTTCATGATCACTTGGCTGCTTTCCAACGTCCACAACACCGCAGAACCTTCAAACCTTCGGTTATCGCAATGGTGGACAAGAAGTTCGACAACGATGTCGCACAATTCTGTGCGATTACTGGCGCGTCGTGAGTTACTCCTCTAAATCGCTCGGGCTGAAGATCCGTCACTGATCTTCCCCGTTGATTAGGACTAAGGACGCAAGGGATTTCCTGAAACATCACAAACGACTAGATGTTGCCATAGACGCCTACTATAATAACCCCAATGCCTTCTCTGGGAGACGAAAAACGGACTCATCTACACCATCAACCAGCAAACTCAGCCAGTTGTTCGACAAATATAAAGGTGGCCTCGGAAACCATCATTATCTAGGTTAACCAAGTGCGGGCGCTAATCTGGACCTCATGCTAGACCCCGACGGGGATGACATAACCGTAGAAGGGACGATCAAGTTTTGCGAAGACCTGGAAGTTGACCCCGAGGATGTCGTCCTCTTAGCAGTTGCTTACGAGCTTAGCTCGAAGCGAATGGGTCAATGGACGAGGCAGGGGTGGATAGACGGGTGGAAGAACGTCGGGTACGTCGTGAATAACCTCTCGCCGAAGACCTGAACCGACCATGGCGATCACGTCTGCCAGAACCGACTCGATATCTGGAATGAAAGACTCATTATCGAGACTGCGAACCCAACTCGCATCAGATCCGGTCTACTTTCAGAAAGTCTACAATCACACCTTCGATTTTGCGCGTTCAGAAGGACAACGGAGTCTTGGTGCGTCCCCAGGTTCGCTCCACATGTGTGGCTTCGAGCTTGATATACGGTATGTAACTGATAGGCACTGAGACCGCGCAAGCTTTCTGGGGTCTTCTTCTCCCTCACGGATTTGAAGGCGGGGCTTTGACCAAGAAGCCCCCCAGCGATGGTGATGGTGACGTCAGCATGGACGACGGAGGTGGCTGGCGGGAGGAATACAACCAGTGGTGGTTCGACTTTTTGACCCACAAAGGTGGGAAGGGAGTCAGCAGAGATACTTGGGTTATGGTACGTTTTACCTGGCTCTCCTTCGAGCACCCTGTGAATGTTATTTGGGGATCTTTGACATCTTCCTATGCTCGCGATGTCCCCTCTATTTTGACCTTCGCGAATCAAAATACTCACCAATGTTCTTTCCAGTTCCTTGACTTCGTCCGCTCCATCGATAGCAACTTCTCAACCTATGACATGGAAGGTGAGTATAGCCTCATGTCGTTCATTCAAAATGATGATTCATCGAGTTCTATTGGTTCAGCTGCTTGGCCCTCGACTATAGATGATTTCGTGGAGTACGCGAAGGAGCGGTTGGCGACCGGTCCTCATTGAATAGTCTTTCTTTGGCTTCTTGACTATTTCTTGTTGGTCCCTTCTGGGAGAGGGCAGAGTTCAAAGGATCATGTGTACGTTATCAATACCGGCTACATCTTCGACTAATACATTCCTATTGTCACAATTCCCTCGACAAGGGTGCCGGCGATGACTATCATTCACAAATGCGCGTGTTGGGTTATCTCCTCGCTCGAATTCACGGGACTACAATAGCATGCGAGAGGCTATCAAATTAACCTATCTCTGATAGATATGCAAGCACTTTTGCTTCCCAACAGTCTGTCTTTGGAATGTCATAAACCCCGCCTTGTCATAGAAGTCGTTCTGGTTCAACCCGCGATTGGAGGAAGCGACAGGCATGAGAAGGAAGAACCTGCGAAGCTCAGTGTGAACTGGGAGAAACACAAGACCCAGCCTGACAGCACGATCACATTCTTCCTGTTGTCGTGATCACAGGTACGTCCCGAGGCTTCCAGCGCAAGGATACGGAAGAGAGTCAGTTTGAGCTTTCAATCAGTCAGTTCTTTATTATCACGGCCATGAGACGTATTTATGGTTATACATTGATCAGATTTCCGTTGAAATTTTGTTAAGGTTCGGCGCCTTATGCCTACCAGTGATACCTATTTCTACATTATCCTTTTATACAGAGAAGGGATACGCGAAATGGATATTGGAGTAATACCTGAGGTCCGCCTTTCCTCCCAGTTCATTCGCGGTGCCACACGGCCTGTCGAAAACGTGGTTTTGGACAGGTATTACCATTGTAGGAGATGAGCGATCTAATAGGCGTGAACAGTGGCGCACTAACTGCCGTTCGTCAATGTTAACAGGCGGCGTATCATACATCGCAGAGAAGTCAATTCTGCGATAAGAACTCAGTCTCTTTATCATATTTAATGACGGTCAGAACCAGCACCGTCTTGCAAGTAGATCTCATACACTGAGTAGCTGAAGAAACATAAATGATTCAGAAGTTGCGCCGTCGCCCCCCCTTGTCGCGGAGGAAATGCCATTTTTGATGAAATGCGAAGTCGCAGTAGATGGATATACCTTTTCAAAAAGCTGCGCATGCGTCATTGTGGCATGCTTAAGTCGATTTAATTTCCGCCGAGGGAAGAGCAAATTTCTCTTTGATAACCAGTCGCACGCGTAGCGAGATGACCCGTGGTCTGGGCACGAGGAAAGTAATTTAGAAGTGTGGGGTGGATTTACGACACCTACTTGTAGATGGGTTGAGTTACGCGACCACAGGTCCTGCTGAGAGGGAGGGGGATATGATTAATATTACTGTCTTGTCATAATCCAGTGGCGTTTATCTTGTGAATATCCACAAGACCATCCTGTGGGCCTCGTCCCTGAAAACATAGGTTAAGCTTCTTGTGGACTGCTAGAACTGGGGTAGTCTTACTGATTATTTGGCGAGAGCAGCGCTTCGGGGTTTGATCGGTTATGTTTTGCCACTGAGCGCAAGGTCGGGCAGAGGTTGTTCACGGAGACGAACCCTTCGGATGCTTAATTAATTGGGTAAGACGGCGGTAGAGATATTGCTCCAGCCAAAAGCCTTCCAGACGAGATGCCTGAAAAGGCGATTATCAATTCATTTTCTGAGGGAGGCATACTGTTAGGTTCTTGATCTTCGCAAGCCACGGAAGGATCCTTTTCCCGTTGCTCGTAATCGGGTGACCCACCTCTGTATAAGAGTAACGTCAAAGTGGATACAATGGCTCGGAGAAAGGATCGTCTTGACATGTCAGGATCATGTCTTTCACTTTTGTCCCCCTGAAAAGATAACGGTCATCAATTATTTTCATAACATATGACTGAAGGAGTAGGTCTGGCCCAATGGTGCCTCATCTTCTAAGGGCGAGACAGCTTGTTTGAAAGGAATGTGCAACTCTCCCCTTCCATTAGAAAGTGCTCACCTGATATGTCCTCGGATGTGGGAGACTCAATCGAAGGGTTCAATGTCACTTTCCGAACCGAACTGGGGCAGAGACTGAGTGGTTCACGGTAATATTTCTGCTCGGCTTTCGAAGACCGCCTAAGAGGTAACTTGCGAATGACCTCGCCAGAGTACGTACAGCCCACAGTGCCGATTGGAGAAGCAACTCATGTGTCCGGAGCTTGTAGACCACGAGGTTTACTAAAAACAAGATTTCCGTTTGGAGCTTGGAAAATGAAGACAACTGACACGCCAGATATCCAAAGGGCCTCTTGGATGACAAAGTTCTGGCTTGCAGATTTCACATGCTGCCTAGCGATAAGTAAATGAGATAGGACAGCAATCTACGGTTAACAGGCGCATAAGAGACCAGAAGTGCATTGTCGATGAAATAAGTCATGAACGCCTGGCAGTGACTGGTCAGATGGGAGCTGCGAGGTTTGCCACGTCCTGACCGCATTGTCCGATCAATTACGAGCTCAAAAAGAAATACGAGATAAGAAGCATTCATGCGTAGAAGCTGGGATAATACCGTCACTTATGACGGGATCGTCAACAAGATATCTGACAAGGATCCACCCAGAGAAGTCGAAGAAGCAAATAGAAATCCAAGGAAGTTGAAAAGGAAGCCTGAGCGCGGCTGAGACTTGGCTGAGACGGTCGTGAGATTGATCTGCTGCCATAGTTCAGATGCCAAGATGGTACAATACTATATTTTCTGTCTTGCTGGTAGTCGTTAAGTGGCTGCTGCCAGGCCATGGATGCGAAAGTTCAGCTCAGGCTCGATTGGAGTCGGGCGAACTAAGATGAGATGACTATGATTGCTAACCAATGCATCATAGAAATTATTCTCACCCCTAATTTAGGAATTAAGCCCAGGGGCCAGGCCTCGGTGGCTACCACTCCTTATACCAGTTTAATCAAAATATATTGTGCAATTTGCTCGCGTCATGTCTCTCCTGTATGAAGTAGGACGAGGCTTAATGCGTCGCATGCACATTCAACTTGAACGTGCACGCACTGGAGTCTGGTGGGCCCAGTGTGTACGCCTGGCAGTTTGTTTAAAGCGACTCAAAGAGTCGCAAGGCAGATCTAAATCCCTGCTCAGACAGTTGATAAAGATGTCAATGGTTGGATCATTGGAAGTCCGACCGGGAGGTCATGTTTGCTCGAACCCACGCCAGAAACCGTGAAAAGCTCTCTCTGCGGCTAGCTCTAAGGAGTTTTGACACATATCTTTTCATGTATGCATATCAGGTCTCATTCAAGGTGTGTTATGATCTATGAATATCTTTCATCAGGCTCTTGCTTAACTTACATTGAAGCCCCGACCTTACCATACTAACTACTAAGTATTCTCTGTATCTTGAACTCCTCTACTGGCTGATTATGACTTTATTTAATTAGGTCCCCTGCTTTGACTGAGTACAATGCTTTGCATGACCTTGTCCCTATTAAATCTGGAGATACTTTACTTATTTTTGGACTTGGCGGCGTTTCCATGTTTGTGGTGAGATCTTGCTAAATTCGAATATTCGGACTGATCGCCTCTTTCTAGTTTGCACTTCAAATTGCAGCTTCTAGTGGTGCTACTGTTATTCTGACTCCTTTCTCAAACGAGAAGCTCAAGGTCGCTGCGAAGTTGGGCGCGAAGCACAAGACCAACTACAAGGGCATGTCTGATCACGACAAGCAAGTTTTGAGGCTGGTGAAGATTTTCTCTCTATGAGAAATCACCATGGGATTTACTTCTGTTGCATGTAGTTATCATCGATTATGTCGCGGAAGTCATTGTTCTACTTTCTCGTTCGAAATCTCCTTAATAGGCTCTTCAGCTACCAGGCCAGAGGACACTCCTCGGTCTAACAGCCTGAATGAAGTAGGTGTCCGTGAATGGCGGAGAGAATCTAAGAAAACAAGCAGCGTATCATTTTACACTTCTTATGGCTCCCGGATTGAATGCCTGGCTTCGTCTCGGTGGCAGTTGCTTCGATCGCGTGCGCCACACTACTTTTCTGGGTGATTTGTCAGCGTCCTGCATTCCTCCATGGCAGATTTACAAATTTCCGCCCGACTCTCTGTATGAGGTAGTCAAGGCGACTTAAAATCGGCTGGGGAACTCGGCTTCTATGATAATAAACCCAAGAAACAATCCAATAACGAGACCGAGAAGTCGATCTGCTTCGGAAACGTCATTCGTGACTTGTGAGTGGGTGGACGAATATGACAGTAACAAATGGTGTAAGCATCACTTCGAGCAACCTGGTAACCCATATCTTCCATAATGTGGATGACGAGTGGAAAGTTTTCTGAAATCCGCCACATTTAGTCACATAGCGAGCGCCGAGAGCGGTCCAAGCTCACGTATTCGAATGCTGTAATAAACAACATAGCCAACAAGAAACGTCCCGGAAAAGATATGTCTTTGCCCTTGAAAGCTTGAGAGTATTGTCTTCACGAGGGGCATCTTCCTCGTAATCTCGTCTCTGTAAGCTGGAAGCTCACACATCGTCCAAAAGAGGTTCTCATCCAGGTAAATGCCATCTGGCTCCACGTTGGTTGCTATTCTCGAGCCCAAACATCCCGTGAATAACAACGGATAATCAGTATAGAGACGTCTCCATCTCATTGGGTGCATATAATGTCGGGTATGCCCAACAAGTCAGTCCAATTTGAACCATGACAAGAAGCATCAACATAGAGAGGCGCTTCGGCATGGCCCAAAGGCACTCAACACCGTCCACACCGTCCCCAGCCCTGCGCCCGCCCATCCTCTCGCGTTTCATCACCACCTACTCTATGGCTCTAATCTTATTTCTCGTTTCGGCATGCCACGCTACCCCTTCTCTTGTAGCATCCACGATCGACCCTTCCCAAACTTCGCTCTCATTCCATGGTCGGAGGTGGCTAGTCAAGCCTACGCAGGATGCGAGGGCCTTGGAATCCTCCGCTCCTCCACGTATATGACAGCTTTCCTGTTGATGTCCCAGGGCTGGTCGAGACGGACCGCAAGGAGAGTCAGAAGACACCGCTTTTCAGCATCTTCGGGCTTAGCCTGCACGCCGCTGATGGTCTTCCTTCCCACAGATATAGGGCCGATTTCGAGCATATGAGGGTGAGAGCGAAGGCTGTGGTTCATGTCATCACTACGAAATCTTGGCAAAGTGACCAGTCTTATGTTCTGGGGCCAGCCCAGCAAATGTTAAAGTCATGAGGAACAGAGACAGACATGCCCAAGTGGTGTAACATGCGGAAGAAGGGTTCAATGTTGTGGTGGTTCATCCTGATCATGACGAGTTCACAGGCGCCATGGTGCAAGAATTGGAGAGAGTAATTAAATCGTTATTTTGCAAAAAATATCCCTAGAGTAAGTGTGTAGATAGCGTTTGTCAGTCCAACAATGCTGGGTCGCAGAGAAAGAGAGTATGCAGCTGTACTATTTTTAGATCATATGGATATATCAATAATCCCAACTACACTCATCAACGCCCACCTGGGCGGAGGAGTACCACCGCAGCTAGGACGAATAACAACAGAGGGTTCGACATCATCAGTAATGATGACCCCGCAGCGCTCGTCGTATTCGTAGGAACACTGCCGCCTGCCGAAGTACCCGTGGCCGTGTTTGAGGTTGTAACTGTGCCATTAACACCTCCAGTGTTGAACGACGTTACGAAAGGGCTGTCCGAGGTAGAGAGTTGGCGAGGGGCATATTGGGAAGGAATGGCAACGACGATACTGTCAAGGTCTGATCTCGCCTTCAGGCCGCTAATCAGAATGGGTTGCATTCGAATACTGCTCACCGAAGAAAGAGTTGTTCACTCCAGCGAAGTTCGTCAACGTTAGCTTGTGCTCCGAGTCGTCCAAGTTAGAGGCGAAGTATTTGATTGTCGGGTACTGCTGCTCGCAGGTCAAGCCAAAGGCGCCCCCGCAGCCAGACGTGCCGTTGTAAAACTCGGTGGGTTTGCTGTCAAGAACGACACTGTAAATGCGATGGTCGTTCTTCTTGTCACCGAGGACATAAATAGCCGATCCTGCATAATTGCTGTGAATGACTGGAACTTGGTGGGCACACACACAGGCTTACCACGGAACGAAAGCTCGAAGGACGCCTGGTCTTCGTTCGTGTACGTAGTGCCACCACCACTGAATTGGGGGCCGGTATTGTGGCCCCATTCGCCTTTAAATATAATGGCTGGGTCAGTTTCTTCGTAAGTTTTGTTTGTAACCGTCGCTCTAGTTTGAATCAATAATTGAATTATCCGAGCGGGCAATATGAAACTCACCCAGCGGGCGCCAACTGTACCGTGGCCAGTAGAAAATCGAGCATGAAATTTCCTCCACCTCCAAGACCTTGCGCTCCTAGATTGCGTAAGATGATGTTGTGGTTGGCGAACGTGAGGTCGTCAGTGCCGAACAGCAGACTCGGTCTGTCTCCCCCTCCTTGGCGATACGCGATTCCTCTGAGCTTGTCTTTCGAATCAACTTCCACTTCATATGCTCCATAGGAAGGTCCAACTCCACCATAGATGTATATTGCGGGTCCTGTCGTTCACATCGATGCTTTAGTCGCGTAACTTACTTTAGGAGAGGTGTCCATATGCCTACCTGTGAAGTTGAGGCTCACTTCGGCTCCCTCTGTTTCCGTCTCGTGATAGGTTCCTCGCATATACGGAGACGTGTTGGGGTTGAAACCCGGGGCAGACGGGTCGGGAGTTGTCCACACCGACTGGTCTGCATAGGTCAAAACACTGTCGAAGTCGTCGATGGTAACGTTGTAGTTAACAGCAGAAGGGTCCATCGTTGTTAACGGAAACTCGAATTTTTTGAGCAGGAGACGGCAGTCTTCAAGCTTCAAGTCTAAGAGCTTCAGTTGAGTGCTGAACGTTGAGCGTTGACGTCTGGTTGACGTTGAGGGCAGAGGGCTTTAAATCAGGGTCAGTTCGAATAGCAACATGCGTGACACATCAAAATGGTTGATTCTAAAAATAGCCTACTCCGCATATGAATGAGGTCGGATTGTGGGTAATGTACAAGGTTTGACAGAGACAACAAGGTATACGAACGAATTTCGAGAACACGCTGATTCTACAAAACGAAAATAATGAGAAGGATAGGAAGATCATGACTCTAGATCATGGCGACGGTTGAACAGGGGTAGTAAATATTCAGAAATATTGAGAAAACAATTGTTAGTCATGCATTGAACATGGAGAGTTCCTGCTCATATCGTCGTGCCAGGCTTGAGGTAAAGGTTTCCACGCCAACCCGCACCGCAGGTCTGCGCTGAGTTTCCTGAAAACAGTCCAACATGTCAGACAACGCCCAGTTGCGAGGTGGAAAGCCTAAGACAATCGTACCTTCACAAGGCATGTTACACTGGCTCGCAGCAATTGATACACCCCCTCCGTCCTCCTTAAGCAGCTGTGAGCCGCAATAGCACTCCCTCCCATACTCCGTTGCAGCCATCGTGAATCCAGCGGTCGAGCAAATGTTGATACAGGTCTCCGTGGTCAAGCCCGTCTGAGAAGTTGCGTAACCGCGGAGCATACGCGTCGACGCGTCAATGTAGCATCCTGCACTTGTCCAGGATGAAGCGGAAGGCGGCGTTGAGGTGGACTTAGAGTAGACGTTCATCGACCATGAGCCACCGCATTTCTGGGACGCATCGCCTGCGCAAGTGCTCTGGCAGTTGCTGGACGGGATGGTGGTGCCAGTGGCTCCGTTGTCGGTGAGTGAATTGCCGCAGTAACCTTTGAAATGAATAAATATCTGCGAGGAGGAAGGAACTGGGGTATCACTAACATTCACGTCTAGAAGTGGGAGAAAGGCAACACATTTGAAGGGATTGTGAGTGATGTAGTCAAGATCGTGAGTGTCTTGCACTTACGAATATTCAACTCCAGCGTATTGGTATCCTGAGCAGAGACTCTGGCATATTGTTGGTGTCATATTGGATTGAGAGTAGCTCGGTCCTGTCAAGGCACGGCGGCTACCAGTCGTGCCTTCCGCAACACAACCATAAGACGACCAGCTCGTAGCAGTTGCAGAGGCGCTAGTAGTCGTGCTAGTTGACGTCGAGGTTGTCGTCGTCGTCGATGCGGTACTGACAGCCTTGTAGACGTTGATTCGATGGCCATTACCGCACTTCTCGTCATCTAATCACAAAATGATTAACAGGCTGCGTCGGGCTTGGATGGAAAGAAGCGAAGAGCGTACTCTTTCCCGCACACGGCATTGAACACTCGCTCTCCGATGCGATCTCAGCATCCGAACGTAGTGAAGCCCCACAGAAACATTCGACGCCATACTCGACGCCGGCGTAAGCATACCCGGCACATCGTGTCAAGCACTTGGCGACCGTCTGCGCGCTGTCGGTGAACGGCCCGTTCGAGATGACACGTGAACTGTCGTCTTTGTAGCAGCCAACATATTGGAAGCCTTGTGTGGGGGTCGGAGATGCGGTAGTTGTGGCTGAGGTCGAAGTCGTTGTTGACGAGGCCGAGGTCGAAGAGGATGAAGTGGTTGAGCTTGATGTTGGAGGTGCATTCCCCCCTGTGGCAGCTACAAGGTTTGTTAAAACTTCTGCACCAAAAGGGATACGAAAGCACCCACTTGCGGACCCAACCCAAGCGTTATAATTATCTGTATATCAGAAGGAAATGTTAGACATCATTTGAGAAACTGAAATACCGAGACCCACAGAGGACAGGAGTCAATGCATAAGTGTAATCACTGGGCGAATAGTTGATGATGGTCTGCCCATTCCTCTTCATCTGCACAGCCATTTTTCCCTGGGAAAGGGGGATCTTAAGCTTCGTAACACCAGCGTTGACGCTGAATGTATTCGATGAGCTCCCGCAGCTGAGGGTAACGGTACCAGATGACGTGGCGAACACAACAGCCCACATCGAGTCCTATGCATCCCAATCATAGAGTCCGTCAAATACCCAAACAATATGTGTGCCCAACATACCTCAGTCCAGTCCCAACCCGTCGGCTTTCCGATGCTGTCCCCCGACGCAGTCGCTCTAGCGGGGTGGGGCCGTGCCCAGAAGTAAATCACATCTTTCTGTTAAATGCGCCAGCATGATTAGATAGATGATCAGCCCAGGCCGTCGATCGAGCGAAGTTGGCTTAGAGCATGACCTACCGTAATGGCAGGGTAACTTCCCGTCTTGAACGCGGTGATGTAGTATTCGGACAAGTCGTACCACGCGGTATGTGGGAAGTTAGACGCCCATGTGGTCCCATCAGGCTGTGCGCCTTTCACCGGCCCGAAGCTAAACATAGCCGACGGGATCAGATTGGGGGACCTGCAATGTCAAACAACTTCGACGCACTAGTCAGATTCGCCCCAGTCATTCCTGTGGAATGTGGGCGATGATAAAGAGGGTGTTAATTGTTAAGGCGAAAAGTGAAACCCACCAAGTAACCATTTCAACAAAGGTCAGGGTATTACGCATGGACATCAGTTGCTCCCACCGACTAACGATGAGCCAATCATCGCCGCGCTGGTAGAAATTCTTATAGCTGAAGTGCGTACTGTATGACAGTCAGAATGAAATAAGTAGGCAAAAAAGAGATAGACGCACTACATCCAACCACTGATGGTAGTCGCGTAACGGCTCCCGAGTTGGTTGATATCTGAGAGAAATATTAGTGTGAGTCAGACCAGTTCAACGTCCCGACTTCACAGTATTGATCATCGCTGGTCTATTGAGATCGAATCAGGCAGGATCGCTGATAGGCGGGAATTTGCACTTACAGTCTTTGCGTGATTGCCTTGTGGCCATGCGCATCCCCAGCTAAACTGGAAGTCAGTCTACTTCTCTTTACTCTCCTAAAGGAGGAACACACCAGTACCACGAATCCAAAGATGACCACTGGTTGAATTTCCCTTCCAGACCCCAAATAAACGGCATCAAGTAGCCACCTGTCTGAGTCTTGAGGCTCGCCCATCCCGAATTCCCTAAGCAGTCGCCCGAGTAGCTCGATATCATCGGCTTGCCGTTGACCTTAAACTGGCTGGGATGGTTCTTGTATTTGTTGACGCGAGACACGAAGTCGGAGAGCGTGCAGTCCATCTCGGTGAAGTCGAAGGAATAGAAGAGTTTGATGCTTGAGCCAAGGGATGTGGCAGCGTCATAGGCAAGTTGGACTTGCGTTTTTTGCCACTCGCTCCGACCGATGTTCAGCGCAACGGCGTCACTGGGGAGAGAAGCAAGTTATGTATTTGGTGGGAAATTAGACAGAAATATCTCGACTTACACCCCTTTGGCCTGGATTCTGGACAGGTCGTCTTTCCAATCGGCGATAGTATAATCGTAGCTAACGGCCAAATCAGAACACCCGCGGTCGCCCACATGAATGCCATACTCACGTATCTAGCATTAGGGTGTGATGTCAGTAGTAATCACTGCGAGAACTGACGTAAATAGGACGCACTTCCAACTATCTGTAAGGCGGGCTCTTGTGAGTCCTTGAGTGACATGGAAAAGGGAGAATGAACACCATACGTGATGCATGAAAACGTATTTCGTTCCATCTCGTTTCTGCAGTTCTGAGGGATCCTCCACGGGAACGACGGTGCCATTCGTGAAATAACTCCAGTCGCGTCTTCGTCTGATTTGGGTATTGCTAGTCGAGCGAGAAAATCCTTGGGCGAGCGTTGCACAACAGAAGAGTGCAAGCAAGGCGATGGGACATGTCAAGGGGAGCATCATGGATTAAAGAGCGTGAACAGCACGGTGCTGCGAGGTGGTGGAGAAAAGGAATGGCGGGGCCTGAAAGTCGGCCGCAGAGTCGGAAAGAAAATCCAACAAGGGGGGGACGAACAACCTGACGAATAGGCAAAGGCGGGGAGAAAATACTTGGCCGGAGGCAGGACTGGTCGTTTTATCAACATTTTCAACAAGCATTAGACGGTTTGAGAGTGTTGTGGGCCAAATCAAGGCACTCACCCCTGGATAATGAAGGCACTCGGTCGGCAAACGTGTCGTGACGTCCGTTTGTTAAGTTGTTGAGCAACGCGACTGCTTTTTTTTTGCCCGGGTCGTGCCCTTGATCGCTCGGTCGCTGTAGGTCCTGATGATTGTGGCGTGGGCCGTGCAGACACAGAAAAAGAGGGAGCAGTTCACCAGGAACTTTAAGTAGAAACGAAGGAAAGGAGGGAAAGTGCTGTAAGGATGAGGTGAAGAGGTGACAGCCGCTCGTCAGTTGGACTTTGTATCCCATCGCAAGCTCAAGCTTGCTTCCGAGGCAGAGATCATTCCCTCAAAAACTCCAGAAGCCATATTCCCGAGGAACGCCTTATCTCCTGGTTACCTCGAAGTTGTAAATCGAACCTTACGTAACGCTGTATGTGGGTAGCTTACACCTGACGCGAAAGTCAGCGCAGATAATCGATCAAGGTGACAGACAAAGCGCAGGAGGTGAATGGAATACTTAAGGCGAAGCGCAGTGGAATTTGCGGTCGATCAGAATCTACGCCGCTGAGGGTGTTTACAGTTGACGGCTGGGCTCAGGTCTATGATTCAGTAGGGCGACGCATGATGGGCCTTCTCCGGGGTCCTTGCGGGATGGCAGGCGTGAGCTCGTGATGGCGCTTGTCACAGCGGCTAATATCCGCCCTCATAACATGATGTTCATGGAAAATATTAGATCATGTATAAATTATTTTATTTTTTCTTTGTAAAGATTCAACAAAGACCGCTTTTCCGCCTTACTCTTGGGGTAATATTTTTACTCTGCCAAATTGGGTGTTGCAATCCATAATGGTTGGAGACCGAAGGCCTCATTCACATTGTTCTGCAACCTTCCAAAGAACCTGAGATTTTAGAAAACAATATAGGGGAAGCTGACAACATATTGCTCACAGCAATCATCTCAGAGGTCTGGGGTGTATCAGAACAGCAGTTGTGAGCACTTTGAACATTAAATCTCAGCTGTAAACTTTGTCATGTTTTTTGAGCACTTATTTAGCCATCCAGGTCCTCTATAGGTTCGCAAGTTTCTCTTGCTGAGTGGATGAGAATTCAATGAAATTAAGTATTACCCATCGGCAGACTTGAATGATAGCCATCTGGAAGCTCCTTAGGACCTTGATAAGAGGGACCTGAGTACAGAACAGGCACCAACAGATTTATAACTATACAACAATCCAAAGCTATTCTGACATGTCCATTTCCGAATCATCACTAGGTGTCTCTAGACGCAGGCTAACACCTTTCTGAAGAATAGGATGCCCAAAGTCGACTTCAAGTATATAAAACTTGAATTTATTCATCCACCTGGTGGAAGTTTCGCAGTCGAAAGTATGGCCTGTTGGTATGACAAAGACGAACATACGTTCCTTGGTGTCTATGCGCTTTGACAAGAGTTCGAGACCTTTCACTTTCAAAGCGTGGGTAGGAGAGATTGTCATCTGGAAGCCGATGCCGAGTTGGTGAGAGACTCGAATGAAAGAATCAAATGTAGGATTGTTTCCTTCTTGAGGAACGTAGTACTTGTCGCCGTCCTTCGTATTTGCAAACTTGGTGGACGATGGATAGATTTCAAACTCTCTCTTCGGACCAAGCGGCAGCTGGCGTGTGTTCTGCCCTCTCACCAAGCGTGACGAAATTTTCACCATTTCGGTGAGGGTGAATGCGAATTCCCCTTGACAAAGGCGATCATGGGACCAAGCCTCGAAGAGCCAGCCACGCATCGCATTTGATGACGTCATCCCGGCCAGCGACACAAATAGGCGGCGTATTTCTTGGAGACTTGAATCCATGAACTTCTTATAGAGGAGCTTCCAAATGTAGGGAGAGGCAATAGAGTGGACCATTGTATCTGTCGCGAGATAGCGCCGATCTCCTTCTTGCGGTGGGGGTCTGCTGCTTGCGGATTGGATAAGGGCATGGGTTATCTGTTTGTCGCCATCATCGGGCTTGCGAATCAGCTCTTCGAGCTGAGACAAGGAAAGTCTATCGAGGGATTGTGCAATTTTCGTTTCCTGTAGAAGATCTCCGTCGGGGTCTTGAAAAATATCTGCAATGGTGCGACTGTTGCTGCCGTACATCAACATGGCTGCTTCGACCTCTTCACGGAGACAATGGGGGCTTTCGAGGGACACTCTACAATGACAACGAGTCAGGAAATTACAAATGCAGAGGACTGATAAGCTTACAAGGCATGCATGTCATCGATTGTTAACGGATCCATTACGAGCGTGATGGCCCTCTTTTGATTCACCCAAATTTTGTAGCGTGCTTGTTGAGGCGAGGTCGCATGGACGGCAAATAATCCAGAGTGGACTAATCCAGGATCCGGCTCCCTGACTTCTTCGTCTGAATCGACCAGAGCAAGGACGTCTTTATACGCTGGACTATCGAAGAGTACTGCCAGGTCTGTCCCAGAGCGGGTGGCGAAAACACCATTCGAGTTGAACACATAGACCCTGCTACGCAAAGCCAAAACTACATGTTCTTGATTGACTAGACGCTTCAGGAGCATGAAGATGAGGAAGCTGCTCTTTCCTAGAACCTCTCCGTCAACACAAGAACGAGAATGGAAAGCACCCAATCGCACCGATGCCAGGATTTCCGATCAAAGCGACTCCTCGGCGATGAGCGTCCTTTATCGCCATGATGCGCTGGGAAAAATATTCGTACTGGGAAAGGATGATGAAGCGCTTGTTGTGCAGCAGGACGGGCATGATCACACCCAGGTCGACATAGCGGAATGAACTACCACCCAGACGCTGGTCGATGACGTCCAAAGACTTCCCCCAGTATCTGTTGTAAAGCAGACAGGTCCAGTGGTCGTGCGCGGAGGGCTTCAAAAGTTCCGGGGTCATGGTGGCACAGGAGACGTTTTGTTGTTGAAAGGACGTCGGAGTTGATCAATAATATAATATTGTCAATAATATCAGAGTTGGCCCATGCACGTGATGACCCGATTTGGTGACACTTATGTAAGCATACCAACTAGGAAGGTGACAAGAGACGCGGTCTTATGGGCCTTGTGCTACGGAAACTATTATATGTAACAGTAAAAGTCCATAAATCTTGATAAAATCAATGTCTCGGGGGGTTGTATAGCTGTAACGTATCGAATTTTAGTATAAGGAGTTCTGTATGGGCCCTGTGGGGCGGTCTAATGATTGCACAGTTGTGCATTAGGAAGGCGGTTCGCTGACATGAAGACAAGTATGCAAACTGGCTTGTTCGGCTGAGAGCCACTCATGCCACTGTGAAGAAATTATGCACTAAAGTCTACATAAATATTCTCAGTAAACATCAATAGCAGCCCAATAAACATCATTCATACATGTGTTCGAGTGCGGATGTAAATCTGTCATACCGTCGTGCCAGGTTTGAGGTAGAGATTGGCCCTCCATCCTGCGCCGCACGTCTGTTCTGAATTGCCTGCAAAAATGAATCTAGGTCAGGACTTTCACCTCCAAATCACTCAGAGCCTAACACACCTTCACAAGGCATACTACACTGGCTCGCCGCAACCGCGACCCCCGCGCCACCCTCTTTATACAGCGTGGACCCGCAATGGCACTCGCTGCCATACTCGGCCGCGGCCATCGTGTACCCACTCCTATCACAAATGTCCGTACACTTCTCAATCGTCAGCCCGCTCTGAGTGATGGCGAGCCCGCGCAACATGCGCGTCGTCGCGTCTACGTAACATCCAGCGCTGTTCCATGACGCCGGGTTGGTCGAGGCACCTTTAACATACACGTTCATCGTCCACGAGCCGCCGCACTTCTGAGAAGCATCGCCCCCGCAGTTGTTGGAACAGCTATTCGACGAGATTAAGGCACCCGTGGCACCGTTGTTGGCGAGGGAATTACCGCAGTAGCCTACGAAGAATATCAGCAACTCGCCTCAAGGATAGAACATGTAGCAAAAGGGTTAACTCACATTGAATGCTAGAATCACGCGCAAAAAAAAAATATCCAAGCAAGTCAGTGATCGCCATTCCTGCATTGACAATCCGACCCTCACCCGTATTCAACACCAGCATACTGGTAGTCAGAGCACAATCCTTGGCACAGCTGAGGCGTCATATCGGTCTGACTATAGCTAGCGCCCGTAAGCGCACGGCGGGCTCCAGTGGTGCCCTCCGCGACGCAGCCGTAGGACGTCCAACCAGTAGCCGACGGCGTGCTGGATGTCGTCGTTGATGTCGAAGTCGTCGAAGCCGATGTACTCGTGGTAGACGTGCTGGAGGCACTCGACGAGGAGGAGCTTGTGCCGGCATTGAACAAGTAGACGTTCATTGTCCAAGATCCACCACACTTCTGGGTCGCGTCGCCAGCGCAGTTCGTTGAACAACTGCTGCTGGAGATGATCGTACCAGTTGCACCGTTGTTCGTCAGGCTGTCCCCGCAGTAACCTAAGCATATCGCCGTCAATCGACTGGTAGTAATTTAGTACAGGGAGAAACTCACATTGAAGTCTGAACGTGCAAGTCGTCGTATTAGTAACGCCATTCCCAAGAGAAATGCGTGCTTACCCGTATTCCACGCCAGCATACTTGTAGCCCAAACAGAGATTTTGGCAAACCTGAGGGGTCATGTTCAGCTGGCTGTAGCTCGCAGCCGTCAACGCGCGTCGAGTCCCGGTGGTGCCTTCCGCAACGCAACCATAAGACGTCCATTCAGTAGGTGTCGCAGACGCGCTGGATGACGTCGAAGACGATGTAGCAGATGAGGATGTCGACGCCGAGGACGTTGCCGATGAGCTGGCGGAGGTTGAAGACGAGGCGGGAGCGGCAACAGAAGCGGCTGCGCGGCGCGTCAACGTTGGAAAGAGATATGCTAAAAGGGTTGAAAACTCACTTGCGGACCCAACCCAGGCGTTGTAATTGTCTGGATAAAGGTAGTGCATATTAGCACGAAAGTTTGAATGCGATAGGAATAAGTGCTCACACAGAACGGGGTTCAAAGTATACGTGTACCCGCTCGGCGTGTAGTCAATGATCGTCTGTCCGTTCCGGACCATCTGTACGGTCATCTTTCCAGCGGCGAGAGGAATCTTGAGCTTGTTTACACCGGCAACCACGTTGAAGGTGTTTGACGAGCTTCCACACTTCAATGTGACCATGGCAGGTGCGGTGGCGAAGACACCTGCCCACATGGAGTCCTACAATCGGGAAGTAGAGTTAATTCATCGCCATATGATCATGGGCATATGAACACGACGGTGGCGTCGACGAGCAAGCATGAGAAATTCACCTCAGTCCAATCCCAACCCGTTGGCTTCCCAATACCATCTCCAGAGGCAGTGGCGCCGGCAGGATGAGGGCGAGCCCAGAAGTAAATCGCATCTTTCTATTCACCGATAGCAGGATAAGATGTTAGTCCTACTGATTCTAGTCCGACCGAAGAAGAGTAGGCGAACCGTGATTGCGGGGTAAGAACCCGTCTTGAAGGCTGTGATGTAGTACTCGATCATATCGTACCACGCGGTGTGGGGGTAATCCGTCGCCCAGGTGGTGTCGGAAGGTTGTGCTCCTTTGACGGGACCGTAGCTGGATACGACCGTGGTCAGAGGGGTAGTGACCGAAGATAAAGAACGGATCTTACTAGTTAGATTCGCCCCAGTCATTCCTGATAAGAGTCAGCGGTCGAGCAATCAAAATGAAAGCGGACCGGGGTGACCATACCAGTTTGAAATCTCAACGAAGGTCAAAGTATCGCGTATCGACATAAGCTGTTCCCACCGGTTGATGACGAGCCAGTCATCTCCTCGTAGGTAGAAGTTCTTCCAGGTGAAGTGAGTGCTACAGGTGTTAATGAGCCAGCAGGACCCAATCAAGTGAAGAACTTACTAAAGCCAGTTGCTGACCGTTGCGGCGTATCGTGTGCCCAGCTGGCTAATGTCTGTCCTGAGGCAGTTAGCGTAAAGAACGCAGGAAAAGGGTGATCATATTACGCACAGTAGTTGTCGTCATCCATCTACATTTGATAGCCGACAATGCAATTGATGAATTGATGAGATGCGCCACACTAGGAACCCACAAAATGGACGCACCTTCTTCGCATAATTTCCCTGAGGCCAAGCGCATCCCCAACTAGCAGCAAAGAAAGGAGATTAGACTGGTCTTCAAAGACGTCAACGAGACTGCCTCACCAGAACCACGAATCGAGCGAAGGCCACTGGTCGAACTTGCCCTCCAAACCCCAAATAAACGGCATCAAATAGCCATTTGTGCGCTGCTTGAGCGTCGCCCACCCAAAGTTGCCCAAGCAGTCTCCAGAAAAGCTCGAAATCATCGGCTTGCCGTTGACCTTGAACTGATTGGGGTGATTCCCATATAGGTTGACGCGAGCAACGAAGTCGTCGACGTTGCAGTCCATTTCTGTAAAGTCGAAGGAGTAGAAAAGCTTCATGCCGGTGCCGAGAGACGCAGCGGCATCGTAGGCCATTTGTACTTGAGGCCGCTGCCAGTCGCTCCGACCAACGTTGAGTGCGATAGCATCACTAAATATAATGATGAGGACGTTGGTACATTTCAAAAGGAGCGGTGCGTACACTCCTTTGGCTTGAATCCTTGAGATGTCTTCAGTCCAGTCGGCGAAGGTATAACCAAATCTGAACAGAAGAATAAACTTCTTTGAGAGGTCATTTGAGATAGGAGCGTCTTACGTATCTGTTCAAACAGGTGAGTGAGGCCGAAAAGACGAGAACCGGATACGACTTACTTCCAACCATCTAACCACACCACAGGCCTACATCAGGTATGTCCGTCGACAACAATTGCGCAACTCACGTGGTGCATGAAAACATATTTTGTCCCATCCCTCTTCCGTAGCGCAGCGGGGCCTTCAGGATGCAAAACAGTCCTGTTACTAAATTGATGGATATCTCGTTTGTGCTTGAGCGTAGCGGTGTTCACTAGCGAACTATGGTGTTGCTGGAGGACCGACGACGAGACGCAAACGGCCAAAGCGAGGAGTTGAACGAGTCTGGTATGCATAGTGAGGTGTAAGGACCGTGGTCAGCGAGGTGTGCTGAAGTGGGAAATAAGGAGCGTCGGTGGCCTGAGGAGGCCTAAGCGGTAGCTCTGTGCTACGAGAGGCGACGACGGAGATGCGGGTGGAGTGTTTGCCAAACGAAAGAGATAACGTCGGGAAACACGCTTTAAGGCATTCGAAGGAGGACAATAATTCATATTTAGGGGGGCGAGGCACGGATCCGTGGATGGCAGGTTCGTTGGTCAATCATCGCGATCGGATTTTGCGTGTGCCTGCCGGCCTGCTGCTTACCGGCGAAAGGTTTACGAATGCATAATCTCGGTAATTGTGGAGAAAAGCAACAGAAATCGAGGTTCGCCCTGGAGCGCATGTACGAAACGGAAAGAGATCAGGACCTGTGACGAAGAATAACACAAGTGGAACGGGCTCGAGCACTTATAGGAGAGCCTCTACGGCTATCTTGGCTCCAGGATGCGCATCGGTCGGAGGAATGATGCGCTACAGCCGAGCACTTGAAGATGAACGGATCAGGGACGACGATCGATCACAAGTAATTCGTCCTCTACAAGAGAGAGTGAGGGTTAAACGTTAACTTGCAAGCTCCCGGACGCCGGTGAATCTGCAGAACTTGTGTCGGAGATCTATGCACACCTATAATCACAGCTTGAGAGTAGGGGGTAACCTGGGCATTATTCTGGTCGTCTGTGCATGTCATGATCAATGCTGAGCCAGCGGAAAGTCCGAGTAACAACGCACCTCGGGACGATGACGCATGGGCCCAACACGATGCAGGTACGCGTATTATTCCTTATGCTCGACGTGCGGGTCCAGAACGCGGAAGAAAACCGCGAAGGCATGTTGAAGTGAACCCCTAATGGGGCGTGTGGATGTTGGCAAATTATCATTCGCTGATCTTTCTGATGAAGACACTCCATCCGACGGCAGGAGAACGCTACGTCGTTATATCGTAGTCTTTAGAATAGTGCGGGGGGGGGGTGCTGGCAGTAGTACTGCGACGGTGGCTGTATACAGTAGAGAGCAAAGTGTCACAAGGTGGGATCGTGGGAAGACAAAAAGGCAAATCTTATCTTATCTCAGGTAAGCCCTAACCCTAATGCGCGTTATCTGGGCATGATCGAAATTTGAACAGGTTCAACTCTCAACTGACTCCATCTGAATCCTACTACATAGTGGGTTACTACGCCCACAACCAATCCAACTTCCCTCTCTTCTTGATTATTTTCCTGGATTTTCTATGGCTGAAGTTCTCTCGGCCCCAATCGCTGCCGTAGAGCCCACCAATGCTGCACCGACATCTACCACAACACCTGAAGATGTCGCTATGAGCGACGCAGACACGCTAGAGAAGATGAAAAAAGCCGCGCAACAAGGTACGCCGGTCCGTCGTTTATTTCGACGTTTCGTAAATCGAAGACACCCTTCCAAGTTGAATTTTACTTCGCTGATGCCAACCTTCCATATGACAAGTATGTTTTCTTGACCTACAATCTTTCCAACACCGCAACGAAGCCTTTTGAACAGGTTCATGTGGACACTGTATTCAAAGGATCCTGAACATTGGATCCCACTGGCGACGGTCGGCTCCTTCAAACGGATGCGGGAGCATAGCGCCAATGGCATGGAATGGCTAGCCAACGCCATCCGACTGAGCACCTTCCTGGAGGTGGACGAGACCAGAACCAAGATTCGACGAACAACGGAACCTCAGGAACCTAAGGGTCAGTTCGAGAGGAGTGTGTACGCCGTATGTTTTGTCTTTATTCAATGCTTTTCAAAGTGCTCATGGGTCGTTTCCTCCTGGTGCTATTAGAAAGGGTTCGGTGAGGAAGACCCGACGCTACAAGGTCGATTGGAGGAGTTCTTCCGGAAATATGGAGCTGTTAGCGCAGTACGAATGAGGAGGGATGAACACAAAAAGTTCAAGGTTAGCTCACATCCCAAACTGCCCATCTACCCCTCTACATATTCTTTCCTCAGGGTTCAGTATTCACCGAGTTCACGGAATTCGATACCGTCAAAAAATTCCTCGAAGCTGACCTGAAACCGACCTGGAACAGCACCGAATTGCTTATCATGACCAAGGAGGACTACTGCGAGATGAAGATCAAGGAGAAGGGCCTCACTGGGAAGAGCGCCAACCACCGGCGCGAGCTGCTGTCGTCGAAGAAGTTCGACGCGTTTCGTGAGATGGCCAAAGCTAAGGACGGGGTGAAAGGTGTGGCAACGGAGGAGCAGAAGAAGGACGTCTTCCTCGAGTTTTTGGGTCATAAGATCTTAATCAAGCAGGACGAGGATGGGAATGGGACGATTGATGAGGAGGACATTCCGTTTGTCAAGGGCGTCACGCTGAAGTTCGATGGCTGCGGTGGGGATGTTACTTGGTCTGAAATCAAGGTATGTTGTTCCTTGGTTCTGATTTCGAGTGGTTGCGTCATTCTGCGTAGGATCCCATCAAGGAGCGATTCGACGGCAAGGCACCGTACATTAAGTATGCACGCGGCGAGAATAGTGGCCTCGTTGGATTCTACAAGCCTCTCTCAGAAGTGGACATCGAGTTTGTCAAGACTACTATCAAAATCATCAACAAGAATGAGGTGACATGGACTCTCCCGACTGGTGCGTGCTCAGTTGCGTCGTTTTCATCCTCAGACCTAACACCTTGTTTCAGAGGAGGAAGAGAAGCAGTTTGAGATTGAGCGTGCCCAAGCTGCCGCAAAGAACGCCTTCTCACATAGTGGCTCCAGAGACAGTGGACGGGGCAAGTCGGGTGGTGGCCGCGGTGGAGGTCGAGGTCGTGGTGGGCGAGGACGCGGTGGTCGTGGCGGAGGACGTGGTGCTGGCCGGTCGAACGGAAAGGACCGCAACGCAGAGAAAGCAAAGGAGAAACTGGCGGGTGAGGAGAACACTGGCGAGAAGAGGAAGCGGGCCGTTGAACCGGATGGCGGGCCGCACACTGGCGTGCGAGGACAGGCCGCACCGCCGACGCTGCAAACCGCGAAGAAGGCCAAAACGAACGACGGCGCAGCTGCTGCGCCAACGTCATAGCGTGCCACGCACTCGAGACCTCAAAAGGCGCTTTCGCTGACTATCAGTCGCCGTGCGTGTTCCATGTGTTCGAAGAATCTTCCCAAATGTACTTGTACATAACCCTCCTGCTTCTGACGATTCCGTTCATCGCCGTCCACATGTAGTCTTTTCTGTTGCTTGTTAACAGACATTATTAAGTAGTCCATTCAAGTCGCATGTCATTTATACTATATAAATATCCAACGCATTCAATCTATCCTTTCCTATGATTCTCATTCATAAGTCGAAACTCATTAATGCCTGTGGACGGCGCTCTTCCGCTGTTATCGGCCACGGTAATAGAGGCAAATACTTGTTTAATAGCCAACATGGCCTCCCTGAAATGAAGGACCGCTGGCAGCAGTATGTATTGTTGGACTACTTATCTACCTCCACCTGGAACTCTAGAAGTTAACCTGGGCTAGGATTTGGCCATTCCAACGCGATCGTATGCTTATAATTGGTTTCTGGGTCTCGTTTTAATCACGACTCTGAAGCGACGACGACTCCTCGCCTAGATCTGAATACGTGCTTTTCCCCACCGAAGGTTGCGGCCATTTCGACATATTATGCACCTAATAGTCTCAACTTCGCCAACATCACTTTCCTATAGCTGCCCATACTTACTGGACAAAAATAGCCTCTTTTGCTTTTGTACCCTAAAATTTACATTTGGGGCCTCGAAATGTCCCGATCGGGACCGATCGACCTCTCAGATCTCAAATACCGATTCGACACTATTTTGCCCAGCGACGTCAGGAAAATCCCCCACACGGGCTGAATCGTGCCAACTTCAATAAACCCCTTCAAAATCGGGACATCTAGTAATTCCTGTAGTAATGGACGACCGAATTGACGATAGATAAAGAAATCTGAAATTCTGATACGGATTGTTTCCAGTTTTAAAACTTCGCCATGAAGCTTAATTTTTCGGAGGAAGGTCCCAAAAATAATGCCGCCCTTGTTTGTTCTTTGCAAAGTCGACCTGCCTGCCAAGCCAGTCGTGATCGGCTCCTGGTCTCCTCTTGCCAACGCTCGTTCTCCAGCTCCATCGTCGTGCGGCTCATGTCGTCCTCCCCCGCCCTCACCCTATGTTCGCCACCGTGTCGGCGTCTTCCACTGCCACCCTCGTTGCCCTAACCCGGCCATCCCTCATGACCGCTGTAATCGTTGCCTTGTCGTGACCATCGCCTTGCCATGGCCGCCACCGTCCGTGAATACTCGTTGCTGTCGCATGCGTTGTCAATTGTAGATTGGGGGCATACGACTCGGATCCGAGCACCATAAAACTGGGCAAGGGGTCTTAGTGGGATGTGAACTTGGGCGGGCTTCGGGCGTGGGGGCTGGGCACGGCGAAAATGGGTCATTTTACGCTCCCCGCGGTGGTTCTTTCTTGTTTCTACACTGTCTACACCCTGCGGCCCCGCTCGCCGTCATGTTATCCCTCGCCTATCTCTTCCATTCTGTTGTTACAGTCTCGCCGTCCAGCTCATTGCCATCTCTCGCCCTCGCTGTCATCTCGCCCTTGCTGTCATGCTGTCGTCCTCGTCGTAATTATGTCATTACCCTCATATGGCTGTGTCGCCCTCACTCGGGCCTCGCGCTTCTCACCGACTCGTCACGACCAGCTGCGGATGGGAGACAGAGGCGGAGACATAGACAGAGCAGGAGGAGGGCGTCGATTTGGATGCGGAGCCAGCGCATGAGGAGGATGCAGGCGGCGGAGCTCGAGTTGCTTTACAATCGCTCATTTTGTATTGACCTGTCCTACTGATTTGTATGTACTCTAATCACCCAATAATGTAATAAGTTTTATCATGGCGCTAGTGTGTATTTGCATCAGTGTTGGCCGGTCGATGACTGATGGTCGAACGTTGACCGTTGACCACCTTGACGGTCAATTGACGGTCAACGACGGTCAATTGACGGTCAACGACGGTCAATATTTGATGGACTTTCCCACTGCTTTGCCGAGGGTCGAAGCCTAATTTAGACAGCTCCCATCAGCGCATCAAACATCAAGTGCGCTATGCGTTCAGTTGCTCTTTGTTCAGACAGATTGCTCTTTCGTGCATACAGAATAGATATAATCCTTTAATTTTACCCCGGTGTGATACAGGCTTGCTCTTTTGTGTGAACAGAATAAATATAGTCCTTTGATTTCACTCCGCAGTGTGACACAGGCCCCATTTCTGGTAGATGACAAGGTTCACAACCTCAAGGATCCTTCCTTCTCCAGGTCCTTTTTCACTCTTTATCTTTCTCAGAAGTATAATTATTTCAGTATTGACAGATTAGCATGTGGAAGCTCGTTGTAAATTACACACTATCTACATATTTTTATTTCAAACCGATAACTGAGAGGCTTAAAAAGCTGGGAGAATCACTGACACAGACCAGGCAGCTTCGTCTTTGCGTTTCGCCTCCTACTCCTGCATTTGTCTCTTTCTGCTATGTCGAGGTCATCCGCCACACGTAGTAATGCCCGACGGGGATGGTGGCTGTTGGCGCAGTGGAAGAGAGAACTTAATATTTAGGCCTCCTACAGAGGTCCTTATATACTGTACACACTTTGTATCTAGTAGGTTCTACAACTATCTACTAAATACTATACCTATACGAAGCTGTGCTATGATGACTAATCTGCATTCCAGTATGTACGGGCGCCTACTCAAAGATCCGGGACAATGCCGGATTGCCCGATTCCAACAGTGGCGCGCCTACTTCATTGATTGTCCGTTGTCTCAGGCTGACCCAATTTTCCATTTGTTCGGCAAATCTGGCGCAAAATCGACAAAGTCCGGCAAACGAAATGCTATTGCAAAGCCTGCTATGAAGTTGAAATCAAGCAGTGCTGCCAGGCAGAAGCAGAACAACTTCGTCTGGGATTTGTTGCAGCAGCCCGTATGAAGGATGAGCTCGGCAAGCAAATATGTGAGTCGCTCGCTTGCCTCGCTATTTGATTTTGCTTCGAAGCATTGGCAAGACCGCTTCCGCCGCCATGCAACTATTAACTACGACGAAGAACTTGCCCTTTACGAGTTTCTGGAGCTGGACGCAGATGGCGAGGAGGATCCTGAGCTTGATGGGGTCGCAGAGGAGGTTCTCGCAAACTAATTACATTCTTTATTGACGTATGTATCCTTGTACTCGCTATCTCTGTTCTTTGGAATGTCATGGTCAACGTTAGTAATGTCATCCCTTCTCGTTATGGCAATCGGTCGAACAATGGTCAAACATTTGACCGTCGCTGATGGCATTTTGACCGTCATTGACTTTGTTGACGGTTGCTTGACCGGCACACCACTGATTTGCATGAAGTTTGGCGAAGCCTGGACTCTTAGATTTGGCGGCGGCGGCTGGACTTGGGAAATTCGCTGTGTCCCAGGTGGCCCAACAAACAAAGGCGGGGCGGGCTGACAAATGATTCCAGAATTCCGACTTCCTACAGTCATCCACCATCATTTGATACACTGAAATTTAAATTTGATCCCAGAACTCAACCAGCCCATGGATTCTCATAAAACCACTTGGAATCAGTGTAATAGAGCCATTAAAATAAATTTATACCAGCTGTATGCCATAAAATCAACCAAACGTGAGCAGAAACAGCCAGAGATGCTGTACCAGTGACTGGTGTGACAAAATCAACCAAAATGAATATTTTGGTGATTTTATTACTGGGCATTGACTTCACCAAAACCCATAAAATTTTATACACAGTGTATGAAAGACTTATAGAGAATGGGGTTATTTTTTCAAAGCAAACAGTTGAGTCCTTCATGGTGTTCCAAGGTGTATCATTAGCCGGTGGTGTCTCATTGGCCGGTGGATGACTGTAATCGAAATTAAGCTTCCTGGCGGAGATTGAACAACTGATTGTTTCCGTTGCGGCTGTTTGAACTCAACGGCTTTGCCTGCTGCGTCATAGTCACGCGATGTTTGATCACTCAACCACCTCCCATATGCCCACTCACCTGCCTGGCCTCCCGCCCCGTAGTATTGCAGGTCCAACCTGTAATTCAAGACTTGCGTCCTCTGTCCTTACCATGTCTACCGCCGCGGCCGCCGCCATACGTGCACTCACCTCCGCCACCGCCCTTTCCGAACGCCTCGCCGGGGCTCTGAGTCTTGCAGCTCTGTTGCTGCCAGTCTCGTGCTCCTCACGTTCGTTCGTCTAGGCATCGCCTACGCAGCCGGCGCTGCAGTCTCGCGAGGCCACCTCGTCAACCCAGGACCTACGTGTATCCACCCTCAGCGCCGCCCTCCGCGGTCGCCTCGCCCGGTCTCTTCTTGCAGCTTTGTCAGGCCTTTGGCCTCAGCGTTCATCTGTCTTGTGGTAAGTCCCTCACGCATTCATTTGATATTCATATAACTAATTATTGTTATAGGATATATAGCTCATTTGTAACTCGCCTCTTATTAACTACCGTGCCTATTTTGCCGTAAGTATTCTATCCTACAGTTTCTGTGAACGAACTAACTCAACGACTTAATTCCAGGCGTGTCATCGACGTCCGAACCTCCGAAACGCAAGCTGCCTCAAGTTTGGAGGCACACTATGTGGTACCCAGAATCCGGCCTCGTAGTCTCGCCTTTCAGTTGCATCCTGCCTTCCTCCATTGTCTCGCCCTACCCTTCCCTAGAAAATTTCAAAAATCTTGACCCTACCCTACGAGTCAAAAAGGTGCCCTATAACCCTCTCCAAATACTCCATCGTCGCGCTCAAGGACCTCTCGCACAGCTCGAAAGGCGAGATGCTCCTGTACGTCACCATCGACACCAATACATGGGCAAAGGCGCAGTTCCCGCATGCCACGTCCGCGCATCTGCGCGAGAACGCGTACACGATGCTCGAGTTGACGACGCACTCGATGACGATGGATATGACGCTCCAGGACAAGGGCAGCATCGGCACGCTCTTCGTGAGCAACTCGAACGGGAGGTTCTTTGTCGAGAGCTTGAAGGACACGGACAGGAACTCCGCGGGGTATGTCAACTCTGAAAGGATATACGGCGTTGAGGGCATTGGGCTGGCAAATATCGTGTCGAATGCGCAGGATGTGGAGGGCCGCGGGGCGGAGAAGCGGGTCTGCCACACCTCGGACGCCGAAACGTGTGCGCTGCACTTGCACTCGGTAACGTCGCCGCATCTATAATGTGGTTTGTTGCTTATGATACGTCAGGTATCATGAATGTTGAGTATCCGGGGCATGATGACTTTGGGCTTTGGAATCCTAGTGAGGAGCGACCTGAGCAACGCCTCTTCGGACGACAGGTGAGATTTCGTTCGTAACTGGCTGGATTCTTGCTGAGATTTGAGTCTAGACTCTCTACCGTTGTCGTGTTCGCGATGTCAACCGTCGCCTCTTTTGGACAATCATTTGAGCGCCATTTTGTCCTTGACTCGGGTTCAGCTACATCTCGGACATAGAATATAGGAATAACGAAGTAAACTCGCCCCTTTGTTTAGCCCCTCAAGCTCGATTGAGCATCCAGCCTGACTTACGCTTGCAATGGCAACGAATGGTAGAACTCAGGAGGAAACCAGGTGGGTACACCTATAATGGAGGATCTAAATGTCAATGAGCTTACCATATTGCTTTTCTTCAGCGCTCTGCGGGCCAACCTCCGCATTGTGTCCTCCATGACAAGAGTTGATTACCCTCGGCTAGCCAGCCACGATTTCGAGTGCTGCTGGCGCTGACCTCTCTGCAGGCCCTCTCGGCTTGCGCCATTTCCCTTCTCGACCAACGCCATTACGTGAATTTCGGTTGGTTCGACTTCCTCAACAACGCCCTCAGGCCTCAGGACTCGTCCAACCATTGTCATTATCCGACCCCCTCCCGCTCTGGAGTCCTCACGTTCCCGCCTCAAGCTCACCTTCGCGTTAACCGCCTCCCAACGCAGCTGCCGCCCCCTTTTAAGCCCACATAACCTCGACTTCTATCTGCAATTACCCCAATTTGTGATTCTTCGACACCGACTTTCCCTTCTTCACGCCCACCGCCATATCTAGACCCGGTCATGCCACATCCGGACGTTCTCAGTCCAGATACCCACGAAAGATCCTCAACACCCTTATTCGCACCCAAACCGACAACCTCCTAGACCTTCACATCCACTCCAACACTCTACTTCGAATTACCCGCGTTCTTGACACCTTTCTCGACCCCTGCCCGGCCAACTCAGCGTCGCGTGCACGGCCAGCCCAGGAACGCCTTGTAACGCCTGCCTTGGTGTTTTCTGGCGCCCTGTCATCCTTTGCTGCACAATGACTCACTCTCTCGCTGCCTGTGCTGGAGGTGGAATGCATATCTGGCGGGTGTGGAGGTGGGTGTAGTAGGGCCTAATGTCGATGCGGGTTTTGTTACCGGCGCGGCTATCAGTAGTGCGTCCGAACTCGTATTACGTAATCACATCATCTTTGTCCTGAAGATTTAGTCGCCAATCTGTCAGTCCTGTATTAACTTTCTGTTTTTATACACTAAAAAGATTCATAGAAACCTAGTCTATTCCCACCTGACGTCTCAGAGCCGCTAGCGACATTCTCGACGTCCTTTGTTGGAAAGTACAGTAGTATCCTGTTGACCACGATAGGTATTACCCCCTTGTCTGTGAGTTGTAGGCCAACTCCTTTTTGTTTTTGCTCAAAGCTTTATAGAGTTCTGGAGCATTGTATCCGTCGTCATTAGGGCTACTGGCCGTGTTTGTGGGGTTCCTCGTCATGAGATAACATCTCTTCGTATTCCTACAAGTCGTCCAGAATTTTTAGTCACCAATCTGTGAGTTTGGTCTCAACCCCCCTTTTTTTGTGCTTAAAAGTATGATATGCACCCAGAGCAGCGTCTCCCTGTCTTCAGGACCAACTGGCTTCGCTTTCCGCCTTCCATGTAGTGAAGTAGGGTTCATGGAGGTGCGCATTACGACTTATCCACCGTTGTCGTAAGGTTGACAAGGTAACTGTTATCGATGTGAACATCTGAGGAACCTGTGAAAAACGGCAGGCAAGCTGAAGCTCGCCATTTGCAGCTACTAGTATCCCTGCGGAATTTGAGGTAGGGAAGAGACAATCAGGATTCAGAGAAAGTTGTAATATGTATCAACAGTGGAAGAGTTAATCGGACCGCAGAGCCGTCCCACCAACATCTTCTCTCGCCTTCCCAAGCTCCAGACTGCGGAGTCACCGGACCCTTCCCACCATTGTCAATGTTATTCTAGCACAATCTCCCTGTACAGCCGCGCTAGCGAATGGGCCCGGCGGTATAAGTATCTTCTCCTCGTGAGACAAAGCCCTCATCCTGCCGCCATCGTCTAGTCATGGCTAATCGCAAGTCTAAGTCCGATGGACAATCGCAAGGACCCAAGCAAGCCGCAGGAGGAAGGGCATCTCGGTCCCCTAACCCTCAAGCTACCAATAAGCCTCGATCTGTAGCTACAGCCCATCGTGATTGCAGTAACTCTTCCATCGTCTTCCATTATGCTAACTTCCTCTCAGCCCAGATGATGGGAAACGCTTCGTCAAAGCCTCCAGCATCATCAGGTCAATATTTAACCCAAGCTCCCCACTCCCCAACTATAAGAGACTGATTGCGTGTTGTCAGGTACAGCTGCTGCACCTAGACCCCCACAACCACAAGCCACCGCACACCGTCCATCAAATGGGACTAAACGTAAGCCTCTAGCTTCAAACCTGACAAATACTCATATTCTTTACCTCAGATCAAAATGCTGGTAACGGGGCTCCCAAATCTCAAGGCGCCAACGGTTCGAACTTTGTCAGAGGTAAGCATCAGGGATTTGGAGCTTGCGTACATGAACTTTGTAGGCCTACACTGGTCTACACGGCTCGTGTAAGCAAGTCCCTAAGTCCTGATGAGCACCTTCGACATCTGCTTATCAAGTGTCTCTATCATCAGCCGAAGCAATGTCTGGACACAGGGCATCCCAAGATCGATCTGTAAACCAGGGTACCCGTAAGTTCTTCAGAGCATATCGTTCTTTTCCGGTACTAACGGAATCTTTCGTCAGCTAAACGTAATGGAAGCGGGCTGAACAACGGCCCTCAGAAAGTCCAAGGGCATTCATCTCAACGTGAGACTTATCCTTGTCTTCATCCGCGTGATCTGAGGTTCCTGTCATACAGCCAACATTTCTTCGAAAAACGAGGCACCGAAGCCGAAACATTCTCAGGCCTTCTTTGGAGGCAAGCTTATCATCTTCATCTGTCCTTACGCCATCCAATTAAACGGCTCCAATAGGTCACTCTTCGGCCTCCAACTCAGCGCTGTAAGTATTAACCTGTTATTCATCTGTAACTGGGGCTGAAGGTATTGGCACCAGGCCTTCACCACCCCGTCCCGGAAACATCCAACATTTGCATGTGCCCAAAGGTGATCCCATTAGACCTATTCAGATGTCGTCGTGTAACCTAAAAATCGCCGTAAACTAGCACATGGAGCAACCATATCCGGGAACAAGGTGTTCCAAGACCCATCGCCGACGTGTAAGACCCCCTACTGTCCCTCACCTTACCAGTGATTGAATCAGTGTTGCAGCAAAACGGAGTGGCCATACCCAACCTCATGCTCAAAAAGCACAGAACCATGCTCCGACCCCCCCAAAGGGTGAGCTCTAGCCAATTTTTAAATTTATGGTCGCTCATGTTTATTCCATAGAACCTACTTTCTTTTTGGCATCGCCAGCCCATCAACAGCAATCAGGAAAAAGTGAGCCGTCCTACACCCATCGCTGTTTCATTTTTATTGAAGGAGTGTAGATACTGCCAGCAACACTTTCCCGAAGGTCCAGGTGGCAACAACGCACGCTCAACACCCTTCGCGTGGTGGTAAGCTTGTGTCATTTCCCCCTGTGTGCACACCATCTAAACTCGAAGCGCTAGGTCAATCGTCTGCACCACCAGCTCAAGGTTCTGAGAAGCCGTCGCATAAGTCTCAGCAACAACACAAGGGTAAGCCTCGGTAGTGTATCTGTCCATATGGATAATCAATTTTTGTCTTGTTGGCAGCGCCCCCGCACTCGCGTCTCATGCAAGAGACATCCAGTAAAGGCGAGTGTTTCAACCTTGTAACTGCAATGTCCACGTTGGCTGATGACCATGGAAGGCCACAAGGACACCCCTCCAAAGCCCTCGACGAACAAGGGAAAGCCGCCTACGGAAAGTGTGCTGTCGACCGTATTTTCATTTTTTTCTACTGGATGTGAGGTTACCCATTTTCATGGTCCATTACTTATTTAACCAACTGTGCATCCCCCAGCGGAAGCTCCGGGGAATCCGTCCCATAAGTCTCAGCATGCGCAACAAGGCAGAGGTAAGCCTTGGTAGCATATCTTATCAGAGATAATTGATCTTTGTCTTACTGGCAGCACCTCCGCATTCGCGTCCCGCACAGGAAACGTCCAATAAAGGCAAGTTTTTCGGTGTTGTAATTGCAATGTTTGAGTCGGCTGATGTAAATGTAAGGCCACAAGAACACCCCGACCAAGACCCCGATGAACGACCGGGGCCAGGGACAACCGCCTACTGAAAGCATGTTGCCAAAAGTCTTGTCATCGTTTTTCTCTACTGAATGTGAGCTTGCTCATCTTCACGGTCTGTTACTTATCTAATCGAATATGTATCCTCCAGCAGAAGCTCCGGGGAACCCGTCGCATAAGTCTCAGCATGCGCAGCAACACAGAGGTAAGCCTCGGTAGTGTATCTATCCATACAGATAATTGATTTTTGTCTTACTGGCAGCGCCCCCACACTCGCGCCCCGTGCAGGAGATACCCAATAAAGGCAAAAATTTCGATGTTATAATTGCATGTTCAAGTTGGCTGATGTAAATATAAGGCCACAAAGACACCCCTGCGAAGTCCCTGAAGAACAACGAGCGCCAGGGACAGCCGCCTGGTGAAAGCGTGCCGCCAAAAGTATTGTCATCGTTTTTCTCTACTGAATGTGAGCTTGCTCATCTTCATGGTCCGCACCTTATCTAATCGAATATGTATCCTCCAGCGAAAGGTTCTGGGAATCCGTCGCATAAGTCCCAGCATGCGCAGCAACACAGAGGTAAGCCTCGGTAGTGTATCTATCCATACAGATACTTGATTTTTGTCTTACTGGCAGCGCCCCCGCACTCGTGTCTCATGCAAGAGACATCCAGTGAAGGCGAGTGTTTCAACCTTGTAACTGCAATGTTCATGTTGGCTGATGACCATGGAAGGCCACAAGGACACCCCTCCAAAGCCCTCGACGAACAAGGGAAAGCCGCCTACGGAAAGTGTGCTGTCGACCGTATTTTCATTTTTTTCTACTGGATGTGAGGTTACCCATTTTCATGGTCCATTACTTATTTAACCAACTGTGCATCCCCCAGCGGAAGCTCCGGGGAATCCGTCCCATAAGTCTCAGCATGCGCAACAAGGCAGAGGTAAGCCTCGGTAGTGTATCTATCCATACAGATACTTGATTTTTGTCTTACTGGCAGCGCCCCCGCACTCGCGCCTCGTGCAGGAGATAGCCAATAAAGGCAAGTGTTTCGATGTTGTAACTGCAATGTTCAAGTCAGTTGATGTAAATGTAAGACCACAAGAACACCCCTCCGAGGCCCCCAATGAATGACCGGCCACAGGGGCAGTTCCCTGCTGAGAGCGTGCTGCCGACACCGAAAGTATCGCCATCAAATCATTTTGCTGGATGTAAGTTACCCATCTTTATGGTCCGTTACTTATTTAACCGAATGTGTATCCCCCAGCAAACGGTACTGGGAACCGATCGGTTAACTTCGTGATTCCTCCTGGATGTATGTTCTTCTACTGTTCCATGAAGACATGGCTAAATTTGCTTCTCTCAGCGACACACAACTCTGCAACTGTTGGTAGTGGGTCTCTCCACTCTCGAGCTGCGAAGAAGCAAGGGCCAAATGTTGCTAAAGGTAATGATCGCTGAGATTATCGACATTACATGGACTCACACTTGGTTCAACTCCAGGCAGTGCGAATGTGCCCCAGGCAGCAGCGGTCAAACCCCAGACCTGGGGGCAGATGATTTCATCTTGGTTCCTTCCATCAGCGCCCCCTGTTGACGTTCAGGCTGCAAATAAATCAACCTCAAGTTCGATGAAAGGTAATGACACTCCTTCCTCTCTCGTTTCGCATGTTTAACACGGTCCATCAGCAAAAGACCCCGGCCCTAAGCCGCAGGCTCCGAACTCTACCAAAGGTAAAACATCCCCAATCAAGCCACATTAACATCGACTGAAATGACTTCATTATTGTAAGCCAATGATGGCCAGTCGAAATCTCACCCTGCACCAGACTTGTCCTTTATTCCACGTGAACACTGGAGAAAGGAACCCATCTTATCAACGAAAGGCGCGAAGAATGGATTGCAGGACCTGCCAAATCGATCAAACAACTCGGACACATGTAAGATCTTATTGCGATCGCTTTTGCTCGTTGTTTTTTATAGCCTATTCCCATACTTTTTCCAGTATCCTCAGCGACTTCGCCGAAGAAGGAGCAGGCGCCGACTCATCCTAATATGCTAGTGCGAAGTGATGGCGGCCCGCAATATTCCTCAAGTGTGTCGGAAAAGCCTGAAAAGGCCACAAATTTGACATGTAATTAAGCCCTGTGCTCTTTACCCATTGCATGGACTAACTTAAATATCTAGCCGCATTGAGTCATGCCGCGGATCACTCTCGAATGTCGAGCAAGCCTCAGGCAGCTGCTGTGCACCATCTAAAACAATTTCAAGTTCGATCGAGCTCTAGCAAAGGTATACCTTCAACGTCACCGTGATCCTAGCAATGACTGACATTTTCTATCGTGACGCAAGTATTATCTCAGCATGATCCTAAAAAGATAGCTGCTGTTCGCAAAGGCTTACTACGTCAACGTACCCCCACTCTGAGGTGGCGAGAATCCAATACTCCTAGGACCGTCTCAGCATACTCCACCTTAACCGCTGCGCCACTCCCATCGCCTCCCAGGAACGAGCTCCAAAACAAAGTTGCTCGTAAAACAATTTCCCAGAATCCTGATCTCTTCAAGGTCGTCTCACCGATCAAGGTCGACGTCTTCAAAGAGTATGTCAAGGACCACCCCAACCAATCATTCGTCCAATCTGTTGCCCGTGCGCTCAAGAAAGGATTTTGGCCATGGGCGGACACCAGTGATCCAAGTTTTCCTACTACGTATGACGGTTCGCGTCAGGGTTCTCGCATTACCAGCGAGGATAAAGCCAAGTTTATTCGACAGCAGTGCGAAGACGAAATGGAGCTCGAGCGCTGGTCGAAACCTTTTGGCAGTAAATTGATGCCTGGGATGCATTCCGCCCCAATCAATGCAGTTCCGAAAAGCACTCCGGGAAAGTTCAGGCTCATTGTCGACCAGAGCAGGGGACCGCACGCCCTAAACTCGACGATTCCAAAGTCTCAAGTCAAGGTTCAGCTCGACAATATACACGATCTCGGCAATGAACTCCTAGCTGCTCGGAAGAAATATCCTAACCGCAAACTTTGCTTGTTCAAATCAGATGTCAAAAGCGCGTACCGACAGTTGCCAATGCATCCATTATGGCAGATTAAACAGGCTATCCTCATCGACGGTCAGTACCACATAGACCGGTGCAACACGTTTGGAAATCGAGGCGGTGGATGGAACTGGGATTCGTTTAATTCCTCCGTCAATTGGATTGCCACCGAGAAAAAAGGTGTATCCGGTCTCCTGGGATATGTTGACGACATCTTTGGCTGGGAATTCGAGCGAAACAAAAAAGTTCTACAAGCTGTACAATAAACATCTCCCTACCAAGCAAGCCCGACTCCTTGAACTCTGGGACGAGCTCGGTATTCCGCATGACGAAGAAAAACAACTCTCCGGCCCTTCCCTTCCTATCCTAGGCTATCACGTCGATGCGAACGCAATGACAGTCAAAGTCCCCGACGAGAAGAAGGCCAAGGTAGTTGAATTACTTCGAAGTAACGCTCATGCAGGGAAATCTTACACCGTCAACGAGCTGCAGTCCGTTGCCGGGTCTGTTGGCAGCGCCCTTAGTCTTTATCCGCGCCTCCGTCCAGGTCTCCGCGTGCTCTTTGATGAGATGGCAGCGCAGGAGGGGGGTACTACCAAGCTTAGGGTAACAGAGCCAGTTGCTCGCTGCTTGTCGTCGTTGGCGGACTTCCTTGAGCATGCCCCGCCTGTGCCGATTCGACACCAGAAGGAAAAGGTGCGCGGTATTGGGGCTAGTACGAAATAAACAGTATATACAGTATGTTGATCGAAGTCAACTCAGCTATGTGGGTTAATATTGAAGTCACAGGACAAAGACAGTGGGCGAGAATGGGCGCAGATATTGAATTCATGTATAACAGAACGGACTGGGGACAACCCACATTACAATTACTAGGACTACATAGTACGATGATTAAATAAAAATAAGTGAACAGAAAAGAATTTAGCCTGCCTTCGCATCCTGCCTGCGTAAGTGAGTTGCATGGTAATTTAGACGGGATTTCTTTCTCGCGCGATTTTATCGTATTCAAGACTTCCCAATCTGTAATGAGGCGTTGCATCAAAATCTGTTTTTTTTCGCGCTTAATTTTGGCTCTCGAAGGTCGAAGTTTTGTTATCACTCCCTTTGGTATCAGGATCTCTAGAAAGAGCTATTTTCTAAGACAGCACTAAAGTTAGCTATAACAAAGCTATACCAACGAAAACAAGTACAGCGAAGACTCCATGAAAGTAATAAAAAATACAAGGATACGAAGATGTAGATATACATAGGGATAGATACAGCGTCGAAAGATCTATCTTTGTGCGTCTTGACTATGGTACACATGAACCGAGTTCCTAATAATTAGTCCATTGGATTGATCACCAGGATCATAAAGCAAAGAAAATAAAACGAAGGTCAAATTCAATGGACAATCTGGATTTCTTGCTTTAGAAGTGTCTCGTTTGCCCCAATCTCGTTTGCAAATTTCAGGAACGCCTGGTCGATGTTGTCGTCCGACCCCAACATCCTGTGCAGAGCTCGACCAGTTTGGTCATAGTCGCAAGCGAGGGAGTACATCCAGTACGCCAAGTATGCCCCAACGTGCCCAGCGTCGGAGTCGTGGAGCGCGGCAAGGCTTCGCCCTGACGCGGGCTTGACGATGCGCACCTGCGACTCTGCCTCGGCGAGCTCGCGGTTGAAGGCATGATGAACAACCGAGCGGCTTGATGGTGGTGTCGACATTGCCGAAAAGAACGAGTCGTCTGACGAGGCGCTGGAGGCGCTTGAAATAGATGCTGTGTCCCCTATGTCGGTGAAATGACCGGAAACTTCAAAGGTGGGGACGGCAAACGCCTCCCAAGGAACGGTGCCTGCGCAGTCCCAATCCAAAACCCCGACGATGTGCCCTGTCTCATCCACGAGAATGTTGTCGCTGTGTAGGTCGCCATGGCGCATCGGGAATGGACCACGGTCGTCCCTCTCGTCGACGAGCGGCATCATGGCCCTCCGCCAAAGGTCTGCCACGAAACGGCGCTTCAGCTGAGCGGCGTCCGGGTTACCCTCCTCTCCCTCTCCGGCCGAACCTGCTGCCATAGCCAGCTGTTCGTAGGCTTCCGCCTGGATAGCGAAGTACTCCTTCGCGGAATCAAAGGGGCCTAGGCCGAAATCAGCCCCAGGCCCGACGGTCACCTTCCCCTGATCGTCTATAACAAAGGAGCCAATCCGGTCAAAGGTTATCCGGCTGAGTTGGACGTGGATATCCGCGATATCACGGAGGTAACGTTGGAGGATTGGTCGCTTGCTTTCGTCGCCACCTAGTGGGTCCGTGTCGAAAGCTACTCCAGACTGAGAATCCATGTCGTGTATTGCAACCCCACAATCTTCAATCGTCATTCCCGTTATCGCTGTCATGAGCACGAATGCGGGGAAATTTGGGCCAAGGGGGTTGGAGGGTGAAGGGTGTGCGTGGTAGGCGATGATGGTGGGAACCGGGATGGTTGTTCGCTGGCGGACAAGGTGCAGAGCTGCGACTTCGTTCAGGATTTTTCGTTCGAGTTGAGCTGCCGTGTTGAAGTAGGCATCCATGGGTCGCATGCCGAATCGAATAATCCAGGACGTGTTGTCTGAAAATAGGAGTTCGAAAACAAGGAATGACTGGCCCCATGTATAGTGGTCTGCAAGGAGGTGACAGGGAAGTCGTTGTGGGTGGAAAGAGGACGCAAATGCTTCAATGCGTGGATGATGAGGTTGGAGTTGATCGACCATGGAAGTAATTCTGTCGGCGAAGTCTGGCTCCATGATCTCCAGTGAAGCTTCAACATCTGGCCAATTATCGCTGATAGGAGCCATGTCAACGAGTAGGATGAGATAGAAGGCACGCTGATAGAATAGAGACGAGGTGATGGAAGGTTGGTGGAAACGATGTGGCAGGTGGAAGGAAGGGGGAAAGAAAGCTGAACCACTCCTTTGTGGGTGGGACAGCCGTTTAGGCGCATGTTTGGCGCGTGGATCATGCATGCGCTGTGTCAGGGTCCGACAGCGGTCCGCAAATATGCCGAAAACATGTCACTTAGGCCATATGCTCCGCCTGATGCTCTTCCGCCTTTGAATCCACAGAAAGAGCACGAACAACCCCACTTAGGCCCACATTGTAAGTAGAAGCGGCTCTCGCTATCAAGCTGGTGGAAAAACCGCTCTCTCCCGTCTCAACCGTGACGCGCACCGCTTCGGGCGGTCATGCCAGTGAGGCTGCGGGATAATGGATTTCTCACGAAGGTCATATGAAGCGACGATTAATAATTGCCATAGGAGAAAGCTGGGGCGACTAACCCACCTTATTCCACTGTGATCATGCTTTCCAACTCCTCGAAACTAGCTTTTCTACTTTTTAACGATTCAAGGAAAACGGGTTGATGTACCAAGCAGACGATCGCTCGATGCTTCAAGTGTCCTATTCATGATCCAGAGGACCCGCGCATATGATAAGCGCCGCTTAACGGGGGTGATATGGATGCGTCGCGGATAAGATTGTAGACCGGGTCAAGGGTCCTATTTCAAGAAAGGACTGATCTGAGTCACAAGCGTACAGGTCCTTCCTCGTCACGCGAGCACCTTGCTTTCCACTAAATGATTTACTAAATGGAGCGCAGGATAATTCAGCGCAAAATCTAGGAATCTGGGGGCTAGGAATCCCTTCAAATACACGACCTAACTTGATTAAAAAGTTCAGCATAGGGACTTTGCCCCCCAACTGTCCCTGAGAGCCGATGCGCAATTTCGACGCCGACTCGTCAGAGGATATGGGAATCCTTGAACACCACTTACTCTCCTGCTTTGCGGAACGGGCTCAAGCATCGTCTTCTTCGAATCTCAGAGGTCCTTTGGTGTCTTGGCTGTTTCTCATGGATGTGCGTACGGCCAATGATGCTCCTTCAGGCCGTGAGATGTGGAAGTTGCATCGTGCGTGTCTTTGAAAAAGTTGCACGGTGCCCTCTTTCTCTGTGCTTCCTGCCTAAGGCGCTCAAGTGGTTATAATTATGACACTCTCAGGCGACAAATATTCTTTCTGGAAGTCTCAATTTTGGTCTTTTTCCCCGAGTGCGCCTCATTGCCGGACCCTTGCCTTGCGATCCAACATCACCGGCTTTCACATTACCACTCCGGGCTATATCTGTATCATTACTCGGTCGGATGGGGGCGTTTCTTCTGTAGAATGGACCTGTGCGGACATTGATGGCGACATGTCCATTCAAGTGCTTCATACGGATACAAGTTGCCTCGAGGCTTCTTCCTAGACACGGGAGATGTTTGGGACCCCGTTTTACCAGGAAGAACGGCCTGAGCTACATTTCATGGCGTAACTTGAGCTCCTTCTGTGTGATTAATAATCTCATATCATCAATCTTCTGTCACCCTTTGTGTCAGTCTTTCCGTCAACCAAGACATTGGGTTCATCCTTGAGAAACGGGCATATTTCCTAGGTTATTTCTCCGACTAGGCGCTGAACTTCGCAGGGAACATCAAATTACTTGGTCGGTAGTGAAAAGAAACTATGGCACCCTACTTTTCAGCTTGTTCGGTGACTCCATGGCACCGAAAAACGACTCTGGGTCGGACATGCCGTCCAGCGGTGTTTTCATCTAGTTCCGATGAATGAGGCCCTCATTTCCGCCCTAACATTTGAAATCGCGGCCGTCATGGTGTCTATGTCTGTCAAGTTAGACTGCGCCTTCCAGAATTCTGATAAATAATATTTTTCGCTGCGTAAGAGGTCAGCAGCGTCCCGCCTCGTGCACCATTGGACATGACCGTCGGCTCCCGCCAATCAGAGAGAGCATCCGCACTGGCCGAGGACTATCGATTTCAATTATCATTATACCGGAGGACGCCGTTCATCTCCTTCGCCATGATTCATTGTTGATGCTGCGAAATGACGATAGCATGGCAGCTCAGGAGACCTTGGACGGATATTCGTACACTGGCGTAGATATCTTATCGATATCCCCGAATCCTGATCTGCCATCTGCATCATCGATCCTATCCTCTGAGGGTGCTGGTTTCGTCTTGACTTTGAATAATCCTCATGTGATGCGTCTCTTTCTATCGGAGACTCGGGAGCTCCTTGTCAAGGGGGACATCCGCTGCTATATCGTCCAGGTCTTCATTTTTGGTCTTCTCAGTGCTCCCAGTCGGCATGAATCATAAGACCGAGCGGGCGCTGAAAACAGTCGACCAGCTGGGACAAGATCGTCTGTCCCTTGAATACGGTAATAGCCGTCTTAAATAATACGAAGCGTGGGGCGGGTGGAACTTAGCCAGTTCGTCGTTCTCCTGAGTTGTGTGCCGTCAGAAACTGAATCCAAAGACCGGGAATAAGACAGCTGGATTCTTCGGCTCATCGAGCCGTCCGGCGAAGAGCACTCAGGTTTTTCTTATCACTACAGTACGGCATCTTAATCAAGGTGTGACCAGTCCGAGGCGTGGCGTGTTGAGCTACGTCTTGTTATCCTCTGCCTTACTGCACAGTCGGCGACCTCTCTCACGGGGATAGAAGACTTCCCCGCGTTCTCCGTCGACAACAAGACCACCCGGCCATAATGAACATTGGATGCGCTTCAAGCCCGTCTTTAATAGTCATTTCCAAAGGAGTGGGCTTACGGCTATTCCAGACGACGCCACAAACTTGAAGAACATCCAGCCGTGGCGCGCCCTCACCATGAGGCGTCAAGGAATATAGACGTCATTCTAAGTTGATTACAAGCGAACATCTTCCTTCTCCCCCAAACCCACCTTCCGCGAAGGCGCAAAGGTGACTTGTTCCTCCGCCACTTTTGGCAGCCGGTTGTGTCCATCAGCGCGGCACCAATATATACCTGCGCAAACGAGTGGTCCAACAAAGTCACCCTAAAATTCCGGCGGGGTTATAAGTTAATTCAACCGACCTTCACAACGCCCTGCCAAGGGCTAATGCACACCAGACGATGGAAAAAGCTCAAGCACTCGGTCAAATGCCCGTGGCTCGACGTAGATCGAGAAGCGAATTGGAAATTCAACTATCGGTTGTAAAGGGACTTTGGAAACGTTCTTCATGTCTCCACCAACGGGCTGTAGGTTTCCTTTATGAATCCTGGACGAAGTCAATGACCGACTCGCTGCGTCACCCTGAACTCTCACAACACGTTGTAACTTTTTTTGAGTCGTTTTCTCAGGCATTGACGGAAATACTTAATTATACCATGGGCGCGCTTGGGGCGCGCAGTCCCCCTGTATTAATATTTGAGGGAAACAATACATAGCCATAATCGAAAGCTTCTAACGAACCATATGAAGGTCGTGGTTGCTCTCCGAATTTACCGCGTCTGAAATGAGCCTGGACCCGATTAAACACCATGAAAGCAATTCTTCTACTAAACCTTCACGGCTTCACGGAGCAAAAAGCACCGGCATCTGCTATTTTTTTTTGTCACGCATACTAAACGCCCAATTTTACCTCCTACCATCGTGTATGTGTCCTGCACACTATAAGGTGCTTTGTGAAGTTCTGGGAAGTGTGCGGTACTATTTTATGGGCGGCCCTCATCATTTGCGAAAAGCTGTGCATGGATGTCGAGTGGATATTTATGAATAGAACCAAATGAAACCGTATTCGTATAGACCAAGTATAGGCAGTATCTCCATGAAGTGAGAGTTTTAAGTTTTTACCTCATCCTCAAGTGGAATCGCCACTTCCAAGGATGTCCAGTGTATGGGCGATGATAAACTTAACGCTGCGGCCGAGACCCTAGTTTGAACACGGATAGAGCCCAGTTGTCGCATATTCCTCAGCAACGGTGACTGGTACGGACTTATGGACAATCTTGGATTACAGGGTTTCATACACTTGTAAAAATGGCCCACAGGGTTCCTCGGTGTGTTATCGCGATCTAGAACTGGATATGGAAGGGGCGAGTGAAATGGCTGGAAACTCGACTCCACGTTTTGACGGAGACGGAAATCACACTTAATTATTTGACCGGGACACACAACCGGCGATTTTCTGGGATTCGCCGTGGAAAGAGATATTGGAATCCGAAAGGGCAGGTGGTCCGAGGCCATAGAAGGTTCGTCGGTTTGTGTGCTTAAGCGCCAATGTCGAGCGCGGGCTCAAAGGGGCTATAGACATTGCTTGCTCCAAATTAGATGTCTGAAATCTCCGAATAAGACACGAAGACGACAAAACCGGACTCTCACTGCAGGGTAGTGCTTCACGCTAGACGGGAATGGTTTGAGAGATCACCATTCACGTCGCACATTAACCCCTTTGTCGAAGGGTCCACGGAGGAGAGATTCAATACATGCGATCTGGCTCACGTTCATTAGGGTCGCCTTCCCAAGGTATATAAGGGCCTACAAGTTCGTCGGTGGACTGCACATCAGCGCTCTTCTACAAAATCCATGTCCGCTCCTCAAGACACCGTTGACGAAGTCAGATATTTCTCTTCCTGGGCTGCTGAGTATGAACTGACTTGCCTCGAAAATATAGCCCCAGCCTTCTGGCCCCGTTTACGAAGGCCCAAGAACACCAAAAAGAACCCCGATGGCCTGTCAATTTTGTCGCGGTGAGTGACAAAAAGTATGTATCGTTCAGCACATGCTGATTCTTTCATAGGAAGAAAATTGAAGTGCGATGGTATGCGGCCGTCCTGTGCGAACTGTCACCGCCGTGGCTACCCTTGTTCCTATGCACCTGTTTCTGCGTAAGTCGGAGACACGTAACCAAGGATTTCAACACTCACCTTCATTTCTGAAACCCCCCAGCACACCAACAAAATGAAGCGTCTCCTGCTTGATCTCGTACTTCTTGGACAATCCCATAGACTAATTATTGCCCGCGATTATGTTCTTGTTATGATTAGACACTGCGTAATACGCGGATATTGACCGTTCTGGCTTCGGGGGTTACCACAGGAAACAGGAACGCGGACTCTACACGATGCTGGCTCGGCTGTGGCAAGTCTAAATTTCATCATTGAGGGGCACTGTGGCAATGCTCAGTGAGCGCGTAGCTAAATCCATCCCAGATGTATCTGGAACACGTAACTTGCAAGATCGGTGTCCAGCCGCGAGCTTCATATGTGAGGTCATGGGGGGTGGCCGCGCGCCATGAGTGGGCTCACCGTCTGGCAGCTAATATGCTAGCGTTGCCCGCTGAAGCAAGGCACAACAAAGCAACGGCCTCATACGACATTTAGGCATGAAAAACGTGTACATACCTCTGTCATCCATCGGGGCATTCTGGATCCCGCGATCCCCTTCATTCAACCGATCTAGAGAGCCAAGGATGCCCTTCAATTGTTTGACATTCCGTGAAGGTTGTGATCTGTGCTGTAATCGTGTAAGCCCCGGCGTGATCGAACTTACGAGTCGCAAAATTAATGAAGACATGGCCGGTGCTTACTCGAGGATGAAGTAGGTAAATGCAAACTTAGACTAGTTCCCATGGTCGCCCTTGAACAGCTTATAGGAGGGACTATGCGATCATGCCGAGCGACCTTCTTCGCCTCGTACAGGCGATATATCCGGAGAGCTGTTCGAAGGCATGATGGACTGATAAACCAGACTTGTCCAGTGTAGGACGGTGGTGGTAGAAATTTCAGTTCAACTTGAATATCGAGGCATGATGGCCCATTGGGATTTTAGCGCCGGCAGCTTCGGCATCCGGATATTGCCGGGGTTGATATTGATGCTGACGATCTCACGATTGATCACTGTTCTCTCTCATCAACACCTCAGTGTATCTGCTCTCTTACCTATATGCTATCGCAGAGAGACATGGTAAATCCCGGCCATAGAGTTCTGGGACGCGATATCTTCTACTTCCCAAATTTCCTGACGGTGGGCACATTTACCTGTTGATTTATATGCCACCTTGAACCAGAATCAAGAAAGAGGAAGAGGAATACCTGGTTCGGAAGGCAAGGGGTCTTACTTCACAGACCAAATAAATGCACATGGAGTTATTACCGCGGGCTTACAGATACGTGAATCGCCTCAGCCACTTTGGAAAAGACTGGGAAATCGACGGTTGGTGATAAACTTCAGCCCGCCAATTGTGCAAGAATTTGAAATGCACCGTTGCTGCCTAATAACAGCCTACAGATATGGGGTACGTTTGTATCAACCCTTCTTCATCTTTCTATAGTTACGCCATATCTCAGGAGGTGATATCACCGCGAAAGGAACCCTTATTGTGCAGCCATTCCCGCCGTTCGTCAACAATTTGTGCGGTTTGTTCGAACTGTTGCAGGTCCATCTGTCTCACTGGGGTTTGTGGACATCATGGTAGCCCAGATATCATCTCTCGTATCAGAGAAACCGGGGCGTTCCAACACTCCCCTCATCAAGGACCGAATCACATTATTATGAACGAGGTTGATTTATTGCTCTATCCAGAACGATGTGAACACTTACCCATGGATGCAGTATCTCCCCGGACAGGGTATTATGGCACGTTGATTCTTTTCTTGGCTACATAATCTCCCCTAAACCTTCGCCTTAGCCGCACGAAGACGGCCCACAGTACCACCCAGTCGTTGCGACAATATCTCTGGGCTCTCATGCTGTTTTTAATTACTACGAGTATCAGTCAGAGACCGATACCGTCGCTGAACCCGCTTCGTGCGGGCATGGCAAAAGTATCAACACGCAGCCTATGGTCTCTGTTCTGCTGGAGCCTCGAAGCCTTATTATCTCCTCGGGAGAAATGTATGCCTCCCACCTCCATGGGTAAGATGACATACTCCCACTGCATCTCATAATCAAGTCTAATTCCTATTTCTCAGTATCGATGCCGTCGAAGAGGATTTGATAATTTCCAACTCCTCCTCGGGAGAGGGAATGGCCGTAGCTAATTTTGGTCATCTACAAGACGAGGAGATACTGGCCTCCATTAAGACACAAACTCCGCTCAAACGGACGGTTCGGTATAGCTTGACGTGCCGAGATGTAGAACGGGTTTCGAGACTCGCAACCAAGTCTCACCGATGAGCATGGAGGTTGTTAAAACTTGTTGAGTCACCCTTGGCAATCCTACGATTTGAAGGCCTTCCTGGGTCTGGGATTCTCCAGCGGTATGAGACTGGCTGAGAAGATGGATCAGAAACGTCACCGTAAACGGCCCACACACAATGAAACTGGTGATTAATTATAATTTCCCGTTTACATCTGGAATGATTTCGTTGCGAGCCGCCGTTCATATCTTTTCGACTGGGGGCGCCCCAGACTAGACGGGCTCGCCCACATTGAGAGCCAAAAAGAAAGAGCCGTGGGCATGAATTGCGATTTGTTGCAACCCTTCACGACCGTCACTGCACTGGCGTCTTTGAGTGATGGAATAGGCTTAGACTTAGAACACGTTGCTGCCTATCATGCCTCCAAGCATCGCTTCAACAACATTAATTGGCATTGTGCACAAGGGTAGATATCGATAATCAGCGCCACTGAGGCGCTATTATCGTGAATTGTGGCGTGCATCTTGACCGTACAGGGGGAACATAAAGGTCATAAGGTGTTTATTGTGAGGCGAGGTAGAGTGTGGAGGGCAGACTGGGCAAACTTGATCAAAGAAGGCAACCCAGAAGCGCCAGTGAGAAAAACTGAACACGACCAAAGTCATGGCGTGTACCCACCAAACGTCCGCTGCGATTCACCTACGGACCGGAGGATAAAATTCGTTTCGATAGAAGTATTCGGTTGGCCAGCGCTGTCAGGTTCGCATCGGCGACGACGACTTCGGGCGCGTACTCAACATCAAATATCTCCTTGATAGCTGCACATATTCGCTTCGCCTGCCGCTCAGACCAGAAACTAAAGTCGTCTGGATCACGATCCTCAGGATTGTCTTCAGTGTTTGCTTGTCCGGGCTCGCTTTCATTCGCCAAACCGGGTTCTGGCGGAGTGTCTGACGAAGACGGAGTGCGGAGAGAACTATCCTGGGAGGACAAGGCGGCCACCTTGCAGGATAGCGGTATCAAAGAAGGATCGGAGTCGAGGCACAACGGCACGACGTGCATGAGCGATTCACGAACGGAGGTGAAATCGACTTCTGAGGGTTTATCAACTGCAGAAGGTGTCAGCTTCAAGAAAGTAGTTAGACTGGAGAACGAGAAACACATGCCGTATATCTCAATCGGACCGTCCATGCTCATGACATTGTACTTCCCATCATGGTGATAACGAACCTGCACAATCGGAGTCAGCATTTCGCCCTAAGGCTATGTTCCCTGGTTGACGGTTTTACCTCATAACGTCCAACAAGCCACGGGAGAGTGTTGCCTTTGAAAGTGACGGTGCCCTTCTCTGCGTCGCGATGTGGACTTGGAGCCCGCGTGAGACCCAAAGGAACGTCTCCGTCCCACTCTTCGTCGTGGACTGGCAGCCACATCCCCATAGACGAAGTTTTAGTGACCACCTTTGACTTGTTCGCGCCAACCTGTCGTAGAGATGAAAATTTAATAGATAACGTGCTCAGAAGTAAATGAAGAACGCGCTTGACATACTCGGTATAAACCAATCCAATCTTTCCGGGAATGTTTGTGTGGCGCCTGCCATTTGACAGTTATAGGTTCACCCAAATGGAAGGCTGGATTTCCAGTAGTGGTACTAGGAACGACCGAAATCCGATACTTGGCAGTATCATACGATGACAAGTCATTTGAAACACGGCTACAATAATATATGCATGAGAAAAGCGGTAAGGCTGTTTAGCTGTCTCGTCCCGAAACCAGTGGCAGCAGATGACACGGAACGATCGGCGAAGGGACAGGAAGACATACGTTATAACCAATCTCTCGCGCGACTGTTGCAGCAAGATTTTCGTCTCTTGCACGACTTCCGAAATTCTTGGCGCAGCTGTAAGGCAGTCAGGATCAGCAAAATAGACCAGCCAACCACACGGCAGGATTAGAGCTTAAATCACTCACACCGAGCTAGGAACTCCTCAACAGCGTCTGCTGTTTCCTCGTAGACTTTGTCGAAGGTACCGATAACCTCCCGAGCGACCCTCTTGAGTTCAGGTGCATGCTTTCCCGCACGCGACTCGAGGATGCGAACGTTCTTGCTTGCGACACTCTTCATGACTTTGACAAACCCTGCATCTTTTCGAAGGGAATCGCCGTACAACTTGCGCATGTGGGGGCTGTGAAAAAGAAATAGCGAATGGAAGTAGCGTTAACGATAAAGGGTTGAGAGACGACAAGAAAAGAATGCGAAACACACTGCTCAACGCTGCTAAGGAACCACCAGTTCGCAAGGTGGCGGATTACGGCGAGAGAGAGTACCAATTTGCTGCCACTAATGAGAGCGAGGCCAAAGTAGGTCGCACCGCCCATTGCTTCGGGGTTATTCAAATATCTAGGGGTCCAGACGGAAGAGGTTAGCACGCGACTGCCTACGGAAAAACGTGCCCTGAGAACAATACATACCGATATATCCCAGTATACTCGACATGGGCAGGAAATTCCTCCATGAAGAAGTCTCCAAAAAACCATCCTATAAGAAACAAACGCATTAGGACAAATTCAACCTGCCGCTGGTAAATAGGGCACATACCGAAGATCCCCAGAACCTCATAAGACTCCATAGTTGCCCAAATGTGCAGGCCAATGAGGAGCTAGAAAAAAATGTATTGAACCGATTATTGGAGGTGTATAGGCCCCGAGGCCGGAGAGAGACATACCGTGCCAATCGTGTGTCGAAGCAAGGAGTGTCCAACCATCCAATCACTGGGGAACAGGTACGCCTTCCACGCGAGACCAAAACAAGACACTGATGAATACATTTGTGGTAAACAAAAAGGTCTGTATCTATAGCTAGGTCCACATACCATAAGTCATACACATAGCCAGGTTGTAGATGGCCTTCCAGTTGTTAAAGGCCTCCATAATGGCGTACTCGCCAGCGTCATTCGTTTGCGAGTAGTGGTAATTCTTTAGATAGTGCCTAACAAGGAACTTGTTCTCGCTCTGGGCACGAAGGATGAGACCCAGGCCGAAGTGGCTGAACATGCACCAGGCAAGGGCGTGCGCGAAGTGCAAGAGCAGAGAAGCCCTTGGTGAGAGGCCGGGCAGCACAGACAGAAGGAAGCCGTAGAACATAATGAGCACAAGCATTGCATCGCTAGCCCTGTAGAATTTACATCAGTTAAACATGCCCATCCGAAGATTGAAGCGGAGTGGAGGGAACACAAAGACGAGAGGTGAAACCCAAGGAGGGCAAGGACACACCTGAGAAGGTCGATATTGCGTAAAATAACGGCATCACGTCTGAAATACTTGTTCAGAAGGTCATGTTGCGAGACAGTCTTCCGCCTCAGCGACGGCGACGGGGTATTGGCATTGCTACTGCTCCTCGGACCAGACAAGGAGGAACCAGACTTGCTTCCAACGGCGATGGTACGTGAAGTTTCGATATCTCCATTCGAGGACGCGGAGCTGTCCATCGAGAACGTAGCTTGATGCCTCGCGATCTTAGCATTTCCAACGAAGACCTGCTGTTTCTCGTCATCGATCTCGGTCTCGGTCTCCAGCTCGGTCTCTGTGGCCGTGTCTCCTTCGGTCGCAGCGGGTGTAGAGTGCCCAGATTCTTCAGGAACTATGGTCGAGGCACTGGCGGTGGAAGGCAGACTGCTCGAATTTGCAACAGCGTTGTTCGTCTTCGTGGGGCGGAGTGGAACCCGCTTGGCAATGGCTTTACGTTGGCCGTACATACGCTCGATATCTGTCCAAAGAGGCATGAGAAAGATTCCGAGTCACGTCGGAGACCAAAACACACGGGGATTCTCGAAAAGCACAAGGAAGGCAAACTGGGCGGCATGGGCAATTAGACTGGCGAACAGCACGGCATAGCTGCCAGAAATCATGGAAAGGCCGTAGTATCCAGCATACCCTATACAGACATTGTGAGTGAGAATTAATTATAAAAAATATAGATGAGCCCACCGACGGAGTACATGGGATGAGGAGCCAACTCAAAGACGCCGTCAAAGACGAGAGCTCCGCGTTGGAAGAAACAATCACCCCAATACCATCCATAGTCCTTGACTACGTTGTGTGCCTCGGTTTTAACCCAGAGATTGAAGCCAATTAGGGCAATGCCACCCACCCATCTAACAGATTATAATGTGAAGATTGCTCGGGCATATAAGAGATAAACAACTTGCCTCATCGTATGCACCGCATATGACAAGTCCTCTGGTACACGGAAGCATGAGAACGCGAACATGCAGTACGACAAGAAATCACTTCGGCAGTGTCAGACAAGGTATTTTTAGAGTATGTGGACCTACTTGACGAGAATGACGTCGACGGCCTGACGGAAAAGGAGCCAGGTGTTGTACTCCAGAGGGAGTTCCTGTCCAACACGTCAACAAGGAGCTTGAAGGTGAAGGTAAGAATTACATCAAACGAGTAGTCTTTTCCCATTTTATCGACGAGCTGCTTTCGAATCCAGTTTCTCATCGCTGGTCGTCGTTCTTCATCGAGCCATCCCAGTCGCTGAACTTCCCTCACGATCCACTTCTTCTTACTCTGCTTGGTCAGAACCCATCCCAGGCCGGCGTCATATGCGGAACGCCAGAACGCAAAGTAGAAGAAAAAGAATATCTGGGCAGTCTTGCGGGACAGGAGAAAGTACAGTACGATCTGGAGGCCAAGGAGACCCAAGTTCAGCAAGTCAAGATGACTCTTGGGATATTTGGGGTTGAGAAGCGTAGTTATGACGTCGTGTGTGGTTGGTACGCGAAAAACTGAAAGACACCAAGTTTAGACGTGGACTGCCATAGAAAATTGCAACGCGAGCGTACCTTCACCGCCTGGCGTCTTTCCCCAAACGACCTCTTCCTCTCGCTTCTGGGCATGGTCGGGAGCATTCGAAGAGTCTTCCATAACCGCTGCATCGGCAGCGAGCTTCCGCTGGCGTAAAAAGCCCTCAGAGGACGGCATGTCGTCGTCGCAGACAGAAGAGACGTGGCTAACGCCTGCAGGCAATGGAAAGGGTTTTTCCGTTCTAGGACCCTGAACAAAAACACGAGATTTTGCCACCATTTGACGTAAGCCATCTCCGGTCCGGAGTGCCGAGGAAATGTGGGACGATTCCTATTGGACACTTCCAGGAGACCTGCCCTGAATCTCCTTGTCAACTTCTTTGGTTCTCTTGCATTCTCCCTATTCCTCCTCCTTCTCATTCATCCAACAAAATACGATGGCACCGAGTTAGAATCCGACAGCTAACTATCTACATTTATCTAAGTCAGCTTACACTACGGCGTCCCTGATTATCCACTCTCAGCTCGACATCGTCCACCGAGTTGAGTTCGTGACAATCGACTATGGCGGGGAAGAATAGATGGCGGATATTTTTTCGGTCAGCCCCTTGCATTGGTAGGCGTTGGCTTTACGAGATATCCTACATTTTCTTTATCTCTTTATTATTTTACAAAAGGAACTTTCCAGAATCCTTTCGTTTCTGTACAAGCAGCATCCAGACGACGTAGTACAGAGAGGATCGAAGAACGAGGAACAAGCAATTGAAGTTAAAGTTGGACCCCTAGGGTGCCGTAATTGCCCAAGCAGCAGCGTTGGCCGCAGCCTCACACGGGTTTTCCTTGTGTCGCATGAGGTACACCTGTAGACTGGCCGGGGAGAGGTGCTGCTCCGGGATCGAGTCAGCGAATTGCGACGAAAGCGAGTCCAGATGCCGATAAGTCAAGCCGTCACAATCAGTGGATAAAGGTGGGCTTTCCAAGCACGAGGAAGACTTATAGGATATCCAAGACTCTGCTGAATTCCTGTGTGCATTCGTTGGCGCCTCTGCGGAGAAGAAGAGGCGGAACATCTCGCGCGCTTGGGCCCTACTCGCCAGTTTGAACTCGACATGTACATCCATTCTTCCGGAGCGACATAACGCAGGGTCCAGTGTAGAGTATCTGTTGGTAGTCGCGAAAAGCAAACGGCCTTCCGTAGATGTGATACCGTCGAGCATATTGAGTACTCCACTGAGGGTGACGTGGTTCAGCGATATGGAGTCGTTCTTGGTTGGCGACGCTTCTGCGAGATCACCCTGTGCATCTGCATTGCGATTCGTGGTTCGTGACAGAGCAACATCTATGTCCTGAATAAGCAGGACGCATCTGCCTTGAAGTACAAGATGATTAGAGGTCCTCTCTTTTGAAGCCCATGAATACATACTCGGAACAGAAGACAAAAGGTGCCTCAACCCCTCATCGTCCAGCTTCGGAGAGGAGAGCCGGAGAATGTAAATGGGCAACTGCAGTTCTCCAGATAATGCATAGATGAAACTTGTCTTTCCACAGCCAGGTGGGCCGTGCTGAACCAGAAAAAGATATTAGGGTGACTTCTATCAGGAGCAGAGATCGCGTGGACAGACCAAGAGGTAGCCACGACGGAAGGGAATTCCACGATTGAGGTACCACTGGCGGCTCGACAAAAACTCTTTAATGTCGCCGACGAGAGATTCTTTGACTCCGTTGTCCAAGATGACTGAAGCTAACGGTCGGCGTCGACCGAACGCCTTGAAACTCCACGACCAGTTTCGAGCTCGCTCGGGTGGCCGGCTAACATAGATATAAACGAGCTGGCGCACAATATCCGTGTACACTTTCTTTGCTTGGATTAACAACCAGTCGAGGGATTTCCTGTTCCACGACAAGATTCTAAAACCGTTTCCTATCGGGCCCATAGAGTGATATGAAGCGCGTGTACGCACGTTAGTGTAATCGATTCGTATTTACGACCATACTTCCTGGATTTTGGCGTGCTGATATCGTCTCGCGAGACATGTATCCAGCGCCGCTTATACCAAAAGGAGTGTGGGGCGCTGTAGGAGGGCTCGAGCCGGATCGATGCCATGATGTCGTCGACCTTCGTGGAATTTGTCTCCGCTTTCTCGTCTGGGATGATGACATCTCTGAGGCTGGCACTTAGTGGGGCCAATATGCGGACGTGTCTCGACATCTCTAGATAGGTATCTCGGCAATCGATGTGACGTGAGGTAAGACAGGAACGCACTCCAGGAAGGTTGCTGATAGAGCCACCATGTCATCCAAGCTGTAGATGGAATTTTGAGCGAGAGGGTGGCATCAAGTAAGGCAACGTACCATAGCTCGTGTAGTCTTGAGGATAGAAGTGAGCGGTGATGAAGAAGAAATCATATATTATCTCGCAAAGGAACATTGCAAGGGTCTTCAACCCGTTGAGAATCTCCCCGAGCACGAGAAGCATTAGCCACTCGCGCACAGCAGACAATAAAATCGACATATTGACCGCTGGTACCATGTCAGCTTTCGTTGAGCTGAGAGTGAGGACGAAAATGTCAATCTTCAAGGGGGATAGGCTTCTGGAGCTCCTGGAGAATTAGCTAGTGAATGGGGGGAATGAAAGCCGTCTAGCCACTGCATTCTCGTTCTTGGGATATAAGAGGGCGCTTATTGAGCCACTTCCCACCCCGCTAAGAGCAATGGACCGTCCAGCTGGTCCAGCTAGACTCCAGATAAACAGGCGATGTTCCTTTTGTACATTCGACCTTTTTCCATCCGTACTTGCATTGAGGCCGGATCGGTATCAACTGCTGTGTGTCTGAGTCCGGAGTCATCAAAAAAAATCTTATCCACACAAATACAAGCATCATACATACAGCACAGCACACACCTCTAGCAACACCGTCACTCGTCAACGTTGTCTCGCTTTACTGTTCTCTCCGCCCCTTCTCCTTCGATGCCCACTCCGCGATTCCTGCCACAGCGCCATGTGGGTCGGCCTTGTAGCGCATCAAGTATCCCTGAAGACTCGCCATGGAGAACTCGCGTTCCGGCACTGCCTCGGAGAACAGATCCGCGAGCAACGAAAGCTCCGTCGAGGAGAGGTCAGGTAAGTCGTGTCGATGTCGGACACCGCCCACTGTGACAACCTGTGAGGTGAGGATGGTCGAAGATGTATCATCGGCTTTCCCTGATGTCTTTGCACAGACGCCAGATTCCTCCTTCTTTTGGTGGCCTTCTGGCGAAAAGAAGTATTTGAAAAACTGCGCGGCCTGGTACCGGCTCGCCAACTTGAACTCAATATGCAAGTCCATCCTGCCAGGCCGGCATAGTGCGGGGTCGAGTGCATCGTATTTATTTGTCGTCGCGAACAGGAGGCGACCTTCCGCGGCAGCGATTCCGTCCAGAGCATTGAGGAGGCCGCTTAAGGTGACGCGACTTCTGGGTAAGGCCGGCGGAGCAGGCATGGATGTAGTGGTGCTGGGAGAAGACTTGCCATCTTTCTTCTTTGGGTCGCGGTTGAACGGGTTGCTGAGGGCGACGTCAATATCTTCCATGAGGAGGATGCACCGGGCTGAAGGAGACTTGAGATCGGACACATCACAGATACATGAAGAGAGAACTTACTGGGAAGGCTGGAGACCAGTTCTCTGAGCGCATCATCATCCAAGCCAACACCAGAGAGAGACATCACATAGACGTTGAGTTTGAGCTCTCCGGCTATGCTATGGATTAAGCTCGACTTCCCGGATCCTGGAGCGCCGTACTATGCGAAGTCAGCAAAGTGTGCGCAGTCATAGGGATCAGTAACTCGCCAATAAATAACCACGCCTGAAAGGGATTCCACGAGAGTCGTACCATTGCTTGCTAGCCAGGAAGTCCCTGGCGTCCTCCAGCAACGTGTCTTTGACTCCAGGATCCAACACAATCGATTGCAGCGACCGCTTCGCGCGACAGGCCATGTGCCACCACTGATATTCACTGTATTTGAACTTCGCAGCGTAGACGCAAATGCCCCGATGTTCGTTCAGCCGATGTGCCTTTTTCGCGTCTAACATCAGACAGTCGAGGACCTTGCGGCTCCAGGCGAGTATTCTGTGGATTATAGAAGGGTGAGTGAATTACCGCAAGGACACCGCGTGAATACGCACGTTAAATTGAGGATTCTCGAGCTCTCGACGCCCTGGCTATCTGTCTCCACAATACGGTCCACCCACACCCAGTGCCTTTTATACCACAGAGAAATACCCTCAGTTGTTGTCGGATAAATTGAGACCTTGTCCCAGATGCTAGGACCTTTCGGTTGGCCGAAAGAGAACGCATAGTTGATGTCGGTTTCATCACTGGTGGGGTCGACCGAGATATGAATATCGTGCGCCAGTTCTGCGTACCCTAGTCAGGAGTGGAGAGCGGCAAATGTGAGGGTACTCACTCCAAGGTTTTTGCTGCCTCAACCAACTGTCAATCCAGGCTATAAACACGTTTTGAAATGAGTAGAAAAGAAGAAGCAGAAAAAAGACATACAATATGCCTCGTAATCGTTCGTAATGAACGACCCAGTTATGAAGAACGAACGATAAATCGTACGATACAAATGCACCACCAATCGTCTGAAGATGTCTACCAACCCACCCAGCAGGAGGACCTTGATCGACTGTCGCAGGGCAGAAAAGGAGATGAATATGCTGATCAGGCTTGGAAAGTCCGATGGGAGCCCCTGTAGATGTGGAGTATGCATCGTCGCATTGGTGGGAGTTGTCGAGGTTGAGGAATTGGTTGGGCAGAGGGGTGGGCTATGGCCGTTTGTCGCACCGAGGTTGTTCGTGAAGGCCGAGAGGACTTGTTGGGTGATAAGGAGGGGTATTGTCATTGTCTCCCTGCTTCAGGCTAAGGATATGGAGGTGTAATAAAGCCACCAGATGAGTCATGTACAGCCTCTCAGACTCGTGTTCAGGTTAGCTGTGGGGACCGCCCTGGAACGCCATCAACGGAAAAAGACTGTGTCACGTATGACTCCTTTGTCTTTCGTTTGTGTTGTGGAAGCCAGAATGCATGTTGGGAAGGAACTGGAAAGGCATAGGAACTTAAAGGGCTAGGGCTGCTCATCGAAGGCCCGGGCGGTCCGAGCACATGCGACTCCATGTAGTGACATACATAGCCCTAGCACGCATACTCGACCATTCGTCGAGTATACGACGCGAATTCGATAATCCCCGCTGAAAGGTTCATGCATTCAGCAGACGACGGAATTTCTGCCAGCACACCCGTTAGGTCCTATTGTAATATGTCGGAAAATAAGCCAGGATGGCGTGGAGTTTAATTTTATGAGGGGGGTTATAAGGGGAATACGGAGCGTGCTCAAGCGCGATTAGAGGTTATTTGCAGTTCTGAGGGCTCCACAAATCCGTGAATCTGATTGGCTTGGGGCCTCCTTCAGCCAATGAGATTTGGGCGATTCTAGGAATATTCGAAGTGCAAATAACCTCTATTCTTCAAGAGTTCAAAACGTTCAACGTTCATCATCGATCATCTATCGTGATTCGTGAAGCGCGGAGGCTGTGACGGTTTATTTGGTCCGTATTTACTTGTGTGGCCCCATGACCTGTCGGTGGCGTGGGAAGTTCGTGATTTGCTGATGACTTGCCACTGCCAGATCACAAGGTCTTTGATCACGCTTGTCCGTGACTTTCACGCCCCCGAATCCCCCCAACTACCATCCTCCTCCTTTCCCCGCTTTACTGCCCGAAATAAAGTCAAGATCGACAACGTCCACTCGAAAATATAATATCCTCGACACCGCCATTTTTTTCCGATTTTTTGAAGGTTCAATATCGGCAGAACATTGTTCACAACGCCCCCTTATCGACTTCAGCAGCGGCGACGACATAACGACTGATATTTTCCCTCGCACGATCTCCTCTACTCTACTCGGAGCATATCTGAAAGCTACAAGCGACAATTTCAAGATCTAGAACACCGAATACGAGTCCAAATGGCTCCCGCAACCCCTGCAACCCACGACCCAGCCCTCTCTCACGCAGCTCACGGCGCACAAGCCTCTCAACCAGCCCAACCACCAGCAGGTCTTCCGACAAACATCAATGCCGCCGATATCCCACAGTTGGCCCTCAACGGCCTCGACCAGAACCAGATTCTGACCCTCCTACGCTCGTTGCCTGGCGTCTTTGGCAAGGTGAGTCGTCATCCTTGTTCTCGTATCTCCCAACCATCCCTTCCGATCCCGACGCCTTTCGCCCTCGATGCCCCCCGTATGCGCGCTGATATGCGGGGTACATTAATTAAGCCACACGTGACTGTCGCGACGGTGAGCACGAGCGCGTCTGCAACAGTCACGGGAAGCACGAGGGTGCCGATCTGCCCCTGTCTTGGATGCTGCGTTGGGTGATGCAGAAAGCATCGGCGAGGGAAGGGGGCATTGAGGGTATCACTTCTTCGAAGCTTTTGTTGGATGCTACCTCGATGCTCTTGTCTGGCTAAACCTCCAAATCGCGGCGTTTCGTTGCGGCGATGAGCGGCGATGGCATTGCATTCTTTGTCGCACCTTCAAGAGGACCAACGATCTTGCATACTCTTCGCCTGCGGAACACAATCAGGACGAATGGGACCATTTCCTCTGTGCAGCCATCTGGTTATGTGGCCAAGAGCATTCTATCGGACAACTGTTGCATAACCCTTCTTCCTTCTTCCCTTTATCTCTTTCTTCCCTTTACTTCATCGAAGTCGAAATAGTTGCTAACTGCCACCTCTTCTTAGCTCGCAGAACAAGGCGGTAACCCCAAGGAGGATGCTGCCCAAGCACTATCCAACCTCGCGCAGACCCCGTTCGGTTCCCAGCACTTGCCAGTCCACTTCCCAACTGGCGCCTCAACTGGTCTTCCCGGCATCAACGACCCAGGACCCTCGTCGCACCCGCGTGGCCCACCTAACCTCGGACAGTTGAGTGCGGTGGCTATGCAGGCCGCACCAGTCAACGTCCAGCAATCGCAGGAGGAGGACAAGCCCGAGCAGCAGAACTTGAGTGCTGCGAGCTCTACGAACGATGCTGTGACAACATCTGCCCCAGCAGCATCAGCGACGACGACAGGCGGCAGGAGAGGTGGGCGAAGTGCGGCGATGGGCAGTGACGAGTGGAGCAGACAGAGGAAGGACAACCACGTACGTCTTTTATCAATGCTCCAGACTTTGTGCTACCTTTTCTGACTTCCATGCAGAAAGAAGTGGAACGTCGCCGCCGCGGAAACATCAACGAGGGCATCAACGAGCTCGGGCGAATCGTACCATCAGGCTCAGGCGAGAAGGCCAAAGGCGCCATCCTCGCACGGGCGGTGCAGTACATCCACCATCTCAAGGAGAACGAGGCGCGTAATATCGAGAAGTGGACGCTCGAGAAGCTGCTTATGGACCAGGCAATGGGCGATTTACAAGCGCAGCTGGAGGAGATGAAACGTATGTGGGAGGAGGAGCGCATGGGCCGCTCCAGGCTCGAGGCTGAGCTTGAGCAGCTCAGAAACATGGCCGGCATCGCCGCCTCGCCAAAGGACGACTTAGTGGGAGGCACAAAGCGCAGGAGCACGGACGGACAGGAGAGCGCTGGGATCGCCGGTGATGCGGCGAACGTTGGCGACCCGGAGAGGGATGGAAAGCGACAGAGAACAGAGTGAATGTGAACCTCAGCTGCGTGCTCTTTCTCGAAATCCCCATCTTTGCCTCCTTGCCTTGAAGGACCCGAGACCCCGAACGTTGATGCCCTGTAGCTCATTTGCGCCTTTTCTCTCCTCTTCATTTTGATGCTTGTGTTTTCTAGTCCCGAGACCCCTTTTCTTGCTTTACGATGTACAACGTCTTTTCATCGATCTTCTTGTCCTTTGATTCACATTTCTCCACTCTAGCGAATTGCGTGCCCCGAACGTAGAATCGTTGGCATGCCCTCTTCACAACCTTATCTCATTTTCTTTATTCCTTTTCTTGAATCCTCCGTGTATGTATTATCGAAGTCTTATGAATCAGATGAACCCCTACCTACATTGATTTGCTAATTTGTCTTCTCTGTCTAAATACGGCAGTAGTTGCCAAATCCATCAGTATATGGGATCAAGCTCGCCTTCGCCATACCGCAAAGTGACTTTTTCGTTGAAAAACTCTGATCGTCAGTCCCTGGTCCGCATAGCTCTCGACCATCCAATATTGGCTTAAGTTTGACATGAGAACGGTCACCTAATCACCACCCACTAAGGAGGTTGCTTACGAGATGTTGATGAGATCTATATCGTTATCCTTATCTGAGTCCGAATCAAAAAAAGCCATCCTACGACACATCTACCGTAGGGCCGTCGGAGAGTGGGTAAAGGCCGAGTAGGTATGAATCACGGAATGTTGCTTTCGGACAATGTATCTACCCATCGCCTCTGTTCCAGGACTCGCGGCCTCCAGTTCGACCAAAATTAACACATACCTTTCCTTCCGATATCACAGTAACGTCGGAGACTGACTCCTGCGTTCCCAAGGCTTCAAGCTGAGGTCTGTTAATGTGCTTATCTGGACGGGACCGAGGTGACAGTACCCGATGGTGAACGGTCATCGATCTCCAGTGGTAACCCCCTGCTTGGCCGGATAATGAGAGACAGGGACTCCCAAGACCCCGGGATGTCCACCTCTTTTATAGCCGCTGTCTTGCAAGCATGAGCGCTACAATCCACTTATCCCCCTTATCAACACCCTGTCTCTTCAAGCAGACTGCTTCAAGCTTCAATGCCTGCCCTACGGGCAGACGCAGGCCCTACTGCTGGTGTGCTACTCGAGGCGTTCTTGTATGGCATCTATCTTGTCACGTTCTTTCGGGCGCTCCCGACGCTCTTAAGATCCGCGTCGGGCTGGAAGCCAGTTTCCGACGTCCACTGGGCAACCCTCAGCGTGTTCCTTCTGTTGTGGATAAACGGAACAATTAATCTGTGTCTTGGGATCGTACGCAATCTTCAAGTGCAACCAGAGAAGGATTATAGATTTACGGATTGGATTAATGTCGTTAAGGTGAGTTGCAATTGCGCAAAATACATTGTTGGACTCTTCTAAAATGGACTTATTCCATAGCCAGTGAACGTTTCCTTACAGATCCTCCTAGCAGGTGGACTACTGGTACGGGAGCTTTGTCTAAAATTCTATCACAAAATTAAGAATGGTAGATCTACCGCTGCTGGATCGTCAACCTGCGCCGACGGATTGTAATTGTACTCCCGATTGCCCTGTGGATGGCAGGAGCCGCTATATCCATCTACGCCTGCTACCTTCAAACAAGATCCAACCTACACCTTACCGTCAACCTCGAGCTGCTGCAAATGATTTGGGCATTATTTTGGGCAATAACGGTCGCTCTGAATCTCTATACAACAAGTGCGTTAAGTAATCATATTTCTACCTTATATTTTGACTGCTGAGCCGATATGGCTTCCAGCGAGCATAACGTACCGGATCTGGAGAGTGCGACGAGAGTGTACCGCTACGCGTAGAACCGTCGGCCATCTCAATGAGCTTCTTGACGGCCAGTGCCCGAAGAGCGCTAACCCTGATTTAGAAACCGCCTTCAGAATAGTCATCGAATCGGGCGCAATCTACACTGCAACTTCGATTGCGGCCTTCGTTAGCGCCTGCTTTTGGAACGACTCCGTGTATCTTACATCGGCAGCGGTAAGTTTCATGTCATCTACTCGTTTATTCGTGTTATCTGACGCAAAGGAAAAGGATATCATGGCAGTTGGTATTGCCTTTAATCTAGTCATCGTCCGAGTCGCAAAGGAGCGAAAGAATCAGTACGACAGTTGGCAGCCTCCTCAAAGTCGAATACCGACGATGAAATTTTGTAACTCAGTGGTTTCTTCGGTTCATCCGGAGCAAAGTTACTCAGATTTGGAAAGACTGGACCCTCAACCGCATTATCCTATCTCAACCCCTCCGTCTACCTATAATCAGTTCGACAAAAATCTCCAGTTGTAATATAAATTTAGTTATGTATCAAGCATCACAAGGAATACACCAGTGTTCTAAAATTATCTGTGTCTCAGCCGCGTTTCGGGCGCACTCATTCATTTCAATTTCGGTCTGCCCAAATTTGGTAAAAATTCCCTGATTTGTTCAACCTCAAGCCTTCACATCCAGTCCGACAGAGTGACACTATAGTTTCAGTATACATAGAACTTAACCTCCTTCAAGCTGGAAAATCCTTGAACAGGATAGTGCGAGGGCTATCTTATCTTATCTACGCCTACTGTGATTCTAATCAGTTCTACTTAATCAGAGTAGGTATTTCTTCGGCCATGCGTATGCGAGATTGCAAGTGAATTCAATGAACGGTGGGAACCTGCGATCATTAGATTCCAGTGTTAGGAATTTGACATTTTTTGACATGCGAATTTAGAATCGGTCATGTGCATGATCGGTGATCACGGTGAACACCGCTCGGACCCAAAGATTGATAACCGATCTTAGGAAGGAAGGAAGGAAGGTTGGATTACACTTCAGCTTCAACGTTCAACGTTCAACCTTCAACCTTCAAAGTTTCACCACTCTTCGTATCAATCCATGCTCACAAGCTTAAGGCTATGTCTTCATGCGATTCCCCGTATCTTCCCCTTGGGCCCCTGATAACCATCTCAGCGCTCAGTGGTTTTTCTTGGGGTTGTATCGCCATTCGGGCGCATGATGGCTACTTTCACAGACTATGTGGTGCTCATGACTCCGATTCAACCTTTGAAACCGCCATCCAAGGGCAAGGTTTAGTATCAGAAGCCCTCCCATTCTGCCACGGTTCTAGGAGGCGTTTTGATTCTTTAGTGCCCGCGAGTCATTGAGAAAATCATCCTCCAACACCTTGCTTCGCTACAAAACCTGCCCACTCGGCTCTTCCCTGATCACCACCACATCAAGCGCACCATGGTTGACGGGCTTGCCAGCGACGAGGCCCAAATGATCGCTCTCTTCCTCCAGGCCGTCTTCTACGGCGTATATGTGGTCACCTTCATCCAAGCTCTCACCGGTATCTTCTCGTCCAAGTCTCTGGGGTCGAATCCTCGATTGAATATCCACTGGCCGACTTTGGCGGTGACTATGTTGCTCTTCTTCAACAGCACGCTCAATCTCGTCCTGGGGCTCATCCGCATCATGCAAGCGTATATCTATAATGTGAAGAGTTCCAAAGCGATCGACCAGTTGGGTATCGACTGGATCAACATAACGAAGGTGCGTTTGAAAGCTTTGGGAAGATTGAAGCAATGCTGACGAGGGTGCCGTCTAGCCATTCAATGTTTCCGTACAAATTCTGTTGGCTGATGGGATGTTGGTAAGGGAGCCTTTCCATGAGACCTAGCAACGAGGATTAAATGATTTTCAACCTGTAGGTATACCGATGCTGGGTGGTGTACAGCAAGTCCTGGAAGATAATCGTCTTTCCCATACTTTTGTGGCTCCTTGGAATCTCATCATGCATTTGGTCCCTTTACGTTCAAACGCAACTCAACTCCGGTTCAAGGATGACCTCCGACCTGTTGTATCCGCTATGGATGGTGTTTTGGATATTCACGGTGTCTCTCAACGTCTATGCTACAGGTGAGCTCGGTTAGACCCAGCCGGTCTTTCGACTCACGAATAAATCCCTTTCAATAGTTAGCATTGTTGTGCGGATTTGGCAGATCGGGCGCATGAGCCCTAGTGCCAGGGAAGACCCCTCAACACCGCGAGCGATAATGTCCCTCCAGAAGCAAACACGATCGAGGTTGCAAGCTGCTATCAAAATAATCGTCGAGTCTGGTCTCATTTACACGGCCACCTCCGTGACTGCACTGGCAAGTCATGTGTCCAAGAGCCATTCTATATATATAACATCTGCGGCTGTGAGCCCTCCTTGTCATTCCCTAGTGATACTTCACATTGACCTTCATGTAGGACATTATGGCCATCGGGATTGCATTCAACCTCATCATCATCAGAATTGCTATAGAAAGATCGCGGGAGCACGCTGCTTGGTCAAGAGGTCCTGTTTCAACACTGAAATTCGGAGAGACACTTCCGCCTATGCCGACTAGAGATAGTACGCAGGAGGATAGCAGGCACGGTAGCGACTTCACAGAGTCGAAGGACGTGGTTTGACATTCAAAACTTGCGTATTTACGACCGCAATACTTGAGACACCTAGAATGTAATACCATGTATTCTGTGATATAAGAAAAATGCAGATGCAGGACTTCAAAGAAGCCTGAAAGAATTAATCCGGTGGCACACAGTAACACATGTCACAACCCTTTCATCTTTGACCACCACGATGTCGAAGCTCGCAAAGGACGCTGCTGCCTTCAAATCAACACTGCAACGGCAGGATTTCACTTCATGGCATTCGCAACCCAAACCTGCAACGTCTACAGCCGGTACTTCGTCGGCAGGAGGTGGACTAGCGATCGCTGGAGAGCCGTCAAGCTCCTCAGCACCTCACAAGAAGAAACGGCCAAAGACTAGTATGCCTACGTTCTTTGCCTCTAATCAATTTGTTCTGTAGCTCCGTTAGATATTGTCTACTCGCAACCGGCGGATACGGGGACGGGGAACAATGTGAACACACAGCTGGTGTATGCCGTCAACCATTTGAAGGTGAGTCAACGCTGGTCGCTTTACCTTTGGATGGAGCTGACAGAGGTTGGCCCTTAGTCGACGCATAATCCCATGCGAGTGCAGGATCTTGCTATTGTAACGAATACACCGCTCGATACAGACTCGGTACTGCTGGAGAAGTTCAGGGCCCATGATAAAATTCAGTACGACCCGAAAACCGACCTATATTCCTACAAAGTGCGTCCGTCACTCTCGGTCCTTCATCTCTGCTGACATTTCCCTCTAGCACGAATTTGCATTCCGAAACAAGGCAGCTTTGTTGACAGAAATCCAACGGCAAACCCGAAAAGGTGGCGGAATTTCCGTGCGTGCCTTGAAGGAATCATGGAAGGAGGCGCCTCAGGCCATTGAAGAACTTGAGAAAGAAGGAGAAGTGTTGGTGACGAGGACGGTGAAAGATGGTCAGCTGCGGATGGTCTTCTGGAATGAGATAAAGCCTACGGAAGAGGCTGGCGGGATGCAGGTCGAGAAAGGTGCGTCTCCATCCCACCTCTGTTTTACTGCAGCTTATGAGACGACAGAATTCCTCGATTTGTGGCACACGCTCAAGGTTCCCAACGACGTCGACCTATTGAAGCAGCTTGCATCGGAAGGTCTACAGGCCACCTCTTCCGAAACTGTGGCGCCGAAAGCACCCACAGCGAAGAAGAAGGGCAAACGTGGAGGCGCACCTCGCCAACGTCCCGTGCGGATTACGAACACTCATCTTAAAGGAGACCTTGATCTGTCGAGAGACTATGCAGCACATGCGAAATCGTAGATCTCAGGTAGCGTCTACGTGTACATTACATTCATTCGTGCAGAATTCACTTCCTGTTTGATTCTCGTCTGTTCCTGGGTCGACCTTGAGGCTTGCAACCAACCGCCGTTCTGCGAGATTTTTCTGAGAACTTGGGCCGGATGACGAATTGCTTGCAAGTTCGTTCTCTAGCTATTTATCAAGCTCTTCCCGACGTCCCCGTACATGTATTACGTTTGCTAACGGATGTCCTCGAAGCTAAATTACGCTGTGTACTATCTTGGACCCTGCCAAGGAAATCGCTTGCAATGTTTCTCGTTCTCTCCTTTGTCCGCAACCAACTCGCACGACCACGTCCAGCCTCCATGTCGTCGAAATCTCGCCCTCCATGAGCCACCATTATGCGTATCCACCACCAGGAAGCGTCTTTCCGCCTCCAGCGGGCTATATGCCTCATGGCTATGCCCAATATAGCCCATATCCGACGACGCCAGTAGCTTCGAATGGCCATTATCCCCCTTATCCTTATCCCCAACCTCCGTATCCCCCACACTACCACTCATACCCTGCCCAATATCACTCGATGCATCCGTACAAGTCCAATGCAACGGGCAGCGCTGCCCCGGACCCGAATGGATGGTACAACCCTGCTCAGAGCCAGCGCCTGTCTCGTTTACTAGCGCCCAACATGCAGAACCCACCGCAGCATCCCCCAGGGCTGTCCATTAACCCTCGCGTGGTTGAGCCGCCCTCGGCGTTTGAGAGCGAGCAAGTCCACGAGCACTGGCGAGGACGACTTGCACCGTTTCCGGGATTCTCGTCGAAGCCAGTCTTGTTGCCGATGAAGGGGATTCAGCTCGCCGAGGACGAGAAGCAAGGTCCAGAGACGCAGTCACCGCCAGATGGCAACCCCGAACTGATCCCCCCTATGTCTTTTTTTGGTCCTAATTATCGTCGCAAATCTTCTTCAAAACCCAAAGCAAAGAAAACCGACAAAAAAAATGCAGTGAGTCGGTTGCGTTCGAGATCTTGAGGAGTGGTACTGAGGACGTCGTCGCAGGAAAACACGAAAAAAGAATTCCAGCTTGACAAATATGTGGGTGATTCTTTGTGACATCATTGAAGTCGTTGGCAGAACGCGAGGGCAGGCCGACAGTTTTGTACCTCAATATCTCAAGAAAATACAACTCGAAATACATCCATTGAAGCCTTTGCCTCCGATACCCATCTTTCCATCTGCAACATATCTCCAATCTTTCCTTTCCTCCCGATCCATTCCTCCGTCTTCGAAATATAACCTAAGCTTGCTCTCGTCGCCGCCGACGGCGTCTAATTCAAAACCACCCGTTCTGGGCAAAGAAACTTACCACCAACACTGGAAGGAGATCTTGCGATGGGAGCTCGACGCGATAACTCTGAAGAAGGAGCAGATCGTGCTGTGGAAGATGGGTCTGAAGGTCGTGGCCTGGAAGGAAGCCGAATTCGTGCTGTCGGTGCCCGGCATACGCGAGAACCATCCGTACCTCGAGATTGGGGACTTGGTGAATATGCGGGAGGTGCTCGAGGCGCAACAGACAGGCAGTGGACACGCTGTGGAAGCACGGGTAGTGGCACTCAGGAAGCGCGAGGGGCTTATTCGTGAGTTTACTCTCCTCTGCCGCGCATTTGCTCCATGCTGATCCCACTCCGCGCAGACATCGCGAGCCAGACGCTGCGTGAGCACATACAGACCCATGTCGCCTTGTCGCCCACCACGAAGCTCGAAGACGGATTCGCGGTGTATGGCCCGGAAGACGACGTCCCGCTTAAGTTCAACGTGTCCTTCATGACGAATGCACGGGCTCTGTGCTACATGGAGACCGCCGTTGCCACCGTTGCAGAATCCTTGAACGACGAAGCGCAGGGCACGAATCTTACGCGCCAGTGGATCTTCCCCGAACCGGAGGACTACGTGAAGGCGCCATCGAAGAGGATGAGAGATGGAGAGATCAAGGAGACGCAGTGGGTCGATAGAGGCCTGAACGATGAGCAGCGCCTGGCAGTCAAGTCCGTGGTGTTATATCAGTCACCGGTTCCTCATCTTATCAGTGGTCCTCCGGGCACTGGGAAAACGAGGTGAGCAGACCGCGATTTTTTTGACAAAACGCTGACTTGTGTATCGTGCAGAACTGTCGTCGAAGCAGTACTTCAAATCTTCCAGGTACAGCCGGATGCTTGCATCCTGCTCTGCGCACCCTCAAATCCTGCGACGGACACCCTCGCTCTTCGTCTCCAAAAGAATCTACTGCAGGACGAAATGCTGCGGCTCAACGACCCCAACAGGACTTTTGCCGAGGTCCCGGCTGCACTCACGCCTTATTGCTGTGGGTATCCTCCTTTCTCTGAAGCAATCGTTGACTCTGGTCCTGACGATTATTTAGACGTTGAGAATGATCGTTTTGCCCTTCCGCCGTGGAAGAAATTCATGAGCTACAGAGTTATAGTCTGCTGCTGCCTTGATGCAAGTATTCTGGCCAGAGCACAGTGCAGCAATACTGCGCTCATGGCGATGGAGGACGAGATGATCTCCACTCTTCACCCATATCGGAAAACAAAGTACCTGGCACAGCCACACTGGACGCATCTGCTAATCGATGAGGTAGGTCTTCAGGGTTTTCCTGGATAGATGTTGGTTTACTTTAGCCTCAAAACGCAGGCCGCCCAAGGTTCTGAACCCGAATTACTCATCCCGATCTCTGTGGTTGTGCCCCCTGTGATCGCGGAGAAGACCGTGGCTAAGGCTTTCATGCCACAGATTGCGCTGTGTGGCGACATAAATCAACGTGAGACTCGATCTTTTTGATCTTTATCTCACGACGTTCTCCGCTAATCTTTACACCTCCTGTTTCAAGTTGGTCCCCTGATTTCGTCGGACGAAGCGAGAGCTGCCGAGCTCGAGGTGTCGCTTCTTGAGCGCCTATTTGAGCGCCCGCTGTATTCCGACTTCATGGAAGCCACTCGCAAGGTGTCAGTCAACGGAAATGGGGGGAACACAGCCTCGCAACGTCTACCACCGTACACTCGTCTAGTCAAGGTGCTTACCTACCGTTACATTGTTTTTACCTAATAACTGACCAACCCGTCAATATGTAGAACTATCGCAGCCACCCAGCGATCTTGATGCCACCGTCAGCAATGTTCTATAACGACACTTTGGAACCGTGCGCGAAGAACGGGAAGGTGGTCTGGAAGGGACTCCCTAACCCTGACCTGCCGCTGAAGTTCATCGGGGATGAGTCTCCCGAAGAGAGCTCGGATGAGGTGCGCGGCTTTATACCCCCTTCTCTTATTATGGATTTCTCTTCTTACTGTGCCATCCCCCCTGTCTAGCGCGCGTCGTGGTTCAACCCCGTCCAGCTCAACTCCGTTGTGGACGTCATTAAATCTCTGCTTGCTGACCCGCGTGCGAGCAACCCGCCTCTTCGCCCAGCCGAGATCGGTGTGATGGCGCCTTGGAGAGTGCAGGTTTGGAAGTTGCGCGAAAAATTGAGGCAGGAAGGTCTCAGCGCCGTCGATGTTGGTACTGTCGAGGTTCGTAGCATGCCTGTTCTATTGTCAATGCCCGGAATCCGAACTGGCATTCAATGACTGCGTCTTCCTGCCCTCCAGGACTACCAAGGTCGTGAAAGCCGAATTATTATTCTTTCCTGTGTTCGTTCGAATTCGAGGTTCTTGGAAGAGGACCATCAGAAAGGGTTAGGAGTGGTTTTGGAGCGCAAGAGGTAGGTGTCCAATCGCACGTTCGTTCGGTCGTCTGACCCTCAAGGACAGGATGAACGTCGCTATCACCCGCGCGAAAGAACTCCTGGTCGTCCTCGGCAACGGCTCGCTTCTCCAGGCCGACCCCTACTGGAAGAGCTTTCTGCAGTTCGCTCTAAGGAATAAATTGTGGGTTCCGTGCATGTAGCGTGCGCGTGTCGCATAACTCATCCTTATGCCCTTTTATACAGGTACGAGGGCCCTAAGCTCACACTAGAGATGGATGGCAACTATATCTCGCGCCTGGAGTCAGTTTCTGTTCTGCATCGACGTTCATGATGTGACGTTGGCCATGCAATTTTTCTGTTCGCACCGCACTAACCGCCTACGCCTCTGTTCCTTTTTAGGTCGAAACTTCTGCTTTCTGGGAAAGCTGCAGCTAAACTCGACGCTGAGGAACGGGGAGTGGTGGTAGCCGCGAGTGCCGCTCGCGAGATCCTCAGAGAGTGAATCTTTTAGTGGCATTTGTTGGTTCCTTCCAGATAGTGCCGGTCTTGTATGCCATAAACATACTGCTGGATCCCAATCTTCGCTGAAGCGATTTCGCAAATACCACAACACCCATTTGGCATGATTCAATGTCATGCTAATGTGTAGATGTTTTTGATCGAGGCCTATCCGGCAGGAATTCGGAGAGAGGCAGATTTTACCACAATGACTTCAACTACAATAGAGGCAAGGTCGCAAAACAGGAGTTTGACATCACCGAATGTCATGTACATGTCTTGTACAATGGACCCAATGTCATTACGCGAGGAACAAAGACGACACCTCCAGGAGGTGGCCCCACAAGCAAGGCAGTGATGAATCCTTTTTCTGTAGAGATGTTGAGTAACCTTGAGGCTCAGAACTCTTAGAATAGGATTGACTGTGTTATTTCTTGAGAAAATGAGATGGTAGAGGGCATCCAAGTTTGAAAATGGGTTATCGTCTGTTGGCGCATCAATCCTTAAGATAAGGTCAAGGCGATCGCGGGGGGTATGTCGAATGTTTCCGGCGTAATCGATGACGAGGTTTGCATACAGGAATTGCCCACAGTAGTACGAAATTTCAAGATGATGAAGAAATTTCCCTTTGCGGCTACCCTCGGAGAACCACAAGGGCATACCATGTTTTCTGTGGGTACTCTGCCGCTCGTGAGGCGCATTCTTCATCACTTCCTTTTCAGGTTCCAAGCCCCTGACTGGTGTCTTGGCGTCGACGAGATCATGAGCGCTTGAGCGCTCTCTCTGTCGCTCACTCTCTCTTTATTTTTGACTCAGGTCACCTTCTCTCGCTGTCGCTCACGGTCCCACTAGCTCACGCAACGGACATTCACCTCTTGTTACAGCATTTACGTTTTCGAACACTGTGGCAGGCATACCTAGGCCTGTTCTCGAAAACGGCAAGCGCGCTTCTAGGACCTACTGGGCCAACCAGCTTCTACCCGCTTTTTCTGAGCGGACATTGAGCCAAGGATCGAGAAAGCGTCAAAATCGAAATTGACCGTATGATCTTTCGAAATAATGATGAGAGTAAGTAAAATCCTTGGACCGATGGATCTGTGGTGCTGAATAGAGGACATCGAAAGCGTTCTCTGCTCAATAAATCCGTGCCTCCTGATACGACGGGAGCTCCTCTTCATCACCTCTCGAACTACCCACCATGCGCCCCACATGCCCCTCAACCCTCCACGCCCACTCATTCCCCTCCTTCCACCTAAACATATCGCCACCAAAGTTCACCTCAAATTCACACCGGCCCTCCACACCGACCGCCGCGAACACGTCCTGCGCGTGTCGCGGGAGGTAGATGCCGGTGAATGCATTCGGGAGCCGGGCACCGTTGTAAGTGAAGAAGAGGGCCCCGGAGGCGAACTCGTACCCGCACCCGATGATGTCCCCAGGCCGGATCCGCGTGAGGGAGGAGGTGGGCGGGAGGTAGTCACGTCCGCCGTCAGGGTCCTCGAAGAATTTGCGGAAGTCGTCGAGGTGGAAGCCTGCGCTGAGCCTATCCCACCCCGGGAGGCGCCAGGCGGGGTGTGGCTTGCAGGCTGTGCCTATTTATGCGAAAGTATAGTTGTAAGAAGCTACTCAAAGTGATAGAGAACATGCAAGACTCACCAACAGCGATAATTCCATTCATCCTCCTTATACACACCTCATAGTAAACCCCCGTCTTCCCCTGCACATCATACAGCCCCGCCACGATTGGCAGATCGCTCAGGAGGCACACGTCCTTGCACTCCTCCTGCGTCTGCACCGTCACCACGGCGCTATTCCCCTTGGCCTCCCCGATATTCTGCACGCGCCCGACGAAGCGTGGCGACTCGGGGACCTCGATGCCCCATGCACGACACCCGATCTCTGCGATCCTGTCGACAGCGAGTGACGGCAGGAGGCGCGGGGCGTTTACGGGGTTGTCTCTGCAGAATAGTTGGGCGGCGTCGTATTCTTCTCCCGGGGCTTCGTTCCATTTGCCCCATGTGTGCTGTTGTGGATGGGCTGGTCAGTTGAGTGGAAGAGAGTGGGGGCAGGGAAAGGCGCACAGATACTTCAGGGGCAGCAGCCCACTCGGGCGGTGCTGCGCTCGAGTTCGAGCCTGGCCATCCTGAATGCGACGAGCTCGAGGCGTTTTCTTTCAGTTTACCCTTCAGTGACCGCAGGAAACCCATAGTTGACTTTGCGATAGCTGCTCGTAGGAGCTGGAAGACGCGAGGAGGGTAAGAGTCAGAAGGTGAAAGTCTGTGAGAGCCTTGTACTAGGGCCTCATTCTCCTTATCATCACCAGGACAGTGTGCTGGGCTCTTGTTGTTGTGGATAATCGGATTGTGGGCTGTGCAATGAAGAGGGAAGAAGGGCAAAGCAAATTCCGCCAAGACGAGTACAGGGAGATAAGATAAGGTGGTCTTGTGCTCTCCGAACGAGAGCTTCAGGCTTCGGGCCCTTCAAGCTTCAAGCTTCAAGTCACCTTCTTTCCAATAATCCAACGACTACACAGACATCACATTATACTCTCAGTAGACGCAACAATTCCAATACATACGCGACGCACACCTACGCAAGACATGTACGTGCATAATATTTTACGCCGAACCAACTCCCACCACAGGCCACCGCAAAAATTCCAACTCGAACATGTTCCAAGATGTGTACGAATATGAGGATGATATCTAATAAATAAGGAGGAAGAGCACGGGATGGGGATGCCGGTGAGAGCAATTTTGCGTGTGTATCAAACAGAGAGAGGTGAGAGAGATGACAGACAAGAGAGATAAGGCGATGAGAGGGATATGAGAAATTCCAAGACCGTTCCAAGAATAACGATAGAGTAAAAACGCGCAATAGCAATAAAGTATACGTAGGGTAGGGTAGGCAGGGGAACAGAAAAAAAAGATGTATATCATGAAGACGATCGTCCCAATATTGCACGGAATTCCGCCGAGGTACAAGAAATGAAAAGCAGGAAAAGCAGGGAAGAAAACGATCCACGGACGCACCACTTCCACTTCCACTTCCACCGACTTCCAACCACACATCCACAACCCAAAAACGACCTCAACACCTCGTCTTCCGCCCCGAACCAACAGCCCCAAAGGCCCCACCCACACCCACACCACCATTGAGACCACCAGCACCAGCACCAGCACCGCCAAGGCACCGACTCTCCTCGCCGTCCAGCCTCCAAATACTGCCCAGGCCGCTGCCCAAGGCAGCCGCCGCCCCTGGCCCAGGGCGGAGGAGCGCGTCGTGCATCCACGTCTCGGATGCGCCGCCAGAGCCGAGCGAGTCGTCAGACGACCCACTGGCGCCTCTCGCTCTTATGCTGCGTTGGGCGTCAAAGTCGAGGTCGAGGTTAAGCGCGGAGTCGAGGTTGATGTCGAGGTCGAACGCCTTCGCTTGAGCGGCAAACGGGTCGTACGCCGCGTTGGCCCCGAGGCCGAGGGTGGGTGCGAAGCGCTGGCTGCTCGAGCCAAGGTGGAAGCCCGACTCTGTCCCGAAGGGTGCACTGTGCACCTGCACCCCAGATGGGTACCCCGCCGACACAGGCGACACCAGCTCGAGCTCGAGCTCTTCACCATACCCTTCCTCCGACGAGCCTGACCCTGAGCCTTCGCCCGACCCATCCTCTTCAGACGAAACAGAAGAGAACTCAGGGAGGTCCGCCGGGCCTGTGGGGCTCTTCCGCTCAGTGTCAGTATTGATGCTCGTTGTGGGGCTGGTTCGCATCTGTGAGATCGATGGGGAATAGCGGGTGAGCGCGGTGGTGGTGGTGGCGGTAGCAGAAGCAATGTGGAGGGAGGGAGGGAGAGGCGACCTCGACATGTCGGGCGCGGGGCTGCGCACCATCTCTTGTAGGAAGGACGGGAGGAGCGGCGCCGGCGCCGGCGTGTGGATCTGCTGCTCGTGCTGCTGGTAGTATTGATGCTGTGTCCTTCCGCCTCCTAACCCTCCTCCTAACCCTCCAAGTCCAGCCTGACCTCCTCCAACCCCGACGCCAAACGAAGTAGGTATCGACGCGCGCCTCATCCCCAGATCCACCGTCCCCATCCCACCACCTACGCCTGGGTTCGGCCCGGTAGCGTACAGCTGCTGTCCCTGCCCACCGAGTTGGCTGTGTCCTTGTTGTCCACCGCCTAACCCTTGAAAACCGTGGAACTGCGCTCGGAGCGAGGACATCGACGGGCTGGGTCTGACTTGCTGACGTTGCTGTTGGTAGTTGAGATTCTGTCGGTTATTCTGCTGGTGTTGCAGGGTGTGTTGTTGGTTTTGCTGCGTGTGTTGCTGCAACTGATGCACGAACGAAGGACTCAACCTCGGCCCTGGACTGACACCACCACTCCCACCACTCCTAAGCCCTCCAAGCCCGTGCCCTTGCCCGTGTCCGGACGTCTGGTATATCGGGCTCGCGCTCGGACTCAGTCGGGGCGACGCGGGGTACAGCGTCTGGTGGTGTTGGCCAGGCACAAGTCCGCCCGTCCCTCCGAAAGCTGATGTTGACATTGAGGAGAGCGGCGACGCCCCGCCTAGAGCATACGCCTGCCCGAGCGCAAAGTGGGATTGGGAGCGGTGGACGGTCCTACCTACCCCTGCAGCTACACCGGCGTTGGGGTGGAGGGGCCCAGTGGTACTGTACGCGTTCAGAGCGGCGTGTGGTGGGGTGAGCGAGTGCGATCGGGGCGGGTTCGGTTGGTTTGCGGGATGTGCGTTAATGGTGGCGGCATTGGAGGCAGCGATAGCGGTAGGGGAAGTGGAGGACGCAGGGGACGCGGAGGCTGCAGACGCCCCACCAATCGACGCCTGCGAGAGCACGCTCGTGAGCAGCGCGATGCGCTCTGCCTGTACCGCTGCTGAGATGGAGTCGCCGTTGCCTTCTGCGTCTGTAAGGGGAGGAAAGGGGCGCTGTCAGCGCTTATTTCAATGACGGAGGGAAGATCGATGAAGAAAGAAGGCTTGCGAAAGCGAACGAATGGCAATGACGACGCGGAAATGCGAAGAGGAAGGTAAAGAGACGTTAAGAGGCGAAAGACATTAGCCTCTAAGACAGCCACGGGCGCGGGCGAGGACACCACACCACACCACAGCAACAGCAAAGGCAAAAGACAATCCGGCCGCGCGTGTGGGTGGAGTTAACCCGACATTCCAGCGCCCTTCTTCCAACGCTAACCTCCTAACGTGAACGTCAACCCCACACGACACGATTAGATCCCCGCTCACGACACACAACACGATTAGATCCCCACACACGACACGACAGCACACCACGGCACGGCGGGACGCCCAAGTCACCCTATCACGACAGTATCATGAAAGAAACACGAAGCACGAAGCATAAAGCTAGACTTGACGTGCAGGCGCGGGGAAGTGGGTTCGAATAACATGGAGCGCACCACCGCTATCATAGTCATCATGGTGAAGATAGAACGGGGAGGAATGGAAGACAAGAATACAACACGAGAAGACAAAGGAAAGAAGACACCACGGGAGGGGAAGGAAGAGCGGCGCGAAACCCAAGTTCTTTGGAATCGAATCGAATCGGAAGTCGGAAGTCAAGGAAAGTGAAGGAAAGATAGAACATGACAGAAGACAAAGCGAAGGCGTCAAGTCGCACACCATTATTAGTCGCATGCCAGCATAAGATAAGGGACGACGACGACGATGATAACATAAGGTTGGGAGATGTGAGAAAGGAAAGAACGAAAAGATGAATGAAATGAAATCAGAGAAAACGGACGAAATGAAGTCAAGTCAAGTCCAACAGAACACTGTTTAGAAAACATAGAAGACAAGTGGGCGCATGCGCATGACAAAGGCATTACAAAGGCATGACTAACTCAAGCGCGAAGGCAAAAGTAATTGAGTGAAGGCAAACGCGCCGGACGGGAATAGCGCGGTCACTCCAAGACTCCAACTCAACAAGGACAAGGACAAGGATAGGTAAGGTAACGCAGGCTCAAGCTCAAGCTCAGACTCTAGCTTAAGCTCGTCGTGTTCAACAAAGGAGACGTCGAGCACCGCGTGGAGTGGTGTGGGCGAGGAAGTCCAGAGGAACCAAAGGAAGAAGCAAGCAAACTCGAGGGGGGAAGGCACTCGAGGAAAAGGAAGCAACGAAAGCATCGAAGAAAGGAGAAAAAAAAAAGAGAACATCACGCACAAGGCAAACACGTCTGGCACACCTTCCTCCTGCGCCAGTTGAGGTAGTTGCATTTCTGGCATATCCAGTCGCCGGGTTGCTGTTCGTGTGTTATATCGATCGTATTGGGCATTGAGTATTGAGTGAATGAATACGCGTTTTCGTTTTTCGTTTGAATGGTGTTTTCGTTTGAATGGTATTTGGGTTTGAATGGTATTTGCGTGCATGCGTGCAGAGGATGCCGTATGGCGTTTCCAATTTCGTAAGTTCGAGTGGGCGCGCGTAGAAGGCCGAGGTCGAGGTGCGGGTGGTCGTTTTTCCGTTACGTTGCAGCGCGGGGCGGGGCGTCGGTGTCGATACGTGATATGTACGTGGGTACACCGAGTCAGTGGCGCGTCGTAAGTGGCGGTCGGTTGAACATTCAAGGGTGAACATTGAAGACAGTCGGTTGAATTGGCGGTTGAATGTCGAAGTCGGTTGAACGTTCAAGGCGGGTGTACGTTCATCCCACACCAAAGCGAAAGCGAAATTAAACGCGAGATTAAGGTCGAGACGCGTCGAGCCGGCGGAAGGTTACGGTTGTGTGAGCATGCGCGGGAAGGGGCGACGACGTGTCGTACGGCAGAAGGTAAGGTTGCGTGGCGTGCCGGCGGGAGGCGTTGTGGGTCGAGAGGAGGACCGGGGTAGGGCGGCAGGACGGTCGAGGGAGGGAACAGGCGATAAGGCGAGGGAGGGAACAGGCGATAAGGAGTGGTGAGGCGTGTAGGGCGATGAGGAGGGAGGTGAGGCAAGGCAAGGCAGGGGAAGGAGGGGAGAAAAGGAGAAAGACGGCGTCAGCGGACTTGGACTCGACGGGACGAAGAGACCAAGGAACAGGGAGGAGGGGGGAGGTAAAGGAAAGGGACGTACATGTGAGATCGGACCGCGGTTGCCTGTGTTGAGGATGGGGGGCTGCTGGGGAGGTGTTAGCGTCGATGCACATCTTTCGCAATATGAAGAAAAGAGGAAAAACGATGCAAAAGCCCTCAGGCAGAAAGAAACCCTCGTCGAAAAAGACGCAAAGACGGACTCGAAGACTTACAGCGATGCCCACGATCCCACTGGGCCGAATCTGCCCCTGCTCGGGCAGCGGCTCGTTGTCGGGCCAGTACATGACGCACGGGTTGAGCGGGTCGGAGGAGACGTTCTGGACCTTGCCGCCGACGGCGAAGGCGCGTCCGGAGGGTGTGAGGAGGGGGTGCGTAGGCGCGGTGTGAGTTGCTGGGTGTTGGTGCTGGTGAGAGGATTGAGGGTAAGGGTGGGAGTGGGAGGGCTGTGGGTACTGTTGGGCGGCATGGGTGTGAGAAGACTGGGAGTGAGGGTGAGGGGAGAGTGGCGAGGAGATGTGGGAGGCACCCTTGGTGGGGAAAGGTACAGAGAGGGAGAGGGAGGGGTGGTTGGGGATTGCGAAAGAGGTGGAGGACGCAGGTGCGGAGGACGGCGGGAGGTGTTGCTGGGCCTGCGCGGTGGGGCTAGCGCCGGCGCTGATGTTGGGTAGGGACAGCTGAGTCGTGGGCGAGGGTCCAGAGGAGTAATACGTCGTTGTGCTTGTCGCCATGTTGGGCGGTGCGAACCGGGGCGAGGGTGCACCTGCACCTGCGCTCTGGCCCAGGGCAGAGGTGGATAGTGAGAGCGCGTGCAGAGCGTGTGGGTGGAGGAGGGAGCCGTCGGTGGTGCGTGGGCAGCCACAGCCGATGCAGGCGACGTTGCGACTAGGATGGGAGTGTGTGTTTAGCATTTGTGAAAGGAGACGAGAGCCGCGGACAGATTTATAAAGACGACTCACCCAAAGTTATGGGCGGCGCATTTTGGCGAGGGGCATCTGTATGCAACGAGTCAGTGAGTGGAGGGGATGAGACACGCAGTGAGATCAATGACGCACATCCAGTCGCCGAGGCGGAAGCTGTTCTTGGGGTTCGGCGGGTTGCTCGAGAGCGTGTACGTCTGCGTCGGCGCCTCGCTCAGTGTCATCGATGGCTGAAGGAAAGAAAGAGAGGGTGAGCCAGTACGTAACTCCCCAGGAAGGAAGCACGCACGAGAGCAAGGAATGGCCTGAGCGCTGCGTGGGGGACGAGGTCGGAGTGGAGGGCTGGGGTGGCGGCGGGGAGCGCGAGGGCGGCGCATGCCTGCAACACATGTCAGCCTGGGTCTTATCCTGGTGAAAAAGAAAGGGCGGGCGCGTCGTGGAACTCGATCTCCCCTCTTTCTCCGCGAACAGCGTGCGAGCCGGAGAGGCGCCAAAAGGGTCTTGCCGCTACGTCACCCATGACGCCACACACGTGATCCAGATCCCATCCCAGATCGACTTTCACTCACCTCGTCGTGCGTCCGGAACACCGCGAACACGCTCCCTGCCCAGCTCCCGTGCGTCCACAGCGATGCTCTCTCCAGAATGCTGGTGCTCTCGGGGCGGCCCTGCGCGATGGTGTTAGCCCTGCTTCGTTGTGGATCCGGATGCGCTCACCTGAAACACACCACTCGATAGGAGGCTCGCGTTGGCAGGCAGCTGTGGGCGGAAGGTAAACGTTAGCTCAAGATCGTGATACGGGCACGCCACTGTGTACGCCAGTGCTAGCGACAGCGATGAGATGCATGTCCAACGCCCACGCCAGCGCTAATCCAACGCCAGCACTGACGCTAGCAAAAGCCAGAGCCAGAGCATAACTCTCTACACTCCAACCAAACTCCGTTCACTCCAACTCCAACTCTAGCCCTGCACACGAGCACAAACGTGAAAAGGAACACGGAACACAGACTCACCCTAACCACACGCGAGCGCGTCCCGAAGAACGCCTCCGCCTCTTCGTCGTCTTTCCCGCTATACCTCTTGTACCCATCTCCCTCCCTATTCCCTCTACCTCTACTCCTCCTTCTCCTCCCCCTCCCATCCCTCCACCACCCAATCCTATTCCTCCTCCTACCCGTGGCGTCTCCTCCGCACTGCTCACACCCGTACTCTCACTCACACCCGTGCTCGTGCTCCCCGCGCTCCGAAGACTCGTCGAGCTGCTCCGCGACGACAACGAATTCGAACACGACGACGTCGAGGTTGGGGATGTCTTTTGGCGTTGGGGGTGCTCCTGTTTCTGTGCGTCCCGATGGTATTGGGTCTGGGGTTGTTGGGACTGTTGAGGGTGAGGCGGTGGGTGTTGGTGTCCTTCGGTTGGCACGCCTTCGACGCACTCAACCGCGGACGCACAGGGAAGACCGGAAGCAGAATCAACACCAACACCGAGCCCGACACCGAGCCCAAACGCACGCGCCTGCGCCTGCCAACGCGAAAGCGCGCTCTCGAACGGCGCCGAGTGCGAAGCCGAGGCTGCGTAGCGGCCTTGTCCTTGCACTTGTATCGACGCTTGCCCCGACGCGTGTCCTTGCCCCTGCTGGTTGTGAGAAGAGAGAGCCGACAAGCTAGACAAGTCAATCGTGCTCGTCAGGTCCATGAGGTGCGCGGGGCGGGGCTTGAGTGCGAGTGGGAGGTCTTGGTTGTCGAGGTTTGCTTCGCGTTGTTGGAGGGTGTGGTGTTCGCGTTGATGTTCGCGTTGGTGTTGCTGGTGTCGGTGGTCTGGCGTGAGGGTTTTCTGGAGAGAATGCTGCTGCAACAACAGAGGCGTCACAAGCGGGTGGGGACGCGGGCGCGGGGAGGAGAGCGGGACTTGGTGAAGCGGAATTGAATTGGGATGCACAGAGGTAAACGCGGATTGAAGCGCGGAAGACAGAGAGGAAGAGGAAGGAAGAGGCGCGGACGGAGATGGAGGTGTACGCGAGGAAGGAAGGCGGGAGGGGGGAAGCGGGGATATATGAGCGCTGGACCTGGACATCTTGGCTTGCGATTGTCAGTCGAACTTGTTGAATGGTTTGACGTGCAGATGCTGGAAGTCGGAATGCTTGACAAGGGTGGGGCGTTGATGGGGAGAGGTGACCGGTGACGGGCGCCCAAATATTAAGTGTTGGGTATTAGTGGATCCGGGAAATGATATAGTGGGCAGAATTAAAGATTAGAGGAGGGATATGGGAATGGGAATTAGTAGTGCTTGTTTTGTTGGGTAGGGTAGCGTAGGGTATTATTATTCCGGTTCGAGTGCTGGAGCTGGAGCTGGAGCTAGAGGAAGGATGAAAAATATGAACGAAGATGAACGATGTCGATGATGTACACTTTGACACTGGGTGAGATTTGGGAAGGCGAGATTGAGGAGCAAGATTCCTGTCAGCTGCGAGATCGTCAACGACGCGACGCGACACGGAACGCGTCAGCGTAGAACACCTTCGAACTTCTTGCAACGAAGAGAGGGGTGAAACGCTAAACGCGCTAGTCGAGCTTAGCACTTAGGGCGCGAGGATGTCGAAGCGCGACCGTGGAAGGTAAGGTAATTGGCCTTTCTCGTGTGGGAGGGAGGGGAAATAAGATGCAGATGCGCCCTTCTTCTCGTTCTCGTTCCGGGTGTGGGTGTGGGTGTGATTAATGAACTTCTTCGACCTTCGAACGACGTCGACAACCACTTTGAGGGGGAGTCGCAGGGGCCGGACCTGTTGAACTTGTTGCCGTCTGTCGCGTCACCGACGTGCAAGTCGCGTAGGGTAGGACACGGGCGGGCAGGCGTGGGGGATGCTAGGATCGAAGCGAAGCTGGGAAGCCTGACGTGTCGGTGGATATGTTGGAAGGGAGGGAGGGAGGAGTGCGTACCAGGACCAGGACCGGGACCAGGACCGGATGGGAAGAGGGCGGAGAGAGGCGCGTCGAGAGTGAGGAGGAAGAGGACACGTCGGGAGGCGGGCTCAGCGAGCAAGTGGAAGAGCCAGCGAGAGTGCGAAGACTCGGAACACGCAGCAATGTTGCAGCGTGCATTCATGACGGGCTCTCTAATATAAGTCATCTAAGCAAATATGTGTGTGAGTAAATTGCAATGTCGGAGTGTTGCATGAACATGCACGGCGTGGCGGCGTGGCGGGGACCTAGAGTAAATTCTAAATTTCGCGTTTCCCCATTTTGGCCCCGGAACTTATGTCCTTTTCAGGGTTACGAGTCGGCCGTCGGCTAACTGGAGTCCCTCGCTCTGACGGAGGTCCGGGAATAAAGGACATACGGGTCGTTCAGGACCCTAATTACCCTGTACCGGCCGGAAGTACTGAAGTGTAAAGGAGCTACGTGGTATGGACCAAGGAGAAACGGAGCTACGGAGATGAGGACGCCCAGATGCTGGCAGGGTGCACGCTGAGCGGGTCTGCATGCATGCATGCACGAGGACGCTAGGACGGACGAGATGGATCCGGGGATGAAAGCAAGTATATAGGCAGCGGAGGCCGAATCTTGAATTTTGTCCTATTTTGTAGGACAAAGCGAGAAACATATGTAAGTGATTCGAAGAGGACACCGAAGGCCGAACGGCGTCTAATAAAATCTTGGACCCTCGAATGACGAGTTTCGAGCGCTTCAAGGTTTCGCGCTCGACCCTCCGGTCCTTTTGCCATACCATTTAGGACCGACATGGCAGTCAAGCATCGAACCTCCCATTTTTGGGGCACCGAACCCCGACGCACGCGTGAGTATCGCTGACACAGTGGCGAGCGCGTCGTGGTGGCGCGTTGCGAGGGGCGCGGTCATCGAGGGTTGGACCGGGCGCAGAGGCGGTCGTCGAGGGCTCAGTCGGTCGTCGAGGGTCGAAGGCCGTTACTATGCGCCAACGGTAGCGCCGACAACCGGATGGGGCACGTCGGCATGTCCTTTTCGGTTGTTGAAGGCGGTGGTTGTGCCACGTCCACTGCTCGCGAATCCCACTCGGACTTGGGACTCGGGCCCAAACACCCGCCCCGACGTGACGCGATGCGATTCCTATGGACCTTCCCAGCTAACATCCGCCCTTGCAAAAGGAGTACGCGTCGGGTGGTGCGAATCCCGTACAGCACCTCGTCGGGTGTATGCGTAGGCGCCGCCCCTCCTCTCCTTAATCTACCTTATTTACACCGCACGCTGAATACGAAGATTGTGGTAGATACAAGCGCTCGGATGTATCAGTCTCATTAAACAACGAGAATTGATCTATCATGAGCCAAGCATGCATAACCTCCTGTGTTCCTGCGTACTCCTGGGGATCTGCTGTGAATCGCAGGCCGGAAGGAAGATTCGACGCTATTACACGCCAATAAGTATTATTAAAGATTACTCCCTTGCCTCTGTGTAGAAGGAGGCCTCGAGGTGGCACACGCCGCACGAGAAGCAAGATTCAACGAGCGCTAGGTGGTGTCAACTTGAAACACTCGATCGTTGCGTTTATTATCCAAACTAAACGAGGCAACGGGGTTCCCTTCCTCGGACTTGAGCTTAAAGCTTGATCAGCCGGAGTTAAGGAGGGAGGTTAACAAGTCAACACGACAGGCTAACGCACCTCCGGCGGGACCGAGCCCGCTGTTTAAAGTTATAGTTGTTGACTATATGTAAGCATGCTAGATACAGATCCAGCTCAACGAATCCTAACGAAGGCGGAAGGTTGCTTCGAGTAGCGAGGCTAAGTAGTTCAGGTTAAATGCATGATCAGTGTTCATTTATCACCGGTGCGCCACTGTGCGATGAATCGAGTGAGTGGACCTACCCTAATATCTTTTTGAATTACGCCATCTGGACTCGTGCTTTGAATCGCGGTGCGTCCTAGGTAAGGTGCCAGGCACTCGTGGCCAAAAAAGAGCTCGAAAGTACTCACTAGTTTAAGATAACGAAACATAGCTGGTGAAGAGTGCACCGTTTTCAACGGGAACAGACTACAGACTGGGAGAGGAGCAGAAGTAACACCACGAGAGACGATCTCGGGTTGAATCCGCCCAAAATCTTAGGAAAGGATGGGCGGGGTTGGTACTAAGTAGTAGTAAATATCTAACTTTTACCTTCGCACTAGACCTAGTTGAACCGAGCTCCTCGATCGCCGTCGACTCTACTCTGCTTACTCTATGCGGAGAGCAGGAAACGCCGGCGCCGGCGGGCTCGGAACCTTGGGGCTAAGTTCGCGAATTACTGCTAGGACTGAGTAGGTTAACCGTGGGTATGAGGAACGGTTTAGCCTAAGCGTGTTAGAGGCAGAGTCTAGAGATATGATAAGGAGAAGAAAGAAGCGCCGGTAGAACTTGCACTTGTTTGTACACGCGATGACGCGTCGGCTAGGTCAGCTCGAGCGCCTATGTCATAGATGATCATTAATCATTAATCATTATGGGTAAATATAGCGAAAGTGATTAGTGAGAGGTGGCGGGGAGGACTCGCCGGTGTCATCTAGGGCGAAAGAAGTGGAAGAATCACGGAATTTAGAAGACGGGGATGTGTTGTTTGTGGCTTCTTGGAAAGAATCTATTCAGAAGAACATAACAAAGAAGAACATGCGTACTCGGGCTATTATGGCGTTCTAATACTCTAGGATCCTATTGCAGTCGTTCTGTGATAAGGTAGCAGAACGACGAACAGTGTTCTCCCGAGCTGCGACTCTTCTTTGAATTTAAGCTAACGTTTTGGAGAACAAAAAGACTGTCACCCCTATCCCTACTGCTGGCATATGGAAGACCAAGTACAAAAGACCGTCACATTAGGCTAAAAATAACAGCAACAGCCCAGCGCGCACTGTACTTGGGCTGTTGATCTGTCGAGTTGCCAATTGAAGACCGACGATTGAATACGGGTGCTAACATAAAATGAAGGGTGCTTGCTCGGTGTTTAAAAAGAGAAACATATGCATGTGTATCATCACTTCCATTTCACGTTCCCAATTTCTGGGATCCTTCAGCTCCCTGCACCAATTCGTGCTTCCTTTGCCACAACACCACGACCCAACCCAACCCGGCACGCATCTGCATACAAGAAATGGTAAATCCTACATCATATTTTTGAGCTAGGCCGACAGAGAATGTCTCCCTCAAACCGAGCCGCCAATTCACTCACCCAAACCAGTACTAACCGACAGCGCGTGCCCACTTTTACGCGTGCACTCCTGGAAGAACTTGACTGGAAGAACTTGACTGGGAGCAATGCAATCTGGACAAGCCGATTCGCTTTCGATGCTGACGTCAGCTTTGGGTTTCTGGAAGGCGTGCGTCAGTAGGGATAGGGCACAAGTGCTTGATAGTATTGAAGACGCGAGACGCGTTCACGCCAGACTGATGCGCTTTACATTGCGTCGACGCGTCATTTGCACGCATCGTGATTAGCTTTGATCCGCCTTGTCTCCGAAGATCGATGATCGATCGGGCACCGGTCCGGTCCGGAGGTTTGGTCGTCCTCAGCGTCATTGGCCGACTGCTTCAGCGACCTTCACCAATGAAATGTATGCTGACCATGAACCGGGAGAGAGGCTTCTAAACAAATATTTGGCATACTTACAGGACCAAGAGCCTCAGTCTTCTCTTCGGAAACAAAATGTGTCATCCCCTCATCTCTTCCAGAGCGCCGGAGAAAAAAAAAAGTCCTGTAACTGTTTCAGGTTTCGAAAGGCGTCTTCATCCTCCCTGTTCTCTTCCACAGTTGATGTCAACATAGTCCTAGATCTTCACAGCAGCCAGCTAAATAAGCAACATACGAAATGTCTATCTGAACAATAGTCTGGGAGCTTATTTCTCCTTGGGCTATCTCTTTGCTCCGTCACACCACGCCGTCAACGTCAACACCAATCAGCGCCGTCGGGTTACCCGAGTCCGTGTGGGCGCTCGTTTGGCTGCATAATAATAAATTGTGGCGCTGGGTCTAGACTCGGGTTCGAGGGGTGGGTCATCGGTGTTCCTTTCAGCCTGAATGACTGCACAGTCTTGGATCTCGGGGTGCGAGTTTTTCCTTTGTCGTCCTTTGTGGGATTGATTAAGGAGATATCGTTGCTTTGTGCCCTCGTTATGAAAGACAAGGGAGGCAGAATTTCGGGGAGGATCCTCGCGACGAGTGCTTCGGGTCGGACGGTCTTGTCACTTGCTCCGAATGCTCTACCCTGCATGATCATCAAGTCCGTCGAGCGAAGACAAAAGACGCTCAAGAGGCGTATACATGCGGACCTTCGTCGTGGCTCACTCAGGCCAACTCAAAAGGCTGTTCCATCCGTAGTTGGACTGGCAAACGGAGTGTCGGTGAGTTAGGTTCAGTATCTACAGCAGTGGTCTAATAAGAAAGCATAGGATAGAAATGTAGCGCTCTAAGGTATCCTTATAAACGAAGAAAGAAGTCAAATATTATACCAATGAATAATAACGAACAAAAACCAAACCCAAAATTACTTGTTTCCCAATCCTTAGAAAAGTGGATCGTCTGGACGTTGGGCCCCCGACGGCACCGTTGGCGCGTAGCTCGGCTTTTTCGTTTCATACCAACAAACGCAGGGTCAACTTGGCTGGAAGTCACGGACGTCCATCACCCAAATCAGGACATCCCGCCGTCCCATCGTGTAGAACCTCCGCAGATCGTATTCCGAGCGATACGGAGCTGTCTAGGATCGTCGACCAGCCTGCAGGTCACTGGTGCGACAGTCGTCAGTTTGGGCCTTGGACATTCCGTTCGCAGCATCGTTTGCGCCGAGCTGACCACACCTGTCCTGACAAGGCGGAAAACAAGTCCCACACCTCCCTCTCCGCGTTCGTTCGAGTTCCTTCCGAATGTATACAACGCACCACATCTCTCCCAATGATCTCCATATCCCACCTTAAACGATCGTCGATTGTATGACAATGGGTCTCATCCTCGTCATCGCGGAGGCAGGTTGGAACACAAGTGACGACACCCCGCGAATACACGATCGAGACGGCATCGAGCGGACCCAAACGAACGAAATAAGACCGAGAAGCGAAAGTTTGAGTGGAGGTGACGTGCAGGGAGATGAAGCAATGTCATGGAATCAAACCACCCAATTTTCATTGAGCGACACGCAAGCGGGCAGGCCGCTCCCAAGGTGCTGAAGAACCTGAGAGTAAGGGCTTCCATTTCTGCGTCTCGTTCCAGTGCCCGTACAGCGCATGTTCCAGCGACGGACCAGAGAGCGAGATCACCAGACCACGCTCCATCAACCACCTGGCATAGTTGAACCAGCTCTCGCTGCCGCGTTGCGCCTTGCTTTTCTTCGTCTTCTCGCCGTTGCTGGCATCGGCATCGGCGACGGAATCTGCATCAGCAGCCGCCTCATTGAACACTGCGCTCGGGGCCATCTTCCCCGCGCCCAGCGTCGCTAGATTTCCAACGACAAACAAGCCACGCTTCGCCCTCGTTAGGCCGACGTTCAGGCGCTTACGGTCCGCGAGGAATCCGATGTGCCCGGCACTGTTGTTCCGCACGGTGGAGAAGATTATGACCTCCTTCTCGCGCCCCTCGAACCCATCGACAGTCTTAATCTCGATATGGGCGAGTTGCATCGCACGCTGCAACCCGAGCACCTGCTCGAATCGTTCCTTGTAGTGCGAGTCGAGGTTCAGCAGTCGGGTGATATGCGTAATCTGCGCGGCATAAGGCGCGATTACCCCGATGTCGCGTCCGTGCAGGTGCTGTATTGAAGCACAGTCGTAAGTGCAGGGAAGAATGAATGATGAACGTCACGTACTTTGTTGGCCAAGAGGAGGTCTTCAACGATGCTCGCCACGATGTGGCCTTCAGTAATATTAACCCGACTTCGTCCTTTGAACGACTCGTTGCCCGTATGATCGAGGAAAATGACCGACGGCTTCTCTTTGCCCGTCTTCTTCTTTAGGTGCTTTGACCTAGGCGGCTCCAGGCTAGGCAATGGCTTGCCAAAGACGTCGACAGTCCCATCTTGCAATGCCAAACCATAAAACTCGCGGGCGGGGAACTTTGATATGGTGGGATGCATGCGGTACTGTATGTCAAGCATAACCGAAGGCACGTCTGCAAATACAAGGTGGTTGAGTTAACTCGGTATGTAAGCAGTGACGGCGGCACTCACGTCCTTCCTCTGTCAACCTCTCGAACAGACTCAGCCCAAGCCCATCCTCCTTTGCTCGTTTGCTCGTGATGACGGGTGGCAACTGCTTGTGGTCGCCGATCAATGCTACATGCTGGGACTAAGTTCGAGAAAAGAGAGACATCAGAACCTAAATTCAGAAGAATAGGTAGTTAAATGGACATACGCCTTTGACGATAGGAATTAATGATGCCGGCTCAGTCGACATGGAAGCCTCGTCAAGAAAGACGACAGGAAAGTCAATGACGTTGAGCGCCGCACATGCCGACGTTATACACGTTGTGCAGATCTGAAGTTGTAGAGCAAAACCAAATACGTCAACGAGCATCCATAACGGCGAGGCTGGCTGGCACTCACGACATCCGCATCAGCGATAGTCTCGCGCAACATTTGCTGCTGGATAGCATATATCTTCCGCTTGATGTTCTTATGCCGTTTCTCGAGCGAGATGAGGGCCTCCTTCATGCGCATCGCACGCTCGATGGTTGCTTTCCGTGGCCGCTTGCTTTCCTTGAGCTTCAGCGCCAGCTCCTTGTACGAGTCGCTCAGCTTGTAGACCTGGTCCTTCACTTGCGTCTCTTCGTCGACGGTCCGCAAGAGGACGGGATGTAGGGGATGCTGTTCGAGTTTGTAGTCAAGAGAGTGCTCGAGCAGGGATTGGCGGACGTTCCCGTTAAACCCTACACGGAGGGGTTTGACGCCGACACGCGCAAATCCTTCGACGAGGTTGTCAACTGCGACATTGGTATAGGTACACACGAGGAGGGGCTGAGGAACTTGAAAGTGGACCTTCAGCAGCTTGATGGTTTCGATGATCGTCTTGGTCTTTCCCGTTCCAGGAGGCTAAAAAATGGCAATTCAGAGAGATTGCAGCGGTTTCGTACTGCGCTACTTACCCCTTGGATAAGACACATCCTCTGACCAATCATTGCCGCCATAGCCCTGATTTGGGATGCATTCATGCCAGACAAAGGAGGGTCGCCCTCTACTACCACGGGATTAGATCTTGAATAACGCCTCGCCCAGCTGAGGATACGCTGGTCCAGTTTGAAAGCACCATATTCTTCAAACTTTCGGCCCTCCGAGTCCTCCGCGTCAAGACGCGGTGTCGGAGCAGTACTAACATTCTCGCAAGCTTGGACAGCAGTAGGTTCTTCGTCCGTCGGTGATGGAGGAACGAAGGATTTAAGGATAACGTCGCGGAGCTCTGTACCCTGAAGAATATATTCGGTTGAAGGGTCCGAACCCATCTTCTCGATTTCTTGAGGATCCCAGTCGAGGTTGGATATTGCATTCCGCATGCGCTCGTACATGAGATTGGGGCGACCCAAGTCCAGTCGCCAGACACCTTCATGGAGGTCGAAGTGGTTTGGAAAGCAGATACGGATATGGGATTCGTTGCGTGAGAGAACAGAGCCAATTTGTGGGCATTCTTTGAGTGGATCGACACGCGATAATAGCACCTGAGTGCCGTTTCTTCGAAGGTTGTCAGAGATTTGGCGCTGTTCGAGCGAGTTGGAAAGATACTCACTCAAGTTTGTTTTCCGGGAGCTTTATACCAGGACCCATTAGAAACGACGCTACAGGTCTTCCGAATTGATTTGCCTGAAGCCAGTATGCAGATAAACCCGTCATGCAATAACCTTCAGTTTCCAGTCGCTTGAGACTCCAGGTCGATAACCGATGCCTAAGGACCGCTTCGTCTTCCGCTTCTTCATGGGCAAGAAGCTGCATAAACCTATAAAAGTAAGCACCACTTGACAGACGGGACCGCCTGGAAGAACGTACTTTGAACGGTACCGCTGGACAGCCGAGTAGAATGGCCGGTGTGGGTCGTGCTCGACGGGTTGGGCACGCATACGTCTCGCGTAGGATTTCTTCTCTACGCTGCTGTTTGGCTTCTTCAACCTGGAACTAGCTGTACGACGCCAGTCAAACCGACCACCTGGCTGTGCCCGAGGCAGAATTGGTATAACCTCCTCCGTGTCCTCTTGCAACCACTCTCCCTCCGAGGCAGTTTGCTTGACAATAGAAAAAGTTGGAGACGGGACGGTTGCATCTATCTCTGTCCAGTTCATGGCGTCGTAGAAAAATTGAATTTCTTCGCGTTCAGACAACTTGTTGTCAGTACGCGTCGACGTCGATGTTGATACTGTTCGCTTGTGCGTAGCTTGTGTACATTTGGGGTCTTCGAAGCAGAATTGGCGGAGCCGTGATACTTTTGGATCCATCGCAGGAAGTGAGGTAGACGTGGAATAGGATGTGTTTTGTTGGATATTGCTAGTAGACCGAGGCGAGGACCGTGTCGCCCGCGTCGCCCTCGTCACTATGATTCTGTCGATGGAGATGGGCCCATGCTTTGAAAGCGAATGAAATGAGCGCTGGTATAGCTGCGCCAGGATGAAGTAGTGAAAGGAATGAAAAGTATGAAGGCGAAGTTGGCAAATGAGAATGCTAAGTATTTTTTGCCGAGGTCGAAAGGATCACGTGTGCCCCTATCTGTTATGTAAAGCTTGACAACTTGACTCCATCCAAACCCAATGCTTTTCTGTCCAACTTGCGCAAATCTCCTTATCATTTCCTCTGAATCTGGCCTCAACAAATGGGCCTGCAATACATGTCCGTATGAATTCCCGATCACGAAGCAGGTTGGCCGCTCGTAATTTTTTTGGCCTATTATCCGATACTCAACTCTGTTCAACGCCAGATGACCACCAGAACAAGGCTCAAACGGAAGGAAGTTGACGATGTCCTTGGAGGAGACGAGATGTGGGCTCACGCTGATCGTACACAAGGCAAGTTATTCCTTAGACAAATTCAGCTTTGCCTCATTTTCCTCTCTCTAGCCTCTTGCGACAAATGCAACTTCAACAGTGCCTACTTCTACCAACTTCAAATTAGATCCGCAGACGAACCTATGACGACGTGTACGCCATTTTTCATGTCTATTGGTGGGCCTTTTTGACCTTGGTTGGCTACCTTTGTAGTCTATCGGTGAAGACTCCGTTTGTTGGAAGGAATGCTGCTCATTTTTTTTTTGTTAGATGCGTCAATTGTGCCCACCAATGGCGCGAAAATTAATCACAAAAAGAAAGACTTCTGTTGTTCACCGTGTTTTAGATGACCTCTTGCTTTTGTCCATTGCTCTCATCTTGGGATGAGAACCTTCGATCGTATGATGTCTCGACGAACTGGTGGATGCAATATGCATCCAGAGCCTTGCCTGTGGACGCACTCGGCGACTTTTTTTCTTCTTTCAAATCAATGTCCCTCCGCGCGTTGAGGCGTGACAGAAGGGCCGACAACTGAAGGACGGAGCAGGCGGACGCAAGGTAGAGGACGTGAGAACAGGAAGTGTAGATTGCAGGATTAATATACAAATGGGTCTTATGCTACACAAATGCGAAAGCCATTTACATGGAAAGCATTTTTCAGGTTGGACCAAAGAAACTCCACGCCTCAATAATCTCGTTCAGCGACCTGATACTCCATCCCGACCCAAGCGACGTCGTCATCCTCGTGCCACTAGCATGCAACACCTCCTTGATGCCAACGTCAAGTGCTTGGGCATTCGTCGTGCCTTCCGGATGCGGTCGGGCGAGGCATTCGCGATGGGCATCGGTAGCCAGCTGACGAAGGACGAGCAACAAGGTTGACACCGGTACACCGTTACGCAAGAGGTACCAGGCAGCGTATCGCTCCAGGGTTCGGCCGTCCAACACTCCTCCATCAACATCCAGGTAAGGCTCGGGGCCTGCGTTAAACTCTGGAGTGTGAACATCCGGCAAGACACTGCCTTGCACGTAACGACTCATGTACGCCACCAATCCGGGAAGAACGCGGACGAGGTCGAGCTTTCGATCGAGGGCGTGTAAAGTGCCTTGTACTGTCGTATCCCGTAATAGTCCTGGACGCGGATTGTTTTCTGTGCGGCCGCTGAATCGTCGATCGTAAACTTTGGCATAAAAATCGGCAGCAAAACGGAGGTCCTGGAGGCGGAGGTGAAAGTATCGTGAATCTGGGGACATGTTGCGATACATGTATAACGTTAAATGAGATTGAAGTGTTTGAGGCTTGTCTTGTAAAATGCTGTCCAATAACGCTGCGTGGCAATAGGTGTAGAATAGCCGTTCTTCGTCTGTGTCATTGTCGGACCGTGAAAAGTGGTCTGCGAATGCAAGGAAAAGGTCGTCGTTGGAGAAGGAGGTGATGAACTCGCCCAGATCACCAGCAGGGTGGGTTTTGGCGTCCGTTAGTTGAGGGAAGTCTAACGTAGCTGCGTCGCCAGAGGAGGAACCAGAACGAACGAAGAGGCTTCGGCTTCCCCGAGGGTCTTCAGTGTAGCTGAGGAATGCTGTACGACGTTTCACATACAACACCTGACTTTTGAGGAGAGCTTCCTTGTGGCGAGGATGTGCCGCCGTGTCGAGATAAAATGGCCAATAGCGGGGCGTGTCGACACGAATAGCAACAACTTTTTGTAGGTCGGGAATAAGCGTCGGTGAAATAAGCTGGACTTGATCCTTTACTTTATTATCATCCGTCGAGATTTTAACTGGTAAATAGACGATTTCGTTGGTGTCGACATCGCGGGCGATCAAGCACCTTGGTTCGACGGCTAGAACCCACATGTGTCTGAGAGCCTGCAGGTAGCACCGGTTGTCTGACGAAACGTGATGGAATCGAGGGAAGAAAGCGGTAATCAGAGAGACTACCGCAGCATCGGAGGTGCCCAACGTAAAGCGGCCACCACCGAGGAAGAGCAGACCGAGAGCAATGTGTGTGGATACGTGTGTGCCATACTTGAATCCGTGGTGCATCATCAATTGCTGGGACATCCCAAAAGCATATCGAAGGCGCCGCATGCAGGTGATTTCGCCTGTACCAGCCATGACCATGCAGAGGGCAATTGATAGGAGATTGAGTCCGTCTCGAACGACTGAGCGTTTGATCTTGTGGTCAAATTGAGGTCCTCGAAGACGAACATCAGCCAACGAACATTGCTACGTGTAAACGACAAGCTTTACCGTTTGAATATGCCAACCTTGAAAACATGTCAAAATTCTTCACGATGATCTGATAGGCGTCTTGACCAGCTGTACCAGCGTATTTGAGACCGATAACAAAACAAGCCCCTGCGAGAATATTGTAGTAGGCAAGATCGAAAGTATCGTCAATGGGGTTCCCCGTCTTCGTTCGGGAATCGATAGCTAGGCGAATATTCAAAGGTATTTGCTGCATCAGCCATTCGTTAGTTGGCTTGACGTGATCCCACATTACGATGGAGCGAGCGATGGTGCGGATGAGCAAGAAGTACGGCTGGATCGAATTGAGAGCGATAGCAGTGTCAGGAATGGCGATAGATTCCGCGATATCCCGTTTGTTCGTCCTAAAATACATCAGGGCAAGAGCCATTGAAGCAGCAGGAGATGTGAGGTTGATATCAAACTTCGGCCCTTCGGGTTCCAAGGCAGAACGTGTATTCCCGTGAATGAGGACGTTCAAACGTTTGACGGTCTCGTTATCGACTGGGATATCTGTTCCCTTGCCCAACATGATCATGCCGAACGCGAGGGCACTGGAATAGGTGTACGCTTCGCGATGTTCATTGCTAAGGTCGGGTTGAACAAGGTCTCGTCGGCTGATTTGGCTAAGGGCGACTTCGGCCATGCGTCGGTTCTTGGTACCTAGATAAAGCAACCCTAAGCCAGACAAACCCGCCGCCTGCGTTATGAGCGGCACGTTGAGGTCTGCAGGAACAGGCAGAAGAGCAGGCGTATGGACGGATAACAACTTTGTGATGTGGGTGTTTCCACTTCCCACATTGGCGACTGACATGCCAAGCAGCAGCCCGATGGAAGTGAGATCGTGCTTTGGAGTAAGGTAGGAGAAGGTGTGCCATGTCATCAGCCCTTTCAGATGGCCAGTTAAACCGAGTCCAAGTAGGAACCCAGCATGTTCCGGCGAAAGGTCAGAGGGCTTGTTGAATGCTATCCAGGAGCTCTCAACTCCAGTAGCTGTGGCAGTGATTTTCAGGGCGGTAGCGACGCCGTTGTGGAACTCTCCCCAGCAAATCGACTCCGGAGATATCTTGCCTGGTTCTGGCGTAACCAATACATTCAAAGGTTGTAATCGAATAGAATTTTCGAGTTTCGGGATCACGAACGCTTCACGGTTGATGACGGGCATTGTAGCAAAGGTGAAGAGGGCACGACCGTACGGTAAGGCGAATGTTCGCTCTGCCGTTCGTAACACTTGAGTCTGATGGTCCTTGGTCTGCTCGTGGTCACTGTAAAACCGATATGATCAGTACTGAGGAAATAGGGAATAAAAGAATAATCTCACTTCATGTCAGGCCGTTCTACGCCTTTGATATTCGGAATAATCGATGAGCACAGCATGCGCGAGACCTCTTCGATCCTGCGATCCAATCCAAAGCGTATAGCGGCGAATTGCTTAAGGTTAATTTCAACTCCTGAGACGCCCGAGTTGTCCATGTCGCCAACTTGGGTACGTGTGCTGGCCGCGATTTCACCAATTGACGCGCGAGGCTGGGATGGATTCTGTCATAACGTTCAGGTGATGTCGACGAAGAAAAAAAGGAAAACTCACAATAAATTCCTTTCTTGGCTGATACCCATCCGGATTGAAATGATCAGCCTTTTGAATAGCAGAGGCAGCCAGATCATTGCGTCCAATAGCTTTATACGCATCCAAGGGCCAATTACCAGGAGGAGCAAGTTGGCATGTCCTGGCAGCCTCTCTGAGAGGAGAAGCAATGCCCAATGGTAAATTTGCAGTGACATCATGCCCTGGTTTCTTCGTAACCATCTTGTACACCACGTTCTCCGCCCTCTTCTGACAATCAGTGATTTTCCCGTCCGATAGCGTGTTGTATAGCATGCTGAGTTCGTGGAGCTCCGCTAACGGGTCTGCAACACCATATTCGAGAGATGGGGTGATGGAGAACCGAGAGACGATGTGCCCGATGTCGTGCCAAGGCACTTTCCAATCTGGGGTGCTGACTCGTCCATAGAGGATGGCCGACATGTCTGGGGGCCATACAGGTATCCGGTCGTCCAATTGCTCAGGTGCTTTCGTCGAGTCAGAAAACTCCCATACTGGCGCGTACATAAGGACTTACGAGAAGAAAAGGCCGAGGGCCAGATACCTATCGCATCAGGCACCAACCTCTTCCAATAATCCGCCCATTCGGGGCGAACAGCGCAGGCGACACGACATATCAGAGGTGCAAACTTGAGGAGATCAGCCTGGCGGTGAATTGATAGTCGGAGGTGTTCAGCAAGGGTGTGTAAACCGTAAAGAAGAGGGGCAAGCATCGGGTGGGACGGTCCGGGTTGGTGCACCGGACGTAGAAGAGGCTTCATTGGCGGCCTTCGAAGCCGTCGCAAGATGGGATCTTCCAGATGCTTTTCGTGAGAAGTGGAATGAGCGAGTCGCAGCCATGGGTCGAAGGTTTCTTGTGTTTCTTCTACGGCCAAACCAAACACCGTGTAAAGGGCGGAAGCTAAGCATTCAAATTCAACATTCCGAGCAGTAGACCACGCTCGAGCAGACCATTTTTCGAGGAAGAGGCGATGCAAGTCGAATGTAACTTCAGTCGGAAGAGTCAGAGCGAGGAGCTGGAGAACCTCCGTGACAAGCTTGTCTTGAGGAAAGATGTCGAAGGTCACGCACGTTTTCCAGCCATCCTCGTAAACGAGAGTCGTCGTGCCCCAATGGGTGTCATAGGCCGCAACGACAGCACCATGTCCCTGCGTCATCGAAATGTCCACGTCCATTTCCGTCATTCGAGGGGCATCGTATTGAAGTTCGACAGGCACCTCACGCAAGCCATGCGTGAGGAGGCCTAACTGTCCTTGAGCCTTGATGACCAGCAAGTCCCACACATTCCCTCGCGTGGCGCGTAAGGATGTTGCACAAAGGGCGGGTATAGTCGAAACCGGTACGGCCTGTGTTGTGCGATCGTCCATCTTCGTGATTGAGAACACTTGCAGAGTTTTGCTCGTGGGTAGGTGCACCGCCATGAAGCACCTCGAGTTCTTTCCGTCGAACCGATTGTCGAACACCGATACCTGGATATTTTGCCATGCCTGAGCACTGAGCACCTCATTAGCCAACGAAATACATAACAAAGCCACATACACGTACTCTTCCTCGTCGATCTGATGGGTGAGCAAGCGCTGCATCCAATATGCAGGTCGGAATCTGCCAAGGTCTGGGGGCAGAAATGCACCATCCGTATCCAGTCGCCCACCCAACGCCATCCGGTCCATCGTCATACTTAAGTCATTCCTCGACAAGGAATTCCTCCTTCCTTTTACCGGCGGTGGTTGATTGACCAACGAACCCAATGTAGCGGCGGTTGGAAGGGCGGAGGGCATACCAGGCAAGGAGCCGAGTGGTATTGCATCTGGTAGTTCGAAAAACTCTAAGGTCGGCGACATGACAGGATGAATCGAAGACCTCCTCCCTGCAGGACCTCCCAGTCCCAAATTATTCGAACTTCCAGCGAAGCCCAAACCCGTCGAAGGTTGTCCCTTTTTCGTGCCCGTCGTCGCAGCATCGTTATCTCCTTCTGTCTTCTTCGACTGGACCAACGTCTTCTTCGGTTTGATGTACACATACTCCCATAGAGAGATCTGCCTCATCTCCAGATTCATGGTGACTGCCAACCTCATGTCGTTTGCTTCTGGACCACAGTGGCTTACATGGACGAGGAGCTCGGTGGGTGGGATGCTCTTGATAGGTTTCTTGGTCTGCTCGTGTTCGTCAACATCCTTCAACTTGACCGGCTCGTCATTTGTCGCCCTCAGAATCCCCTCCGTCAATCCGACAACATTAGCCTCTGTGAACGGGCTTGTCACCGAGAAGATGGTCGATAAGACCTCCTCCCCCGTTGCTTCTGCTTCCTTTAACTCTGCAGGATCGAGCACCCTCTGAACCATCACGCCACTCGGCTCCACTGGCCAGGCCTTCCTTACGATGAACGGAAGCGAGAAGGTGTAGTCCACGCCATCTTCCAGGTATATCTTGCAAATACTCCGGAGAAAGACGAACACTGCAGAAACCTTGGCAGTGTATATCTCGATTTTCTCGGGTTCTCTCTTCGCCTGTATGAAAGGCGAGAAGATGGGGCGCCCTTGCTCGGTGGCGGCGGAAGAGTTGTCGTCTCCTTTGGTGTAGTTGGCGGCTGAGTGCACGGATGCGGCAGAATGGGAATGGGGTATGATGACCTGTTCTAGCTCGCCAGTGCAGGCGTATTGGATGTGCTCCCCTTCCTGCTCGAAGCTCCACCGTTTGATCATCACCCCGCCCGAAGAGAGGACAGCATGGTGCAGATTCCATACCAGCTCCCTCTTGTTAGAGTTCGTGGCGCTGCATGCATCGTACCGGGCAGTATTCACGGGCGCAATACTTTCCGGATCGACCCCACGTAGGGCAGTCTTGATTTGCTTGAGCAACGGGCTCTCATCGTGCAGGATCTCGGGTTTTGGCGAAATACGGGTAATGAACTCGACGGCAGCAGATATAGGAGGTCCTTGGACGGAGATTGCTAGAGGTGGCATGCAGTGGTCAGTGGGCATGAAGAGGGCGTCGTGGTCCCAGGTCGTGGCCGTGTTCGGCCCTAACAACATGCGCGGGACCGATGCTGCGATGTACGTGTTGCTTGTCTCTATTTGTCGCTAAAGCCACAGCCGAAGCTGACCTAACACCAACTCCATAAGGGGAAATTATTCCCAAAATCACTCCAATTCGAGATTGACGTCCGTGCAATGTTTATGATCTGGGGGTCAGTACGATATACTGTATCATTTAAAATGATGTGGATTTTTGCGTGTTACACCTCCTTTTTTTTCCTGATCCCAATAATTTCTAGCGTTTTCCGCATGTTTTCCGTTTGAGATTCTTCGAAATCTCAAAGCAGTGGTGGCCGGAGAATTCGAAATATCTGTGAAGACTTCATTTGTAGAGTTAACAGATGCTACAAAGGTTTGTCTCTATAAAGGAGACCTTGGATGGAACATGATCTATCAAGTTTGGCAGGCCTATTATTGTTTGGGATCAGCTGAATTTCTGCAGGCTTAAATTGACGTATAAGCTCTTGATATCTAATTAGAAGCCTATCATGTAAAACTTGCATGCAAAATTCAGACAAAGCAACCGTGCCCGTGAACGAAAGTATTTCTTACCAGTAAGCTCCTTTTTACGACTTCGGGTAGATCTAGATGTGTCTCTGTGCCTGGTGGAACATTACATAAAATCGGCATGTGCTGGCGCTGCTTTTGCACCAACTGTACTTACTCTTGCTGGGCATGAGCGCTTAATCCGGCCCGCCAAACCGTCCACGTTCCGGCGCGGCAACGTCGTCACGTCTCGGTCACGTCGCCAGGTTACACACTAACAGGGGCGCACGCCTCAAAAGGGTCAGTGCAATGTAGCCTGAGCCTCGTCGACACTTGAAGGACAGACATTCTAACCGACCCAAGGTGGGCTTCTTTTTAATGTTCATCCTATCTTTTCCTGATATTTTGGAGTCATGCAGCGTACATACCCCTCATTTTTTCTGGAAAAAGGTTCATCAGAACTTCAGAAGTAATAGAACTTGGAAGTTCGTGCCAGGGTGAATGTCTGTCAACAACTTGAAGCGCTCCTCCGCAATGTTCGTAGATATCGATCTGAAGCAAGTAAGTGCTTATCTTGTTGGGCACTGGTTCTCCGGAACGTTCTTAGTCGCGGTGCTCACTGCTCGCTACGAACTTGTCAAGCTTCAAGCCTAAGGCCTAATTCAAGTTGGTGTTGCATTTCTAGTTCGAATTGACATATACTATCCTTGGAATGGCAACCGTCCATAGCAACGGCAACCATCCTCGATTCATCAAGGATTATCTCGCCAAGAGGTCATCAAACGGCACGGCTAGCCCTCCTGCGTTCACGTCTAGACTGGTCTATGGCCGCTACATCGAAGTCTCGAAACTACAAAGACTATCAGCATGGTTTATGCCCTTCTGTTCATCTCTTTTTCTTTTTCCATCACCCGGCACGCACTGCGCAGCCTTAGTCACTCTCTTTTCGTTTTTTCTACGTCTGGCGGGCATCCGGCATGCTCCAGTCGACACTGAATCTTCTGCGATCCTTCGGGCGGGCGGGCGAAGCCTGGGTTCAGCGCGAGTTTCAACCCCGCAGACTTTTGTTTAATGTCCTCTTCTACGGCTCACATCTCTTTTTCTTCGCGTATGGTTGGTACTCCCAGGTGCGTTGCAACGTAGCTCATTCTCGATGTTCGCTCACGATTCGTACGAGAACAGGCCACCAGCAAGAAGCTCGTTGGCCTGAACATAATTCTGCACTACTCCGTCTGGGTGTCCCGCGGGGCGGGCCTCGTCCTCGCCTACGATGGTGGCCTTATCCTCGTCCCCATGTTGCGCAACATCCTGCGTGTTATCCGCCCTTCTCTAGGCTGGTTAATGCCCCCCGACGAGAATATCTGGTTCCACAAGCAGGTTGCCTACTCTATGGCATTCTGGGCCATGGTCCATACAACCGGACACTATGTCAACTTTATCAACGTCGAAATCTCCCGTGCGTGTTTCCACCTTACCCAAATTGTGGTAACTGATGTCTTTCAGAGGCTCGCAAGGAGACCGCCCACGATATTCACTTCAAACAGCCAGGCGGTATCACTGGCCACTTCATGCTCCTCATCATGCTCCTAATGTACACCACCGCGCACCACAAGATCAGAAAACAGTGTTTTGAGGCGTTTTGGTATACCCACCACCTCGCTTTCTTCTTCATGCTCGGTCTGTACACGCACGCGACGGGCTGTTTCGTCCGTGACACGGTCGAGCCCGACTTCATCCCTTCATTCCCCTTCTACTCGACCGAACACTGTCTCGGTTACATGAGTTGGCGGTTCACTATCTGGCCCGGCCTTCTCTATTTCGGCGAGCGTATCTGGAGGGAAATTCGCGCGCGCAGGGCCACGCGTTTGTCGAAGGTCCTTGTTCATCCGAGCGGCGCCATGGAGCTACGCATCACTAAGCCCAGCTTTAAGTACACCGCTGGCCAGTGGCTCTTCCTGCAGGTACCTGAGCTATCTAGTTTCCAATGGCACCCTGTATGCTTTCTTTCTCTCTTCTCCTGGTAAATAATTTCACCATACCCAACTAGTTCACAATTACCTCAGCACCTGACGACCCATACGTCTCCGTGCACATCCGTCAGGCGGGCGATTTTACACAACAGCTTGGTGAACGCCTTGGTGTCGGCCCGTCTGTCGTGGCTGCGATGACGAAGGCTGCGATGAAAGGGTCGGAGAAGGACGGCAACAACGCCCTCGGTCCTCGAGGAGAGTTCGTTGAGATCGACCCGTCCGTATCCAACCTCACTCTCCCCAAAGTGCGCATCGACGGCCCGTACGGCGCTCCAGCGGAAGATGTGTTTAAGAATGAAGTCGCCATCCTCGTCGGGGCAGGCATTGGTGAGCACACTCCTTCCTTGTCCGCGTGGTTTGGTGTACGGCATCGGTCTCGTTCAAGACGTTGAACTGGCTCCTTCTAGGTGTAACGCCTTTCGCGTCCATCCTTAAGCACATCTGGTACAGCCAACGGAAATGCAAGCTCGGTTCCCTTCGCCGTGTCGAATTCTTCTGGATCTGCAGGGACGCGCCGTCCTTTGGGTGGTTCCAAAGCCTCCTCTGGGCGATCGAGTCAAGCCAGGCTGATCGTAAGTCCCTTCCTTATCCTATCGTCTCCCGTACGCTAGAGCTGACGCGCCTATTCAGCTAACTTCCTCCGGATCCACGTCTACCTTACCCAAAAGATAACGGAAGACATCATGTGGAATATCGCCGTCAATGACGCGGGGGCTGAGTACGACCCGCTCACGCTCCTGCGCTCGCGCACCACCTTCGGACGTCCGGATTGGAAGACTATCTACACGAAGATGCGGCTTGCGATTGAGGCGGGGCAATATCTTCCTGGCGCTACGTCGCAGTTGAGGACTAAGGTTGGGGTACGTGCCGTTTGTCCAACCTGGGTAATCAAAGAACCGCGAGCTGATTCATGGTCTCTTTTGGATTGGCAGACATACTTTTGTGGACCTGGTCCTCTCGCGAAAGCTATCAAAGACGCTTGCGACGAGAATACATGTGCCAAAATTGAATTTAGCTTTGCTAAGGTGCGTTCTGAGATGAAAACCCGTGCACCGCTAAAACAATTTTGAAACGGACAGGAACACTTCTGAGCTTTTTCTGCGTATCCTCTATTCGCAAATTCTTTTGATTTACTGAGATGGACCTCAGTGTGGTGTAGGCTCTTGCATTGTCAGCTCCCTCGTTCTTCGTAAGTAGTCCGATGTTTTCGTCACCTCCAGGCGTCCTGTACAGCGTAAATACGTATCAAACCTGCGGAAATTATTCGTGGAAAGAACACTGATGATAAGAATAGATGGCAAGACGAAGAGCAAGTCATAAACAGGGTGTAAGGAGGATGACAAGATAAGTACACAAGATCAGCAATAATCTACATTAGATGAACAGTAAATCAGTCCAATCAACCGCCTGCCTTCCCCAGCAATGCATAACCGCCACCTTGAGGTCCATGAAGCTGTCGAAAGGGTGTCAATGACCCGTTTTCGACAAGACAGAAAACCGCGCACCTTATTGTAACATCTGACGCAGAATGGATCTCCATCATGATCGTGCAGCCTACCGGAGCTTAGCGAGGTATTGCACTCGACGCACCGTAGGCAGTTCTTATGAAAGGTCTTTCCTACTGCTTTGACCTGAAAGAAAACAATAAGCACCTGTGGGTGACGTATTGAACGGGAAAACGAACCTGTTCAGCGAAATATACGCTCTTCTTGCACCTTGGACAGACGGGGGTGCCGGCGCCCCACTTCTTCGCCTGCCCTGTCATATGTACGCCCACACCACCTGGAGGTGATCCCACCCCTCCACCTAGGGCGACCCCATACCTTGTCCCCGTTGCAGTCTGTTTTAATGGGGTCATGTTCCCTAACCCGAACGAACCGGAGCCGGCACCTGGGCTGCTCGCCGTGGTGGTCATCGCAGTGAACCGGCTCAGTGGGTCCTCCTCCACCTCGCCATTTCCGATGGTCTCTTCCGAGTCTGCCTGGGTATCAGGAACGGCGCTATCGTCTTTGGTATACGACGCAGTGTACTTTGACGCCGAGGTGACGTAAGAGGCAGGCACAGCCCCGACGCTGCGCGAGGTATGGTGCTTGTAGGGCGCTCGCCCTCCTGAAGAGCCGTTGTCGTTGAGGTACAGAGGTATCGTGCGCGGGATCGTGCCGATGCCTGGGCGCCCAGTGTTGGACATGCCCGAGGGCGTGGTCGCGCGGGCTGGGAGGGGAGGTGGGCTTGGGTGGTCGGAGGTCGCCCTTTCTTGCCCTTCTTCGGCTATGACGTCGTCGCTCATCGGGGTATCTTGCATATCGACCTCTTCCTCCTCCGTTATGGTGTTTGCATTCCGTGGTGGGAGAGGAGGCGTCCCGGCGCTCGAGCTGCGACTCCCAGAGCCTGACGACGGGGTTCCATTCCCGCTACCGTTGGCCCCAGAGCCCGTTGTCTGTGATTGAAGCTGATATGTAGGCGAAAGTGGTCCAGTTGTGCGAGAGAACGTCGGGGAAATGGGGCTTGTAAGGGATCTGTTCGGTCTGAGACGTGGTAACGTATTAGTGTTAGACCTATTCAATGGACTGGAGGTAGATGTGTTGCCGGTGTTAAGGGGGCGCAGGAGGGCTTGTGGTGGGAAAACACCTTTCGAAGGTGGCGGAGATGATGGAGACGAGGATCGCTCCTCCCCTGGGACAGGAACGTGTGGAAGGTTGGCATGTCGTAGGTCGCGGGTGCCAAAGTTCTTGAGATGGCAGGATTTACTGCAGAGAGAAAATAAGACGAGAAAAGTTTGATCAGGAGATGTCCGAACCAGTAGGGCTGTCGTGTAGAACGTCAGATGAGGCCAAACGGAGTCAAGGGTGGACAAACCTGCTCGTCGTGCTCGAGGAGAGTGAAAGAATCGAGTCTCTTGCTGCATATCATGCAAGTCAGGCATGGCTAGTAGTAATACAATTCAACCCAAGTCAGAGTATCGTTGGTGAATAAGCCTGCCTTGTGGTAGAGCTATTCCGTCGTAGGTATGAGATCATGTCTACGAGTTCCGGCTCTGGATCATACCTTTCGCCCTGGCCCTAGTACCTGCGTGCTAGTTAGACCGTATTCAAACGCAACGGCTGTTTTCTCACCTGCTCTGCAAGATAGACAGCCTTTGAACACCTTGGACAGATTGGAGTGCCACTGTAGGGATGCATGATGAGTGCAAAGGAGCGATTTCCTGATTTATCGCTGATGTGCTTTGTCAGCACAGTCGGAGCTTGAAAGGGAGGCTGTGAAATTTATCTTTGCTGTTGCCCAGATCGTCGTCTCTCTTCCTGCCTCTCCATTAAATCCTAGACATCCTCCACCCTTTCCCCATCACCAAAAATGTCCGACGATGAGCAGCACCAACAGACCTTCGAGCAGGTATACAACATCGCTCTTATCTACCCGAGCCTACTGATCGATGCTCCAATCTCTCCTCATCGCAGGCCGGCTCCGGCGCGTCCTTAACCTTCCCTATGCAATGCTCTGCTCTTCGTAAGAACGGACACGTTGTCATCAAGGGTGCGTGGTCGTCTACGCCGTCCAGCTTCGTTTCCTAATACCGATCTCGCACCCAGGCCGCCCTTGCAAGATCGTCGACATGTCTACCTCCAAGACTGGAAAGCACGGTCACGCCAAGGTCCACCTTGTCGCCATCGATGTGCGTCTGTCCCGCTCGATGGTCACGATACCCCTTCTAATCGTAGCACGCGTAGATCTTCACTGGCAAGAAGTTGGTTAGTACAGTCGTCATTTAAGCCAATCTTCTTGTCCCTCACCTCGAACAGGAAGATATCTCCCCCTCTACCCATAACATGGACGTCCCCAACGTCCGTCGTGAGGAATACCAGCTCGTAAGCGCTCGTTCCGTAATTCTTCTCCCCTGTGACTCAATGGGACTCACAGGTCAACATCGACGACGGTTTCCTTAACCTCATGACCACTGACGGCACTGCCAAGGACGATGTCCGCGTGCCCGATGGAGACATTGGCAAGGATATTCAGGCCGGCTTCGACGATGGCAAGGATCTCCTTGTCACCATCATCAGCGCCATGGGTGAGGAGCAGGTGAGTTTTCTCTTCGATCGCGTGCCGTCGATCGCTGCAAAATGAATTTCGAGTAACGTACTGATCATCCTATTCCTCCAGGCCATTTCCTTCAAGGAAGCCCCCAAAGGCTCTTAAATGGTGAGCACACGGCCTCTTTCACGTGACTTCAAGCCACCTCGGTGTTTGCCGACAGCTTGCTTCGACTGTGAACTTGTCACTGACCATCGCCTTGCAGAGTCCTGGACGGTTCACGCTCTCACGCCTGCGCATATTGTAACGGTCTAATCATACATCACCAACTACTTGTTCTTGCGCCACGATCTTCACCCTGTTGTTGTTTTTCCTACACTCTCAGCACCCACCGATCTTCTTTCTTCCTTCTCCCCTTCTTTTTGTCCTCGTGTACGCCGTGTCAACTCCTGGACACCTTCGCTACCGCCTTACAGTCTCACCTACACCGCCGCCGATCTCTTGTTGTATTCCTTTCAGGATGAAATGAAGCAGAATGAAAAAAGAAACATGATCTGTAGTATTGAAATCAGTCGCCCAGAATGAATCTGCTTGGCTGACTGGTCATGTATCATGATCCTGTACGCGATCTATTCGCATGGGAGAGCTGTTGTGCAAGCGCAGCCTTCATGGAATTTAAGTAGAGCTTTCCGATTATTCCGGCGGTTGCCTGGAAGGAAGTAAGATTAGTATTACATAAGTTGATGCGGTGACTCTAAATCACGATGTTAGCGCCGATATGCATCAACAACGGGCGCTTAAACAAACCTGTAATATGATGCCCATGCCGCCGTGGCCGGAAAGTTCTGCTCCGATTCCATGACACCGGCATGACAGCCTCCCACGCGAACGACACATTTTGGCTTGTATAGACGCAGATCGCATACAGGACACGTACGCGAGCAACCGGAGTTGGAAGTAGCCCTTACACATGGTAAGGTCCAAACTGCAGGGTAATTTAACTGCGAGGGTGGCGACCAGCTGGAATTTCTCGACAGGTTCCGAGCGAGAACGGGCGTGTAAAGGCAAAGGCAGATCTAGAGTAGGTGGCTGTTTTTGGAGTTTAAGATTGGACTGTGTCTAAAGAGACACACGTGTCAAGAAGTAGAAGAACTGGGAATCAAGCTTAGCAAAGGCAGTGAAGAAAACGCTCCCCGGGAAGGTGGAAATAGCCCTGGAAGACTTAACAGTGGGATTATAGAAAACATGTACAAAAATCTGGCCATATGATCATAAGGGTGTATGTACGCAATCGGATGGACGCAAGCTATGAAAAATGCTGCTGTCGACACTTCTGGACCCTCTCTCATGTCTCCGTTGAGTCATCAATCTCGCCCATATGGGAATACCAGGGTACATCTAGCGGCATTCCCCTGGAAGAAGAAATCAAGATTCGGGTTAAGTGCTTTGCGAAGTCGTCTCGTCGGATTCGGGTAGAGTACCTTGACTGTCTGGTTGACAAATTTCTCATAGAATAAACAGGTGTTGGAAAAGTCGGTGGATGTTGGATCAACTGTGTAGCTGTTAACTTTGCCGACATTTCTTCCAGGTTGCACAGGGTGTGCCTGTAGGACTATTTCGATTCCTACGGCGCTTTGGGTCCGTTTGCGCGGCAGAAGCCGTCCGGCATACGGCTGGATTGGAAAAATCCGAGTGCATCATCTAGATCTAACTGCCCGTCGTCCTGGCGTCCATCCACGAAAAGGCTGGCAGGGAAGACAGTTTCACCATAGGCGGTGAAATATCTGAAGTCAACAAGGGAGAAACGGGGATTGGTCGCAATCGAGTCTTGGATACGCTTGAAGCGGTGCTCCCCCGCGACTGTAAGATTGTGCTTCTCTCCTCCAAATCGGTTGCTGAAGTCGATAAACTAAACACTGTTAGCCCCTTGGATATATGTCGCGTAGAAAATGCCTTGGCGCTTAATTGGCTGGCACCAGTAATACATCTGCCAAGCTGAGGCTTCTGGAGAGCTTAGATTTTAGTGTTGCACACCGCCTCCGTAAAGGAATATATGTCAAAATGAAGCAAGACCGACGAGAGACCGAGAGATGGACTCATTTCACCTTCGTGGGCTCCTTTTCACTACTGGAGGGAGTTCATATCTTACCCGGAGACGTGCGAAGGTACGCGTTATCTACTTAATCTGGACCAGCGAATGCCGGTGGAACCCAGCAATTTAAAGGCTACTGGGAAATGAAGTATTTTATGCAAAGCCTCTACGTCGCAAAAGCTACAAGACGATGTGGTTCGACTTCTGACTTCCTTCGTTCCGGACTTTCACCTTACTCCATTTTATTACTTAGCCATCTACAACTGCCGTGTCCATCGCAGCGTCGCGGAAGATTTGGTCTTCAATCACCAGGCCTGTACATTACTCGAGCGAAGATATGTCGATGCCGTGATGAGAATTTGCTATATGGGAAGCCATGTAGTTCGACCGTGAGTCTCGCCACACGGGACCGCAACGAAGGTATCTTTCATCGCATGTAAGCCTCATCCAAATATATGCTGTCAGCAACGCAGATGGAAAGACGAGTTATATTCTCCGGGCACTGCCTGAAATACATTTCGGGCCTCTCGATGAAATATATGCGTACTCTTCCTCCGTCGACTCCAGCTTTCACCAGTCATCAGACCCAAATGTTCACCACTCCACTCCCAACGACCCACTCTGCCCTCGCGCCGTCGACGTCAAAGTCCCGCTCGCGTTTCAGCTCAAGCACGCGCGAGGTGTTGGATTGGGAGGGGGGTAGGCGCGAGAGGATGTCGGCGTCAGATAGCGCGAGGTCAACGTCCACCGTGCGTCGGGGAAAAGAGGAGGTAGGAGAGACGGATAAAGTGAACCGCCGGAGCTCGACGTCGAGCGTGGATGATTCGATGAGGGCGTGTGTCTGTGGAGGTAAGAAGAAGGGGTTCAGTTGTGGGCGAAGGGGAGGGACGTAACCGGCAAAGAATGACAGAAGGAGAGCAAATACATGATGCAAAAAAGCAGAAGAAAGAAAGAAGGAAAGAAAGACTCACCAGCCCCGGGACGCGCACCTCGATCCTCAGGCGGCCCGTGTTATCTTTCGTCCAGGACCAGTCCAGCGGCGCAGCGGCGCCACCGTCATCTGACGTCGTCGTCGTTAACTTTGATGCTAGAGATGACGCGGGCTGGTTAGGAACGGAATTTGGTTTTGGTGTAGATGCTTGAGCTGCAGAGGAGGTAGAGGGAGTTTTCGCGGGGGTAGCGTTAGACGTCGGGGCGCCAGCATTCTTCAGAATTCCTCTGAGACCTGGGAGGGAGCCTCCTGACTTGGGTTTTCTGGGTGCAGCAATAGCAGGCGCGCTTGCATTTGCTTGTGGATCTGATACTGAAGGACGTGTATTCGAAGGACCGGAGGCAGGGATCTCTTGGATTAGCGGGGACTTCAAGGTACTATGACTGGCGCCCGTTGAGCTGATCACGCCAGGCCCTGCACCAACACCTGCCCCTGCACGAGAACTTGAGCTTGACGCGGGCACAGAGGGAGATGTCGCCGTTCCGCCCCGTCCGGAGATGTGGAGCAAAGATGCAGGGATCTGCACCGTGCGGGGCAGAAGCTTGCCCTTGCTTGCGATGTTGGGCGTGGCGATATTCCTTGAGAGGCTGAGGCCCGTTTGTGCTTCGATCCGCTGCAGGGCGAGTTCTGCGGGAAGCTTGTTGAGAAAACTAACGACTCGATGGGGACGCGTCATACGCACCGACGAGGAAGATCTTGAACTCGGGGTCGCACAATGTACGTGATTTCACGGAGGTGTGATAGATGCAATCGAACACAATCGATGGGTTCCCGGCTTGACAGAAAAAAAAGGTGGGTGAGGGTAGGATGCAATATTTGAACGGACACAAGACGCACCTTTGTCCTTGTCTTCTCTCCCGTTCGATACGATAACTGGGACATACCATCCCGATGGGTTCGTCTCATCCACATCCTCGCCTTGCATCGCCCGCAGGATCTCCTCCTCACTCCCTTCTGGCGGTGGTGGAACTTTCGGGTCCCATGCGATGTTGACGAAGACTTTGAGGCCCTTCGGGACAGTGATTGGCGCGTTTGGTTCGAGGAGGTTGGGGTTGGGTGTTTTTGGCGCAGGTGGTGCTGGAAGGACGCCCGGAGTGAGTGCGGAGGATTTCACACAGAAGCCAGCCTTTGGCGCGAGCTCGATGCGGACGTGTTGGGAGGAAGCCATCGAGAACGTTCTTGACGATGAGCTTGGCGGTGCTCGAAATGGTATAGTTTCACGTGACCACATATTGACGCGCATTCGCGCCGTCTGTCCAGATTTGAAGCGCGTTTAGAAAGGACTCCAGCGCCGCTCCATACTAACTGTCTGGCGTCTAGTATTATTGGGTAGTTTAACGCCAAGCGAGCAGTGCAAGTTTACGTAGATCGCGAGCCAGAATCCACCGATCCAATGAAAACTATGTATTTCCTTCTAGTGAAGGCGGTGAAGCCGAAGAGTTCAATATTACAAGATGACACGTGTGATGGTAAGGCTATCCGGTACAGCGGTACGGCGGCGCCAACACATAGATGTCGCAAAGAAATACTCCGGCGTCTGGCGTTCGGACAGAGACTCCGAAGGCCCGCTGCACAGACTGAGCTGGGGTGTGCGCCTACAAGCTCCTAGATCAGCTAGAAGACAGATGTGCGTCCCCTCTGGGATGGATGAAACGCCTGCTGAGGGGGATCGGGTTGTGTCTTTGGCTAATTAGCGGGAGACGCGGGGCGAGGAAGGACAGCTTACATCACGTGCGAGGTGATCGATCCGAGTCATGGAAGCGATCTGGGCTGTTGCAGATTTTCAGAATGTCGACTAGCACTCTCCTAATAACCCCCCATGGATCCACCGTCCTTAAAAGCCAGTCAATCAGGGCCCTTCAGATTCCGTACATACCCCCTTCTCTCACCTAATACCCACTAGCCTCACCTTCCCCCAGCTGTTCCAGAAGACATGCACACCGTCTCCCCCATCCCCGATTTCGACGACGACTCCAAGGTCCAGCAGTACATGCAGGACAGGCGTGTCATTGGCGTGCGTCAGGCAGTTCATTGTTCTTCCCGAGCTAACCTAATGACTCGTCCAGTATGACCCCCTCGTCCAGCCTGCACTCCTCCGACATGATATCACCTCCACGACCAACGCAAAGAAGACCATCGCGTCTGCCCGCTACAACTCTGCCCGCATCCTCGCCGGCCAGGACGACCGGCTGCTCGTCGTCGTCGGGCCCTGCTCAATACACTCCCCCGAGCAGGCCATCGAGTACGCCAACCTCCTCAAGGCCAAGATCCCCGAGCTCCCCAACCTTCTCATCGTCATGCGCGCTTACTTGTACGTTTCTGCATTTACATATCCATCATTACTCTAACTGTTTACCTATTTTCTTCTAGTGAGGTACATATCCATCGCCGATACTCCCCCCTTGCTCCATACTCACCCTCTCTTTCTCCGTGCTTTAGAAACCAAGAACCACCGTCGGCTGGAAGGGCCTCATCAACGACCCCGACATAGATGGCTCGTTCAAGATCAACAAGGGCCTGCGTATGGCCCGCCAGCTTCTCTGCGACCTCACAGATCTCGGGGTACCTGTCGGCTCAGAGCTGCTGGATACCATCTCCCCACAATACATTGCCGATTGTGAGTGTCTTACGTTCTTTTGCACCATTCTTCCTGTTCCCCTTCCATTTTCGATGCCTCTGTGGATTTTACAGGTGTCAAGGTCGGGCGTAGTTTATCGGACCCACCTGTTTCTTGACCCTTGATCCCTTTCACGGTGCCATTGTTTTTGCGTCCACATTCCTCAGGACGTGCTTTTATCTGGCGCCTCGTTCCCGCTAATTTGTACCCTGACGCCCACTAACCGATAACTGACGTCATTCTTGTACAGTAATCTCCTGGGGTGCGATTGGTGCGCGTACCACCGAGTCGCAACTTCATCGTGAGCTCGCCTCCGGTGTCTCCTTCCCCATCGGCTTCAAGAATGGCACCGACGGAAGGTCTGTCCCCTTCCACCCACGTTTCCAATATCATTCTAACTCTTCCCTTCTTCCCTCTTCCTTCTTCCTTTTCCCTTCTATTTCGGCTTCTATAACCAGCGTGACCGTCGCCATCGACGCCATGCACTCCGCATCGAACCCGCACGCGTTCATGGGTGTCACCGAGCAGGGCCTCGCCGCCATCGTCAAGACGCGCGGCAACAAGGACGTGCACGTCATTCTCCGTGGCGGGACCAAGGGCCCGAACTTCGCCTCCGAACACGTGCGCAAGGCAGCCGAGGACATCGCGAAGAAGAGCAAGGGCATGACGAACTCGGACGGCGGGGCTCCCTTTGCGAGCATCATGGTAGATTGCAGCCGTGAGTTCCTCCTACCCATATCTCTGTGTCCCCCGCTGGTGCGCTAACGAATGTGTTGAATATAGACGGTAACTCGCAGAAGAACCACAACAACCAACCCCTCGTCATCGCTGACATCTGCACCCAGCTGAGCGCGGGCGAGCGGCACATCACCGGCGTCATGATCGAGTCGCATATTAACGAGGGCCGCCAGGACGTGCCCCCCGCCGGCCCCTCCGCATTGAAACACGGCGTCAGCATCACCGACGCGTGTGTCGACTGGGAACGGACGGCCAAGATGCTCGAGCAGCTGGACGCGGCGGTGAAGAAGCGCCGGGAGTACTTGATTGAGAAGGGCATGGAGAGGCCGGCGGCGTTCAAGAGGGCCCAGGCTGAGCTGTAGGAAGATGGGCACGGAGGGTATAGGTGGGGGATGGGGTGAAAAACGTCCCTGCGCAGTGGACGATCCAAAAGTATTGTTCTGTCGCATTACTCTTTTTCTCTCTTTGTTATCTATTTCGATGCTAGATGTTTGCTACATCCTGTTTTATTTTTATTTTCTGCTCTCTCATGTACTTTGCATCTACAACATACCATAGCATATTGGATTTTTATTTCTTTCCTTCCTTCCATTGCACCGAGAGACCTGCCAGAGACTAAGCTTTCTTGCCACAACCATCTTATCTTATCGTTTGGGCGTCCCCGGTCTGCCACTGCTGGAGCCATATTGCGATCTTTACTCTTTCTTCGACCAGCACGACATGAAAGCAGTGTACAAAGAGCTCCATATAGCGAAACAACGTGCTTCTAGATGTCACATTCTCTCTCCTTCACGCCCATCTCGACGGCTCTGCCCCTTGAGATCATCGAGCACATCCTCGAGTACATCGGGGAAGACAGCGACGAAAATACACTGCGCGCATGTTCGCTTGCCTCTCACCGCCTCCTACACGGCTCCAGGAAAGTCAACCTCCTGTCTACAAGGTGCTCTACTCTATGTCCGCCGTGTGCACATCGCGTCTTGTTGCCAACGGTGGCTCGATGATTCGCCACTCCTCGAAGATTCACCACTCCCCGCGACTTTACTCAACATCGTAGTTTCCAAGGGGCGGCTCACGACGTTCGAGCTGCAGCGCAGCGGCCAGGTGACGATCCACTGGGCCAAGCTCCATTCGCTCCTGCGACAGGCTGTCTGTATCGTCCTTCGCCAGAAAACGGTGATAGACCTCCGCCTGGGGGGCATACGCAATATACCTCTGGGACCTGTAGTCTTGCTCTGCCAGGGCATCAGGAGGCTCACCCTCGATTATACGACCTTCGTGCTCCCAGAGACGACGATCATGGCCAACGTGGCGTACGAATGATCGCGCGGACCTGCTAACTACAAACTCGGATCTAAATCTATCGTCGAAGGAGTATCCCTCTCGAGGTGCGCGATTACGATCTCGCGGATATTGCACAACAGGCTGCCGGCTCTCTGGGTCCCGTTTACGCTCGTCAGCGCTCGTTTAATGAGGATTGAGCTCTTCGACACGGACTACGAAAAGAATGGCGTTGTTCCTGAAGATTATACGTTGTCCTTACGGGATATCATTAGCGGCGCCGCAAACACGCTTGAGAGGTTGGAACTGATCCAAACCAGAGTCCTTCTTGCATTGCTCTCCAACACTCCACTTCCAGGTGAGTACTGCCTCGGTTGCTTCATCTATTCACTGGGCCGGTTTTCTCATTTCCCTTTAATCGCAGGGTCGGGCAATAGTGTCGAATATACAGCTGTCCTCACAAGCCTCCTCCGCCTGGCAAATTTTGTCTTCACCATTCGTTTTCCAACGGAAGACAATATGTAGTGCTGATCGTGATTATACGTCACTCTCTGACTACGGATCGGTCAATATGGAGAATATGACAACGATGACTATTATCTTTTCAATGATGCTGATGACCATTCTGAGATTCATGTTCTTGTATGAAATCAGCGGCGAGGACGACGAGGACGAGGGAGAGCGTGGTAATGGCGATGGTGTCGAAAACGAGGACAACGAGGAAGAGGTAGGTGATGGCGAAGACGTAGGAACGATGACAGCCAAGATGATAGTTACGAAGGCATCGATTACAGGGATAATTTTACAACACTAGGGATCGAGGAGCCCGATCTACGGATCTATGAATTAATGCGATACAATATTCACGAGATAGAATATCTACTTGCGCTCTTGAAGGGGCGCTTCAAGCGCACTCGACAGTGCTGACGGATTTTGCATCTCCGTTGCAGACTCAGTCAGGCCCTAGGGTCTGGCACATCGCCTATATGTGATAATTTATGATCAGTGTGAGTATCCCTGTGACAGGAAACCGCAAATTTGAATTGAGCTAGAGTGTAAAAGGTCCAAGGGCAATCCGCAACTAGTTCGAATTGCCTTTTATAGCATTCTAATTCCTTTTTATATCATCTCGAACTGAAGAAGCACACGAGGCTTCTCGACGGTAATCCAGGCCCGGTGATGGAATCAGTAGCAGTCGCGTTGTTGTGCGCCTGTTGTGCACTGCTGGAGAAAACGACATTGGCCACCACGAACAGCGCCCACAGGCTACACGATGACCACCACCACCACCACAATCCACCAGGCGCTATGTCGAACATGGTGGTGGGACACCATGGAAGAACATCAAAGAACCTTTCACGAGGGTGGTACAGGAGAGGTATAGTCTTTATACTTCTATGCATCGTGTGGTTGTGAATTGGACAAACCTGACGAGGAACTTTGCAGATCGTCTCCAAGGCAGATTTTCGTATCTGGCTCGGCGTGCATTGAGTGGAACTATGCCGATCTATAGGCTCAGAGATATGAGACGATTCCAAAAGGCTGTGTTGAAGAATTGAAACCTCAAGGGATTTTCCCTTCCCTGTCGCCCAGGCCGAGATTCCTGTCGAGTTCAGGATTATTAAGAGGGATATTCCACGCTTTCAGAATATTACGAGGCAGTTCATCGGTATGATCAACGAGGACGTTCTTCTCAAAAGCGCCTTCAGAACACGGAGCGTCATCCTGATACTCAGGGTGGGAGAATTCGTAACTCAGTGGGACGAAGAACGACGCACCGATGCACCGAAGTCGCATAAGAGCAGATATCGTTTGAGCCTAACTTTCTCGGAGCCTCCGTACCCTGGGATGGACGAATGGAAGTATGAGGTCACGATGGCGCCGAAGCAGGTCCGACAATGGGAGATGATTTGTGCCCTTGACATTGAACCGAGTAACTGTCAGCATGTATCATTGCATAGGGTAACTTCAAGTACCTTTGAGACACGGCAGCAGTGATCTCTCGTTTGTCCTCCCTGCAATATACGTTTGTGCATCGGTTCAAAGATGAGATAGATATAGGTATTTACCCTTGATAAAATTGGGGATTCAAGGTAGCGTAAAATCTCCAAGTCCCGAAGTGCCCATGCCCCCCGTGGGATAGAAATAGCTGGACGGGGGCAGCATCGAATACATTCCTCAAGTTCGTAAGATCGAGGTTTGAGGAGCCGGGACTTTCACCGTCGTAGGATGGCTAGATTTGGCGAATTTAATGATGCATATGTGGATACGGTGAAAAGGACAGTAGTGAGATCGTATTGTGGGTAGTCGAGTGGACTTGAGGAGAGGTTGCAGCGTGAGAGCTAGCTTGCAAGTAAGATTTATTAGAAAAAGTCACCAAAACGCTGAAGGGCACCCTACGAGGTTAGCTACACGTCCACCTTCGACACCCCGCTCTCTGGATGAACAGATTCTGCTTGAAGCTTAGTCGCTGCGAGGTCCTAAGGTACGGGAGGGAAACAGGTCAGAGGCTACGTTCAAGTGAATATGCCTGCGTAGCGCTTAGTGCTTAGATGCAACCCAGAGGTCGTTATGCGGGAGGCGCTCGGAGGCAAAGAACGAATTCAAACTCCGCGACGCGCTTCTGCCATCTCAGCCCACCACCGCCAGACTTCCAAGATAACAGCAGCCTCTGCAATCTGACGCACTCGTAAACACTTCGCGAATACAGGTCCGTGAGTTCAACTGCATGCGGTCTGTGGAGGCGAAGCTGAATTACTGAACACGGAAGCTGGGCCTCTGCAGGCAATCAGGCACCCCATGCTGGTTTTAATTGAATAATTCTCTGGCCTACAACCCTAGAACGAGGGGGTCAATGGGAAAATAAGACCGCATCGGGATTCGAAGAAGCGCGTTTGTTTAATGGTGTGCGTGAGAAGTGAGTGCCGGGCGGCGCGGGCTTAGCCTTCCCAGTTGGAGTCCTTCAGGACAAGACTTTTCGCGGCATGCACACCTTCCTTCGTTCACCCGCATGTCTCGTCCATCTCGCAGGCAGGTGTACCAACCAGCTCCCCAGTACGCTGCTGTCCCCCAAAGTCCGCCTCGTGGTAATTCGTACGCATACCGGCAACAGCAACCGCAACCTTACGTAGGCGGCCCGCGCCCCGTTCGATCGTCTTCAGCGAACAGCAATAATCGAAATAGTCGGCAGCAAGTGCAGCATTCGCGCAATGCTGTTGTGTCAGGAGTCGCGACAGGGAATATTGGAGCAGGATATGGACCGTATTCCGTATGTCCTTTTCGATCCACCCAGGAACCATTGCGTTAACCCGTCCGAATTATTATATTAAACAAGTATCGCCCTGAGGAAGCACACCGAACTGGCGTCTACAACGGGTCACGATTTCGAGCGAATCCTTCAGTAACGGACCACCCAACACGAGGAAAGGCGCCGACTCCCGCGCCGCCAACGACAACAACCGTCCCGCAATATATGTGGGATAAAGACCAAGACCCCGATGACGCTCTCCACAATCCTGATCCCCGTGGTGACTACTACAGTTTTTCGCTAATATCTGCAAGAGGATGGATCAACGTCGGAGCGGTCCTTGTGTTGATCACAGGACTTCTCGCTCTTTTTCTGGGATACCCACTCCTTTGGCATTATACTCATCTTCCCTCGCCCATCGTTGGGTTTAACGCTGGTGGGATTAATGGAACTGGACAGATACCCATCTTTGAGAACTTTCCTCTATTGGTTGACAACGATACACCAGATTCTGCTCTGACGCGAATAGGCTGGGATGGAAAGCCTTATGATCTGGTCTTCAGCGACGAGTTCAACACAGACGGGCGAACATTCTACCCAGGAGATGATCCTTATTGGGAAGCACTAGATTTCCACTATTGGTGTGTGCGACTCGCACCTCTTTCCTTTAGTTGCTGACATTAAGTAGGCCTACTGGTGATATAGAATGGTATGATCCATCAGTAGGTCTTGGCCTCATATCTTGACACGATCGAGGGATCGACAAATCCTCTTCGCAGGCCATAACCACACAAGGAGGGAAGCTGGTCATAACCATGTCCGAGAAAAGCTCTCATGGCTTGAACTTCGAGAGTGGTATGGGTGGTTTCCCAGAGGCTATCGCCATCTCTGACGCTGCTCTTCTGCAAGGAATGCTTGCTTCCTGGAATAAGATGTGTTTTACTACAGGGTATATTGAGGTCTCCATCAGCATGCCTGGTAGCCCATCGGCTCCTGGACTATGGCCCGGTGAGCTTGGTGACTTTCTCGAACCTTGGGACAAAACTGACTTCGGATAGGTGCATGGACGTTGGGAAATCTGGTACACATGAACGAGCCTACTTTTAATCTCCTTGGCTGCTAACCGACGTATTAGGGACGAGCAGGTTACGGAGCAACGACTCAAGGGACGTGGCCGTACAGCTACGACGCTTGCGATCTCGGAACGTTTCCCAACCAGACGACGACGGACGACCAACCCGCTGCAGCACTCACGGGTGGAGAAGGCGGCTCTCCGTTAAGCTTTCTACCCGGCCAAAAGCTGTCTGCCTGTACTTGTCCTGGGAGCGATCACCCTGGACCAGCAGTAAATGTGGGCAGAGGCGTACCCGAAATCGACATCATCGAGACGACGATCGACACGGACAGGATGCAAGGCGAGGTCTCTCAAAGTTTCCAAGTAGCTCCTTTCGATATAGGCTACAACTGGATCGATACGCCGCCAGCGTCGACGGTTTACAATCCGAACATCACTCGTGTAAACTCGTACAAAGGTAATCAGCTCCAAGAAACTGCGTCCCATCTCACCTACATCGACAATCGCTTCTATGCTGGCAACGAGTATGCTACTTATGGCTTCGAATATTGGTCGGACCGAAACAATCGGGAGGATGGCTATATAACATGGTTCTATGACGGACAACCAACTTGGACTGCTACTGCTGCCTCAGTTGGGTCGAATACGGAAGCCCGGATCAGTCGACGACTTATTTCTGAGGAACCGATGGTACGTCCTACCTTGGCTCACCCTTTTCTACCCCTCATACTTAGTTGGGCAGTATGTTATCCTCAATCTCGGGATGTCGCCTTCGTTTCAGCAGCCGGATTTCCAACATTTAAGGTTCCCCGTCTCAATGTACATTGACTACGTCCGGATATACCAGCGGCGAGGAATCGAGGATGGCCTTACTTGCAACCCACCTAGCATGCCAACATCGGATTACATTGCAAGGTATTCCACCCCTTCCTACCCTATTCCAATTTCTCAAAACAAAATCATAGCCATCTTGACGCGTATATGAATCCTGATCTAACGGAATGGAAACATGCGAATTATACCTTTCCACGGAATTCCCTTTACGATGGCTGTTGACCACCCTCACCCGCTTTCCAATGATGACCTTCATGTCTACATATTACTTGCATGACATATCACGATCAAAGTGTCATGTTAATCTTCACTAGCAGCTAACTCATGCGAACTTTGTAGCTACATCATCCTGCAGTAACATCATTGTTGGCGCAGTGGAAGAGAGAACTTGATATTTGGGCCTCCTGCAGAGGTCCTTACATACTGTACGTACCATGTATCTAGTAGCTTCTACAAATATCTACTAAATACTATACCTATACAAAGCTGTGCTACGATGACTAAGCTGCATTCCAGTATGTACGGGCGTCTACTCGAAGATCCGGGACAATGCCGGATTGCCCGATTCCAACAATCATAAACCCCTCCGAAACCCTTGCCTACCCTCAATCATGAAGTCCCAACATTACCGAGACTTTTAAAATATCAAATTGTGAGTAAGGTTGAGATTGAGTCGAGGGGTTACAAATGCATTGTTGTAGAACTACTGTACCTCCCGTGTGCCCTGATTCCAAGCCTCGGCCGCAAATACTGTAGGAGTTATCATGGCTCACCACGGGCCTGTCCTCGGTGGCAGCCTGTTGAGATGTGGGTTCATCAACATAACTTCAAACGACGGCAGAACTAGCGGTGTTGGAAAAATGCTTCAAATTTGTCGCCTACAAAGGCTAGCATTTGAGCCATGACCATCAGAATTCATCAACCATTATGTCAAAGGTGGTGGTGGGACACCGTCATGGAAGAGCACGGAGCAAACTTCTATGAAGACGGAACGGGGAAAGTGTGCCAAATTTTTCTCGTCTGTCATCCTCGTTCCTAAGGGAAGCCATGATACCTATTGGATAGATGGTCTCGATGGCCGACTTCAACATCTTCATTACCCTGTGCACGGAGTGGAACCATGCTCATCCTGGTCAAGCTGAACAAGTGGTCTATCAGTCTCCGTACGACCAAACCATCCCCCAGCTCAAGAAGCTCACCACAGGTTACATCGATATCAATGGCAGGATCCTCTTCGATGGCTCATCTGAGAAGCGCATCTTGATCTTGACCCTGAAGGCGACTTCCTTACACAGTGGAACGAGGAGTTCGAACCCAAGTACCCGAACCCGGCACCTAGGTTTCGGCTGAGTCTGACGTTCTCGACATCGCCATATCCGGGACCGGAGCATTGAAAGGATGAGAGAGGGCCATGGGTTCGCCAGTGGAACATGAACAGGTTCTGCTCCGTTCGAATAGGGAACTCGTCATCGGGTGTATTACGGTGTAGCCCAGCCGATAGAGTACACGTCAGAATTTAGTCCTTTCCTTCAGCTTCGCGATGCCCTCGTCTTTTAATTTCGCGTTGAGGGAATTCCATATTTGTTTCGCGTATTTTTCGCCCTCCTACAGCGTTTGGGAGTTAATTAATCAAAAGACGCGAAAGATATAGGTATTCACCTTGATAAAGTCGGTCGTTTGAGGTAGCGTAAATTCTCCACTCCCCAAAGTGCGCATGCCTTGCAGGCTGGTCGATCCCTCAGATTCGAATGCGAACATCAGTAGCAGCCGGGCCTGTGTTGCAGCTTCTTCTTGCGAGGTGGCATCAAGGAAGTGGACCGGCGGTACCTGGGGCGTGTCCTCGTCAGAGGAAAGAAAGACGGAAGTTCAGGCAAGACGTACAATATTCAAGGTGACGCAAATAGGCCATCGCGACTGGCCATCGAGGGGTTCGCCTTCGTCCCAGTAGTCAGGTAGTTCGAAGTCTGTCGCCTGCTGCTGGATCGACCGTGTATCGAACCCACTACCTCCCTCTTCGTCCAGATCCATATCGCCTTTCCACGATTCTCCAGAAGCAGCTAGGGAACCAACCACACTCGATGTGCCCTTACGCGCTTTGTATTCGACGTTTCGCGTTCGTGGTACTTTCGTGTCGCACAGGGCTGCGCGGGCAGCCATAAATAAGGCGTCGAATACGTTCCCCGCATCCGCAAGAACAACAAGATCAAGGTTGAGGAGCCAGGCCTTTTTCCCTCGTAGGATGGCTAGATTTGACGGATGTAGTGATGCATGTGTGAGGGTGGTCGAAATGACAGTAGTAAGGTCATATTGCAGGTCGTCGAGCGCGTTTGAGGAAAGATGGGAATAGGCAGCAGGGGAGCTGACTTGCAGGTAAGTTTTATCAGGAGAAAAAATCCTAGAAAAGAGGGTCTAGACCTTACCAGGTAACGGTACAAGCTACGCGACCACCTTCGACACCCTCGCTCCCTGGACGAATAGATTCTACTTCAAGCTTCGTTGCCGCAAGGATCTCTGTGCCTCCTGAACCGCCGTGGGGCTTGCGTCCAATGCTAAGGCGAGCACTTCCGTTCGCGAGAGGTGCAACGCCAGTTTCGAGCGAAATGGTACGAAAATCCGTCAGAGATCGGGTATCTGCGCGTGAAGGTGGATTTCCGAGCACGCCTGCCTGTATGTAGGATCGTTCGGCTTTGGATATCGAAATGGAGGTCATGGTAAGCGGGAGAAACCAATTCTAACTCCGCGACGCGCTCAGCTGCAAACAGTTTTCTCGCTAGCGTAAAGGAGCTTTTTATTCTACATCCGATCCAGATAGCGACGAGGTCTTCTGCCCACTCCCCAAAAGTGCTGAGAACCACATAATGTTGTCAGCTAATTGTCACGATATTGTACTATATTGTGAGCAGGTATTGCAGCCTCAGGGCGTTCAGCCGCGACGATATCTTATATAATGCAACGACCAAGTTCAAATGTCGAAACGTTAAAGACCCACTCTGAAAGCGTGACAGCGACGATGACGGTAATACAAAAAAAGGGAAAAGCAACTAGATAAACTAGGGTTTCCTGGGAGCTCACTTCAAACCCTTACTCCTTGAAGACATTGGCAAGGATATCACACCACTCCCACTGGCCTGCATGCTGCCCATCCTCGCCCTCCCCCTCGGCACAAGGGGTGCCTTGAAATCCTTTGTGTCGTAGTCCCAGGTCGCGAAAAGGCGAGCATCCGGGAGAACGGGCTTTTCAGGAGAGTCCTTTCCGTTCGCACCAGGGGCGTCCTTGGGTTTGGACGTAGCAGGTGTGGTTGGGACGGCATCGCCGCCAACAGATATCGCGTTAGCGTTCCATGGAGCCGGGGTACCGCTACCGTAGATGAGAGGCTTCGTTCCTCTGTAGAGGATTGGCGGATGTGATAAACGGCTCGTCCGAGCCAATATGGCAGGCTATGTGAGAGTACAAGTGAGAATGACGAAGTAGAAATGAAGAGGTAACCCTTACTGCAAGGACGTGACGGGCAAGGTCAGGCATTCGAGAAGTTTGTTGACTCACGAATGGAGCCAGGCGTTCTGGCCCAGATACAGGTCGTGGTATCGTCTGGGGCAGCTTTGGCTCTTTGTCTTTGCCATCTTTGCCCTTTTCACCCGGAACCTCCCCATTCGCGACAGGATACGAAGGCCCTATCGTGGCTACTCGTGGAGGACACGGCGCAACTGTCGCGAACAGAGAATCTGCTGTGGTCCAGCGTGGGTTTGTCTGTGAATCATGCATAAGAGCCATCGCAACTTTATGTCGTGACGGATTTAATGGGGGAAGCTCGCGCGGCGGGGGATGGGTGAGGATATAGTGGTAGGCTTGAAGTAAGGATTGTTCAACCTGCGGTGTCTGTAGGCGATGAGGGCGCGGAGGTATAGATGCAGGATTTGGTTGAGCAGGAAGGTGCCATTCTGGCACCGAGGATAGCGAGGATTGGGAATATGGTACTTGTACGAGGATGTCGGAGGCGGCCGCTGTCGTCAGCGACTGGGACAGGGTTGCAGCTGTTTTTTCTGCTGCAGCCTCGGCTATGTGGCCAGGAGGCATCATAGGTTGAGACTGAAGTGTGGGGTCGTGGTCTATGGGAGAGGGTGGCGTGTCGTCAGATACTGAAGGGAACGGTGGTAGGAAGTTGGGTATATGCTCGGGTGGCTCCCAGCCAGATCTTCTGGGTCGTTTCCGTCCGGGAGAGGACGGATTAGAAATAGGAGATAATGGTAGTGGAGGTGTTATGGGCCGTGATGGAGGTCGTTTTCGAGGAAGAGCGGATATTGCATCTAGGGAGTCGTCGATGTCCATGCCGTTCGTAAGTTGGAGATCTTCTGGATGCGATCCATCGTCTGTTTCCCCTTCTCCATCTTCTCCCGAGTCTTCTTCATCCTCAGAACCGAGCTCTTCGAGGAGGGGTGTAGGACATCGCATATACTCTAACGGTGTAGCATCATCGCGGTCTTGCCGCAATCCATCCGCGAGTTGGGCTGCAACAGATGAGAGAGAGAGAATACGCGTCGGAGTATGACATACACTTGAATTCTTGCAAATCTTCTACCCTCCTAGCAGAATAGAGAGCATAGCGATTCAATTCCTTGCCCTCGGTTGCACAATAATCGTCGAGCTCCTCCAAAGTGACTCCGAGCTCTTCCAGGGAGGCCAATGCATCTCGAACCGTCAGAGAGGACCTCCCAGCATGTTGGGCATACTTCGCACACGTTGCAGTGAGCAAGGAAAGGTAGCGTGAGAGGAGGTCGGTGAGCACGAGTGAAGCCTGGCTGGATGAACGGGAGAAGGCATGGGCGTGAAGCGTGCGCTGGGTGGCTGATTCAAGCAGTTTGTGAGCTCCGCTCTCCATGAGATGTTTCCACCGATGTTGATGGCGTACTAAGGGTTGAGGTCGTCGTCGGCGTCGGCGACGGGCACCTCGTTGAGGTGATGGTGGTTGAGTCTTAGAACGTTCCCACGCTGGCAGGTAAACAACACCAAAAGCATCACCACAATGATAGGAGTCGTTACCCTCCGACCACCATGTGTGGCCGCTTTGCATTACGCGTAGATGTACGTATGCCCACCACATTCCCTCTTCATCAGCTCAAGCTTCCTCAGAGACACCTAATACAGGAACTGGAGGGCTATGACGCTGAAGTTGACGAGTGGATCGACGAAGAAGAGTTTATTCCACGATACAACATCGCACCACGTACTCAAGCTCCAGTCATCAGGCATAGAGATCCTGGTCTTTCACAATCAACGAATAATGATAGCCATGTGGTCATACAGACTATGAAGTGGGGTCTAGTTCCACATTGGAGCAAGTTCGAGGACAAGACATTGAACACGACGAACGCGCGTTCAGAGAATCTTGTGGAAGGCGGTGGCATGTGGGCTAGTATTAAAGGGAAGAAAAGATGCGCAATACCATGTCAAGGGTGCGAAATGTTAATCTTGTATAGGCTCGTCGAGCTTACGAGAACACTACTAGATATTACGAATGGCTCACAAAAGGGAAGGACAAATTTCCTCACTTCACTAAGCGTAAAGATGGACGGTTACTTCTCATGGCCGGCCTCTACGACTCCGTCGTTCTAGAAGGTATTACGCCTTTTGCTATAATAGCAGTTTGCCTTGAAACATTCGGGCTCTGCATGCTCCAGGAAAAACCCTTTGGACGTTCACAGTCGTCACAACCGATGCGAATAAGGAGTTCTCCTGGTTGCACGATCGGCAGCCGGTCTTTCTGACGAATCATGATGCACTTTTTCGATGGCTAGACACTTCTTCTCAAGCATGGACGCCTGAGCTTTCGAAGATGGTTCAGCCGTATCACGACGCGTCCACACCGCTCGAATGGTACGCATCGCACCATGACCCATTACGCCACTCCAACTTGCTAACGCCATAGCTCAGTTATCAAGTCCCTAAGGAAGTTGGCAAAGTTGGCGGGGAGTCTTCAACCTTCATCGAACCCATCACCGGTCGCAAGGACGGGATTCAAGCGATGTTTTCTAAGCAAAGACAGACAATGCAAAGCTCTTCTCCGACAAAAACGCCTTCCGCAAAGAGAAGGCTCGAGTCAAGCCCTTCGTCAGAAAGAACAGATGGCCAACCGTCTCCTAAGAAGCAGCACAAAATGGACCATGGCAACGATTCAACGCAGCCTGAAAGTGTACGGGATGTCACCTGAAGTCCTCTCCTCCTTGTTTTGTTTGTCTGACCATGAGTTTGTTTCAGGCGAAGGCCGTGGTCATTGATGTCGATGTGCCTAGTTCATCGCAGGCTGACGGAAAGGCCAAAGTGAAGGGCTCACCGAAGAAGCGGAAGATGGTTAATGTGAGTAGCCAGCTTTCACTGCCCCTCCCAGTAGCTCCCAGTCCATTCACATTTTTGTTGGTCTCAGGCCCCTGCGGGAAATAAGAAGATTAGCTCGTTCTTCAGCAAATCCTAGTTCGACGTTCATTCTCTTTTGTTGCGTGGACTTTCTTTGTATGCTCGCGTTTTGAAGAAGGGTAATATATGTTCAGCAGGGTGATGTTTGTTGTATCCTGCTTCGGTGTGGTACAAATCCTGACGGCACCTGCCACCAAATCCGCACACTGTCGCCCTAAGATGAGAGGTGTCAGGAATTCATGTAGCAGACCTTGGGCCTATCGCATCGATGGCCTGGGGAATTGGCTTCGACAATTGCCATTTGACAATCCAAATAATGAACAGAGAACATCGTTATTCTACAATTACTGGCGACAATGAAATGAAAGTATCAAGCACTACCTCCACGCCCGACCGAACGAAGTAAGGAAGTGAGTGATTCCAGGTAGCGTTCAGCAGTGGTCCCGATACTCTGACGCTATCCCAGCATCTCGAAGTGCAGATGGCCAGCCTCTGCGTGGTTCTGCCAGCCTGGGTGCTGAGCACACACGCAAACTGCCAAGGCATTTCCGGGCTACGACGAGGTCAGCGACATTGGCGTGTTAACTGTGACATTCTTCACCCACCTCCGTCCAACCAAATATTTCATGGCTCTTCTTGAATTTCGGACCTGACAACTTCGAGTTGCAAGGGTGGGCCCTTCTGTTGTAGTGACTAACCCATCTGAGGGGGCCGCGACCCCGCGTCGTTTTTGGTTGATAGTCGGTCGGATCGTCGAGGATGACAATCTCGAACCAAGTCCAGCTAGCGTCCTCATCCGAGGCCGCCCAACCTTGGTCGCGAGAAATGGTGAATAACTGCAGGGAAGTGACGCTCCGAAGCCAGTCGGCATCGAGGGCCTTGCGAAGTCATTAACACTCTTATTGACCGGCATTTATAGGACTCGACATACCTGCGTCTTGAACCAGACTTTGGAAGTGATGTCGCTGCTATCAGCAGTAATGTAACATGAATCGCCAGATGAGATTTGGAATCTGGTTCGTGTGATGGTTGGGCAAGTGTGACGACTTGATGGCGTTGAGGGGCTGCACGTCCTTGAGGCACTATCTGTGGGACTTGTGCTAGCAGGGTCAACCGTTGAAGGGTCGGCAAGTGGCACGGTGCTAAGCAGTGGGTGGCCTAGAAATACCACAAGATTCCTTGCTCCGTCCAATGCCCTGAAAACCCATGAGCAAATATTTAGCTCGATCGAGTCACAATGGGTAACCTTACAAGAACTTCCGTAGCTCTTCTAGGATATTCATGTCGGACGCCGAGTCGCCGTAGTAATTGATAGTTACGTTCATTCCAGCTTGACCTAACTTCGGATTCGTCCAGATCTCTGGATAATCGAGTAAGCCGCTTACCTGCAGCACCCGGAATGTCGATCGACGTATGGTTAACGGTCGGCGCTTCAGTGGGTCTTGCCGTCTGAGCCTTAGGCGCTTGCGGGCTCTCCCCAGTGTTTGCTTCTAATTGGGACCTGACTTCTTTCTCTCCTTCTTGAAGAAGTCCTGAAGCCGGAGGTTGTGCGAGTTTACCGCTCTTTATCCTTTCTTGATTCTCTGGGGTGTTCTCCAAAATGTACAAAGACTGGTTTACATCCCCGTCGATCGAGAGAGGAGAAAGACTGGCATTGCAGCCAAGGGTGAGAGTTAATCCTGACTCTGGAGACATAATTCTGGGGTAGAGATAATGTAAGATGATCGAGATTCAGCTAGGTAAAAGAAATTCTCACTTGAAGGCGCTGCCTTCCGGGGTGACGCGCCAGAGTTGCGCGGTTTGCGACAGATGCAGGCCACCGTCCTGGCCCTTTGAGCTTAAATATTCCGCATTGTCGGCTGATACAATGGCAAATTTCCCGTTTTGCCTGTCTTCAAGTATCCACTATGGAAGTATTGGTCAATTTGTTGCACCGAATCAATGAATGAATTTCACCATTTGGTTCAGAGAACCATCGAACGGCCGAGAAGTAACTGTAGAACTACCATTATTCCGACATTCCTCTTCTATAAGGGGGAGAATAGACCTGTTCCTTGGTTTTCATCGAAGTTGAGGGAATCCTTGCTTGCGTTCACGATATACTGTGGGCCATCTCCCCAGGTATCAATCATCCCATCCATACTTAATATTCATTAATCAGAACAAGAACTCACAGAAGTTATAGATGGTATGAGTAACATCTCCGCCTCGTCCTCCGCTGCCACCATCGCCAGCTGACGGAATGGAAATGTCAAAGGTGAGCTCTGAGTGAAAGTAAAAAGGAGAACCACACCGGAGATCCTATTGTTTAGGGTGTTATGGTTATTCATCTGGTGCCCAGCTACATCGTTGTACTGGCCAATGTTGGCCGCTGCTCTGTCGCCTGGTTGTTCGAAAGGCATCGTAGGAGTCCTGAAATTTGTGGATCGCGGGAGGCACATGGATAAACCCCATTATAAGCACAGACGTTCGATAGAGACGGAGCGTCTAAGGGGAGCAGCACTTCTGGTGAACAACTATCTCTTCCCAGGCGTGAAGAGAGACGACCATTCATAACCGAGGGCCGCAGTAGTGGTATCAGAGGGGAATATGGCAATCTTGTGCTATCTGTCGATGCAACCGTCGGAGCCCTTCTGCGATGGGAATGATAAGGCAGAGGCTGATCTCCTTGAGGCTTGAGCTCATATTTATAGTAGGACTCGCTGGCATATTGATCAAGGGTTGCGGTACAAGCTTGAGGAATGGGGGGGGGTCTCGTATCTGGGGTCTATTACTCTTTTAGCGCGCGTCTACGAGGAAAGCGTCAAGGATACGTGCAATCGATAGTCGGAAATGTGATATCGATTTAATAGATACGGGAGAAGATGGATGAGCTTTAAATATCTTATCAGATGACGAGGTATCTCTACAGCATCTGTGGCGTCCATTTGTGGCTCCCTCCGCTCGGTAGCACTCGTGGCCGTGCTTCATACAATCGTGCTCGATTTGCTTTCATGCCTATCGCAGAAATCTGCAGCAGGTTCTCGTATAAGAGCAGTCATTCGCTTTTCGAGTGGCACTCACAGGTCGATTACACCCCACCGACAGCACTCACTCAAACAACCACAATGCCCTTCAACCAATCAGGCTCGCACGCTCAGGCCAACATCCAGACCTACAATGACGTTGCTGGCAACCAGACCAACACCACCAAGAGCACCAGCGTTGGCAACATATCTAGTAAGATTTTTGAATCGATGCTCGAATTTCACAGGGATCTCATCTGACGTGTCTTCTGGTAGCTGGAAGCGGCGGTCGAGGTGGAGATGCAGGACCGACCTTGTTCGGCGGATCCAAAACAACTGGTTCTGGCGGCGCAGGGGGAAGCGTCACCTTCAACTAACCCAGTCGAATGGTGAGCTACTTCATCCATTGAGAAGCCGCTATTTGTTGGGACTTATGAACCACTGATAAATCAGCTCCCATGACCTTGTTTCCGCCGTGTACTTCGTCTTGAAGTCCAGAGTACCCATTTGATACGACATTTATGTGAAATACATCGGAGAAAGCAATTTTGAGTCAACGTCACAAAGGTCACAAATTCTGCATTATGCATTCGCACATGACAGCGGGAGAGCGTCGCGGTAACCACTGTGCCCATAGCGCCGATCCGGCTCGTAGCCGAAACTTATCCCAATTTGGTATTGGGCGCTTAAATTAAGGCGACTCGGAAATTGTCGGGCAACTGGCCAGAAGGACGAACAAAATGCATTATAATATATATCTCAATGAATACAGGGTATTTTTTTTTCTGAAAAAAAAAGTATACATATGTAACGAGCTCACTGTGTCAGGACGTCCCCGATCTGCTCGACTCGGACACACTAGGAGCCTAATCAAGTATTTCCATATCCAGTTGCCCCGATTTTGCGTTATTAGCCCATCCTGGATTTTGGGCGCACACACGAACCCCCACTGCATTGCATGGCTACGCAATCGTGAGCATGCGCCAACAGAACAGCTTAAATTTTAGAAATCGTACCTCCAGCCAACTAAATATCTCGTGATCCCTCGTAAACTTGAGGCCCATCAGTCGTAAGGTCTCTGCATGTTCCTTTCTATTGTGGTGGCTTGTCCACGTGAGGGCTGGGCCTCCAGAAACAGCCTTCGGCTGCGTGTCAGCTGGGAACGCGAGGACGGCGAGCTCGAACCAGGCGCCACCGTTACAGTCCTCATCAATAATACATCCTTGGTCTCTGGAATTTGTGATCAGCCGTAGGGATGCAAGTTTCTCAAGCACGTCTTCTTCAAGTTTCTGGTCGACGCAAGGCTTTATTCTTTGGGGGGCAGAGAGGTGTTGAACGACGCGCTTACCTCAGTTGTAAACCAGATCTTAGACGTGATGGACGTGGACGACGAAGCTACATAGCAAGCACCTGTTGAAGCCGCTTGGGATTTGGAAGAACTCCTGAAAGGGATTCTTGGGGTTTGCATCGGGAAACGGGCCAAGGAGAGCTGGGTTCCGACAGTGCGCTGGTGAATGCGGCGACAGGTGGTGTGGGGGTCCCCATCGTTGGCGGACCCGTGAAGAAGATTAAATTCCTTCCGCCATCTGGCGACGCTCTGCACGACAGTCAACAGTTGCTTGTATAGGGCTAGAGCTCCCAAACGCGGCCTTACAAGAAGTTTTGGAGCCTCTCGAACGGATTGGAGCCGCCTTCTGGTTGCCCACCTCCGTAGTAATGAATGACAATGTTGACACCTCCAGTGTCTGTGGCTAATGGTTTTATTGTCGGCCAAACATCTGTTGAAATCGAAGAGCTCACTTGTTGTCTGGGTTGACGACGACTCTTGAGGGCTCCCGTTAGCCGTAGTAATCTTCTGAAGTTCCTTTGCTGTTCTAGGAGGGGGGCTTGGATCTGGACTACCTTGCCAACTTTTGATGATATCGTGGCTCTCGGGTTTAGCCTCCATGATCCGCAGAGACTGGTCAGGGTTGTCGGCAGATAGAGGAGATAGTCCGCCTTGTTCACTAAGCGTGACCGCTAAGGTAGAGCCTGGTTTCACGAGCCTGAAACGGGGGTTCAGTAGGCATGGTGTTCGTTCGCCAGTATAAAGTCACCAAATGCTTACTTGTAGGCAGGCCCGTCCGGGACACACTTCCATCGTTGTTCTTCTGTCCCAAGACGAAGCTCGTCAACGTCACCGTCCGCGCGCAAAAATTCCGCATTATCCACAGATACGACTGCGACTTGTCCATTGTCGCGTTCTTGAATCAGCCACTGTTTACGATAGAATGTGTATCATGAGCGTTGTGCTCGGAAGTAGAGGTGTGAAGTGCACCATTTGATTTATAAGGCCGCCGAACGGGTGAGAGGTGACTGTGGCATGAATTCTTTCAGCAGGCTACCACGGCGAATGCAGAGAATCGAAACTGGCATTTTCCACGGGATTCGTCGAAGTCAAGGGCTCTACCCTTCGAGTTCACGATGAACTGTGGCCCATCTGCGAGAGCGCCTATTTAGCCTAGCGCCGAAATGAAGGATCGGAGCAAGATCGGAGACGGAGAGCGTACAGAAGTGATTGATAATGGTGTGGTTGATATCGCCTCCTCTCCCTCCATTGCCGCCATTTCCAGCTGAATGAATCCACGGATGAGCTATTTGCGATATGAAGCATAGGAGAAGCACTCAGGTACTCACCGCTGAAGGTGTTGTGACGCGAGGCGTCAACGTTGTTTATTTGATCCCCAGCAACGTCGTTATAACAGTCGAAGTTCGCAGTCGCATTCGCTCCATCTTGCTGGAAAGGCATACTATGGTATGTCGGGGGACGTGGTGGGGACGGGATGGGGGTGGGACTGTTAAAGGGCTGGAAGAGATGTGCTAGACACCGCCCACTTTGTGATAGGGAATAAATATGTCCGAGTTCTCAGCGTCTATTTGTGAGGACGCATGAAGTAGGTTTAGGCTGCACCAAACAACGAGGACAGGTTGACCTGTGATGTTCCCGGCAGAATGCACTAAGAATCATATTTTCGTGACTAGGCGCTCATTCGGCGTAACCTTATTTTCGACCAGGCTAACACAGCATAATCCATCACTGACAACTACTTATGGAGGGTCCAAGAAGCCACGCACCAGTCGTCTGGCAGATCTTAGAAGTGTCTCGCCATTCCTGAATTCTCATGCCTTCGCTGCGATGTGGAAGGGCGTCGAGGACATGGCCTCCCGCCAAGTCCAGAACGTCCACCGCTCCGAGATCTATACGCATGCATACACCCTTTTTGTGGCCGCAAGAGGCGCCACCGTAACGACAGTGGAGAGTTGTGAGAGGTTGCGAGTTGGTTGTGCGAATTTCTTTCCCTTTCCTTCCTCTTTCAGGCAGACTCGATGTACTTAGAGTACTCGTGACAATCGCGTCCTGACGCGTCGAGTCGACGGCAACGCGTTCCTGGCATTCTCAGGTCATGTAATGCGCATCCTATTTGGAATGAAGGTCATGACCAAACAACGGGCGTATATAGTCGGCGAAAAAAAACTTTGGAGGATTGGCAAATCGCCCAAGCATGCCCGTGGACCCGACGACCTATCTCGACCCAAAGTCCGCCCTCGAGCACCTCAACACCTACAATCGCCGAGATGGGCTCTCTGTTGCGGAGCTCATGGATTCCCAGGTCCACGGCGGGCTAACGTACAACGATTTCCTCCTCCTTCCTGCCAGAATCGACTTTCCAGCATCTGCGGTCGCCACCGAAAGCCGCATCACTCGCAATGTCGTCCTCAAGACTCCATTCATGAGTAGCCCTATGGACACCGTCACCGAGAGCGAGATGGCCATCTCGATGGCGGTGAGCACCCTCTGGCTCCCTAGTCCGCATCGGATCTAAACTTTTCGGCCAGCTCTTGGGAGGCATTGGTGTTATCCACCACAATCAATCGGCAGAGTCACAGGCAGCCATGGTCCGCGCCGTCAAACGCCACGAGAATGGCTTCATTTCCGACCCTGTCGTTCTCTCGCCCACTCACCTCGTGGAGGACGTCCTGGACATCAAGGCAAGGCTTGGTTTTTGTGGTATCCCCATTACAGGTCTGTATTCTTATCATATCTTCATCCATCGGATGAATAATCTCTTTATAACCTTCGTTCTACCGAGCCAACGTGCATAATGCGCGTGATAGGCGGATACCTTTTACTTTCACTCTGATTTTCCCCGTGTTTATTTCGCTATTTTACTAATGCTGTTTGCTAGACTCGGGTGTCCTTGGTGGAAGGCTCGTCGGCATTGTCACCTCTCGCGACATCCAATTCCGCGACCCTGCGACCCCATTGTCCCAAGTCATGACCACGGATCTTGTCACGGCTCAACAGGGCATTACCCTGACTGAAGCTAACGACATTCTTCGTGACTCGAAGAAGGGCAAACTACCCATCGTCAACTCACAGGGACAACTCGTCTCCCTCCTAGCTCGTTCGGATCTCCTTAAGAACCAGTCCTATCCTCTTGCCTCCAAAAATCCCAGCACCAAACAACTCTACGCTGCCGCTGCCGTCGGCACACGTCCTTCCGACAGAGACCGTCTTGCACTTCTCGTCGATGCGGGCTTGGACATCATCATCCTCGATTCGTCCCAGGGCAATTCCATTTTTCAGGCGGAGATGATTGCATGGATCAAGTCGACATACCCCAAGCTTGAGGTCATCGCAGGGAATGTCGTGACGCGCGAGCAGGCTGCAGCTCTTATTGCCGCTGGTGCCGATGGCCTGCGCGTCGGCATGGGCTCTGGCTCCATCTGCATCACGCAGGAGGTCATGGCCGTCGGCCGCCCGCAGGCTACCGCTGTGTATGCCGTCTCTGAGTTCTCGAACAAGTTCGGCGTACCCATCATCGCAGACGGTGGTATCAGTAATGTTGGACACATCGTCAAGGCCCTTGCACTCGGTGCTGGTGCCGTCATGATGGGCGGGCTCCTCGCTGGCACAGAGGAAGCGCCGGGCGAGTACTTCTACCACGACGGCAAGCGCGTGAAGGCCTACCGTGGAATGGGCTCTCTCGAGGCTATGGAACAGGGACAAGCTACCAAGTCTGGGAATAATCCCCAGAAAGGCGGCAAGTACCCTACCCCGAAGAAGTCGACTACCGTGGAAAACGCGGCGACGTCCCGCTACTTCTCGGAGAGCAGCCCGATCAAGGTTGCGCAAGGCGTGTCGGGCGACGTGCAGGACAAGGGAAGTGTTAAGGCTTTCCTGCCATACCTTTACACGGGCGTGCAGCACTCGTTCCAGGATATTGGTGTCCGGAGCGTCGGCGAGCTCCGGAGCGGCGTGAAGGAGGGCACCGTCCGCTTCGAACTGAGGACCGCCAGCGCCCAGGTTGAAGGAGGCGTTCATGGCCTTAACTCGTACGTTTCTCTCTTCTTCCGTCTGATGCAGGTATACTAAACGCTGGTATTATGTAGGTATACGAAGCGCCTCTTCGCCCAGACTTAATGGGAAGCGTCTTCTTGTTTAGGTTTATCTGCACTTTTGTTTACGTCCTCAGTCTATCACCCATTGTAATACACCCATTCACCCGTAATCTCGTTCTCATTGGGGGACATTGAGGTCCGCCGCTCCACGCGCTCTCAGTTGGTTGTATCCTAAGGTACTTACTTAGAGACGAAGTGCTCTTGTCCACATCACGTGAAAGTTCGTGACAATTTCCGTGGAGCATCCCGGCAAATCCAAATTTTCACAAAATCTTTGCAAGGAAGTGCTTGATTTAAATTTTGAACATTTCCTTGGAAGAAATTTTGCGCAAAGTTGAGCCAAAAAAGTGCCCCAAGGGATTTACTTTCGGGCCCAAACACGACAATGATGGAAGTGACTCATCGTTTTGGCCGGAGTCACGGCAGAGTCACGGCATGTGATGTAGACAAGAGCACATCAGCTCTACCTTACGAAAAGCTCACACCCCCACCAGCGCCTCCCGCGCCACCGATGCTGCTTGTTCCAGCTGCTGAGCCGCCGTTCCCGCCAGTTCCAGCTAAGCACGAATGTCAGATATCACAAAGTACTCTATGATAGCCACAAATCATCGCACTGGTAATTGCTCCTGTTGTAAAAGTCTTCGTGACGATCGTCTGGTCTCCGGACACGCGAACGCTGCTGTCGTTGTTGGAGTCTGCAGTCGAAGTGGTGGTGTAGTTGTGTGACCCAATGGCGGAGGCCTGGGATGCTAGAAGGTAGTAAGTGTCTCTATATGTCCAGTATGTATTGACATGTCCGTGTACTTACAGATGTTGGCACGAGTCCAGTCTTGGTCCATGGTGCCTGTCACGTCTGTTTGGGAAGCTGGAGTTGAGGCAGGTCCTTGAACAAAGTTCTTCCCAAGGGTGCCACTTATACAATCCTGAGGCAGGTACACGTACTCGCCGTGCATCTCTCGAAATAGATTGAGCTTGGGGCATGCTTGTTCAGCGAGGCAAATCCTTCGGTATCACACGGTATCGATTTCATTCCATCGTTGGCCTGCAACATTCCATGAGGCACCCTCGCCAGATCCGCTATGTATGTCTCTGTGGATGTGCTAGGGCATACTCCTATAACGGAGGAGATAACACCCACGAGGACGCATCACTTACTTTACAGCTCCACTGCGCTTTGAAGGCTGACATGTACTTCCATGCTGGAGAAAGCATCCTCCGTGTTTAGCTTACAGCGCCGGCTGTGACGCCTCTCCCCAGACGTCCAAACCTGACGGCAATGGGATGCGTGGTTCCATTACAACGAACCTCCCCCCGTTGTCAGACGGCAGTGCAAGCATTGTCATACTTTGGGCACTGTTTCGTCTATGGTGTGCATGATCGTAAGTGGCCGTGTTGCCACCATGCTCTCGTGCTTCTAGCCTCGCAATCATGAGGATAAGGTTCGCATCATAGTTTGAGATGTGCTAATCAGCTAAATGCCAATATAGAATATCTTCAGGCGCTGACATCCAAGCCGGGGTCCTCATGACATAACCTGGAAGTGCTCGTCAGGCTAAACGCCGCTTCCTATGTGGAGAGATAACGTTCTGTCATCTCACAGTATCTCTCCGTGCCAGCTGCAGCTCATGCCTCCTAGATCACAGTTGATGGGAATAGCTTCGAAGGGCCAACGAGCTTTGGTTGTTTTAGGATATGATTATCGGATAGACGCCCATTTAGGCGCTATGCTCTCACGGCAGCCATATTCTGTATTCTTCAAGCACCATCTCCGTCGGAACGCCCCGAAAACGCCGTTTACTAGTACAATGTCCAGGTCGGTGGACAACCCCTTCGCCCTCTAATGGTATTGGCACTTGGAATGAAACCCAACAAACTCAATTCATCCGTGGCTTACCCCGTCCAAATCGAGATTTTATTACTACTCTAGTGCGTCGGACCATTCGAGTCACGGCCTGTTCTACGAGACATCTTATAATGGCATAAATGAGCGCATACCCACTCCTCCGACTCAAGACCATCGAATCTCATCTTGACAACATCAACTCAACTTTCGACATGCCTTTCAACCAGAACGGCGCTAATTCCACCGCGACCATTACAACGTACAACGACGTCGCTGGAAATCAAACCAACTGGGCCGGCGGCCACACAGACAATAGCACCACGACTACCAACACCAATAGCAACAACAAGACCGTTGGAGACATAACAGGTATGATTCCTTTCATCGCAGAATTGAGCGCCTCTCTGATGTTGGGTCGTAGGCACCGCCGGCGCCGGTACGGGTGGCGATGGAGGTGGTGCAGGTACTGGAGGTTCTGTCGGAGGCATCAGCTTTTAGACCCACGAGCATTATACGTACTTTCTTCCTCGAGAGTATTTCAGAGTGAACTCTTACATCCCTCGTTGTATCACAGAACCCAGTGGCCACTGAAGTTAATGACCCATACATTTTGCATCCTGCAGCCTGAAGTCCAAGTGCTAATCGTTGAGGTGTATGGCTGCGTCAGAATGAGTTGTATCAATTTTTTTATACGAATAAAATGCTGCAGGGAGTTATATTTGAATGCGTGAAATAAGCGCCGGAAGAACACGACGAGATCGATATCCATGCCAGGACGAGGGACAAATTGCTGAAAGTCACCGTACGATATTATTTCAGTTCACTAGGAATGACACGAGACTCTGGCGGCCAGGAAGGAGACCAGAATGTGAGAAAGAACTAGCGGGCCGCCCGCCCAGGGCAAGAACGACAAAGTTGGAGCATGACCACGCTTCCCGCTGTTCTATGCCCAAGTTCAATCATTGAAAAGGACTCTGACATACTTGCAATCGACATAATAGGCATTCCTTTTGGGCACACAACGGACAGGTATACGATCCGCTGACTCATCCAAGATTCTTCGAGCATTTAACAAGCATGATGTCAGGTCCTCCGAGTCTAGCTTCAGTGCATCCTGTCCATCCTTTCAAAGCTCTCCCCACCGGCGCTATCAAGAACTGGAGCTGCGCATGCGCGCTACTCGGCCGTCATCCTAGCTGATGATGCCGCTGTCAATATTTCTCAGCCTCCTTCAGGCCCGGCGGCCTGAGGTGAAGAACGAACGAAGCTTACTTAAGAGAACATAGGATAGGTTTTCTCAGAAGATACCGTGGTGCTCTGAAATCGAGTTGTCCATTCAGGCTGTCGTGATTGGCTTGGAGAGTATCAGAATTAACGGTGGGTGGACATTTTGATTTTGAAACACAATTTCTGTCGACGTCCGGTGCTGCCCATTGTTCAACGTCCAAAATTGGTTGGTAGTGGGAATCCTACGACAAAGACTTGCAAAGGAGCGTATAAAGTCTCTGGATTTCGGGTGTGAGTAACACGTATCCGCAGATTGCGCTTCAATCACTGAACACATTTCCGTCATGCCTTTCACCCAGCCCAGTGAAGGCGCCCGTGCAGAGTTCGATGTGTACAACGACGTTGCTGGGAATCAAACCAACGACAATAGGGCAATTAACAGCAACGACCGTATAAAAGGTAAGGCACTGAATTAGTGAGTGACTTGTAACTCAACAACTGTATTTTAGGTGGGAAGGGAGGGAAAGGAGCACGAGGTGGAGACGTCAACCTATAGGTACGAATGGAGTCGATATCCATGATCAATTCATTGAAATTTATCTACAGTTTCTTCTCAGCCCTTCAAAGGCGACCTGAGCCAGCTGGTCAGAGACTTCGAGCTATATTTTTGAATGAACCTATGGCTAAAATCAGACAAACAGTGGAACGTCGAAGCCCATCCGACCAACAATGCCCAATTAGCAGTTTCGTCTGCGGAAACTTGCGAGTATTTAACAGCGGACCCGAAGACCGGCGCATTGGCAATCTCTCCCACCGAACAACATTGGCAGGTCGTGAGAGATGGGCCCGGATACAAGTAAGGAGATGAGGCTTTTTCAACGACTGCGTTCTAATTTATGTTGCTCCACAAGGCTCGTTATGCCAGGGTCCAATTTGGCAATCACACTTGGCGACGTTGCGGGGCTAGTCTCTCTTTCTGACAAGGATACGAATCAGTCTTTGCACATTCTGGCGGACACAAAGGAGAATCGAGAGGCCATCAAGCAAGGTCGAATTGTTCCTCCACCCGTTCCTACGTCTGAAGAAACCGCAAAACCGGAACCGGCCCGAACTGCCCCTGCGCCTAATATGCCGGCGCCAATCAATAATCAGGCGCCAGTTGCTAGTAGTCAAGCGCCTGCCACACATCAATGTGAGTTCCTCGCTTTTCGGCTAGAAGCAAAGCTAAGTGATATAGGCTACGGAGGCGTAAATTTGACCATCAATCACTTGGGAGGACCGAGCGCACCAGCAGGTGACACATCTGCACTTGCAGAACTCCAGAAATTTCTGTGAGCGATTCATTCTTTTAGTCCATCATCAACGGCTGAAACGAAGAATTATTTTCAAGTGCGTCAGATGTCCGGACAAGGAATCTAGTTATTTTCCTCGGAACCCCCAGTCCGTTGGACTACCCCGTCCCTGCCAGATCCAGCACAGAAAAGTTTGATGAACTTGACGACTCGCCGGCTGCCCCTTTCCCGACGGGAAGTTCGGGCGAACCATATGAAGAACCTCTAAAACTACAACTTCCTTCTGCTGATTTCTGTCACGTAAAGGCCACTGACAGTGGTGTCGCTTCCAAAATCTGGTTCATGTCGAAAGTAAATATCCTTTAAACTTTCGAGGAGATCGGTTCAATGACCTAATCGATGACCAGGATTTTGACCAAGCCAGCCTTGGAATGCTTGTATCAGTGCAGCTGTCCACTGTTGCTCGTGACCAGGGCTTCTCTCCCTCGAGCGACGACGGTAGTTGGACCTGGTTCGAAATCGTCATCTTGACGTCTCCATTCAATCAGAGCCCGAAGATCGTCGGCGGACGCTCGCTCAAATGGTTCAGTCACTGCAATAAAAGGGCTGTTTCTTCCAACACCAAATTATGGGGGCCGAAGTTTGAGAAAAGTCATGAAATGTTCGAATATCTTGAGGTGGGTGGCATTTGTGCTCAATGCACCTGGTTAATGATGTTAGCTTGGGACTGCTAGCCCGGAAATATCCTTGTAGTTCGCGTCTGTGCTCAATACGAGCACTGGGAGAATTTCGCAGAAATCGGCCATTTGCACTTAGAGTTTCGAGCGCAAATTGGCAGCTGAAGATGCCCACAATGCTCTCTACATAGTTTCAGCTTGACTTTACGCAGCGGCTCTGAACCACTGCTTGATTTTTGAAGGCAATTTGATGTAATTTTTGCTATAAAGAAAGAGTGTGAAAGAGAAGGATTGGACGTGTATTTAACACGATTTGATATCGCTATTGTAACTTATTTCTCGTTGACCTCAAGGCTCTTGTTGGTTAGGGGCTTGGTTGGGTGTCCAGTCACCTCCAATGCGAGTTCCCTCGCTATTCTGGCCGCCCCACTCCTCGTTCCTGGACAGAACATGAGAAATTGATGTGACACTTGGGCAAATAATGGCACTTACGAATTAGGGTATCCTTGAGGTGCGTTGAGCTGTGCACGGCGTTGCGGTCCCTGAAAAAGATGAGAAAAGATTTCGGAACCATACTGAAGAGATTTCGCGCACATATGACCTAAGTCCGCGGCGACTAATGATGATCCCCGGTACACCACTAAAATCATTGTTGATGAGCAAATGTACATTGGATCGAGGGAGCAAAATTCTTACCGGGCCCATGCGTTGATCTGATCGGCGGTCGAGGGATTTTGACTATTTCCACCATAAGCCTCACCCATCTATCACCCAACTATGAGCGATCGAGATGGCCGAAATTATTGAAACACTTACCGGGTGCGTGTGGAAGTTGGCGACAAGGACGAATCCTGCAGGTGGCCGTCCTCCTGGATTGGATTCAGGGTCGTTCAGATTAATACCAGCTGCTCGGTTTGCAGGAGGACGAAGCTGGTGCATGGGAGTGGAACGAGTGAGCTGGGCACGACGAATGAAAATGCGTTGAGGATCTGCGTAGACGCTGCCTTGAGCTTTGACTCTAAGGTAGGGGCGAGTATCTGCTTACTCTGGGGGTCTGCGTAAATCCATCTGAGACAGTACAAGTTAGTCGACCTTAATAATAAGTACCGAAAGACAAGGAACATACCCTCCTGCCTCACGGGCAGTAGTAGGCGTATTGAACGAGTCGTTCCATGCAGACTAGACATCATCAAACGTCGTTCCAATCTGTCAGATGTAAACCGTACCTGGAAAGCCCTCAATACTTCAGGGGATTCGACAATTTCCCCAGCGGTGGGGCCCTCGGCTTGAGCGGGGTTCATCCACGCCAACGGATCCTGGGGGAAGTAGTTTGGCTGGGGACGGGGAAGCCAGAAAGCATTGCAATCTCCAGCTCGCTTCTCTAGGGAGGACCTTCTTGGCAGAGACATGTTCGCCGTGACCCTCACGTGGTGAGTCCGTACGCGCCCGAAGCTGGAGTGTCCCTGTGCCGAGTGCAGGACTGTGTTATTCGCAGCCGTGCCGTTCAGTTCGCGGGCGATGGACATGAGTCTGCTTCCACCTGGTGCTCATTTTAGGGTATCCAAATTGGAGGTTCCAGAAGGTGTGCAACATACCGCCGCAGTCCATGCAGCCTTTAGCATTGTAGTCCCAAGCTTTGTCAGGAGGACAAGGTGGAACTCCACAAGTGCTGTCTTGGGCCTCAAAAACACCTGAGAGGCATGGTCAATCAGGGAATTCCGCGGAGAATAGAAACGTGATCAGACCCCAGATACCGGCTTTGAAGGGTAGCAGCATTTTAGTTGATTCGGAAAGACCAAAAACCCCGAGACTTACTGATATGCTTCTCGCATTTGCTTGGAGGAGAATGGGTCAAAAAAGAATTCGAAAAAGACAGGCATGGACTCACGTCGGTTTCGAGAAGTATTCATCTTCCACTTCGTGGTCACGAACCGCGCAAGCATCCTCCCAGGAACCGATGATGTCGAAGAGCTTACTCGAATATTCGCGCTTTCCTAGAGTGTCGGCACAACCGTTGTCCTGACGAAATTGTGTAAGTCCAAGTGCGTGTGAGGTGAAACCTAATTCGAACCTTGAGATCTCCCCACTTCCCTGCACATCTGGTACGAAATCAGTCAGTATTATTTCCGACAACCACATTTTGCTTACGACGAATCCTCAATGTGCCACACTGGCCGAACGTCTCAGTAAAAGAGGATGTTGGAGCTGCAGAGCACTCACCTCCCCACGCCCCGAAAAGGCCTTTATCATCGCAATAGTTCGGGCTATCATACCTGCGTCCGTTGATGGTGTTTGGTGTAGTGGTGCACATCGTCATCCAGTCGACGCCTGAACTGATATCCCAGAGCCGGCTGTACCATTTTCTTACACCTATGTGTCCTGTATGAACTAGAGAATGATATCGGAGGAACAGGCGACCTACCGAACGCCGTGCAGCCGTCATTGGCATTTGACCCCCAGTTCGGTTTGCAATGCGAGTCCTCGCTGCTGACATACCACTTGCCGATCATACCCCCTGTAAAACCCTACGACGAGACTGCGTTGGCGATGATGGCCGATTTCGTTGGGACGACGCACCTTGTCTTCGCATGCATCCGGAGTGTTGTAGACAACTCCCTTGATGGTAATAGGACTCGCTTCACAGGCCTCTTTCCAGTCCATGCCACCCGGTACTGTTTGCCATCATGAGTAATTACGTCAGACGGATTCCTGTTGAATTGACTTACTATTCCATAAACGGGCGCTGTAGATGCCTTTGAATGTCATCGTTAGAACAAGAGAAGCCACAAATCAGAATGGGCCAACGTACGAGTGCCGTAGCTTTTACAAGTTCCAGCCTTGGGCACCTCCCAGAGCGTCTTCAATGTGGAACTTCCATCAGTGACCGGGAGTGCTGTTCCAGGAACAGAATTCGCTACGAGGGGTGAATCGGTATGGGTGAAAGATATGCACGGGCGACGGTTGCCTACATTTCGGAATTTCTTGATCAATTGACCAGATCATCGTCTGGAAGTAGCTCTCTCAACAGCCGCATTGCAAAGAGTGAGGGTGCACTTACTCCTCCGAAGCATGTCTTAGCCTGAAATACTTGCATCAGCTGAAGCTTGGTTGAAGAGTGACAGCAGACGCACCGCAAAATCAGTCTTCGCTTTCCATGTGCCCTCGTCATCAAAAGTGATCAAATCGCCCTTGTAATCTAGAGAAAAGGTAAGCCAGAGGGTCATTAAGCGTTGGCAACTTGAAATTAACGCACTGAACCATCGCGTTTCTGATCTCTACGAATAGCCTTGAGGTACGCACGAAGAGTTACAAAGAACCATGAACGTACCTTGTCGTGCACGGGACGAATGTCGGCATCTATCATGACATTGTCGATCTCAAAGTTAGCAAGGACGCCACCTAAAGAAGTATAATCAGCCTTAATGCGCACGAAAGAGATAATCAATAATACTGCTTACTTTCGCCAGTGCATTCGCCCTTGGTACCTCCTCCCGTCATGTCACAATTGTATCCAGCACAGGTTGAGTCCTCTAGCTTGTAGCTGCGACCGTACCATGCAAGACCGAGGTTGACTTGTTTCAGATCGACACCAGCTTTCACGTATAGCAAAGCACTATCGACCATGTCCTGGAGCGAGCTCTGTGGTTGCGCAGTGGAGTTCGAAGTCTCGATCACGGCGTCCCAGCTTAACGAAAAAGGTCAGGCTGCAGATCTAGACTAACAGAAGAGAGATTACGAACGGCCCGTCTACAGAACATTCTCAGTTCAAGGTCATACTCCGTAATATAGCGCAAGTAACTCACGATAATCGTAACTCATCATGTTGATAAAGTCGAGTTTAGGGGCGATTTTGTCCATTTCGAAGCCTTTCAAGAACCAATATCCAGCAGGCGTCGCGAGAGAAATTTCCGCCGATCCAAGACCGGCTCGCAACTCGTCGAAGAAGATGGTAAGGTTTGGGGTATCGTCAGGGGGTCCGTTTCGTTCGATTGAGGCGGGATACTCTGTCAGGTGAGTCAGAATACAAACAGACGTCCAGAGCCTCGAAGTACTTACCGAAGTCGATGTCAATTCCGGCGATTTTATAATCGGCAATAAATGCCTTGGCCGACGCGATAAACGTAGCACGGTTTGCGGCGCTAGCTATCATGGTCGAAAAGCGGTCTTTAAGGGCGCCTTGAGAGAAAGTCCAACCACCGACAGCAATGAGGACTTTTGTTTGTGAACCAGCCTTGGTGACCAGTTGGCGCAGACGATCACCATCGGTCGCATCAGCAAACACAATTTTCATGTCGGCGTCGATCTCGGCGAAGGCATAACTAAGCTCATGAATATACGATAATTCGAAAGTCAGAAGGAGCTTACATGACGTGGCTTAAAGTTGAAAGATCAAGTTTATCGACCCCGACAGGGTTGCATTTACGAGCACCCGCCCAGCCTGCATAGTAGCCGACCTTGCGAGTGAGTTGACTACCGCCGCATGAGGGCAACGTCGCTTTGCCGCAGTTCGAAATGCTAGGATAATTGTCAACCAACGCGTAACCCAGCAGGACTGTACATACCAAGGGTCTCCGTTCGGCGCAGCGTTGCAGAATTCATCCGTCATGCCACAGAAACCGAATGCAGAGCAGCATGCCTTCAGAGGGCATTCACCACCACTAGGAGACTCGGGGCCGCATTGAAGATCGGGGTTGACCGGAATGGGTGGAGGGGTTCCAGAAGAGACACAAAGAGTGAAATCTAGAGGGCAAGGGGTGTGAGATACGAGTCGAACATAGGAAATTGCACTCTCACCAAGTTGGAGGCTGGCGCAACCTTTCCATTTGTACGTCTGAAATCATGGCCTGAATGAGCTCAAGGCACTGGCACAGAACTTTCGACATACGTTTGCGTTGAACTGCTCAATCTGAGCAGCCGTAATACCGAACTTAGTTCCAATGAGAGCACAATAGTCACCAGAAATCGTCTGACACAATCGACGAAGTGAGTTTCCACAATCCTCTCAAGGACAACGTCATAGAGTCACCGTGTAAGTCTTGCACGATCCATCAGGATTGGGCTGAGGTGCAGTGGACGGAAGGTCTCCGGCAGTGATGCATAACTTTTGGCCAAGTTGAAGAGCGCCACAATTCAAACCAGGGTTGAATTGGATGAGCTGATCGGTGTTGATACTGGCAGCTACGGCGATATCCCAACTAACAGAGGGCTTTCAGTAACAATAGCCACACTCGTGAGTCGTCGAGGAAGAACACTTACCAAGTGCTGTAAGGAGAACCAACAGTCGCGGTAACGCACTCGGCCGCGCTGGCTTTGTGGATGAGAAAAGACAGTAGGATGGCCCCAAGAATGGCGGCCATGTTGGCGAGGGGTAAAGACTGAGCGAAACAGGAACAGGCGTCTGACGTTTTATGTCTGGACCTCCAAAACGGTGCCTCTCAAAGTAGAGAGATTGAGGGTGTGTCATGTGGAAGCAATCTTGAAAACGCTTGGGAGGAAGTGAAATCTTTCTGCATGCCGGCCACCATTCTGCAGGTACGTAGCTGAAAGCATCCAGACAAAGCGGGGAGTTCACAAAATGATTTTGTCCTCATTCGGCAGCCGTTATGAGGAAGCGCGGGGACAAACACGGAAGAAGATTGACGGGCGAATTCGAAATTAAGTTTGACGAGACCGAGACCCATCTCTTCGACTTTCTGATCCCCCTACCAAACGATGAGAAAGGTCGATCTTCTCTGTTACTTTTTGCGAGGTACAAAGCAAGTTCAGAGAAGAAAGGCTTCGGAGAAACGGCTATCGGGAGAAGTTTCTTCACGTCAAAGCCTGAATCCGACGTCAAAGGAGCCTTCGCATCTGATATACATTACATCTGATATATTATTATATGACTTGGCAAGTCACTCACAGGTTTCCGTCAACCCACACGGGTGAAAATTACAACATCCAGAGAGAAGCTTTCATTCCTCAATGACGCAAACAAGGGGTCGGTTGGCTGGATCTCGTGGTCGCGCGGAAGCGCTCGGGATTGCATCCCGAGTGCTGTATGCACCCGACAAGCAGGTCGGGTGCGACGGTGATTCCAGGTTTCACGATAATGTCTTGTGGTTGATCAGCTGGAAGACAGGTAATAAAAAAAGCATCCGCATCTTACGTAGAGAGTCGTCCCGGAACGCTAAGCCCAATCTCTGACAACCTATCATGATCTCCCAGAATCATATTCAACACGGACGCGGCACGATATAAGACCGGGGCATCCTATGTACTTTAACGACCTGACAGGTAACGAGTCTGACGAATCTTAACCATGGGCCCCGAAGGAGAATGAAAGGCGTACATATGAGCTCGACAGATATCCAAAAGGTGGCCAAAGTTCAACCTAAACTTCATGTTGCCATCTTATGTACTCTATGGTGGTTGTAGTGGGTAGTTGAGCGCTGAAATTCGTCATGAAAGGAGGTAAGGCGGGTGAGCGCTCGACCCGATTGTTTTCTGAGGTAGCCTCGTGACGGTTGGTGGAAGAGCGTAACAAGAAGTTCGATGCCGTTGACGTCGGAGGGAATCCGACCCTGCCAAACCAGTAATTTGCCCCTATTTAACACGACCAGCAACAAAATCACTTTGCTTTAAATCAACGATTTCAACACACGTCCAATTCAGATTGCAAGATGAAAATGAGCCAAAAAAGCATGGCACTGCGGTAGATGGTAGACATACTCTTCTATACCGACATTTGACACCGATAACATAGGCATTTGCCACGAGAGAGATTAAATCAGACTACCAGAACTTCCCGCTGTTTCCTCCCCCTCCCAGTCCAGGTGCTCGCTTCTGACCCCACGCATCGAAGGCCGTCTGGAACTCCACAAATGTGTCTTCTCCTGTTATCGCGAAGATGATGCGGTCGAAGGAATCCTTGTACCTTGCATCAGGTGTCAGCAGCAAATGTGCCCAAATACGAGCAACCGTGGAGATGCTGTTGCGGAATACACCCGTACCGAAAGTACCCAGCACGAGGTTACGCACGCCCTCCCGTTCGAAGACATACAGAATGCGGCCCATGCGCTCCGACATCTCCTTTTCAATGCCTATCTCCGTCACATTGCCTGTGCCCGCCGTAGGCGCTGTTGCCGTGCTCCCACCAGTTGTCTGTCCTTTGCGTACCTCCCCCGCATTTACAGCTGCGCAGCTCAGCACGTCGATGTCAAATGGATGCAACCACTGCCCATCGTCGTCTCTGAAGAAAGTGGTCTTGGGAGAATAGATCATCGCGTGTGAGTAATATGCCGCGGCGTTTGCGGCGGACTCTCTCTTGTGCAGGTCGTAGAATTTTTCGGCTTCGGAGGTGCTGAGGGAACAGAAGAGAGTAGACGAACGGGCGAGGGATTCCTCTTGTGCATCAGCGCCATTCTTGAAGCCTCCTCCAGGTTTGGTGGCTGAGGCGAAATTTAGGACACCGGTGCGATTGGCAACAGGATCAGCTGGGAAGTTTTGGTAGGCATTGTCGAGCAAACGCGCAGCTTTGAGGGTAGAGATATGGAGCACGGAAATTTGGGTCGGAGGGGCATCGGCTCGGGACTTGGGAGCAGCTGACTTCGCAGCCGCCCAGCCTTTGACGATGGACGAATCATGTCCGTAGAACTTGGTGTTCTTCTTGAGATCTTTCACCCTGTCTTTGAGCGGGTAGTCGACGCCTCGGTAGCTGCATATGCCCTGGTCGATCGCGTATAGGGTCTCCTCGCCGATCTTGCGTAGCTCTGAGCGGCGCCCCTCTGCGTAGCGCCCACCATACTTGATCGCTGCCATCGTCGTCCTTCGTGTCGGGACTGATGTGGATGGGATAGCGGGTGGAATGTGTGGGATTGAGACGTACGGGAAAGTTGGGCGAGATTGAGACGATTGGGGACGTTGGGGACGAGACTGCTGATGTGGTCCGGTGGAATGCCCGACGACGGCGATAACTCCCAGGGAGGCGCCGACTACCAATGGGACCACGGGTACGAGCGGATCCATCGACTGTCGTTGTCCCTTGATCCTGCTTTCAAGAGCTGCTCCTGAAGTGTGAGGAGGGGAAGCTTGCGCCCACTGTTGTATGGTTGAGTACTTGAAGGTGTGATGCATCCCATTCCGCAAGGCAATGTAGGGCAGTGTACAGGCCGTCATTGCGGAGATCTCCGGATGGTGCCTTAATGGAGAAATTAACGCCGGTGCGATCGGCCACAGGCACGGGCGCTTAAATAAGTTCGGCCTAGCCAATGACCTACTGTAACAGATTGACGAGAAGTGCACTGTCCACGAAATAACTGAGCATATTATTCTGCACGGAATTTGGGGCTGCATACGAACAGAAGGGACGGCATGTGGAAGGGGCCTGTTTCAATCCGCGCCGAATCACGGAGGCTTGCTACTGGAGGACGTGCACGAAATGAGGTTGCTGCGGTGACCATTGTTGACGTGTTGACTGCATGATAAATTTCAATTGTAGCCTACGTCTGTAAGGTCGAGGACGAGACCCTGCCACAGAATTGTGTCTTTGACTCTTCCCTTTGCGGTGGTCACTCGGGCCGGAACTCCCTGGTACTATGATATTTCTCAGGTCTGGCTTTAACTAAAATATCACGCGTATTACCAGTATCTTCGAAGTCCCGACATAGCGCAACAATTACTTCGTTGGAGCCTAGGTGCAACACCCCTATCTTAGAAGGGTCACATCACGTGCCCACACAAGATCCCCGCCACGAAATTGAAGTTGCTTTCAAGTTGATTCCAAGATGTCTATTCCTCGCTTCATTCTCATAGCACCTAAACCTCCTGTCTCTCCAAAATACCCCACTAAGGCGTCTTTGTGCGATGCCTGGGCCGCAGCGATCAAGAAATACCTTGATGCGTCCATCCAGCCCCTGTTCACAGTCCTCGAGGGAAAGCTGCTGGATCTCGACCCAACGCAGCTCCAGTGCGACTGTATGGTCTCACCCGCGAACTCATTTGGTATCATGGACGGGGGGTGAGTGTAACAAGCTACTGTTTCGTATCCAACCTTACCTGAAGCCCGGCTCAAATCCCGTGCATCCGCAGATACGACCTCGAGCTCTCACGGGCGTTCAAACGGGGGAACGACGAGTGGGTCCTGACTAAACACGTCCAGCTCGCCCTGCGGGAGCAATGGAATGGATACGCGCCGCCCTCTACGTGCACAATAGTCCCATTACCCGCGGATATGGCTGGAGACGGCCACAATCCTTGGTCCGCGCGCAATCTTGCCGTCGTTCCCACAATGCGCACGCCCGAGGACGTATCTTGGCACCAGGACCTCGTCTACAACTCCATGTGGTCGCTGCTCGCCACGGTAGCACGGTGGAACGAGACTCATGCTGAGGAGAAGATCGAGCGTGTGCTGATGACAGGACTGGCTACAGGGCAGGGAGGTTTCACGGTAGAGAAGTGTGCGGAGCAAATGATGTTGGCTGTGAAGCATTTTACGGAAGGTCTTCCTGAACACTTTAAGTGGGACACGGTGATTCCACGCGACGAAGACATTAGGAAGACGTACACGTGAAGGCGCAACCTCCTTTCTTAGTCAAATAAATTGTCTGATTCAGAATCCCCGAATAGAGTATGTAAAGCGATATCCGTATCTCGTTTGAGAAATATCCTTCTTGTTCCCAGATATTTTCTCTCAAAGTTGCTTCCTGGTGCGTTCCTACTAGTCAAAGATGATCTGAAAATCATCGCCTTCGTCAGTTCGGTGAGCATGTATCGAGATGGAACATAACGTACGGAGGATGCAACCCCGTTCCACGCGTTGACGGTGCGCACTTTGCCGAGGACGACCTTAGTCAACAGAACAGCTTATCTGCCAGAAGAAAAGCCCTAAGTCTCGTTCGCCGCCAGAGAGGTGTAAATCCCTGGCCCGTCAATGAAGCTACGACGACAAGCGTGAACCCTCGTCGATGTTGTGCTAAAACACCCGCCTAATGGATTGGCAAGACTGGACTTGAAGCCTGTCATGCATGTCATCCTTTAGGTGGACACCTATTGAGCTTTCACTAGAGGTACAATGAATAGATATCATTAAATTGTAATGTAATACTTAACGAAACGAGAAAGGACGTTCGTCCAGATACTTATAAGTATAGGAAGAAGGATGTAAAATCAGAGGGACGGCTGCGCTTTTATGTATATAAACTAAGGAACTTCGCGTGTCGTACTGTAAGGCCTACGTAACCTGTGCTTGAAAAAAGCTGATCATTTGCAGTGAGAGTGACACACCCACTGTAAACACAGCGACGGGAATCATTATAGAAAGCGGGACGGAAACCCGATAGTGCGAATTCAGGACCAGGGTAATGGTAAATGCGATTATCCCCCCGAAAAACAGGCCTGGCCCTAGAAGAGGATTCCATTCGTGTCAGTGATAGGCTTCAGTGAAAGGTGTTGCACTGATACTCAGACGTGCGCACGAGTATGGAAATGAGACCCGGGAACCTGACCTTCGCTTCATGCTGGCTGTTTTTCAGCGGCACTTGAGAAGAAACGGGGGAACTCTCTGCATGCACAAGCACGATGAGAAGGTAGCCTGCGAGGGTTGCGCCAACGTTCATCCACGCAGAAGCACGGCACGACATCATCAGAGCTGGCGGCTGAAGGGCGGACTCGGAATCAAGACCAACAGGTAAGTTAAAGACTGAACAGATTGCAGACTATCTCTGGCATTTTGTGTAGTAAGCAGAGAGACAGACTCACCAGAGCGAGGGCTGCGCCTGGTATTGGCTGGTCGACAAAGGGCAATTTTGGAACGCCGCCTACATGAGACGTGAATGCGATAGTAGGGAGGGAGGGAAGACGGCGCTTAAAGGAATCCATGGTTAAGCGATTTCGAACCATCCAATGCTCCCAGCTGTCTTGAAATCTTCACCCTAAGGCTGCGGCGTGGGCTTATTCACTGTAGGCAGAGAGTCATAGAGGGAGAGTTTAGATGGGAGACAATTTGCGAAAGGCAATAAGATTGCAAATTGGCCCATGACGTCATATTCCTCTCACGAGGTTCTTTCTACGACTCACTCGTTGTCTAATTATAGGTAGTTGACTTTTCACAGCCGCCTTGCCACGGACCTTGTCTTGCCTCCTCCCATGTCTGTTCTCATTTCAAGCGGGCCTTCCCTCTAACCTGTCCGTTTCTCCTGGCTGCTCCCTGCGGCCGTTCTTCACCGGCGTTGCTCAAAAAACCTAACACCACCTCTACACCGGATTCTCGTCTTCCGTTGTGAGATCTTACCTGCTCTGGCTCCAATTCCACCTTCACATCTGTGATCAACTTCCTTGCGATCGATGCCTCTCTTCAGGCGTACGACGCCGTGGAGGGTGAAAAGTGGATAGAAAGTGTTTCTACTAGGGCGACTTTTGATGCTGTCTACATTCCCGTCTTGGGACCACACAAAGGACCCCACTTTTTTTTTTTTTTTTTTTTGTGTTTTGTTCTAGCCTGTCGGTACCCTTTCGGGTTCCATAATGGCCTTGTACTACTGGACTGCTACGCTACGCTCCTGGCCCCTGTGCCAGTTTCCGCCTGATTCTCCCATGGTTATCCCCAGCGCCTCCCGAGGCGCACCCCGAGTGCTCGCTCCCCGGAAGGACCCCACTTACAACGCATTGCCCAAAGATGGTCGTTGTGGTCGGACAGCTCGAGTGGGTCCGAGTCGAGGAGCCTCCCTGTGCTTGGGTGGCAGATTACCGGCACTGGAGCCCCTATTAGTAGGATTTCCACTTTGAGGCGCCTGACGGGCGGCGCCACGACCTCGCTCGCAGGTGGTACCTCGAGGTGGCGTTGCATTGCTAATAGCATCTTCGAGAATGCCGGCGCATGTTGGATAGCTCTTCCCATTCTTCGAATACTTGTTGGCACACCTGCAACAAGTGAAGTAGTAGTCCGACAGTGACGATAAAACGATGCGACGCACGATGCAAGTTGTCATGCCGGGACTGTACGGCGCTAGTGCAGCGGGAGGAATATAAGCACAGAAGCCGTTGCATCGACTCGCAATATTCTCGATGACAAGTAACAGTGGGAAACAGGCGCCTAACTTAAGCGAAGTGACTTGAGCCCTAAATAAGGCAGTTTTTTCCTAAGTAGACAAAATCGCCTGAACAACTGGTATTTCTAGGGCGGAACCCTCTGGTGTGTTGCTGCACAAGTGAGCTCCTCTTTCTAGTAGCCATTGAACAATGTAAAGGAATTCGAAAGCAACATAAGGAGATTGATTTATGACTCTACAAAAGTGAACGTGATGCGAAGAATGAAAGCAAGGTATACGAATGCGAATGGGTACATCCAACGACAACAGCAACAAATTCAAGGTAAGGAACACCGTGGAGGAGGTGCTAGGACGATCAAAATGTAATCAAGAATACAGGCCGGATGGCATCGTCTTGGTAAATAATCGTTTCGTTCAGTTGACCGTTCTGTCTATCAAAGACGACCTAAAAATCATCGCCTCCCTCAGTCCGCTAAGCGTGCATCCAGATGGAAATCAACGTACGGAGTGGAAACCTGGAGGGCACGACATCACTTCATTCCACGCGTTGACGGTACGCACTTTGCCGAGGACGACTTTGGTCAATAGGACAGCGCCTGTCCCGCCAGAGGAGTAGCTGTATGCCTTGTTAGCCGCCGAAGAGGTGTAGATCCCTGGCCCGAAGCTAAGACGATATGCGTCAGCCCTCGTAGACGTGACGCTAAATATAGATTGTACATACGCTCCGGTAGGATTGGCAAGACTTGTCTTGAAAGATGTCTTCAAGATGCAACAGAGTGCACACTGAGCATTGGAGCACAGTTGGGTGTTCCCGTTGGACCCTAGAGTGCATCTCCTTGTCGTACCGTGATAACGGAAGACTTCATTTCCGACGGTCTTCCTGGCAGAATCAGGTTCGTCATTAGGAAGTGCAAATCAGCGAAAGTGGAGCAAGGAAACAAACTTGTATCTATCGTAGGGTTGCAGGAAGTTCTTGTTCTCGATTATCTTGTAGACATTCCGAATTGCAGGCGGGGTGTTGACCTTCCACCCACTCTTGAATTTACTCTCCACTGTTGAAGATGCTTAAGCACTTCGAACAATGATCGATCAAGGAGACCAACCTAGCTCGTAGGTTGCGTGCCCACGCGGTGCCTCAAGTATGAGCGGTGTTATTTTGACTGAGAATGACTTGCAGGTTTTGCCACAAAGGTGAAAACGCTTGAACTTTGGTCGACTCTTACACAACAAGCAGGCGACCTTGGCGTTGTCGGCGCACGCCTTCCCACATTGGTTGTGTCCTGCGAGCTTCGGACGCCTATGACAATACTTGTTGGACCACATGGTGAGCACGACCCTCTTAATGAAATTACACGAGCAGTATTTGGAGGATGACTTACATCGCACATTGTTTTATCAGCAGCCCCCTGCCTGCACAACTTCTCAGCACAAGTTAATCCACATGTAACATAATTTGCGCTATAGCATGGCCTGGTCTGACACACCTAGAGTCATATCGATATCGATCAGATTGGGCGCTTAACGCAAAGACAAAGGAAGTTTCGCGTACAACACATGGATCGGTTGGAGGGGCGGGTGCAGGAGCAGGTCGATGAAGGGTGATTGTGCTAGTGTTCGCCTGGCTTCTGTTGAGATTTGCGGTGCTACTGCTTGCTTGCCCGCTCAAGTCGGCTCCCAGTGCCAAAGGTCGTGGTCGTGGTCGGACCGGACGAGGGGATCGGAGAGCCGCCGTGTGCTGGGCTAGATTACCGACGCTAGAGCTCGCGTTGGTAGGACTTGTGCTCTGAGGTGCCTGACTGACGTCGCTAAGAGCCAGGGGCGGCGGCCTGCTGGGTGTATGGGCGATGCCACGACTCCGCCCGCGGGTGGTACCACGAGGTGGCGTTGCATTGCCGATGGCTTCCTCGAGAACGCGGGCACAGGTGTTCCCGCACGTTGGATAACTCTTCCCATTCTTCGAGTATGGTGGTCTTTGTTGGCACACCTACAACAAGTGAAGCACCCGGTAGTGACGGTAGAAGGAGGTAACGCACGATGCAAGTTGTTACGCCGGGGTAGTAAGGTGCCGGTGCAGGAGGTATATCAGCTGGCGAGACGTCCTCGGTGAAGTCGAGATTGTCGTCGTCGTCGTCGTCGCCAAAGACATACTCGTTATCGCTAAGATCGCGTTGATCATCGTCGTCTGGGCTTGTGGCCCCGTAGCCTTGGAGGCTGGAAGAAGCATACATGAGAGTTGTGGACAGAGGGAGTGAGGAGTATCTGGGAATGTATGTGCGGCAGAAGTTTACATCCTGGACAGGCACACACGCCCTTACATCGAACACCCTCGATGACGGATGACAGTGGGGAACAGCCTTAAGGCCGCCAGCAGACGTCCAAATAGGGTAACGAGCGCCTAAAGAAGAGGTCACTTGACTGACGCAAGGCCTTATCACGCACATCTCCTGCACCGCCCTCTTTCTTCTTCTTCCCATACATGCAAGACAGGAAACTCGAGCCACAGCCCGCCATGACTCCCCCAGTTCCGAACGACCCCCAGCCCTATCCTTCCTCCGCGATGCAGGCCCTCGTAACGTCGCATCCAACAGGTTTCGCTGATCCACTCTCGCGACCAGAGACGAAGCTTTCCAGTAACCCCTTTACCGACCAGGATGGACTCTCAGATGAAGCTATTGCGAGGATACTTGATCAGACTCCTCCCTCAGACGGCGAGATGTCTCCCGATGAGGACGCGAACATGTCCGACGGGGATGGGTTCTATTCCATGACTGAGGACCCACAAATGCCAGGGGCGCTACACAACCCACCTAGCTATACGCCTACGCTTACTTCACCACCAAATCCTTCCACGTTACCTGGAAGCCACTGGAATGGCGGTCCACCCGAAAGTTCGCCTCACCAATTAATTCCATCCAGCACGTTCCGACCTGATCTTGAAGAAAATTGGCCGAACCTACCTTCCAAATCCGCCACTCGCAACGTTCTAGTAAAACCCAGTAGTCCTCAGTCTGCTTCAGGCGCTTCGAAGAATGGTGGATATAGACCAACCGCGTCCGATGCCTGTGCGGTACGCTCACGTTGTTATCTTCGCACTCTAGAGTTGATGTTAGATCTTTTATGCAGGTGTGCAACAAACGCCCTGTTCATGTAAAGTCCCAGAACTGGACATGCTCGATTGAATGCTCCCAAAAGATGCAAGATCTTCTCGGTAATGACCTGAAAGGAAAGGCTTCGTCGAGCTCTGCTGGCCGTCCGTACGTTGTTCAATCATCCGGGCCATCATATTGGAACTGGGGCTATAAATCAGCGCCGATCAAGATGTGTGAAGTACACTCTTTTTCTGTTCGCAACAACTTCCATGCCTAAATCACGCCTTTCTAGGTCTGTAAAACTCGCCCCCAGTATCAAAAGGGTGGCAAGACCTACCCCACCTGCGGTCTCACCTGCGCCTCTAAATATAACCCATACAATGTGGAGGTGTGCGACGTGAGTGTGCCCTGCACGTTCCAGGACAAGTGTTAACCCCCTAGCTCAGTTCTGCAAACAACGACCCAAATTAGTGGTCAACGGCAAGAAATATCCCCAGTGCGGTAGGACATGCAGAGACAAAGCCCAAGCTGGTACGTGCTTTGCCCGGCCTCGCGTCCTCGACCTAATATCCTTCACACCAGCCCTTGCGACTGCGGCGAACTCGGCGGCAGGATCGTGCACGACATGTCCTATTTGCTGGAGATTGCCGGGTCATTCGACCTCTGCAGAAGGCTACTGTTCGAAGGCTTGCGACGCAATAGCAGAAGCGAAGGCACCTGTCCTGATCGAGCTTCCTCGCGGGCACGTCGCGTTTAAGAAAGGTCCGTCAATACTTGTTGAAATATGATAGGCCATTCAGTTGTGGGACAGCTGCGGAGATCTTCTCGGCGGCGTGGAAGCAGAGGGCTGCGCCCTGCCCGACTGTGAAGAAGATCTTCAGAGTCAAGGTCAAGGCATCTGCCTTGGGAGAATACGATGTGCACAAGTACGTGTACTCACCCACTCGTCCAGCCTGCTTCACAGTACCAACATTTTTCTCAGATCGCAAGTTAACCCACACGGGTTGTTCAAGACAAAAGGGAATGAGCAAATACGGTTCATCGGGACGAATCGCGAGTGCACGATCGGGGACGGTGCCACGACGGAAGCGTGCGGGTCGCCAAAATGCCTGTATTGCAGCGTGATCAAGCGGAATGTAAGCAAGGAGCACTTCCCGTCGGGAATCATGACGGCGCAGCTGGAAAGGTATGCGATTTGCTTTTACTATTACATGCTCGAAACTCAACTTCGTCGCAGAGCGATCGAGACTGCATCGAATGTGAAGAAGCGCTCGCCGAAGGTGGTGCTCATGACGAACGTGCTGGTTGGTAAGAGCGTGAAGATGGGCATGGTTGAGCTCTCGGGTGAGCTTCCCCCACCGGGTAGTGACTCCGTGAGGACTAGTAGGCCTTCTCGTTATGTTCAGTGCTGATGCAATGTTTAGGTTCAGCTCGTTGGGTACCAGCCACACGGAGGCAAACTCGACCTCGGAGAGGTCCTGATTTTCCACCCAGCTGCGATTAAGCCTCTCTACGTCCTTACATTCGAGTAGCTGGTGTACATCTGGTGATTAATGGCCCTGTTTATATCGTGTAAAACACAACTCACGTACGATCTTTTCGTTGGATAATTTCATGCTGCTATCCTCTTTTCCAACCTCGTGGGCTGTTGAAGTGCGAAATCACTCTCGTCAGTGGTTTGTCGTGCGCTTAATCTCCAACGGTGTACACGAAATCTTCCAAAATCCTGTGACAAGTTAAAATGTCGCGAGGAGGATAAGTAATGTACTACCAACGGTGATTCATCAAAAATAGGGGTACTGGCGCGGTCCAAAATGGGATAATGAGTAACACGTGACCGCGTTCAGTTGAACCAAGCCGCAAGCGCGTCGTTTTCACCCGGGATGATGGATCCTTCTCTTTTCTTCTCTCCTTTCCCCGTCCCCTATGTTTCCTTCTCTATCTCTTCAAATATCTCTTATATTCATCTGGTAAACAATCAACACTACTTAAATGGGGGTTGCGGGCCTCTGGGATGTAAGTCTTACTTTCACCCATCGCTGTTCAGGTGTGCATGGACCCTCGCTCACCCACTGTCATTGCCAGATTCTCAAACCAGCCGGAAAAGTACGCTCGCTGACAGATCTTGCCATTCAAGAAGGTTTCAAAGCCAACCCGGACGGAAAGCGTGGATTCAGGTTGGGTATCGACGCTAGCATTTGGTTCTTCCACGCAGAGTATGGGCGAGAAGGCGAGAACCCCGTCCTGAGGACCCTCTTCTTTCGCTGTGCCACCCTGATGAAGACGACGTTTCTCCCAATTTTTGTTTTCGATGGGCCGAAGCGACCGGATATCAAGAGAGGCAAGAAAATCAACAGGACGAGCCACAAGCTTATTCCGGGCATGAAACAGATTGTGGAGGCTTTTGGATTTGAGTGGCGTATGGTGGGTCTTTTTGCCTTTTGCATATTCTATTTATGAACTCGTCTTCGTTATGCAGGCTCCTGGCGAAGCCGAGGCTGAACTGGCGTATCTAAATCGCATTGGCATCATTGACGGTATCCTCTCTGACGATGTGGACAATTTTCTGTTCGGTGCCGCCACTGTCATTCGAAAGTGCGTATTTTCCTCCTCGCATACCTTTACTGTCATCTTAATTGATCCCTTGTATCGTGTAGCTCAAGCAACACCCTCTCTGGAAACCGCGCGAATCCTATTCTGAACTCTGTGGGCAAGGATGACAAGAACCACACTCGCATCTTTCGCATGGAAGATATTACCAACCACCCAAACGTTCGGCTGACACGCGGCGGTGTGATTCTCATTGGACTCATGAGCGGTGGAGACTACCAACAAGGCGGTCTCATGCGTTTTGGCATCACAACAGCGCACGGTCTAGCGAAGTGCGGGTTCGGCGACTCGCTCTTCGAGGCCGCGATGAACCTCGACCGAGAGTGCCTCGAAGACTTTCTCGTGGCTTGGAGACATGAGGTCCGCCAGGAGTTGCGTACCAATTCCAAGAACGAGATAGGACGTAAGCAATCGGCCCTTGCTAAATCCATTCCAGAGGACTTCCCAGACATCGATATCTTGCTCTCCTATGTGAGGCCTATCACGTCGGAGAGCATGGGTCGGGAAAATAATAACATCAAGTTAACATGGAGCAAGGAACCAGACCTCGCCAAGTTGGCTGCGACGTGCGAGTTCTACTTCGAGTGGGGATACAAGGAAGCCATTATCAAGAGGTTTAGGACGGTCATATGGCCCTCGATTGTTCTGAGAATTCTCCGGAGAGCAGTGCTAGACCGTGACGAAGGGATTACACCCAACAGAAATCAAAGTGCGACCACGAACCCACCCACCACGCCTAGGAAGAAAGGCAAGGAACAAGAAGAATGTGGTACACCCTCCAAGATGATCACGAAACACTTCTCGTCTTTGGGCCTCGCTACACCAAGTAAGGTTTACATCTCTGGTTCAGAGTCGGAGGACGAGGACGAGGAGACGGAGAATCTCATCCTGAAGATCCATTCGGCACGCGAACATCCTTCAACTGATGGCCTACTCGAGTACCGCCTCGAGATCGCGCCGAAGCAGCTTGTGCGTCTAGCAGAGCTAGGTATCCAGGGTTTGCGTGCACCAGAAGGCCCGGACGAGTGGGCTTCAGATGACGGCGAAGATGACGGAGACGATGAAGAAGGAGGGAAGAAGAAGGGCAAGAAGCCCCCTGTGGACCCAGAAGAACATTTGAGACTGTGGATGCCGGCGTGTATGGTCCATATCGTCGAGCCGCGCCTTGTGAAGGAGTATGAAGACGCGGAGGAGGCCAAGGTAGCGAAAAAGGCCAAGAAGGGGACGAGGGCTGCCGCGAACAAAGGACAAGACAAGGGTAAAAAGAAGGCCCCTGCCGGGAAGAAGGCACCTCCGAAAATCAAGACGAAGACGCCAGTCGTCGTTGAGGACGAGGAAGACGTATTTTCTGCGCCAGTCGCTGAGAGACCTAAAGCGAAGAAGACAGCGACCAAGGCAAAGGCAAAGACCATAGTGAAAGAGCCTGAGTACCCGCCACTGTACGATGAAGATGAAGAACAAAACCACGACAGTTTTTTTGGGCAGCCAATCAAGCCACCAGCTCCAGCAAAGAAGGCGATAAGTTCGTTGTTCCAGGACCTTCCGGAATTGTCTGATGATGAGATGCCGGAGAGCATCCTCGACCTTGGCCGACCTCGAAAACCCGTGCACCTGAAGCCAACCCAGCCGGCCTATGAAGAAGTGGAAGACTCCTCGGAAGATAATCCACCGCCTGTTCAATCACGACCTCCTGGTCCACAGATGCGCGAAATCCAGCAAGTGCCTCCGAATTCGATCAGCTCTCCAGGGCCCAAACCACGAACAGGTATCAAGGATCTTACCAAGAGGAAGACAGCCTCGATGGCGGCGACAACTGGGCTGAAGTCGTTTTTTTCTGTCGCACATTCCTCTGCAGTCTTTAACGACAAGCAGACAAAACTTACCGCACGATCTGTATCTGTATCTCAGGCAACTCATATTCCAACATCTCAGGAGGCTAGCAGTCGCAGCTCGTCTTCGTCCTCGTCATCGAAGAATAACAGGCATGCAGGGTCTTCGAATTCAGCATGGTCAGGATCGACTACCCTGGCGCCTGTCTCAGACGACGAAGAGTACGACATAGGCCTATGGGACAAGAACGGCAAGGTCGCTCCTTCTGTTACCCTCTCACCCTCTAAGCGGAGGGCGCGCAATGGCTCATTCTCAGGCTCAGAGCTCAAGAAATCCCCAAGAAAGAAAGCGTCACAAACCTCGCCCCAGGGCAATCGACGGCCAGTGTCACCTATTCAGTTCATGACTACCAAGAAGTTCAACAAAGTGATCGAGATTTCGACGGATTCTGACGATGATTCGGACGACTCGCCACCCAGTAGAATCGTGCCGGCGAAATCACTTCCACCCCTTCTCGCTGCCCGAGCCCGAGCTGCCTCATCACAACGAAGCGCATCTACAGCAGCGAAATCTCCGATTGCTTATATACCTGCAGATATCATTGATCTTACATGAGATTTTAATTTCTCATTCACTACTACTCATCCCATTTTCGTTCTTTATTGAATGTTGTACGTATGATTGTGCTTGGATAGAAAAAGTGGTAGCAGCACTACAATTACAAATGTTGGAATCCCATCAGTTTGGGGAATAGGACAGATACAGAATGTCCCATGAGCAGTGAGCCGGTCGATTACAAGGATGCGTCAAGAAATGAGAATTTTGGTGTTAGAACGAAGTGGTGAAGTCACGTAAAGCCTCTTGGCCCATGACACCGTCACCCAGGTCAGCCAGTGGTTCATCTGGAGGAAGCTGGTTTTTAAAGCGTCGGATAGCTTCCAGGCGGTTCTGCCAGTTTGTTTTCATCTCAACACGCACGGTGTCGTGCTGGGTGTGGGAGAAAACTGAAGCAAACCAGTCGGCAAGGAGGCTGAGCTGTCGCACGAGGAGGGGGAGATTCTCCGCCGAGATCAGCTTGAAGTGACCGATAGGCGCAAATTCGGTCATGCCAGGAGCAAGCTGGACCGTAACCTTGAAATATTCGTTTTCGTGGAGGTTGTTGGAAAAGGCCGCAATGGAACCAAGAGAATGAGGCTCGACGACGATGTTGACAAACTGGAACTGGGTGGTCAACGTGTCGAAGCGGTAGGGCATCCCAGAGTCATTCCAGACGATGCGGACGTAGTCGTTGCCAATATGCCGCTTCTTGTTGTTGCACTGAGGGTCGATATCAACAGTGGGCATCATCGTCGCAGTATGGTACAGGATCTGGCCGATGTCGTCCCACCAGGCGTACGCATACTCTCCATCCTCATCTGGCTCGAGCCCACCGGCATACACGTCCATCTGACCCCGAAGGTTGATGAGCCGACCGATGCCTTCGAGGAAGCGAGTGTAAGCGGGAGATCCATGCACGTTTCGAAGGATCTCTGTCTCCTCGCATTGTCCTGGTGCGACGTACATGATGCCAACTTTGTGCGTGTCGATGACGGGAATTCGATCAAGAGTGGTAACAAATCGAGGGAGTGCTGCAGAATCCGGAACTCTGCGGACAAAGGGCGGCGTGGTGCCATCAGGTATGGGCGAAAGTTGGAGAATCAGGAAAGAAGGGTCGATCTCGACTTGTTTTCGCCGCTGAGATGGAGCAGTGCCGCTCCAGACGTAGCCAGTAATAGGATCAGGTACGGGAGGTTCGCCTCCAGATCCTTCGGCGACATGGCTGAGCCCATGAGCTCGTTCCTATATAAATTGAAATTAGCGATAGCACATTGAGAATTTACCATTCTGACCTTCGGGGGGCCGCCATTCTCCAGGCCCTCTCCATCGACGTTAAGAGTTAATCGAGACGGGTTTCTCTCCATGATAAGGCTAGCGGGCACTGATAACAAATCCGGTGTAACGTCTCCAGGACCGACCATGGGCACGTTCTCAATGCGGCAGATGAATCGCGAGAACCCAGAGGGCCGTCGTGACATAACTTCAACCCAGCCCGACCGAGCAAGTGCGCGTATTGTCATGATCGAGTGGCCTAAAATCCACGTCTTCTGGTTTTCTGGTGCCTTGTCCGATGAGCTTAGGACGATGTCGGAGAACGTCGAGTGCGCAGGACGTGGGTCGGCACTGGCGTACGTGTACCGCGCTAGCCAGTCGAAGCACACCTCCGTCGGTCCGTCGACCTGCTCGTTTCCCTCATTTGCGAGCAAGAGCTGCCGCGCAATAAACCTGATGTGACGAGGTCGGTCAGGGAGCTTAACTGCGAGGAACCAGATGTACACCGCCGAGTACGAGAGGATTCGGACATGCTGCGAGAGTGCCCACGACATCGTGATGGCGTTGGTTGAAGAAGCATGGAGGCGATTGTAGTGCTGCAGATATTGAAGCGCAACACCAAAAACCATCTTAAAGTCGGCCTCTGTGAAATTGACGTGCAAGGCAGGTAAGGAACCAATGATGGAGAGGAAACCGAGGATATGCACGGCCATGTTGGGGTTGGACATGATCTGCGACAGCTTTTCGAGGATCCGAGAAAGGCACTTGGTCATCGACGGTTGCAGCTCGAATGCTGAAAGTGATAGAGCATGCAGACAGCATTTGATTGTCGATAGCTGTCCGTTCAACCCTGCCTGGAAGACTTCCACCAGGTAGTGGCACTGTTGCAGGTCGAAGCACCGTCGATAGCTTATCAGGACGGAGAGGGTTTGGTAGGCTAACCCATGCGCATCGCGCGCCTTGAGCCCTGGCGGCCAGCTCTCTACTGCACCTCCGAGCTCACCATTGATGATACCCGTGCATAGGATTGGCAGCATCTTCGAGATCGCTGCACGCGACTTGGGCCCGCAGAACAGGTGCTTATTCGCGAGCTGCACAGGCAAATGACACAGCACATACGATAGCACCTCCCAACTCAATTCGCGCTCGAGGATCGCATTGATCGCTTGGAGGTATTTGGAGACAGGCAGGACGAGGACCCTGTCGGGGCCGTCGGGATCGTAGGACATTAGGACTTCGGAGGGTGAATCAGGCCCTGAGACATAGAATGGAAGTGAAGAAGACTCTGGTATGCGCCATAGTCGTTCAACGGGTTTTGGAGGTGTTGAAGGAGTGGCTAGTGGTCGAGGAGCACGAGAACGACTCCTGCTGGCGCCGGACCGAGATGGACCGCCTCCCCCTCTTCCGCTAGAAACCTGACGTCCATCGCGTTCATGAGGGAATCGTGCTCGAGCTTTACGAATGTCGACCGAATCTGGGCTCATAGGTTCTTCCATTCCACCTGCTCTATCATTCGACGATGGTCTCTGGTCTGCATCGCCCACACGCCCGATCAAGGAGGCGAGAGAGTGGATGAGGCCGTTGGGATCGTAGGCCTCGCTCGCGAAGTAGAGTCGGTGGTCGCGATCAGCTCTGAGCCGCATGAGGAATTGCAACGCAGTTATCCTCGCCCTGTTGGATTTCCCCTTCGACAGAATGCAAAGTAGCATTTCATACACGCGCACCGCCAGCCGCAGATTCTTTGGTTGCAGGGCGAATGGCGTGAATGTGAGCTGGCAGAAGATCTCGACGAGAGCAGCTACGGCTGAGACGTCACGCGGAACCAAGGGCACGTCGTCCCGCTGGGAATTCGCTTCTGGTTCCTCCCTGATGTCGTCTTGTGGGTGTGGGTTCATGGACTGCGAACGTGACGAGGAGCCGCCAGCTGCCAGAGAGGTCAGGATGGACATCACTGACGGCAGCCCGGAATCCCTCTCTCGGTGTGGAGACACGACGCTGGTGTCGGTATGGAGCCGCGAGAGGGTCGGCGAAACGATAGTCGACGTTCCACCAGGAGAATGGGTATCTGCGGTGTTGATCGAGGACGTTTCCAGGCTGCTCTCAACTTCCTCCTCCTCTGGCGGTTGCTCAGACGCAACGTTGACGAGCAAGTCAAGGAGAGACATGAGTTCTGCAGTGAAGGCAGAGTCTTCTTCATCGTCTTGCTCTGCATTGCGTAGAACGATTTCTTCACCCAATATCTTCCACATCACGTCCGCGTCGTCGCTTTGTGGGGCGATCCTACCACAGAAGCTTGCCACGAGGTCACCCAGAGGACGACGGTACCGCGTCATATCCTTCACGCTGATGTATACGCTCTGCAACGCCTCCACGATCGTCCTTCTCGTCAACGGTCGGTCAGGCGCCATGAGTGTCTGGTTCTCGAGCAGAGTACGCCAGTTGTCCAACCATTCGGGCGAGGTGGGCGAGAGGTCCTGCTGCTCCATCATGAGTATGGGCAGGCGCGAGGTATCGCTGTCGGTAAGATGCTCGGCGACGTGAATAAGGATGGTCGAGAGAAGAGGGTTGAGTGCCCTGGAGTAGTCTCGCGAGAGCAGGGAGGAGACGGTCCGCAGGATGGGAGTCGGCGCGTCAACAGGGTGGCCAATAGGAATGATGAAAGGCAGCCCGTCTTGGTTTCTTGCATAGCGGTAAGATCAGGGAAGGAGACGACAGAGGGCTGGCAACTCACTTCAGAGGCAAGACGTAGCCTGACAGTTGTAGAAGAGTCCGTCCCACAACTTCTGCTTCCTCCTCGTCCATCCCTCCATCGTCCTCCTCTTGCAAATCCAGCTCCTGTAAGATATCCTTCAGGATCCCAGCAGCCTCCTCAAGGATCTCGTCCTTCCCTTCCCTCTCCTTTTCCCATGTACCCCTCTTCTCTTCCTCCGACTTGACATTGGCATCGTCGAATTCGTGCTTGATCCACGCACCGACACTCTCAGCTAGAGCCTTGCCCAGACGGGCCGCGTCCCACCCAATACCACCAACACCCACAGAAGACGCGGTGTAGTCGTCCTTGGGCCACGCCCTCTCCATCAGGTCAACTTGAAGCTCCAAGTGGACTGGCGCGCCGGAATGCGAGTACCCCATCGAAGTCTCACGCGAAATGTATGCTCGTGCAAGCCTTGCACACAACGCGCGTCGGACGTGGTTGCGCAGTGTACGGTGCGCACCGAGAGAAGTCATGATGGCAATTCGAGAGGGCTGAGGAGAAGAGGAAGGGAAGAGGTGCTGCCGGAGGACGAGCATGGACGTGGCGGAATATGGCCCCGACAGGATGGAGCTGAGCATCTCTGTGATCTTGTCCTCGAGATTATTCTTTTTACGAGACTGGAGCATGACGGAGAGTCGTGGAAGCGGAGCCGCGCAGAACGCAAGTGCACGGAACAGGACCGGAAGGATGAGGCTGAGGTGAATGGGTGGGAAATATTTGATCTGTGCCGTGACATGGTCGAGGAAGAGGGCGGTGGCGAAGTCTGCTGCAGATCGGAGAGGTGGTGGGGGCGGTGGGACGGTAGAAGAGGAAGAGGAGAGTGACGAGAGGTTGCGGCGATGGCCTGCCGTTGATTGCCTTCCGGAAGGAGTCGAGTTGGCTGAGGGGGCAGAAACGGGCGTTGTTGGCGGCAGTTCTCGAGGGACATCGGGGGAAGAAATAGCGCGATCGACGAGGCCAGAGTAAAAATGGAGAACCTTGGCCATCTTTTCGTCCATAATCCTGGACTTTATGCTGTCCTTCGCGAGGATATCTTCGAGGAACTTGGCGATAAGCTCGATACTCCTCTCGCGTTCTGTCCGCTCAGAACGCTCGATAGAGGACGGGGGCTTGATGAGGCCATCAAAGGCACCTTCTATCCACCATTGGAGAGTGTCGATTACGTTGGACTCGACGCCCATTATCTCCGTACCGTCCTTCGTGAGGGCTCTGAGAGCCTTGAATCTGGGCTCCCACAGATCTACGGCCCAAGACGTGCTGCTTCCGAGGAAGAGAGAGAAGTAGGCAAGCCTCTCTGGTGTCCCAAGAGACGTTGCCTCATGATTTTCCCAATACGCGGATAGAATGTCGAAACCTGCTGCCTGGACGGCAGGCGGAGACCCTGCATCGCACAGAGCGTTGAGAAGGGGGTTCAGGAGCTCCCGACGGGGAAGAGGGGAGTGGTTTGAGAGGGTTGTCGCGAGAGCACGAGCATGAGCCAAACTTGGGACTGAGGGCGGCGTCAAGGCGTCGATAAGACCCTGTAAGCATAGTACTGGCTGTGCGACAGGGGGCGGGGGAGGAGTGTGCTGCTCAGGCCGGGTCTTGCGCCAGGAGAAGGGGGCGAATGACGCGGTGTTGGCGCGTTGGCGCTGTCGGGTCGATGGTTCTGGCTCTTGTCGGGACATTCATGAAGACGGACGCTGGGAAGGAAGAGACTCAGAGTGTCACAAACTTCGCACAAAGCCCGTTTCACCATCATGTGATCTCTCCGTTATCTTATCAGCACTTATAACATTTAGCGCCCATGCTCCTTTTACACGCTCAGACGCAGGTGTGAAAGGAGCATCGAGTTCTCAGTACTGTCTCATGCTGCTGCAAGTGGGTGCAGGGATTATCGATCCGGGGTGGATCACTTCTAGGTAGGCTATTGTTAGACCAACTTCTGAAGCTGCAAATCCTTCAGATACCTCCAGGAATTTGAGTCGAATAGCTTAATCCATATTGCTTGGCACGCCACAGGCCCAAAACTCGCGACATTCTAAGCCAGCATGCTCAACCAAACCACATGGGGATACCAAGAGCCTTACCGTCCAGGACAAACATAGCAGTGGTAGCGCCAAAGTCCCAACAATGGCGTTGGAGAAGATTGACTGTGTAATCGAGTATGCATTCTATCTCTCCAAATCTTACCATTTTCCTTAACTATGTATGTTGACAATGTTTGTGGAAACGGGCGCCACTCCGGCACTAGAAAAGAACAATTCACAAAATACCAGGGGGGATCAATTACGTATTAGAGCAGCAAGCATCTACGACAGGAATCATACTAACGCAGACGCTTGAATCAACATCCGTTCGTAGGTATTTCTCAAACCGAAGAACAAGGGAGTCCGAAGATTGTCCAAGCTTGATCCAACATATGTAAAACTTGCTCCAACAAAAGCACAGATTGCATGTCCCATCAGTCCCTTTTAGCCTACTTCTTGCAATATCCATCCGAGTTCCGGATGAAGTTGATGCTGCCATCAGGTTGAGTCTGACCGCCCGTGTTGGTCGCATCGGAGGACGTGTGACACTTCGAGAAGAGCGAGCAGGTGAGCTGGGTGCTTCCATCCTAAATTGAATATTTTCAGCATGTAGGACGTAACGAGAATGAGCAATAGGGCACGAACCTTGCCGTTGACGTCGTTGTAGGCTTGAAAATTTAGACATTAAGACTTCAAGACTCAAAGAGGGAAGGCATATTTTGCTTACTATTGACAAACTTGCATCCCGAGACGTTGTTGCACATAGCCTTGCAGTCTATGATGGATACGGTGATCAGCGACTGTTCATATTCGGGGATACAGGCCTGCGACGCCACAGCTTCCAAATCGAGCTCCAACTCGATCGGCGCGTCGCAGTCGGGCATGAAGTAAGCAGAAAAATACGTACCAGCGATGGTGTCAACGAGCCCGAAGGTCAAATAGTCTTGAGCCTGGGTGGCGCCGGTAAGGTTCTTGAAGGTCTGGGTGTACCCATCGTTGGGAGGCGGCGGGAAGTGAGGTGGCTTCGGGCACTGGATGGCCCAGGGGAAGAGCTTGAGGATTTTGCAGATGATCTACCAGCGCAGAGCAATAATATGATTAGAACAACAACTTTGTGCAAATAATGCAGAGAAACAACTCACACCACCCCACCAGAGGCACGGGAAATGAGGATACTTCCAGGGGTTGGGGCCGTAGTACCACCCGGGCTTGCCATGGTGCCAGGGCGGGATCGGGGCACCGTAGTAGTTCTTCGCGGTCAAATCGAACCCTACGGTGGTTCGGAGGTCGAGGGAGGCGGTGACAGAGGTGAGGTCTGTCGACTCCGTGTCTACCCCTTCGATTGGCTCGATGTCGACAGCGGCTTCCTGGGCGACGACGCTGGAGAGCGCGAGGGCGACTATTGTGAGAAGGGCGGTTGGGAAATGCATTTTTTGGCTGGAAGGTGGCGGGGAGGAGAAGATGCAAGGACCTGGAGTTGGAGCTGAAGCTGAAGCGGGGCGGCTCTGAGCTGGAGGAAGAGGGAGGGATGGACGCGGGTTTTTATATTACGATCCGTCGCCGAAGCTTGCAATGGCACGCGTGGAAAGCATGGAACGGATGCCGTCAACTAGATGCCGAGAAAGGACAGAAGATTCAGAGAGGCAGATTCGACGCGCGCGGGGATGGAACGGAGGACATTCTGCACACACCCGCATCGACCTAACTTCCAAGGCGCGGCAGTGTTCTGATAGAGGAACAGACAGGCCTGGACACTGACTTTGACGCGCTTCTCCTCTGCGTGCCTGCATAATTTTACTCACTGAATCGCTTTTTGACACTGCGCTCGCTTGCGGGCATAACGTTAGCACAGACCTGGAAGCGCTGATTGCCTGGGTTGATCATCGAATAGATGTTCGTCCTGCTTGTATTTTTTCACGCGGTGGGCAGGAAGGATGACATGCTGGTGACACCTGAGGGAAAAGAACGTCCGTCAATAACATAACGTATCAGTTGATCGAGACCTTGTTCGTGGTTCCGGCTTGATCTTTGTCTGGCATCGGTGAAGCGGATGAGTCTACCAGGAAAGACGCGTCGTACAGTTTCGCTCATCACCCAAAGAGGAATGTGGAGCGACCCAACAGTCCATGCGCCACACCGAAAAGCAGACTAAGTGGTGTGAGCCTGCTCCTCAGCGAACGTGTTCGCTCCACGGTCAAGGGCCGCATTTCAGGTACTGATACTGTCATGGGGCAAGAACAACTCTTCAAAATCAAAGTTCGACTTGACAAAACTCGCTTCGGAGTCGGACGCACATGTCCTGGGCACTGCCGAATCTGAATAAGTGAGGAAGATTGCGTCTTCGAAGATTGTTGGACGTACGTACCGGGCCCTCCAAATCCCGCTGATCCACGAGGCTACGCGGGCTTTTGGGGCGGGACGAGCGAAGGACAAGAGACACCTAGGGAAGCCGGAAGACGCTGGAAGGACATGCCGATGGGATGCTGTACTTACATAGAGAAATTGAATTGTATTTCGGCACCTCGGGCGTCCGGATCAGAAAGCGATGTCGAAGAGAAGAGGGGAGAAGGAGAAGGCTCACGACATGAGTTCGGGCTTCGCTCAGGTCCGTTGTACCGCCGCCACACCCAGCATTCAAATGAGGTTGGAATAAGGTGCACTACATAGGATCAGAAAGAAAAATAAAAAAGACCGCCGGAGTAGAAAGAGGGGCGCGCCTCTGAGAACCATATCAAATTCTGAGGAAGGTCTATTTAACGCGGGATATTATATTCCACTGAACTGAACAATACGCGCACAATACGCGCCGGGTCCTTAACCGAGCTCATTCTCTTGTTCTCTCAATTCTATAACGTGGAAAAGGCGCTCGAAGACTCAAACGTCTTCCATCCGATAGCTTGAATCGTTCAGCTCTGTCCGACCCGCTCCACGATATGGTAAAATGAAGTTCGCATCCACATGTACACGGAAGTGCCACATAGGTCTGGCAGTGAGGCCGCCGCAGTGACGCGGGACGGAACGCCTATGTAATACTCTAGACAGATAGATGCCACCCTTTCTCGAATCTCGAATTGCGGAGTCAGGCGCCGTTGCTTACAATTCCTTGCAAGTAAGCTGTTTCTTCTGTTTCTGCAGCTGTGTCTGTTGTGTCCATTTGATGGCCTAGATGAGAAGGAAGTTTGGGATCAACCCATCAGGAGACTAAACCGAAGTCGTCAAATGCAGCCCACGAATGTCGAGCGGAAGCAAGAGTCCATACACAAGTAAATGGCAGAGGTAAAGAACGGAAATTTACACGCCTTGGAAGGTTGACCGGCGTGCGTTCCGAGTCTGCGTAACGTCGACTCGTCAGCCAATTGCGGCGTAAATGCTTATAAGCGAGCAGGCTAACGAAATTCACTCACGAGCTCCCAATCGCGAACAACACGTTCGCCGGTCACCACTCCATGTCCACGTCCACGTCCATCTCTACTTACGGAACGATGCGAGCCCAACCTTCGAACGCATGTAAATCCCCCGTTAATTTACCTTCAATCCAGGTATCATGATGCCATCGGTGATGCGATGTCTTCGTAGAAGCCCACACCCAGAGCTCGAGCGTGCCCATACAAGCATTTTGGGCGGAAACAGAGCTGCTCGGAGTGCTTGTAAGGTGCAGGCCCTGGCCTTGGCAAGGTCTAGGACAATGGGGATTTGGACGCTGTTAGAATAGAGTCCTGATCCTTGCCGGTCAAAGCGGTGAATTGAATGAATGGATGGATAGAAGTATCAGTCACTGGCAGAGGTGTGAAGGTGTGCATTGAAGTTCGAACGTTTGCATGGCCAGTCTAGATTGTGTGCCCAAGAGTAAGCATCGGAGGTATGTAGATGAATGAAGGCCCAGGTAAGTTGAGGTAAGTACATAAGGAATCATAAATCTGTTATCTGTCATGATAGTAGTCGGTGATTCTGCGACTTTAAATGATAATTTCGTTGAATACGCACCATCAGCATTCGCGCCTACGCGCTCTCCGTCGTCGACATCACCTCTCCCTTCTCCTTCTCCCTGAATTTCACGTCTACATCATGTTGACTCCGCGTAGAGGACATATCTTCCTTTTCCTTCTCCACCGCGAGCGCCGCGAGGAAGTCCTCCGCAAGTATAACGTGCTCCACAAACGTCTCCAAAGCCGGGAAGGCCAAGGAGAAGAGGGTGTACACGCCCAAGGCCGTAAAGAACTAGAGGGGATAGTGCTCGAGGTCAATCATACGTTAAGAAAAGGGAAGGTCTAGGTACGACAAGTGGAGTTCTAGGAGTGGGATAAGAATAGCAAGGCACGCACCCCGAAGAGCCAAGCGACGTTGAAGAGGAACCGTGCGTTGCCCACGGGGATCGAGGTGTTGATGTTGTTGATCAGCCCGGGGAGGGTCGGGGCTATTGAGACGATGAGTGCGACGAGTGCACGCCAGTTCTATGTAGTGGTTGTTGTCAATGTCATTTGGAATAAAAAGGATGGAGTGGAGGGGAAGGACGACGACGTACGATGCCGTTCCAGTACCTGTATCTGCCGTGCGGATCGTACATGGCGGGCACGTCGACTTTGCACCGGTGGATGATCCAATACTGTCAAGTCAAAGAGGTGATTAGTGGACATTGCCAATGATTGAGAACAGGGATCTATCTCCTCACATCAGCCACCATTCTGAAAAAAAAAGATCAACGCCGTAAGCACCTTCCGAAATCCAAGTCACAAAAAAATGCTCACATCCCCGCAAATGGGCCCAAGAATACCGTATACCCCGACATGAACGACAAGAACCCCGGGGCAGACGCCAATATCTCCCAGGGGCACAGAACCCACCCGCCAATAATCGCACAGATGACCTGCCCACGGCGGATGTTGATATACTCGGGCAGGAGGACCATCATATCGTTGGCGGCGGAGAGGCTGTTTGCGGAGATGTTGGTGCCGAGGGTGGCGAGGATGAAGGAGAAGGAGGCGAAGAAGGCCGCGGCGCGGTTGTCCCACCGGTCGATGAGGTGTAGCGGGTCCCAGAGGACCTCGCCGTAGAGGACTTCGCCGGCGGCGGTTACGGACATGCCTGGAGGTAGGTATTGATGATGGAAATTTAGGGAGAGGGAGGAAGGGACGTACCGACAAAGGAGATTAAGGTAAATGCGACGGGGATGATGGCGATCTGGATCATTTGTCTGGTAAAATCAAAATCAAAATCGTCAAGATAGGATGGAGTATGCGCAGGCGCTTACGCTCGCTCATTCTTCGCATAACGCTACCAAAACGCGAATCAGAGGTCTGATAACCAGTTGATCATCAGAGGTACTCACAGTAAAATCAGGAATGTTGACCGAAAGTGTCGCGTAGATCCCTAGCGAACTATTTAGGGCGCTCAACCAGGCCCAGCTGAGGTCACTCCCATTCAAGCTCGAGTGCTGGGGCTCGAGGCTCCTACTTGCAGGCACCTTGACGAAGGCCCAGATAAGCATGGCCAACCAGGCGAAGGGGACGATTATGCCTTTGATGGTGAAGAAGTAACGGATGTTTTGCGGCGAGATGAACATGAGGGGGAATTGGATAAGCCAGTAGAGGAAGTAGCACATCATGCCTGCCAGGGTAAAGGTGAGTTGAAGGGAAGAAGGGATGGGATGGAGGACGAACCGACGGTGGTGATGTGCGCGGACTCGGGCAGGCGATTGGGGATTCGGGCGACAGAAGGCCAGATAGCTTTGAGCATTTGGTATACGCACTCTGAGCCAGTGTATGTCTTTGGGAATTTTAAGTCCAACCGCATTTATTTATGAAGGGTTGGAGGAACGGACCTGGACACCGAACCAGAACATCGCGAGCACCACCCTGCTAACCACGCTGAAGTAGCTGAGCCAGAACCCGAAGGACGAACGATTGAGGATGGGGAAGGCGATATGCAGTCGTGCACCAATCGTTCCGTTGAGGACCATGACGACCTATGTATATGCGCGTCGAAAAAAGCTTATCAAGGGGATATCCCAAACTACAGACGTACCGCAATGATCGAGCTCCCCAGCGCAATCGCAGGCAGCGCCTGCCTCCACGACAAACCGACCGCTAGCATGCTGCTCGCGAGCTGCCACACTGCGGCGTTGGTGGCGTCCGATATCCAGTACGCGCAGTAGTCCCAGGTAGACCAGGTTCGTTCCTCCGGGGGCACGGGGTCCATGTCCTTGTTACTCCATCGTGAGGAGGGCCCGAACTTGGAGACGTGCTGCTGCAGCGCCCAGGTGGCGGGTTTGAGCGGGTGGAGTTTGGCGGCCGCCATCTTGGGTGGTGGAAAACTTCAAAGTGAAGTTGAATATGGGGGATCGACGATAGGCGCAAGGGCGGATAAGGGCTTCTCGAGGTCCATTATATGGACCAACCCCACATGGATCGGAAATAGATAAGAGAGACGGAATAAAGATGGATAGGGCGAGGCAGGACAAGATAGGCCTAGGACGCGAAAGTTTCAGCCGCTCGCCGTTGAGTAAAGGTATCGGGGTAGCGGTGAATATGTCGAAGAGGCATAGAAGTGTTGGGATGCGGAAGAAGCTGGAAGGTGTTGCGTCGAAGTTGTGAGGATGAGGAAGCTGGGCACAGAAAAGACTCACGTCAAGATAACGAGGCGAGATCAAATCCACTCGATAACTTATCCCGGTCCGGGTTCCTGGTCATCGCAGGCAGCCATGAAGACCTCAGCGTTTCCCGATTAGCAATCGCGCCCCGCCGCTCCCGATCATATTTCCACTCAGGAGGCCATCCTCCCTCCTCCTCCCTCCCGTAATGTCCTCTATCGCGACCTTCGACGATCCCACCCCCTGTAAGTTCCCTGTGTACCACCCTTTCCTCCAGTCTCACTTGTTCTAGTGCTCATCGCCTGCGGGCTTACATCTGCCTACGCCCACCAAGTTGTTAAACGGGCAGACGTCGACGGGAACGAAATCCTATCCGAACCTGGCTACTACATGGAGGAATACTGGGGCGACGACCTCGATGACGATCATAGGTATCCCTGTGACGGTCTGTTGTCCCTCGGCATCCCTTCCACGTCCGCCTTGCTAAAGAACCATCCAGCGTCCACCCTCCGCGCGGGCTTTGAGTCCCGCCTCCCTCTCCCACCGCAACACCTCTAACTATGGCAAGATGATCATAGAAGGCCGTTTCGGGCGCCTGAGGCGTGGTCAGTTGGAGTTGACATTTGCGTCCCCAGTCCGTTCGAGGATATAGGCTTAGTTATGCATCCTTCCTGCACACATTTCCCTTTCCGCGGGGTATTTATTAGCTGCTCGAGACAGTGTGCACCGTTAATACGGTATTGCGACTTGAGAAACTTCAAAGGAGGGTCAGCCAGACATAAGCCGGTTCCAGAGTCCTCCCAGACTACTTACTGAAGAAGGCCCGCCTAACTATACGTCCCCTTCAACCACCGCTCGTAATTATACGTCACCAGGAACGGCTCCTTCCTCCCTCCGTCCAGATACTCCGCAGAGCTCCGCTCAACGTACATCAGCACCTCCCTCGGCACCTGCACATCCTCCGCGAACAGGTCCATCCCCATCCCATCCCCACGCGCCGTCAGTATAGCCTGCGTGTACACCTCCAGGTCCTTCCGCTCGCAGAATCCAGGTGGGGTGTCCAGGAGTTCTTGGCATTGGTCAATGTACCTGCGAGGAAGAGAAAGGGAAGATGAGGACAGGGTAAAAGGGCTAAGCAGAGGAGCTTGAAGACAAGAGGCAAACCGACCCTTGGTACTCCGCCTCTTCCTCCTCCGAAACAGCCGGATCGAGCAGCGCGTTCGCTATCCCCTCAGTACTGTGCCTGTCGAGAACGGGTATGGGTGGGGATTTCTTCTCCTGGACAGGCTGTAGCTTGCCACGGGCTTTCTTCTGCGAGGGGGCTGGAGAGCCTATCCAACGCCTAACACCCTGGACGACTCTGTTATATCTTTTCAGGATCTCATCTGAGGCAAGGTAAAATGGGTACGTACCGAGACTGAGGATACCCCGCTGGCCTGTACCCATGCGGCTCAAACGGACTGCAGTTCATATCCTTCGCCGTCTTCCTATACAATCAGAGTACAAGAAACTGTCAGCATTTCCGGCTGCACGCCCAACCAAGAATGAGAGGTCACTCACCCAGGAAGCTTCAATGTGCTATTCATCGAATACGCAAAATGCTTGCCAAGGGACGTGAACAGGAGTGGGCGGTAGTACTCGACCCAAAAGTCGCCCTTCTGCTGCACGAAGCGCCTGATGCCCGCGTCGCATTCATCGAGCACGTACGCGGGCTTGAGGTGGTCCGGGTGGAACCACTTCTGGTACCCGCCCCGCGTGGGCGTGTGCACGATCGCGCGCTCGTTCTGCACGCCCAGGAAGAGATTGATCGCGGTTTGCTTGTCAGCGTCTGCGTGGAGTTGGTTAGCAGTGTGGTAGAGTAGAGGCAGGGGTGGAGGGACGCACCAAGCAAAGAGTTCGTATAAAACCTCCTAATGTTCTCGATGATATCCCTGGAATGACTATTCCAATGCGGCATCCTCCTGTACGTCTCCACGCGATTGACGAGCGCACTGCCCGTGTACTGCAGCGCAATCGTGTCCCCGTGGTCGTGGTACATCTCCGTCAGCATGTTCACCGCGTCCGAGTCGAACACCAGCTCCGGGCTGTCTACCACCCCGAGCGCGTACAGCTGGTGACCCAAAGCGCGCTTGCCGAACACGAACTGGGCGGCGTTGGTGCGGTCCAGACAGTCGACGCAGTTGGTCCGGCAGATGCCGTTCTGGAGCAGGATGGTGCTCCGCCAGGCGGCTTTGTCTTCTCTGGGTGGTTTTGAGAATACGGAGCATATGGGAGATAGAGAAGGACAGGACGTACTCGGTCTCCGCGTTGAGGTAGTGCGCGTACGGCTCGGGTCCCGAATGGAAGAAGCCCGTCATCTGGATCGATTCTTCGGCCATATCCTCCAAATAGCTGATCACGTCCTGTGTCTTCCTGACGCCCCACTATTAGCCTCTCGACCATACTCAAATAGAAACCCACGCACTCCTTATACGCTCTCGACATATCCCAGGCCCTGTACACCATCCTCTTCTCTCTCGGTAAGAACTGGTTGAGGTACCGGACACACTGCGTGTACTCATCGAGGAGCTTCGACTCGCGTGGGACGGGCTCGCGACGCTTGATGAGGTTGAGGATCGTGATCGGGGCGCCGTACCGCTTGAAGAGGTCGTCGAAATGGCGCGCTGCGGCGGAGTAGAAGGGGTCGACGACGCTGACTAAACGATGGGTTAACTGGTGGTTGTGAAAGGAACGAGCGGGACGGACTCTCGATCGGTGGCTTTGGACTCATGCCATTCGGTTCTTGCGTCCAGTAGATTGGGATGCTGCCTCTGTACTACGGAAAACAATCAAAAAGATGTCGAGCCTCGGGTAGAGCTACATACCTGGACATAGCTCGTATAGTTCGGGCTTGGCCGCCTATTCCGATGCTCTTCCGCCTCTCCGCGGGCCGGGTAGTAGAACGGTGTCGTCAGAGCTTCGCATACGATTTGTTCGGTCTCCACTTCATTGGCCACATTTCCCTGTCCGAACGGTCAGTACATTGGAGAAGGACGTTTGAGAAGATCAAACCTCATCGTTGACACCCCGCTTGAGGAACCTCGCGCCTGCAAAATGCCTCGAACGCCTCGCAATAAGTGTCACGAAGACTACGCGTCCCAGGACCGTCAATTCTGCAGAGTCGTGAATACGCGTCCATTCAAAGCATGTATTATGAGCACTGCTCACTGGCTTGGTCAACATGCCCGTGCACGAGCGGGAGCAGCCAGTAATGCTTAAGCGGTGGCACGTCGCAGTCCGCGAACGGGGACGTGAGCATGTGGAAGTTCCATGCGAATCTATCGTTGATGGGCCAGTCGTTCGCACCAACGCGGACAGGACCTGTTAGGTTGTGCTGCAGCGTTGAGGTCAGGTCGTAGGTGTAGCTATGAAGGAAAGGAGTCATTCAGCCTGGCAGAAGAGATGCGGAGGAAGCCACCTGAAGTAGAAGTTCTTGGACATATCCACCTGCTTGAAGATGTTCATGAGCCTTTGCTCTTCCGCAGGCTTGTCGATTTTGTGGTTGAACGCGACGGGGACGATGTCCGTGTTTTCGCAATGGTACAGATAGTGCCCACCTAGGAGGGCGACGACGGAGCGCTTCGACACGAGTATCATGTACCACCCCGCCGTAAACCTGATAAACCCTGCATACATGTCCTCGTCAACACACTCGAACCGCACACAACACACACACCTCCCACTAGTACTCACCCGCAATACCAAAGAACACCTTCGCCTTCCCCAGCCCACCCGACGCCCGGTTCCCATCGTCCAGCATCTTGAGGTTGTTGCTCATCTGCTTCCCGGTGTATTCAACCTCATCCTCGACGATGTTGAGCTCATCCTGTGCGGTGCGATCGATCTTGATGATGCGATGCCGCGAGTCGGAGGCGTTGGACGCGATGATGAAGAAGCGGGCCCGGTTCTCGTAGATGATGAACTTGTTGAAGGCTGGGGGGAAGGTGCGGAGTACAGGGCGGGAGGTGGTCGTTAGTGGGGGTTGGGGGCTTGGAGAAGCGGCATCGTCGTCGGATTTGGAGGGCACAGGTGGGGAGAGGAGGGTCTGGGGGTTGGAGACGGCTAGGGAGAAGGCGGTTGGGTCGTCGGTTGGAGGAAGGGGATCGTGGTTGGAGGCGGCTTGGCCGGCGTCCATGAGGGGAGGAGACAAGTTACATTGATGAGATTATCCATACGAATCACAACCACTAATTACACAATAAGTACACTATCCATGACCTGCAAACAAGATTTCTAAAATTCATAGGCATCACACAATAGATAGGTAGCTCTTACATGTCCTCTAATTATGAGATGGAATTACCATTATTCCATCTTTTTATGCTGCGAAGGAAGCTTCAGATACTGTCCCGCAGACACCCACCACATCAACAAGCACCCAACAGTGAGCAAACCGCCAAGACCAACGTGAAGTACCACCGAAGGGTTCGTCAGCGCTGCTCGTCCAAGCTTGGCCGTCAACGCGTCAGTTCCCAATCTCACATCACTAGCATAGACGACAATTGCAGAGAATGCCGAAATTGCGAAGAGGGATTTAGGAGGTAGGGTGTCTTGCCATCGAAAGAGGGGTTTGGAGTTGAGGCTGGTGGGCTTTGAGTGCATGAAGAAAGAAGTGGCGAAGCGCAAGCAGTAGACAATCCGCGCGGAGAGGTTGAGGATGTTGGCGTATACGAGCGAGGCGTCACCGAACCCGAGACGATAGAGCGAGATCGCAGAGAGGATGTAGACCGTCGAGAAGCCCACCATCCAGCTAAACAACGTCAAGAGCTTATGAGCATCCCGTTAATAGCGCGCGTAAAAATGAAAAAAAGAGAAAAGTAAAGTAAACTCACCGACTCTGCTCGTTCAAGTCCTTCGAGCTCGCCACACTCGACAGGAACGCCTCCAGCCCCCCATTGACCGCCAACACAGGGATGTACCATACCCAGGCGGTGAGCACGCTCGGGGCGCTCGTCGCGAGGTACTGGCGCGGGAGTAGCAGAGGGAGGAGGACGGGGAGGTAGGCGGTGCCGAAGACCAGCAAGATCAGGGAGAAGGAGAGCTGGACGGAGAGGAGGGAGCGGAGGGTGGAGGCTGCTTGGAGGAGCTCGAGTTGGGGTTCTTCGGTGTTGGATTTAAATTTGATAGTGGTGGAAGAGTCGGAGGTGGTAGAGGAGCCGAGGGTACGGGAGAAGAAAAGCCGGAGGGTCTCTTCGATGGGTTGAAAGATGATACGCGCTATTAAGGAGCCTTTATCACAGAATCAGTACACAAAGAGGTTAGCAGACGCTGGAAGGACTACAAACCGTAGTTCACAGCAATAGCATACCCTCCTTGGTCATGCAGCGGGCTGAACCACGACAAGATCATCTTGTCGCCTTCTGTCAGGAAGTGCTTCACAAGCGACTGCGTGGTCATCGTCAACGAAAGCCGTAGTACGTCGTGGTCGAAGTAGCTTAACAGCGATGGCTTGCTGGTGGACATCAGAACATACTTTCGTCTGGGCAAGCCAACTCACCTCGATGAAGGTGATTTCGGGCGCACATATTCACTTCCCAGGTACAAAAGGTATGCACCAAACATGACTGCGCTGTAGACGAGCTGGCCCAGGGCGAACGCGAGCAAGGCGAGGTCCCCCGATCCCCACCTCGAGTCGTACAGCAGAACAAGGAACGTGGTGACACTCTTGAAGGTGATCCCCAGTCCTTCTGCACGTACTCTAACGCCCGTTTTTAAGGAGGTCATGGCCCTGCACACCAACGAGGTACATGCAGATGAGAAAGGGGCAGACGGAGAGGAAGAAGAGTTCGACTGACGAACACGTTGTAGAAGGGCTCACTGAGCAGCTCCACCACTGCCGCCAGCGCATACACCGCTACAGCGCCGTCGAATCCTGGCTGGGCCCTCATCTCGCCACTCGCATGCCGCGCATACACCACCGACGTGCCGAGCGCGAGCGGGATGCCCACCGCGACGGGCACGAAGGCGACGTTCGCCCTTCGGATGGCGGTATCAGAGGAAGAGTCCGAATAGGAGGCGCGCAGCAGGGCATTCCGCACGCCCTCGCGCGAGAGGAAGAGGATGGTGCTGAGGACGAGCTCGAACTGGATCGCGGCGGCCCCAAAGGCGCTTGGTGAGGCGAGCCGGAAGAGCGCTTGGTTGAGCGCGAAGGTGAAGAGCCGGGAGAAGGCTTGCAGGGCCACGAGGGACGAGGCGGAGGCGATGGAGGAGGCGAGCAGCCCGCTGCTCGGGGGAGGGGCTGTCGACATCACGGTTGACGTTTGGGAGCAAGGTGTGGGTTGATGGGAACACATAACTTGAACTTCAAACGTGGAGGTTGTCCATCCAAACCAAAAATACTAATTACACACTGCACTATACATGATGTACAAGTTCCGCATGGGGGATATCGTATTGATACAACTTGTGCATTAATGTACGCGACAAAAAAAAGAAAGGAAGAAGGGTCGTTAGGGTGAACACAAGACAGAAGGGCATTATGGGAACAAAGATAGATCGTCACAGGCGTTCGAGAACGGACAAAAAACACGACCAGACCAGCTACGATAGCGAAGAACGAGGAGAGCAACCAATAAGCTTATATAGATAGCAGCATACATATCGTTGTCTTTCTAGAAATTCATGATCAGTCGACCTCTGCGTCGACCGTTTCCCCGAGCGCCATAAGCGCGAGGCGGCGCGGGGTCAATTGTCTCTCGTCGTCGTCGTCGTCGTCGTCAAGAGTGTCGCGGATGGCAATGGTATGGCGTTGCTCGCGGAGAAGTGTCTTCGCCAGTACCTGCGGCGCCCCGGCAATTGCCTCCGCAAAGGCGAAGGCGAGCCCCACAGAGGCGCTGAGGACGCGCCAGTGCGAGCCGAGCACGTCGAGCCCGACTATGTCCACGCTGGTTGCGATGGAGGCGTAAGGGTAGGCAACCTGGGCCGCGAGGCGGATGATCGACGCGGTTAAGGGATCAAAAGGTGCGATAGGGGCCGCCGGGGAGGATGTTTTGATGTCAGCCTTGGAAGGCGCCGGCGCGTTGTTTAGCGGGTTGAAGGAGATCATGCGTCCGACGAAGGAGGGGATGATGAGGGTTGGGAGTGCCCAGTGGAGCAGGACGAGCCAGAAGGCTGATGTTTGGAAGACGCTGAGTGGAGGGTAGTGCAGGGGAAATGATGGCCCGGCGTCGCGTCGAGGAGAGATTGGGACCTGGATAGCTGGTTGGTTTCAGGCGCGGTTGAGTCGAGATTGGGCGTACCTGGACAATTTGCCATGGGATGATGGTGTAGAGGACGTAGAGGAGCTCGAATAGGGCGGTTAATGACCAGATGTTGCGCGAGTTGGACAGGAACTATGAGATGGGTCAGTTGGCGGATGCTTAGTTGGCACCAAAGCACATACGGCACGGAATGCAATCAAGAGCTCATTGCTATGTTGTAGAATTTCTTGTTGCTTAAATTGTTGGACGGCAGCTTTCACTTCGGTGGTGTTCGGTAGACGTTCGATGATGCTTTTGACCGGGGATGGCGGCAATGGAGGTAAACTGCTCGGGGTGACAGGATCAGCGACTTGACGCGGCGATTGACTCGGTGTACTGTCGAAGGGAGAGATTGGGTGCTTGAGGAAGGTTGAGACGTCGCGAAGATCCTTGACTGGCGTTGACTCTTTGATTGGGTCGAGGGGTGCTACTCGACGGGATGACTTTGGCTTCTCCTCGGGTGGAGCGAATCGAGTGCTGGGAACCATACGGTGTTAGAGCGCGAACGGGGAGAATATAGCGAGACACTGACCTCGGAGGCGCTGGCTGGGGCTGGACACTGCGCTTTCTGCGGCCGAAGAGACCAGAGAAGGTTGGGTTGTCCTCGAGCGTGTCCTGGTTGCTGTCGAGATGGGCCTTGATGCGACCTGCGAGCTCGTCCTTTGTGCCCTGGTCGCTGATGCGGAGGGCGGACGCGATTTCCTGGAGTTCTGATTTCTTCTTGGGCGCGAGTGCGCCGGCATAGACGACGGGGGGCATGGCGGGCGGAGACAAGGAAGGTGGATCAACAAGGTCCGTGTTGTGCCCTGTTTACGCGCCATCCACGTGACTACGCTGACCCAGGAGAGTGGGCCATCTGCCATCCTGTTTCCATAAAACCGCTGCTCGGGGGTGCGACTGTTCCCATCTCCCTCTCCTTCACTTCTCGCTCCTCTGGCAGGCCTTTTTGTTTTTGCTCCATCCTACGCAATGTTCTCGCCGGTCGTTGTCCTCGCTTTCTTCACAGTTCTCGCCGGTCGAGGTCCGTTGCTGTTCCCGCAGAAACAACGCAAATCTGACCTTTTGTGCAGTGTTGGCTTTCAACATCACCGTCGGCACCAGGAACTTGGGCGCGAATGAAATCCTCGCCATCCCCGACAGCCCAGTCAAGACCGCAGTATGCTCTCCCTGATAAGATAGTTAACGCCCAGTTAACGAGACTCTCAGTGCGCCAGTATATGCACGCCCGCATCCACTGCAATTGCAGCATGCAATGACGATACCGCCTGTCTTTGCCGCACCGACACCGTCACCGCTTTCGTCAACTGCGAGACATGCATGCTGCACAACCTGATCAATACCAACAAGCCCGCCCCCGACATCCGCGCAGGTTCCAATGTTGCTGTCGGAGGTACCCAACTCGTCTCCTTGTTTCAGGTACTCTGATTCATATCTCTGCCGATAGCATACGCCGGTGTCTGCAAGACCGATCTCAATATCACCCTCCCCGCCAATCTGACCGCCCTCGCCCTCCCCGCCACTTGGGACGGTCCCTTCGTATCTGTGCTGCCTGTGGGAGCTGCTGCTGTGACTGTGATTGCGGGTGGCATTCTTGGGTTCTCCGCGCTGTACATCCTGTCGAACCTAGAGTGAGGATATTTATGTCCGTAGTGTAGCGATGCAACAAGTATGAGTTTTTCTGTGCTGGAAGGCTGTTCCCACGCAAAATTGAAAGCCCGCCAGTGGTTAGGTGGCAAATAAATAAACTCATCCTTCAATCCACTTCACCACCGTCTCCGTCGCTCACCATGTCCCAATACAAGTCCGCAATCAGAAATCAGCAACAGCAAGATGGCCCAGAGGCAAAGTACCGTGCTCAGGCCCGCCAGCTCCAAGAGATGTTCCCAACCTGGTCCAACGACAGTCAGTTTTTTTTCCTTCTCCTTTCCACCAGCGCGCCTATTTACACCCAAAAAGATCTGCTCTCCCTGCTCGTCGAAGTCAACGGAGACGTCCAGACAGCAGCCACTAGACTCAGCGAAGGTGCGCACCATGCTGATACAACGTGTCTATCATTCATAATTCCCGACAGGCAATGTCGAACAATGGGGCGAGGTTTCCCGCAAAAAGGACAAAAAGACACCTGTCCCCGCCAGCCCTGCCTCGAAGCCGACGACTTCCGCTGTTAGAGGCGACTCTCGTGGCGGCAGAGGCGGGCGCGGGGGTCGTGGAGGGCCAGGACGCGGTGGCGCCGTCACGAGGGGGCGCGGCGGTCCTCCAAGGGGCAGTGCCAATGGGCATATACCCCGCACAGAGAGCCCACACACCAATGGCACAGATGCGACGTCGCCTACCACTGGCAGCGACGCGTTCTCCAAGGCAGTAGGCGACTCGCACGACCACCAGGAAGGATTGACGCCCTCCAACTCCGGCTGGACGGAGGTTTCCTCGCAGCAAGAAAACTCGAGCCTTGCGACCTCCGTCTCTACCGGGACATCTGCTTGGAGTGCACCCACCGACACTAATGGGAGTGCGGCGGCTAACATCTCTGTTGGCAAGCAAACTACGAAGACACCTGCTACGTCGAAGTTGTCATGGGCGCAAATTGCGAGGTATGTCGTGATTTCCTTTATTTTATTTTTTTGGACATTGAAAGAGTTTTGTAGACCACAAGAGAAACCAGCCCCACCTCCAACGGCTGCTCCTCAACCTATTGCCCCGCCGGCTTCAACGTCTACACCCGCTCCTCCACCGCCAACCTCTGCACCTGAACCCGAGCCATCCGCCCAACCTCAGCAAAATGGATGGGAAGAGCCAACAACCGTCGAGGCACCAACATGGGATGAGCCCAGCCAAACCACAACAGCTGATGCCTGGCCTCCTTCAACCGAGCCTGCAGTCGAGACACCAGCACCAGAAGCACCTGCGTCAGAGCTTAAGCCTGAAGTGGCTGAAGAACCACCAGCGCCTGCCCCGCCTGCCCCAGAGCCCGTCGTCGAGTCAAAACCAGAGCCAAAGCCTGCCTCGCCAGCGCCTGTTGCTGCCCAACCTCCTTCGGCCCTCCCTGCGCAAGTGGCCACTCCATCGCCGAAGCTCGCCTCGCGCCCTGCTGTTTCATCACACCGGAATAGTGCTCGCTACAAGGTGACGGACCAGCCTGTAACGCTGCCGCTGTCGTTCGGCACGGGCATCGAGAAGGTTGGGATGCAATTTGGTAGTCTCAGTCTCGGTGGTGATAACTTGGCTGAACCGGAGAAGTACTTTTTTGGGTTATTAATTAGGTATGAATGAAGCTGACTTGGGGTCTGTAGATCCGAACCTGTGGCCCCTGCAGCACCTGAGCCTGCGAGCGTTGCGCCTGCAGCGCCCCAATCAAAGGCCCCACTCGAAGCCGCGGCTCCTCCGCCCCCTCCGCCTGCCACTGCGCCAGCCGCCTCGACGTCACTTTCTTCTGTCTTCCAACAACAGCAACAACCCGCCCCTCAACCCTCAGCTCAAAATCAAACACTACTCCCGCAATCAACCACAACTCACCACACCTTACCCCCGTCCATATCCCAGCCCGTTCCCACCAACCAAAGCCATGCTGCTGCTTCCCCTCTCCAACAATTCGCCCAACAACAGACCCAACAACAGACCCAACAACAGCAGCAGCAGCAGTCTCTCGTCAACAACTCCGCTCCTCAGCAACAGCAACTTCATCAACAACCCCCCAACCTCCATCAGCAATCTCAGCATCAGCCTCAGCATCTCCAACACCTTCCTCAGCAAGTGCACCAAAACCAGCACACGGCACACCACAACTACTCGCAGCATGCCCTCTCGTCGCATATCGAGCCTACACAACCAGCGCAACCGCCTATTCAACCTCAGGCGCTGCATACCTCGAGCTACTTCCGCCAGGCAGACACCTCGACGCCCAATCCTTACTCGTACAACCCCACCCCGCCTGCTCAGTCCCAGGACACGTCGTATGGTGCCTTTGGTCAGTTGGGTGGGGGGCAAGGGCAGCACCAGCAAGCTTCGCATCTAGGCGCGTTCGGAAATGCGGACTACGGTTATACCGAGACGCAACGAGGGGTGAGTTCTTAGTTATATTCTCGTGATGAAGTACTCATGATATGTTTCAGCAGGGCTTCTATGATACTTACGCCCAACAGGCTGGCTTCGGCGCAAGGAACGCCCTCGGACACGATGACGTCAAGGGAATTCCTGGCGCGCAGCAGGGTGCAGGGTCTGCCCTCCCGCCCTCGAGCACGCAAGGCCCGCAATCCCACTCATCGCAGGCCTCCAACCAGCCTCAGCCTGCCAGTGCCCAGGGTCCACAGCAGACCTACCCTCCTCCTGTTCCCTACTACTACACCTACCCCCAGAACCAGTACTATGGTTCGCCGTACACCTCCGGCTACGTCCCTCAGCCCTTCGTCAAGTACCCCACGATGTTTCAGCCCGGGCCACCCGGGTCGGCGACAAACCCTACCGCGAAACAGCCCGCGGGCAACGTCGGCGTCGGTGTGCAGCCCCAGACGAACCCGTACAGCCAGGGTCTATATCAACAAGGCACATATGACGACTACCAGCAACACCCACACCACGCGCAGCACCAGCACACACATAGCTTGGGGCTGGGCCAGGGTGTAGGCGCGAGTGATTACGGCAAGCAGCTGTATGGAGGTGCGGGTCAGGGCGGTATGCAAGGTTTCATGGGGCTAGGAGGACAGAGTGGGGCTGGTGGATCGGTCCCCGCGTCGAATGCTGGCCCTCGTGGAGGCGGGTCGCCCGACACGCCGTACAAGCCGTACGCGGCGAAGGACGTGTCGGTGTCCGCTGGACGTGGTGCTCCCGTGCAGCAAGGTCAAGGTCAAGGGCAGCCACAAGGTCAAGGTCAAGGGCCAGCCGGCCAGGGAGGACCGCAAGGACAGGGCTTTTATGGCACGAATAGGTTCAATGGCGGTGGTGCCGGGGTGGGAGGCGTGGGTGGAGGCCCGCAGCAGGGTGGACACCACCAGCAAGGTGGGCCGCAAGGCCATCTGGGCTACCCGCAGAGTGGTACTGAGCCCAACTTTTATGGCTACCAGCCCAGGCAGCAACAGTACTGGCAATGAGCGGCTGGGCTGATCACATTGTTCTGTGTGAATGTTGTTGCATATTTTTCATTTCTTTCTCTCCTTGTCTCTCACTCGCGCTCATCCGTTTCATGATTCCTTTTTTGTGTCTATCTCTCGTATCCTACATTCGGTTGCATCCATCTCTCACTCTCCTCTACTGCTTCTGTACGTGTATCGCAATGCAATCTCGAGTTCAACAGGCGACTGCATCTAGGTTCATTTCGCTGAATAGGACTTTGTTCCCTGTGACATGTGTGACGATAAACTCTTTCTCTCACCACCACCGTCTGCACCATTTCGCCGTTCAATACAATGCTTTGCAGCTACTGCAAATGATTCCATACATGTGAGATTTGGGTCTATCTGCGTGCGAGGACGATGAGCAAAGCTGTGGTCGTGCGAGTGGTGCGTATCAGATTAGACAACGGCAGCCTGCGCTGACCTCATCCCAGAATAGCGCGTCCCACCTTTCTCTTCTTTGCGCTCCGCCCCTGCCCGCCGCTTAGTGAACGCCACATGAAAGAACAGAACGGATGTCCTGCGGGTGCCATCCGTTCGACCGTTCCTTCCCATGTCCGAAAATATGTCCGTGGCGTCCCGGACTTGGAGCTGGTGTTCAGCGTTCGTGTGAGTTGCTATCCGTTTTTTTCACCTCCAGCATCTGATAGCTTATCAGATAACCTGCGAAAGCGAAGTCACATTGTCCGACCACTAGGACACCTACAGTACCCTTTCGCCGGGAGGATCTGGCCGCCATCCGTAAAAATACGGATGGTGCGCATATAAAGTCTGCAAGGTGGCACGACCCACTTGAACTTCCACGGGACTATGATTTCGGAAGACGAGAAACACACAAACCCCGCCTCCTCAGCGCAAGAGGAAAAGTTTTTCACCGAGGACGCCTCGTCCCCGCAGTCGCTCTCCAGTACTGTGACCAAACCCAAGCTTCCCCTGGGGTGGAGGATCCTCGTTCTAGTCCTTACGTGCCTCTGCAGTTGTGAGCCTTCCGTCTATTTTCCCTCCCTTGACTACACGCTAAGTACATGCCGTAGTTGGGAACCATTGGTCGAATGTGAGCACTTACTTTTCATCCTGAAGCTCGAAACAGCTTTCAACTAGCGCTGATTATACGAACAGGGACTCATCGTGTAGGAGATCAGTCTTTATGTGGCTCGCACAGAAGTTTGACTTAATCCTGTCTTTTCAAGCGCCCTCAAGACGACGATTATCGCCGTGACCAAGATCAATAATTCGAAGTTTGCAACGCTTGTCGCTGTGACCAACCTAGTCAACACCTTCCTCTGCGTCGGCTTCGGCTTCAGCATCGACAAATGGGGTGGCCCTCTCCTCTCAGCTATTCTGGCAAGCTTCCACCTCGGCGGCTCCATCATCATGGCTGGGGCAGCGACAAATCACCTGAACAGCTACCCACTCCTCATTCTTGGGAAGGTCATAGCTGCCATCGGTGATGGCTCGCTCGACAATGCCCAACACCGCATCTTCTCAACATACTTTGCTCGCGGCCGGGGTTTCGCTTTTTCGATCGGTGAATTAGATCATCGTCATACTTTGCGCTTTTCTAACATGTATCCTGCCTAGGTGCCATTTGGTATTTCGAATTAGAATCGTTCCGGTTGTTCTAATTCTTATGCTCATTGATTAGGGGGGTTGCCAACCTCGCACAATTCACGGGACAGTCAACTGCAAACGTCATTGCGAAGAATACAGGAACGTTTGCGTGGGCGCTCTGGATCAGCGCCGCCATCGCACTATTCTCCGTCCTCTGTGGTATTGCTGTTGTCTTTTTGGATCGATGGCTCCGTGACCGCTACGACATCACGGACCAAACAGACGGTCAATTGCTGAAGACCCACACACGCAGAGGCGTGTTCAGCATCAAGGCGATCAAACACCTCCCTCTTACATTCTGGTGCGTTGCTGGTATATACGTTGTAGCCTACAACTCTCTTTCTTATCTTTTTGTAGGGTTGTTGTCTTTTTCGCGATCTTCGAGAACGCTGGGGTCCAGTCCTTTGTCTCAATTTCAACGTACGTTCTACCAACACGGCAAGAGCTGAACGGCGATCGACTGAAACTTGTTAGGCAATTTGCACAGCAACGCCTCAAGAAGGGAGCGGTGATTGGTGGCTGGGTCTCCAGTTTCTACCTGCTGCTCCCGGCATGCCTCACTCCTTTCCTGGGCATTTTCATTGATGCCTCTGGCCATCGTGTCTCGTTCCGTGCGCTCTATTCACGCCAGTTGATCTACCCACTCTAACACTTCAACAGTGTTTATATCCGGCTTGACGTTCCTCATCTCAATGCTTTTTCTCAAGTTCTCGCACACGGTTCCAACCTTCGGTAATGCAGTTATCAATTCTCTCATTACTCGGCTGACACTTCTCGTAGTCACTGCATACGTTTTCTATGCCCTGTCGCAGAGTGTTACGCCGGCCCCTCAAGTCGAAATTGTAAGAAGTGTTATTGCCGATCCGCAATGGTTTGCAACAGCCTTCGCGATCAAGAGTATGCTCGTCTCCCTTTCTTCGTGGCTCTTAATGGTGCTTATGCCGCCTTTCTCTTATGCCAGAGTCTGTCGTGCAAGCATCCATCGTCATCATCACCACTGCCGCGGGTAAATTGCAAGACGATACCCCAAACAACTCGCTCGACAACGCAGTGACGCTATGGCTTGCCTATGCCTTCATGTCCGTCGTCATCTCCGGCGCACTCCTCGTGTCCGCGTCATTTCCGTCCGCTGCCTGGTGCCTTCCAGCGGCGCGTCTGGCCCAGGTTGCGCCGCGCAAGCTACCGCAGGAGGTCGCACGGCTTATGGCCTGGAAGGAACTATTGCTACGAGATCCGACTGGGGTTGGTGTGCAGTGGGTGAAGAACATGAACCCAGGGGGTGAGAAGCTATTGCTTGATGATGTCGAGGTGAAGAAAGGAGAAAAGCTTTTGAAGATGTCTATCATTGGCCAAGGTTATAAGTCGATGCAGTGGCTCTATATTGCCACTTCCGTGGGTGTCATTCTTGTTGGTTGGATTATGTTTGGATTGGGTGTGGGTTGGGGTGTCCATGGAAGTGTGATTGCTGGTACCACCGGAGAGTAGGGGCCTTTTTCATGTTCCTACGTTCAGAAAGGGGCAAGTGTTCATATTCAATGATCTGTGCACTTGGCTTAGGGTCTGTTCGGATCGCATATCACAGATACTATTTTGGACCTGATGTTCGTCAGGATAGTGTTGCTGGGAGCTGGAGTGCATTTGGGAGTTGGAATTTACGGCGATCAATTACGGCGATCGTTTACGGCGGCAAATCCCGTCCCTTGCCGCCTCAGCTGTGGACGCTCTATAACGTCTGGGCAGGGAACATGAGGTTCTCTGGCTCCTATAGACCTACGAAGGCGACACATTCGTTCTCCCTTCCAATGCCAAGGTAGCGAGTGACGACAAAGGTTCTCGCACCGATGCAAGATGGAGGGCTGACAGCATCCTGCCACCCTCGAAGCTTCTAATCAATGCCTGTCCCTTTGGTGGACGGCTGAACGGACAATGGTGCGGCAATTTGTTTAATAACGAGGTAAGTATGGAAAGAAGTCATCTACATGGATGGCGAGACAGTACAAGGACGGAGTCGAGGCGAACAGGGGCCCGGGGAGGGCAGCCACCCGACAGCGAAAGCGACGACTCGGAGACGATGCCAACGAGACGACTCGTATAAGTAGAGGGGTGTGATGGCAGCGATAGAGCTATAGAGAAGCAGTCATGATAGCAAGACAAGCGAAGCAGCATGCCGAGGGGAGGGAGCCAGCAGCAATGGAAAGGGGAAGGCCGCGGCGTCGGCGACGACGACGACAATGTCAACGAGGTCGCTGCCCACCATACCCATGGAACAACCCTAACAAGAAAGATGCAACTCCTACATGGGTGTTGAACGTAGTTTCATTGTGCTGGGTGTGGAAGCATCCCCGCCTAAGTACATGTAGTAATTCCTATGCATCGGTGCCCCTAACACCTTTTTCACTTTGAGGCACATGTCCCCATGACTTAGGCATAAAGCGTGGATATTTCTCTAGTAATTACGTAGCAGATATCTCCAATTTGAAGGAGCAATCACGTCTTATGGACGCGTCGAGACGTCGCGTCGCGGTCACATGCCCCTATCCGGAAATTCCCGCCGTAATGATCGCCATAGTCTCCGCCGTAATCCTCGCCATAAATTCCAATTCCCAAACTCTTTGGGGAGCTGAAGCTGGCTCATGGGAATTCCATTTTGGGGGGCTCAAGCTGATTGGAGCTTGACTTGCCTCTGTCATGATGCTCTTTGGGTGATGAAACTTTCCTTGCTGCTTGACAAGTTGGTCTTGCTCAATTTATACCAGTGCTGAACCCCCTGTATTCACCAAAATGCAGAAAAATAATTAAACAATCTCAAGCACACTGTATTGCATTTAAACACACCACAACACATGACTTGGGTCCTGAAGGAGCAAATAGGTCCAACTGGACACAACTGGGACCTTGAGCAACTCCAATATACTGTTGTGATACTTTGTGATCCCAATGGTTTGCAAAGTCACCAAACACACATGGATGAATAGATTACATTCAACTCAAGCCAAAGCTTGAATCTCACTCACTCAAGGCAAGAAGGCCAGTCAATGGCAACTATTCTACTACAAGTGTACCTCTGGAGCTGATCTATTAGGCTATGATTTTCTTATGACATACATTGAGAACTAAGATTGATGCTTGATGTCAACTCAGAGAAGATCCTGGGTGACAACAACAATATATGGTGATTCCCATCAATTGCCTTGGAGCTAACTCAGAGGCAAGTCGAGCTCCAATCAGCTTGAGCCCCTACACCATGCACTTGTGCCTTCCAATAAGGGACAGGGCATATTTTGAAGGGCTGAATGGAGGAGGAGGAAAACAAAGGGAGACCCAAGTAACTGGAGACCCAAGTAGCCAGAGACCCAAGTAGCCAGAGACCAAACACCCAACGCAGTGAGTGACTGACTACCTCTTCTTCCACTCTTCCTTACTCACCTGCTAGTTCTCTGTTGCATCACACAAGTTGATAATAGGCCCCATGTCTTGATGCTGGCCACACCTCTCTACTACTTGATGCTGGCCTGCTGATTCAACATCAGCCACAGTAACTGGAAGCCGCTCCCTCATGGCTCAATGTCAGTCCCCCACAACTCAATGTCAGCTCCAACAACTCAATGACCACCTCCACAGATCAATGTCAGGTCCAACATCTCCATGGCCATGCCCTCCAATGAGGGTTATGGAAGAGCTGGATGGAGAGAAGGACCACAAGGGAGACCTGAGCAGTGGGAGACCCAGCATAGTGTGTCACTGACCCTAATCCCTCCTTCCATTACTTACTCCACCCCACCGTTCATTGTCATGTTGTACAACTTGATGACAGCCTCCACAAGTCAACAACAACCACCTCTGGGACTCAACAACGGTGTTCTCTCATTCATACTCATGACTTGGCCTTTGCTTCCTGGAACATGTATTTCACATAATTATTCTCAATATATATCTATTCTATTTCATGATGTTCTGAAAGTGAACTTTTTTAGAGGATGAGAGCTTTAGTGTCGTTTGCTGTCATCAGAGCTCTTCAGGGGCCATTTGGAGGGGCAAGGGGTGTTGGAGGGGCAAGAAGAGGGGATGGTGGTAGTAGAAGGTGAGAGGTGGGTAGTGCTGGATGGGCAGGCAGGTGGGGCACAGAATGAGCATGAACACTGCCCAACCTCTGTGTTTGGCATTGTTTGTCATCTTTGGGGGCCATTTGGACAGGCAAGGGGCATCGGAGGGGTGAGAGGAGGGGGTAGTGGTGGTGAAAGGCGAGAGCGAGGGTAGGAGGGCAAGATGGGGCAGGCAGGGCAGAGAACCAGTCTGAATGCCACTGAACCTCTGTGTTTGGTGTCATTTCACCTGTAGTAACCAGTGATATGTATCAAATTGGACTACTACCCAGTACCTATTATACATCAGGATGGGTAGTAGCCTGGTGGACAACTGCCTGAGCCCAGCATATAGAGGACATAATGAGATGATTAATAATCATTCCTTTTTAGGAAAAAAAGTATCTGTGTTTGTGGAGCACCTTTGGATGACCCTGAATCAAGTTGTTTGATGCCATCAGCTGCTCTGGTTGGCAAGAAAAATGCAAATTACTGGAAAAATAGATTGTCTTTCATAAATTTTGGCATTGGTTGGCTTATATCTTGTCATCAATAAAGCTAAATAGGTTGTGCTGATGGTGGCAGGGTCATCTAGGCCTAGGATTTCTAGTTCAACCATTTCTTCCCAAAAAGAAAATTTCTCACAGTTATATGCCCATGTCATGACCTGTCTCCGGCTCCCAGCACAATTATCCGGCTCCCGAGGCTGTATCCAGCTTCCGAGGCTTGTGGTAATGAGCCATGCTCTTCTGGGATGCTTCCGAGACATCTGGGAACGAGCCGTGCGCTTCCGAGGCACTTCCGAGGCAAGCCATGTTTCTGGCTCACTCCATTGTGTCTCCCAGCCATTGTCCCATTGTCCTTCATTGTTCTCCTTGTCCTGGCTAAGTTATCTATTACATAATCATGGTCCATTATCCTACATAGCATAAATACCCATGTACAGTAGTAGATTCCTCAGTCGGAATATCGAACTCAACATACCCCCTTTGCTCTAGTTCACTGCCGGAATCCGGCTCCTCCCTGTTCATCCAAAATTGGGGACACCCAGACGTTGCGTGGTGGCACAGCTGCCCTTTCCGTCAAGCTGAAGCCAAGTCCCCACCCCATCCGGCATGGTTGTTACAGACCACTCAATTTCACTTTTTTGGCACCCCTAGTCCCTGTCTAGACATAGCAGAAGAGGACTTAAGCAAAATTTTGCAAAGTCCAACTTGTCATAAGTGACTTTGATGTTGATGGCATCAGCAAACTTGATGGCTTTATTACTCATCAACAACACCAAGTCTGGGCCTGGCAATCATCTATTTAATAATTGTTTCCTTTTGAGGCCATAATATCAAAGTTTTGGGGGCTGACCCTGAAGAAAAAGGCAATTAAAAAGTCACATGACCTGCCATCAGTCTTGGCATCAGTCACATTTTCCTCCTATGACTATGATGTCTCTCTACATTATTATAGAACATCTTGGGCAATTGCCCAATGGGCTACTACCCATCCTGATGTATAACATATACTGGGTAGTAGTCCAATCTGATATATATCACTAGATGACAAGGCTGCTGGGGGTTATGTTGGAAGGGGGAGAGAGGGCTGCAGTGAGCGAGGAAGGTTGGTGATTTTGATTTTGCAGAGGGCAAGAAGGGCATTACTACAATAGCCAGTAAAAATGTAGTCAACTATTGAAAATGTAGCTATGCCATCAATGTAATACTTACTGTGGGAAAAAAGCATGGATGACTGTAATGTGGGAAAGTAAAATGATCTCTGTGTCCCAGGTTGAAAGAACAAGTCTTACTTATGTAAGAACTTGTAACTATTGTGACATTCTCGTTCTCTCCCTCTTTAGCAGGGGTGAGGTTCTTAATCTGATGAACGTCTATTCTGACAATCAGCATACCGCTATCGAGCACCTAGCTGCTTGTGTGCATTCTCTGCTGCCCTTCATCTACATGGCAGACAACTTTAACTGCATTTCAATGACTTGGGATGATTACAATCATGGCAAGTCATCAACAGCAATATCCCTGTGGGACACTGCATCTCAGATCAGCCTTGAGTGGGCATGGCCTTCCAACCATGGACCAATGAGGATCAGTCCTAATCTGTACCAGAGATCCAATGTGTTGGATCTTGTCTTCTTAGCTCCATCTGAGATCTTAATCTCAATGCCCAGATTGGAGCACAATCTCAATGCCTAGATGAGAGCACAATCTCCAGAATCCATCAGATCATCTCCCGATCTGTGCAGATCTCAATATCAGACCCAAACTGCCCAGACCAGGGTGATAAGCCATTAAACCTGGAAGTGAGGCTGAAAAGTCTTTCATTTTGGACATTCTCTGGGATCTCGCAGCTATTCCTGTCATAGCCCTGGCAACCAAGGAAGGCATTGAAGTTCTAGCTGATGCTATTGTGACAGTGTTCTTGGATGTGTGGCTAGCCCACTCAACCGAGTCTAAACCTACCAAGCACTCCAAGTCCTGGTGGATGGACGAGTGCTTGGAAACATTCAGAGTATATCAGCTTAGCTGCTCACTAGCTGACTACAACAAGTTTAAGAAGGTGTGTAAGGATGCCAAATGTGATTTCCTCAATGAACACATCACAGAAATTGCTACCTCTTGTAAGCGCCTGTGGGACCTGATGGAATGGGTCAAACAGCGCAAGCTACCCCCCTGTAAGGCTATTTGCAACCTTTGAAGCCCAAGACCTATTGGAGGTACTTGGGCTTCTACTTTGATTGCGGGCTCATGTTCCATGAGCACATTCTACTATGCTAAGGTGTTCACCACTGTGCAAGCCATATGCATGCTCAGGAACTCCACCAGAGGTCTTTTGCCTAGACAGCAGGCCATCAGGAAAAACCTTTTTGTCTTAGGTTGTCCTTAAGATCAGCAGCCAAGTCAGGTGCACCTCAGGGCACTTGTGCTGTCCTGTGGTTGTCCTGAGGTGTCTTCACTGTCTTGACCTCCTCCTGGAGACATTCTGAGTTCTCCTAATTGGTAGATAAAATGAAATTTACACTGTCTGGGCTCATATAATTTATTTTCTCATGATCTTCTAGCCAGGACACATGGGAAAAGAAATGTATGCCTGACATTTATTTAAATGGACAGTACTTGAGTTTCAATAGCAAACATCCTCCAAAACCAATAGAAAGGTATTTCAGAATACTCTTATATTCATTCTTCAAGTGCTTCATTGAATAAAAAGACACCAGGTATATTATTTGTGCCTCTGTAGAGGGGGAGTAGCACAGCAAGATTTGCTTATAGCAGGGGCAAAACAGACTCTCTTGCTGTAATTTTTCCATACATGTAGATACATAGATAGCACATGTAGTCTCAAATTTTTATAAAGATACATCCAATATCGCCAGAGATATAGATGTGCGCATTTTTCTTATTGAGCAAAGTCAAGAACATCACATTCTGTGTGCAAATGGTGACCAAACTGGCTGAAACTTGGTACACATTATCACATGTATGTATACTATTGGGTCCCAGAGTATAAATGCAATGGACCTAGCAATTATAGAGATATTGCATGCAGAAACCCAGAAACTGCAAACTCTTTACAGGAATATTGTGAATTACATAGAAAGAATGCATTTATAAGAAAAATAAATGCCATAATCAGAATGGGCATAAAAATGCGGTTCTGACAGTATATAATATGTAGGTAATTGGACCTGATAAAGATGTGCTACTACACATAGCACCAACTTTGGGTGATTTATCACCGAAGTATACTGTGTGCTCAGCACAGCCACTGCTGAGTGCTTTATCAAGGGTCAAGATAAAATTCCTTGGCAACTGCTTAATCAATCGCCACAAAAATTCACACACTTTTAGATACTATATATGTGCATGCACTTGTAAAATTTCAGACAGTCTCCTGAAGAAATGACCAAGATATTAGTGTTGCGCTTTCTCAAAAACCCGTGTTGAAATATCTCAATCAATAATAGTGTGGAGAGCTCATAAGCCAGGATCCATTAACAAGGATACCAAATGTACCTGCATGCAAAATTTGAGTCTGATAGCTTCAATGGTTGTTGAGATATTGAGCCTCCAACCGCAGGTGAATACTGCTGGGCACTTTTCCAACGGTCAAGATGGAATTCCTCCACAACCGCTTAACTGATCTTTATGAAAGCTTACACAGTGCTAGATACATTATATGAAAAGGTGACTGCAAATTTTCAAACATTTTCGCATCAAATCACCTGAGATATTAGGGTTGCGCTTTTTCAAAAACCCGCATTTGAATATCTCAACAAATAATAAAGCAAAAGCTTCATGAGCTGAGATCCATTAACAAGGATACCAGAGGTACTTGCACAGAAAACTTCAGCTTTATAGCTTAGACAGTTGCTGAGATATTGAGCCTACACTGCAAGGAAGTGCATCATTTTCAAGCTCTAAGTCATTTCAAACTCAGACAGGCTGAGTGCTCATACAGGAGGTGGAAGCTGAATATCTCAAGAACTGCTACAGCTATGGACATAAAAATTTACAGGCATTTACAATACATACTGTTGATAATTTCTGCAAAGTTATATGTTATTTGATCAAATATTTACTGAGATATTAGAGGTACACCTTTTCAAAACTGTGCAGACATAATATAAAAATTTGAAATTCTGGAATATCATTCACTCCTATCATGAGATCACTGGTACAAATTTTGAGAAGGATAGCTGATTTATTTCTTGCAGTATTCAGCTGGGGAGAATGGTCACATCTGTGCCATGCATGGCACAGAATCATCACAATGAGTTGTGCATCGTGCAATCAACAAAGTCACATGATGGATGTGGTGTGTCTGTTTGGCTGTCATAGCTCCACCAAACAAAGTGTGCAGCAAGTGTCGTCAAACCTGCCAGTGCTGTACTTGCACGACTCTTCCCATTCCCTTACCTCACCCACTTTTGAATGCGCTATATTCTCTTTTCAAAGGTATGTTTTCTATCACATATTTAATGATCTTCTTGATACTAAATACCCATATTTCCCCTTCACAGTGTGCCTCTCCTGCCAGCACATACTCACATAGCCCTCAGTTCATGGTCTCAACAACAGGTATGTACTTATTTCTTTTTCATTAAATGATTAGATTTTCATGAACATATTCCAGACTGTGCTGCAGGGCAAGAAGACAATTGAAGGAATGGCAACACAAGAATCTGGAAAGTGAGGATTTTGGGGTCAGCTGACAGAGCAATGGGTACCTGAGTGAGTCGTCATATATTTTTCTTCTTCACCCTACTGACTATATATCTAGATTATGATATCTTCTTCTTTCTATGCTATAGGTGAGTGTATATTTCAGTAGAAGGGGATTGTATTATAGCATACAGTACTAGTATTAGTGTAATCTGTTCAATGTACATTAGATAGAGAAATATAATTGAGTCTTGTTTCAATGCATGAAATGTGAACAGAAGAAAAAATGAAATGTCCTGAATAACATCTACTGTAGTCTTAGCCTGTCCTCTGAGTGTCTTGAGGACACCCTGAGGACACTATAAGATCTTACACCTAGGAATGTAGGCTTCAGGAGCCTTACTGTCCTTGGTGTCTTAGATGTCTCAGATTGTCCTCAAGACAACCTAAGACAAAAAGGTTTTTCCTGATGCTAAGCCTTCACGGCTGCTACAAAAGTTAGGATGTCCATGCAGACGTGGAAACAACAAAAACCAAATAACCCTTTTACAGGAGGCTTGTACCAGGATCATGTTCCTCTTGAGGACGATTTCAAAATCATTCATGCTCGCTCATCGTCTTTGACCACCCATCAACTTCAGCAAGACTCAGCGCATTCCCCACTTAAGGGCCATACAACATGGAAAGTTGGAAGAAGCTGGGAGCCAGACGACAATGTGGATATTGCCCTTGACATAGATGGAAGCCGATTCAAGGTCGAGATGGCTGCAGAGGTCTGTGAAAGCAGACCAGGTTTGCTCGAGAGGGGGCTGCTGGAGGAAGTCCCCATACCCTGAGTCAGAACTAAAACATTGGTGTGAGTGTTCCTTATTTTTTTATCCTACATGTTTACTTACATTATAATCTTCAGACTCGTCCAAACGTGGTCTGTGGTCTGGAAAGAGAAATACTGCCAGTCTTATCTCGAGGAGCAGGTCCATTGGGAAGGCTGCGGCAATTTCAGGACTGCAGAGTCTTGCCCCGACTGCATATCTCGCGGCATGGAGCTACCTAACACTCCGGAATTTCAGTGTCTCAACTGTTTCGTGCCATATCTGATGTGCAGGACTTGCTGTGTCAGACGGCATCACATCGATCCTCTGCATATTATAGAAGTAAGTCCCCCTTGTACATATCGTGTTGTTAACCCTTCATAGTGTTGGGATGGTGTTTCCTTTGTCAAGTCAACACTTTGAGAACTAGGGCTCAAAATCCACCTCAACCATGCAAGTCTTTGATGCTCTCACCCCATCCCCTGCCACTCAGATTTTAGAATTCTTCATGTTAATGGCGTCCATCAAGTGGATTTCAGCTTTTGCGGCTGTGACCGTGCCATCCCTCCTCACATGCAGTTGCTATGTCATGGCCTTTATCCGGCTTCTCAAACCGCACCCTGGATGTGCACCATGTTTTCACTCCTCAAGCTTGTCCATCTTTTGGGTCTAACAGCAAAGACCTCTGCCTACAATGTGTATCGCACCCTAGAGCGATCAACCAATAACACTGGCCTGAATACTCCGAAATCCCACTATCGCCCTTTACTATGTATGGCCATGCAGTGGTGTCACTTGAAGCTGCTGAAGCGAGGAGGAAGGGCGCACAATGATTCCGGGGTTACGGCGACAAAAGAAGGCAAGCTCGCAGTGCTTTGCCCTTCCTGCCCATGCCCTGGTATCAATTTACCTGATGACTGGAAGGCTGTTCCTGAGAACAAAAGGTTTGCCTGATTGTTCTTATTGTTTTAGCTTATCATTGACAAACTCTTTAGATTCCTATATGCTGCTTTGATTTGCATGGATGCAAACTTTCGATTGAAGAATCAACTTGTCTCTGACTACTCTCAAGACCCAGTGCTCGGGCCTGGCTGGGCATATATGGTGCAGCATGAGCCCTATGAGGAGAATGTTTTGAAACAGGCCGAGCAGCAGGACATTAGTGCCGCTGTTTTCCTTTTGCTTTTGTTCTCTCATTTCAAATTCAGATTAGTACCTGCATAGGCTTCCAGGCCCTGGCCAAGTCCTTGACACGGTTCGCAAGAGGAATGAGATACACCAGTGTGGGCAGCACACTTTGTGGAAGGAGCGAGATGATGTTACCAGATGGCATAGGAAACCTCCAAAAAGGCAAGTGGTATGTCGAGCCAGCCCTTCCGTCTTTGTGTCGAGCCCATTGTTCCTTTGTAGATATGCAAACATGGACTACATTTTTGTGTCTGCCATCAAATCGTTTGCCTCTCTAATGCTTGTCACCATCAGCTACGACATTGTCTGCCAATGGTTCGCCAACCTGCTCATTCATATGACGTCTCTTTGGCCATCAGAGCTTTGCATGCCACCCCACATGAAGCTTTGCCCTTTGATCCTGAAATTCCATGCCCCCACCCACAATGATAAGGATCACAAACAGTTTTGGTTCAACTTCACGAAGGGGTTGGGTTTGATTGACAGCGAATGTCCAGAATGTTTCTGGGTGGGACATAACGGCCTTGGAAATTCTATGAAAATGCAAGGCCCAGGTTCTGAGGTCTTTACACTCCCCCACGTATCCCTATAGGACTCCAGTGGACTCCAGTGGAGTCTGGTAGAAATATATTAGCAGGAACACCAGCCAAAAGTGCCTACTGGAGTCTACTGGAGTGGAGTGTCCATCTTCCACTGGACTCCTATAGAACTCCAGTGGAGTCCAGTGAACAATGCAGAGAGATGTCATAGTCATAGAAGAGAAATGTGACTGATGCCAAGGTTGATGGCCAGTCATGTGACTTTTTATTTGCCTATTCCTTCAGGGTCAGCTTCTGAAATGTTGATGTTATGGCCTCAAATAGAAACAATTAATAAATATATGATTGCTAGGCCCAGACTTGGCATTGATGAAAAGTAATAAAGCCATCAAGTTTGCTGATGACATCAATATCAGAGTCACATGTGACAAATTGGATTTTGCCAAAATGTGCTCTATCTACACAGGGACTAGGGGTGCTAACAATGGGGAGAGGCAACGCCGGCTGAGCTTGATTTGTTTGTACATGTTGTGCCTGCCTGCATATGGCCAGTAAATGTAGGAAACCGAGATTTTCCCCAGCAATTTGACAGATATAGCCAGATTTTGCCTGCTGATAAGACTTTTGTCCCAATCTGTAAAAATCCTTCTGAACAGATCATGAAAATAGGTGCACGTTGTATTAGATCAGTAACCAAAGTCTGCATTGGAGGAGGATTTCTGATATTTTTTTCAGAACAATTTTTTTGGAATGCCCTCAAATGGAGATCAGTGTAAAAATATATTTGGATATGTTGTGGCAATGTGGGGAAAAATTGAGACGCGTCGAGCCTCATTAAGGCGATTATGTAATACACATCAAGACGCGTCTCGATGCGTTTTGCAGCATCTATGGGCAATACACGGCATTCTACCCCACTAGACCGTCTACTACAACTCATATATTTATTTATCTACACTTAAAATGCATTACTAATGGTTCAGAAATACAAAAAAGGTTGAGGCAACCATCGCAGTAGCTAAGTAGGAGCCTTGGAACACCGCAAATGACCCTTGACACGACCACTTCTAAGACAAAAAATACAGTTCAGGACAAGTTCAGCAACCAGAACAATCAAAAAAATAATATTGAAGGCCAGGATTCAGCTCTTCGGGACCAAAGGAGGCCAACTGCGCAGCGACTCACTAGAAGGAGACGCGGTTGGTCCTCAAGCTACAAAAAGTACTAATAGTCTCTCGAGGTCACATTTAAACAAGGAATGGCCTCCATTGTGGTGCTCAAGACTCTCCGTGATTCTCTTGTCGATGTTGACCTCTGTTTCCCCGTCTTTTGGTGGCTGTGCATTTAGTCATCAGCCATCAATCCACCCAAGCATTGCCCCTCCCCACTAACAATATGAAACATGCAGGTCACATGACTATGAGAAATTTCTTTTTTAAAAGAAGATAATTGCAATAACAGATGATCCTGAATCCACTTGAGTGATGGTATTTGGCTCTATTAGTGATAAGATATATGCCAAATAATGCCAAAATTTGTAAAAGTAATCTACTTTTTCAGTATTTTGCATTTTTCTTGTCAAGCACAGCAGCTGATGACATCAAATAACTTGATTCAGAGTCAACCAAAGGTGCTCTACAAATTCTGATGCTTTTTCCTAAAAAGAATGATTGTTAAGCATTTTATTACATACTCTATATGCTGGACTTGGGCAATTGCCTAACAGACTATTATCTATTCTGATGTGTAATAGGTACTGAGTGGTAGTCCATTTTGATACATATACTGGAGTCCAGTGGAGTCCAGTAAGACTCCAGTAAGACTCCAATATCACACTCCAGTAGAGTCCAGTATACTTTCTTACTGGACTCCACTGGACTCCACTGAACTCCACTATACCTTCTTACTGGAGTCCACTGGAGTCCACTGAACTCCAGTATAATTCCACTGGACTCCACTGGACTCCACTGGATAATATGCCAACTCCACTGGAGTCCAGTGGAGTCCTATAGCACTCTGTGGGGGACCACAAAATACTGCAGGTTCTCGTGAGCTAATGATTGACGACAATGTGGGGTTCTGGAACTGGCAAAAGTATGTTTCTTTTGGTAAGTGACTTCGCATTTTCAACTATATTTGTCTTTGACATATGTTGCTAGGTAAAACATTGCTTCGCAGTCTCGTCGCTGCTGTTAAGGAGCAGAACAAGCAAAAGGAGGCCCATCGAGGCTTTAGTGACTCCTTACCAAAGGAGCTGGTAGAAGGATGGGAGGTCATTTGCGATGAATGGGATGCAGATGGATTTCCAAAGACAAAGCCCAACCCCTATAGGGCTAAGGAGTTGGGTAAGTTCTATTGCTGTACTTCCAAAATTCCCTCCACCAACCAACGTTCTCAGCGATTTCAGAAAACCAGGTTTGCGAGGAGTTGGCAAAGGAGGAAAAGGCCTCGGCACAAGCTAGGATCGCTCCTGCGCATGACGCCACACCATCTGAGTTCCTCATTGCTGGATTGGATCTGGAGAATGAACAGTGAGTAAATTTTTACCTCTTCCATCCATGGCTGACCAGCCTTTCAGACAACGCCTGCATACGATGGCAAAGGAGCAGGGCTCAACCCCCACAGAGCTCCAGAGTACCTCCTTGAAGGACGAACAAGTTATTCTCAAAAGGAGTATCCTTGATTGGGAAGCTGTCGCCGCTCAACACGACACTGCTTTCCTTTGTGGATGATGGGACCATTCTGGCCCAATCCAAACAACTCGATGATAATAATGTGGGCCTGCGTAAGGCCTACAAGATTATCTACCTTCTCTTTGTTGCCTTCGCACTCGTTCTTGAACACGACAAGACCGAGCTGTTCCACTTTTCACGTCGACGAGACGCCTACAATCCCTCGCTGGATTTGGGGTACGCCCCACATACCGGTGCTACACCTTTGAAGCCCAAGACCTATTGGAGGTACTTGGGCTTCTACTTTGACCGTGGGCTCACGTTTCATGAGCACGTCCGCTACTATGCCACTAAGGCGTTCACCACTGTGCAGGCCATGTGCATGCTTGGTAACTCCACTAGAGGTCTCTCGCCTAAACAGTGCTGACTCTTATATCGGTCATGTGTGGTTCCTATTGCCACATACAGCTATCGTCTCTGGTATTTCGATGGTGCCCGCAATAAGGGCGCGATGAACCAGCTGAAATGGATGCAGCGAAAAGCTGCTCTATGGATTACTGGTGCTTTCCGCACCTCACCCACAGGCGGTCTTGAGGCCCTTGCTGGCCTCATCCCTGTCCATCTCATGCTGAAGAAGTTGGCAGCACGTGCAGTGTACCACGTCGCCACCCTCTCGGATACTCACCCCCTCCGCTCCATGATGGGCGAGAGACTCCTCAAGCGGGCTGCACCACACGCCCGCTCAGCCGCCTTGATGACCCCAGCTATGCAGGGGAAGGTCAAGAGCACTGTTATGGAGGTGGATGAGCGCATCCACACCTTGACTGAGAGCTTCGAGCCCTTTGCGCCTGAAGCTCGCCCAGGCGATCGGTTATTGGACTGCTATGCAGACTGTCTCCACTTTGACAAGTGTGATCCTGCCCAGGATAGGCGACCATATCTAGACGAGCTCATCGCGAAAGCGAGGGCCAACCCGTTAACAGTACTGGCTGCAACTGATGGCTCTGTCCCTCAGTCCAACCAGTATCAGGCAGCTTCAGCTGCTATAATCTACAAGGGACATTGCAAGCTCGAAAGGACTCGGTATGTCTCTGGCAGAGTCACTGCCCCTGACGTGGAGCTCAATACCATCTTGTGTGCAGTGCGCCTTGCTATCAAGCAGGCAAACTGCCAACATATCATGGTCTTTACTGACTCTATGGGCTGAGCCCATAGAGCAGTCGACCCCTCCGTGCACTCTGGTCAAGCTTTTAGCCTGTCAGTTTGTTGCGCTCTCCAAGAGTGGTTTGAGGCGGATGATCTCCGCCGCATCACCTTTATCTACGTTCCATCTGCTTTGCGGTGGGACATTCATGGTGAGGCACACAAGTACGTCACTGAACTTAAAGTCAGGGTTGGACGTTGGAAGACGGACAATTCTATAGACGTGCTTTGCTCTTGAGCTGCGCACTCAGTCCTGGATTCGTGGAATTCCACTTTCCAGGATCCAACTTATTGAGGCTCTGAATTCTTAGAGCTTCAACAGCCTGACGGGCAGCCGCTACAGCCATCGTACCTCAATGGGGGACCTTGGCTTTCAACTTTCGGACACAGTATCACTGAGTTCGCTCGCGTTTGCTGGTGTATAACTGGCCACGCGCCCATTGGAGCGTACTACCATCGCTTCAAGATCAATGAGCCTCATGGCTGCACTTGCGGAGCTGCTTTGCAGTCTTGCCAGCATATTCTCTTTCGCTGCCACGATAGATATTCTGTACACTATCCCCGTTTTCTCGGGGATATTGCGTCGTTTCTGAAGTACAACCCCACAGTGTTTGGCTTCAACCGGGACCCTTCAGGTGTCGGGTAATCGCTGTGGGCGGGGTTATTCCTCCTTTTGGGGGATTTAGGGTGAATTAACACCACGAACCTAAGGGTTCGGCGACCTGTGCCAGCTTCACTTTTTCGCGCTTGCAGCTGCTATCATAGCGGGTTGCAGCGCTGCTAACTTTCTGCGTCTGGTTTTGGGCAGGTGCTGCTCTGGCTTGTCGGCCTCAAGACACCCCGCCACCTCCCGGATGGTGCTTTTCTTATCTCATTTGCGCTGCGTGGCCTCCGAACAGCGATTGATGACTTTGGGGCATAGCGGAACCTCGATGGTTTCCTCCCCTTATCCTGATGCACCGTTTTTGTGTGGTGGGTTGCCCTCTGGGGAGTTTCGGCATTTGAGCCCAAAGGGTCTTGGTTGGGGGGGCGGTCGTCCTTTAGTGGTTAACTTAGTAACCAGGCTGCGTAGCGTACGTGTTTGTAGATAGCGAGCGGGCTGCCATCGAGCACCGCTATATAAATTGTTGATCAAAAAAAAAAAAAAAAAAAAAAAGATGGGAAGCTGTCCAATTCCTGTACATGCCCAGCCTCCTTTGCCTCCAATCAGAATTCCCAAATTTGAAAGCTTCCTGGGATAGCGACCCCAACTCCGAGGACGTCAAGCTTTGCCTGCCGTCAACCCTGCCAGCGAATCGTCGGCGTACAGCCTGTATAGAAGGATTGCCAGAGATGGAGGCTCGATTGTGTACGGCTCAGTGTGAGGATGCTCTGGAGGGCCTCTGCCACACGCTTCGCATCAAGACTCGCATGGTCTACTTCAAGAATAAGAATATCCATGGTCAAAGGGCAGGTACTTGTTCTAGGTCTATCATTGATCGAGTCCACAAACAAGCCCTAGCATTCGTGGCGAAGTACCGCAAGGCAAGAGAGGCGAAGATAGTGCTTTCAGGACCTGGAGACTGGGAGAAGTGACTTCGCCTGTTGCTGGATGGCAACATTCACAGCTATGTTGATCCTGAATGGAAAGGAAAGGGCCCAGGGAGGCGGGGTATTTGGGAAGATGGGCACAGCCAGTGCTGTCAGTGATATGTATGAAGCTGGGCAGTTGTCTAAAACTGACGATGCATCAGGGAGGGCAGTTCCCCAGCCCTATAAAACAGAGGCAATTGCCCTATAAAAATGATGTAGAGAGGTGTTATGGACTGTGATATGTGACTGATGCCAAGTAGATCAACAGGTCATGTGATTTTGAACTTGCCTTTTCATCCATGCTCAGCCTCTGAAACTTTGATATTCTGGCCTCAAATGCAAACAAATAGTAAATATATGACTGTCATGCCCAGCATTGGTGTAATGCAAATGCAGTAAGTCCATCAAGTGTGCTGATGGCATCACAGAGTCACATGTTGTGAGTTGGACTTCAGCAAAATCTTGTTAAAGTCTCTTTATGTCAAGCATTAGACAATTACTAGAGGCTATTGATATTTCTTCAAATAAAAGGTCACATGACTGTGGGAATCAACTTTGTTTTGCATTTTTATCAACAATGACTAATGCTGCTGATGTCATTCAAGTACTTTTAGGGTCACCTGATCATGATCTATGACCCTGCACAATTTTTTTTTTCAAAACCGCTGATGTTTCGAAATTCTTTTGCATTTTTCTCAACAACGACTAATGCTGATGATGTCATTCAAATACCATCAGGATCACCTCATCATGATCTACAACCCTGCACAAAAAATTCCCAAAAAGGAAATTGGGCAATTGCCCAAGCTGTCACACCTAGAGCAAAACAGGCCTACAATACTGGTGTTTTAAGGCCTGGGGAACTGCCCTCCTTGATGCATCCCTCATATTGGGCAACTGCCAACAATTGATATATCAGCTGACAGCAAAAGGTGATGGGCAGGCTCCTCCTATGGTATCTGGAGGTTCTATGGTTAGCACTGACGGTCAGGATGGGGCAGATGAGGAGGAAGATGACAAAATTGGCGCCCTTCCAGAGACGCTATCCTGGAAAGATGGCACAGGAGAAACGAAGAAGTCCATATCTTGGATATCGATGAATGCAAAAATACAGACATTGAAGGATTCATGCAGCAGCGACAACGAGATCCTCCTAGCCCACTCAGCTAGGAGTCAGGCACGAGTTCAACACGCTACGGAAGAGGTCCAGTTGGTCTGGGAGGAGATGAGGCAAACGCTGGCTTTCTTGGAGTGGAAGGCTGGCTGGTGGGATCAGCGTCGGATGGCTCGCACCCACATAACAAACGACCTACGAGAGGGAATCAATGCCTATGCCCTGGATCAAGCCCACCTCCAATGAGCCCTTGCAGCCAAGTTCCTCTGTCTTTGGGAGATGCCAATGACAGCAGATTGGCAGCCTGACGATGACAGCGACAACAAAAGCGACGATGACAAGACCCAGGAAAATGAGCCAGCTGAGGCTACTACAGGTGGGCGCGATAGGGGGGGAAGGATTCTGTAAGTATTGTATTATATCTTATCTACAGAACATTCTTAATCTACAGTGGGATGGCATGCTTTCCAAAAGGGGTGTCATGCCAGGATGGTCTGGCCAAAGGTCCAGAATCAATTGGGTGGCTGTGTTATATAAAAATAGAGCCACAGTTGATGTCGGAGCCAAGCTCAGGGAGCCACAGAAACACCTGCACAAACGTGCAGAGCGTGCATCAGTTCTCAAGGCACTGTGGGAGCGAATGCACACATGCTGCACATGCCAAAACATGCTGGGACAGCTCCAGGGCAGTTCCCCAGAAGTTTTGAGGCACTACTACAGTGGTGTAGACTAGTGTAGAGTGCTGGGGAACTGCCCCCTGTGATGCATTGTCAGGTTTGGGCAGTTGCCAGGTCTGATATATATCATTGACAGCACTGGCTGCACACCTTGACTGAGAGCTTTGAGCCCTTTGCACCTGAAGCTTGCCTAGCAATTGGTTACTGGACCACTATGCAGACCGTCTCCGCTTTGACAAACGTGATCCTACTCAGGATAGGCGCCCATATCTAGACAACCTCATCGCAACTGCGAGGGCCGACCCATTAACAGTACTGGCTGCAGCTGATGGCTCTGTCCCTCAGTCTAACCAGTATCAGGCGACTTCGGCCGCTATCATCTACAAGGGACATCGCGAGCTCGAAAGGACTTGCTATGTATCTGGCAGAGTTACTGCCCCAGATGCGGAACTCAATGCCATTGCGTGTGCAGTGCACCTGGCTGTCAAGCAAGCAAACTGTCAACATATCATGGTCTTTACTGACTCCATGGGCTCAGCCCATAGAGCGGTGGACCCATCTGTGCACTCCAGTCAGGCTTTCAGTCTGTCAGTTTGTCGTGTTCTCCAAGAGTGGTTCAAGGCAGATGATCTCCGCCACATGACCTTCATCTATGTTCCTTCTGCTCTGCGGTGGGACATCCATGGTGAAGCACACAAGTATGTCACCAAACTCAAAGTCAGGGTTGGACGTCGCAAGACGGACAATTCAATAGACATGCTTTGCTCTCGAGCTGTGCACTCAAGTCTGGACGCATGGGGCTCCATGTTCCAGGATTGTACCTACCAAGGCTCTGAATTCTTGGAGCTTCAACGGCCTGACAGGCGGCTGATCCAACCATACCTCAATGGGGGACCTTGGCTTTCATATTTCGGACACAGTATTACTGAATTCACTTGTGTCTGCTGGTGTATAACTGGCCACGTGCCCATTGGAGCGTACTACCGTCGCTTCAAGATCAATGAGCCTCATGGCTGCACTTGCAGGGCTGCTTTGCAGTCCCGCCAGCACGTCCTCTTTCGCTGCTGCAATCAATATTCTGTACACCATCCCCACTTTCTTGGGGATATTGCATTGTTTATGAAGTACAACCCTACAGCATTTGGCTTCAACCGGGACCCTTCAGGGGTTGGATGATTGTTGCGGGAGGGGTTGTTCCTCCTTTCGGGGGATTTATGGTGAATTAACACCACCAAGCTCTAGGGTTCAAAGACCTGCGCCTGTTTCAATTATTCATGCAGGCGGTCAACCTATCTTGGCTGATTGCAGCACCGCTAACCTTCTGCATCTGGTTTCAGGCAGGTGCGCCTCTGGCTTGTTGGCCTCAAGACACCTTGCCACCTCCCAGATGGTGCTTTTCTTATTTCATTTGTGCTGCGTGGCCTCCGAACAGCATCCAACAACTTTGGGGTTTAGCAGGGCCTCGATGGTCTCTTCCCCTTATCCCGTGTCACTGTTTTTGCGAGGTGGGTCTGGCTTTGTGGGAGTTTAGGTGTTTGAGCCACAAGGCTTGTGGTTGGGGGGGTGGTCGTCTTTCAGTAGTTAACTTAGTACCCAGGCCACGTACCATACATGTTTGTAGATAGTGAGCAGGCTGCCATTGAGCACTGCTATATAAATTGTTGATAAAAAAAAACAATGTCAGAGATAGTTGGATCAAATACTATTGAATACAATGGACGCTGGCGTCTCATCATCTTCATGCTCTGTTATATCAGCCTGTGGGGATCTCTTTGGAACTGTCTTGCGAGTTTTTCTAGAGCCAGGGTGAGCCTCAGCACAGTTGGAAATTAGAAGCTGCCACTCATGTTGCATCAGCAGTACTATTGGATTTCTTCTTGTTGTAATTGCTACCACGCCTCTGGGTTCTGTGTGCCTTGGTCAATACAAAGTCTGCAAAGCAAGAAGAAACTTACGGAGGTGGAGATATGTAGTGAGGCCACCCGTCCTCTTCATCACTCGGTAGGTCATCATCTAGGGTATCAGTACCCATATCAGAAGCATCGGTACCAGCCTCAGATGCATTGGCATTACTGCAAATGATCAGCGACAATTGAATAGACAATCAATGAGTTGACTGAAACATACTCTTCGCTGCTATCAGCCTCTAACTCTGAAACAATTACAGGTGAGGAGCAGTTTTGACGATGAGTAGAGGGAGCCATAGCAGGAGAAACAGGAAAAGGTAGGCCTGCACTGGCAGAATGTAGTTGCCAATAGGTTGAGTATATATATTGAACTGCAGATCCATAAATGGAATGCTCAAATATGCAATAAAGAAATGCCATCTGCATTGTGCACTCCAAACCCCAAAAGAAAAAAAAACCCTAGAAACCAGCAAAGCAAAGCAGCAAGAGATTGAAACACATCTCTGCCTACCCTGTGTGCAGCAGCCTCTATAATTTGACAACCCTGAATAGGTGGCATATCAGAAGACAAATTGAGGCCTGATGAATGCTTGTCATTGGCCCGGTGATTGGAAACTGCATGACAAAATTTACCAACATGTTGCTTCTGGTCAATATGTTGCTGGTCACCCAGAGAAATTCCAGGATTCCAACATCAGAAAGGCATTCTTTTATTCTGCCATTCAAGATTCTGAGATTCCAACATCAGGAAGGCATTTTATTCAGAAGGACAAACATGAACAATATATGAAATATACCAGATTGGAATCAACTCTAGGTGGTCAATCTGTTTAACAAATGGAGCTGGGCGATCGTAGAGAGGGTGGTTACACAAAGGACTGCCTAAGAGCCAGACGATAGTGGGAATAGGAGTGATAAAGTAGTTGGCTGAAGAATTGAAGGATACAAAAGTACAACCTGCATCAAATGTGGACCGTATTGTCAAAGGGCAATCATATGTAGTGCCACAGGAATGGGTGTCTGGGAGCAACAATTCATTCCATAGAAGCTTAAAGCCCTGCTGATGGTAGCACTCCCAGAACATCTCAGCTTCTACCTGAGAAAGCAAATGACAGAAGTCAGTACGCAAACTGTTTTTGGAAAATAGGATGGCAGGGTTTGAGAGCCCAAGTCCTTGGGCTGAAAGCTTCAGATAGGCTGAGAATATGCCAGATGAGGTGATTGCGTTCATGGCATAGGAGGAAGGTGAATAGAAGATGGCTTGGATTGGGGAACAGGTGGGACGAGCCATATGAATTTGGATTCTATGTCCCCTTTTGTCATGGTAGACAGAAGAATTGATGATGGCATAGTTGAATGTAAAGATCAACAGAGAGTCGAAGGTGTAGCTGGTGTTGCAAAGGAGGTCATGTGCAAATTGTCTTTCAGAGCAATAGGGAACCACAAAGTTGATGTTTCTTGGTTTGAAGTGCATGGATGCAGGCAAAGTGGTGAGAAGAGTGCAGGAACCTGAAATGATGGCACCATAGTGCTGGAGAAAAGGCTGAACGTCCCAAAAATTGAGACCAAAGCATGCCAGAACTCTTTGAACACAAAATTGCTGATATGCAGCAGCTTGAGCAGCAGTGCGGCAGGATGTAAGAGCAAAACTCTTTAATCCATTGAAAGAGAGGTGGCTGAGGATTGAGTGGGTTAACTCAAGCGATAGATGGTCTAAATTGTTCTGGAGAACGATGGAGGATGGTGCTACTTGTTTGAGTGGGCCATTGCTATGCATGGCATGTATGAGGCCTTCTTTCTTCTTGTAGCTTTAGCTGAAATATAATTAATATTCAGCCATCATACCTCAATGGAGGACCTTGGCTTTCAACCTTTGGACACAGTATCACTGAGTTTGCTCACGTCTGCCAGTGTATAACTGGCCACACACCCATTGGAGTGTATTATCATCGCTTCAAGATTAATGAGCCTCATGGCTGCACTTGCGGGGCTGCTTTGCAGTCCTGTCAGCATGTCCTCTTTCGCTGTCACATCAGGAGAATGACTTTGTCTCTGAGGGAGCCCTAGAGCTCCCTCAGGGTCCTTGGAGGATCCAGAGATCCAGAGATGCCAGGGAGCCTTAAAAGCTACTCCACATGCTTGTCAGGTTCTCAGGGATCCTCAGAGCATCTTCAGACACTTTCAAGACACCGTGTATTGTGCCTCATATGCCTTAGATATCTCTTATATCTCTCAAATTCAGATAATAAAGAGCAATAATTTTCAATTAAAGTACTAAGAGCTATATGTCGGAAAAATCGAATTTCCCATATATGATCATATATGGGAATATAAGGACCTGTTAGGGTGTCAGATAACCGGTGGTCATATGGATGGTGAAAAGTCACCCATCCATATGTGTAAAATGTGCAAGGGCTATCGAACCTTATGGTCGTGGCAAACCCCATCTGGTCTGCAGGCATGATGCAGTGTACACGGACTGTTCAGTCCTTCTCCAAGCTTATGATGGTGTGTTGGTAAAGCTGACCATTATTGGCAATTTGACCGTAGTCACCACGCTCCTGGGTGCCCCTGCTTGTCCAAAGAAGGGAATGCATATTTATTTTTTATGTTCTATGTTATTAGGAAAGATATGTGAACAAACCCCCCTTCGGAATTTGTATCACCATCATGACTTATCATCACGTTGTCATGCAAATGAAAGAGGTTGAGCAACTCAAGGGAATGTGGCCTGGCAAGCTCGTCCCACTGGTCTAAAGTCAGAACAACCTAGGTAATTTGATATTTTTCAGGATGGACTTACGAAATAGACCTCACTGCAGCCGTGATCATATTGTATTATTGAAGCCCTACCCATTGAAGTCAGCTGAATTCCCACAATCTGACCCATGTAAGGGAAGACATACCATAGTCTAGTCAACAAGTGCCCTATTGTCTTCTTTAGACATGGCTGCATGAAAAAAGCAGCAATGCACCTTAACCCATAGCGTAGGACCTGCACTTGAAGGTGAACACGCAACGAGGAACATATTATGTGAGAAGTCAATGAGAACAACGCAACACTGAGGCTGCCAGTGCCTGGCTTTATAGCCCTCTCGCTGCCTAGGCCCACTTGCCTCGCTGAAGCTGTGGCGCATGCTCTGAGTTGGAAGTTCTGGGCAGTAAGTCTGCCTATCGGGGAGGTCATCGAGACAGCATCTGGATCGACATAGCGTGGAGGGTATGACCAACTGTCCGTGTTCATCCTGCTGCACCGTCCATCATGATTCAGCACATTGTCTCCGTGACCTGGGACTTCGACTACCTGAGGTTCTTGGACATTGCTCGCTGGGCACCTAATCTGGGGATCCATCCTGGATCAAGGATGAGAAGAGGGTAAATCGGGTGCTGTGACAATCCTGTGGGCATCTCTGTTTGAGCACTGGATGCTAGAAATCAATGCAAAATACGGGAATCTGAGAAAGGGTGATCAGCACTTACCAGTTTCTTATATCCCTGACGCTCAACTAACATGTGTATATCAAGATGTACACGATGCTGTATCAGTACTCTCAGTTCCCTGATACCTCTTTGTTCACACATATCAGTTGTGACACAAGATCATATTGGTGCTGATATGGACTTATGGTTAACTGAGATGAGCATATCCTTTGCCGCAGATTTGTGTATCAGTGCCCTCAGCGGACCCAGGAGCCACAAGGTCTTATAATGGAAATCGTGTTTTTCTGACATATACATGCATATACAATATTGAGACTATATTCTACGATTGACTACATCTGTCATTCTGGCATAGGAGAAAATGTTAGATGTGCTATTAATTAGAAAGAGAGATAACACATACCTGATATATGAGTGCAAACAAGGGCAAACTTGCAAGTTCAGCACTGCTGGACAGCACTGGGGTCTTGGTGGGGCAAGGAGGACAGGCACTGGTGGTGCAAGGCAAGAGGCAGGTGGATTTGTTGCTGCAATTTCAGGAGGTGAAACCCCTTTGAGAGAGCTGAATTAGTGGTTAGCGACATGGGTGGTGGAGGTTCAACTGCAGTACGTACCTCATGTTCTCACCCCTTGACTAGAGATTGTCATGGGTTGAGTCTGTGGGTTGGGTCTCTGGGTTGGCAAGGGTACAGGTACAGGTTGGAAATTTTGTACCCTGATAGAACCCGTATGCTTAGAGCAGGTTTGTAGGTTGAGCGGCCCATCTCAGAGCTTGCATGTGCACAACTCCCAGTGCTGAGTACCATAGAACCGAAAAGCTATCCACAT